CCCTATACCTTACCCTATACCCTATACCCTATACCCTATACCCTAACCCTATACCTATACCCTATACCCTATACCCTATACCCTATACCCTATACCCTATACCCTAAACCCTATACCCTAAACCCTATACCTAAACCCTATACCCTATACCCTATACCCTATACCCTATACCCTATACCCTATACCCTAAACCTAACCCTATACCCTATACCCTATACCCTATACCCTATACCCTATACCCTATACCCTATACCCTATACCCTATACCCTATACCCTATACCCTATACCCTATACCCTATACCCTATACCCTATACCCTATACCCTATACCCTATACCCTATACCCTATACCCTATACCCTATACCCTATACCCTAAACCCTAAACCCTACTTAACTATTGTAGTACTTGCTTTAGCCTTGGTTTTCAAAGACCTTATGCAAATTTGGCTGAAGTATGACTAGAATTTTCTACTCATCTGTACTCTTTTAGACCCTCACTTGTTTTTCCTCTTTTTTTTGGCAAGGAATGATCTTATGCGTTAAGCTTTTGGAACTTCTACAAACCTTCATTTTAAATGAAATTCCTGTGTCCTTGGCTTAAATGAAGTCACTTCCATTGAGACTCTACTCCATTATAGCACTTTTACACAACGTTATAGTAATTGTCCATTTGGATCACGTTTTTGAATTTCTCTCTATAGCTAGCCGCTGTTTTGGTCCTATTTCCTCGACATCATACTTCGCAGTTGTTGGTGGATTTTCGGTTGTCATGCATTTTGCAAGGTCTACTCTCAAAGTTCTTAAACTCAACTTTCATGGGGCCTCCATATATCTAGTACAAATATATATGTTGTTGATTAAACTTGAAAAGGCTTGAGGCCCAAGTTAACATAAACAAGTGGTTTATGTTAAAGAAGTTTCTAGATATTTGTTTAAACCTAATCCTAGTTGTGTTAGGATTAGTTCTCTATATAACGAGTGCCAAAGTTGTAATTAACCCTAAGTATGATATTGAATCAAGTTTAATCAACATTTTTCCCCTTAAACATGAAATCACATCTTGACACATCTTGAATCCCAACAAGTTCTCTCATCTCCTTGAACTTGATTCTTCCGAGTGCTTTGGTTAATATGTCGGCCTTTTGTTCTTCTCCCGAACATGCTCCACGTCCACTAGCTCCTTATCAATGTTTTTCTGTTGACAATTCCATTTTTTTGTTTTTTTGTTTCACGTTTATATATATTTCTTACGCATTTTCCTTTTTTATGTTATTTATGACTATATGAGGCAACGATATAATATTTAAAGAAATTGATATATGATTTAGAAACATTAATTAAAAATCGATTAGAGAGGCTATGTTTGGGTTATATATTTTTGTTCTTGTGGACTTACTATACTCTATACAGTCCCAAAACTAGTTTTGTCTCTTTCCATAACGAGTTGCCTTTTTAAAAGTGGAGTACGTACTTGAACGAGCACCCGGCGATGAGGTTGGGGTTAGTGTCAGTGTGTCACATCTGGGGTATTTTCCGTCGCTGAAGGTGCGGGAGGCGGTGCTGCTGGACCAGTACTGACACTAGTGGCCGCTAATTCACAAACAATGTTATGAGTGAAACAATATTATAATGCATAAGATATAAATATATAGTTAGGTCATAGGTGGGATATATACCGTTGCATTGTGTGAGGGGAGGCGTCTGAATGTTGCAGGCATGAGGCATTGGGGAGCTGTAAGGCCTTTGTGCGGTTAATGTTAAGGCCGATGTTGGGAATCGGACTGTTGACGGCTGAGCAGATGCATTGCGGCGAAGATTTGATGACAGAGTCGAGCTGAGAACAGCAAGGCTGTGAGGGAGTGGTTGAGTTTCCGGTGATGTAGCTGAGGCGCGGAGAGAGAGTGGACGCATGACCCACTCGGCTGTGCTTTTGTTACGCCCCCTAGAGCTACAACAAGGGCTACAAATGTGATTGCGTAGTTTCTTCTATACCCCATATATAATTTGAGTTATTATTGTTCAACTTTTGTGTTTTTGCTTTGGTTTAGTTATAGGAGGAATTGATCAGACAAAAGTCAAAGAGACAGGTCTGGTTGGATGACCTACTTTACATGGTTTATATGGTTTTATCAAACAAATATATATGTTCTAAATGCACCCCCAATATAAACAACGCCACGTAGACATGCAGCAATATACTTTTTTCAGAGTATATGAAGATTGTAATTACTTAAGTTACAAAATTACTAGGAGTATACCAAACTCAGCTACTTTCTCTTTTTACTTGGTTTCATCTTTGTTCATGAAACAAAAAGAAAATTGTGTTTTGATAAAGAGATTGAGAGAAAGGATATTAGTTGGAAGTTGTTAAACTCCACTCCTCCACAAAAGAGGCTATATGTAGCATTTCATCCAACACAACCAAGCAAATTTGAGTAACTAACACTTTTTCAAATAACGAAAACAGTGGTATCATTAACAAAGCTATATGTCTGCTTTTTACTCTTAGATGAAAATCTGTCACGCTTTAGAATAAAAGCTTGGAACTAGGCTCATGAGATGTAGCTGATGATTGACGTTAACTGAAACGACCAACCGCACTTTAGATAAATCCATCTTGAGGGGAAATATGTCTATAATTGAGTTTCTAAATTCCTTATACACTTGATTAACAATAAAAACACTTGCTAGCTCATGTGTATAAATTCCTTTTACACTTGATTACATATTCGTGTTAAGATGAGAAGTAGGTCATGTCTAAACCGTTCAGCTGAATTGAGGTATCGTAACTTTTGACACAATGGGCTATCTTTATATTGTTTCACTTTCGTTAGTGTTTGTATCGTTCTCACCAGCTTCATATAATATCTACGATTTTTTTCCCCCTTTCTTGTAATGAAGATCTCATCAAAAGAGATAAAGTTTGAGACATATAGCATTACTCTTCGATAGAAAGTCTACTATAGAGCAGGAACTTCCTACAAAAAGAATGGTGAAAATCAGTGATACTATAGTCTCAATTTCACCTACACGAATTCCATGTCAGCTTTCTTCAACTATCTGCCTCATCTTTTCGTGTACGATCTTCCTCAATATCCACCAACTCTTCTTCTTCACCTTTTTTACCGGCTTGCTCTTTCCAGTATGCTACCAACTTCTTCAATCGCACCATCTCTTTGGATGATATATGTTTGCTGGGATCATTCACGATCGTTCTCACTCTCGATGCATATCTGGAATTGGTCAAAGAAGGAAAAAAAAAACAATATGCTTTATCTAATGAGTACGAATAATCCATTTTAACACTCAGCCTATTTGATCTACGTTAGATATATGGGAATTCATGACTTACAGAAGAGAATTGTACGTCTCGTCCAAATTTGATTCGGCTGGAGACACATTAACAAACATTAACGTCTTGGCATTGCCGCCCAATGAATCGCTCATCAACATTGTTAGCTTGTGATTCCTATAAGGAATATGTTGGTTGCCAGAAGATAAAGCACCAATAACATCACCTAATGCAGAAAGTGATTTGTTGATACTTTGAGCTTCTTTGAGTTGGCAACCAGCCGAGCCCGACTTTTTTACTCTCTCGGAACCAGCAAGATCCACAAAACTCAACTGCAAATAACAAACAGAGAATCATAATGTTGTAGAAGATACCACCATGGATCGGTGATATGGGTTTAACATGGAGGGCATATCATTGTCTAATAATGTGGATTGTGTACATTAAGGTTTGACATTGTGTACCAGACCAATGATCTGAGCAAACGTCTGATGAAGTAAAACAAGATTAATATTACTATATTTCTTGGTAGATTAAGCATGAAAATCTTATGAAACTCCTATTTCCTTAAAATCCCTAAATGCTACTAAATCCTGTGAAAAATGATTATGAGTCAATAAAGAAACAACTATGAATTTAGTCACCTTGCCCCTCGCAGCAGACTGTGTTTGAAGATCAATACTTTCAATAACAACCGATAGTATGAGGTGAGATCTTGAGCTTTCTTCATTCATATTTGTTCCAGAAACATGTCGTCGTTCCGATCCCCGTTCAATAATCATTCGCAGTTCCTCCAAAGTTGATATAGGAATAGTTGTCACATTCTCTACAAAGACCATTCCCTGAGGACATATTTTATGCATGAGATCAAACTTACGTGTCTACAAACTAGTTAAGATAGATATATATCACAAAACCTTTGAATCTTTTTTAATCTCTAGTTTCAGGCGTCTTGCACTCTTTGGTAACAGAAGGTCTACAAGTGTGTCTTGATAAAGTTCCACCATATATGCCTGCATAATTTTTTGCAGTCAGTTGATGCCATGATCTTTTATCACATCATATATTAGGATGACAAATTACCTTTAGAGAAAATGAAAATCTCTTGCTATCTCTCTTTAATATGTTGAACAATTCCTTTGTAGCTCGAGGTGTGAGTCCAGGATTGCTCTCATGCCCATATATAGTGAAAGTTTTTCCAGAACCAGTTTGACCATATGCGAAGATGCAAACGTTATACCCATCTACAGCCGACTGCACCAAATACTGTTACAGAAAAACGATATTAGTAACCACAACAAAATAACAAAAGATGGAAGGTAAATGAACACAGTTACATATCAATAATACCTTTGTGTCTTCAAAGATATCATCTTGACTAGCACGCATGTCAAATACGCGATCATATATATGTTGCTTTCTTTTGTCGTCTTTCCATGGATGTTCAACTGTAAACTCATCCACAGTTGTCAGCATTTGTTTTTCTCTCTCTGAACTCTCTTTTTCATTTAGAGGTCTTATTCGACAATAAACTCTAATCTTCCCTTTCATATCTACAATTAAATAAAAACGTTAATAAAATTCTTTTCTAAAAGCAATGAACATTATTGAACATACTTGAGCTCTACGTTACCTTCTATGGTATTATAGTATCTTTTCCTTAAAACTTGTTCTTCCTTATAAAGTATTTCTAGCTCAGCAAGTTGGGCTCCCTGCATCTTCAAAATGGCAGCTGTTTGCTCATTCTTTCGGTCAATGTCCTAAAAACATGAAATTGGAATGTAAACACCTCCCTCTAATTTATTTTCGAATTGCGAAAATACATTATCATCATTCAAACAGAACCAAAATTAAAATAATGAAGAAGACTAAAGAGTACCAATACCTCTTTCATTTCTCTTAACTCCTCAAGTTCTTTCAAGTTATTTTGCAACAGCAGCATGTCAGAATTCTTACTTTCAATCGTAGACTCAGCACTATCCAAGTCTTGAGCAAGGACTTCAAGCTTATTTTCAAGTTCAGAAACTCGAAGCTTTAACACCTTTCTTTCTTGTTCATATCTCTTTTGATGAATTTCAACCTAAAATAATGATATGTCAACAATACGCAAGTATTTGCTACTTCTCAAATTGAAATCTGCCATAAATCTAACACAAAGAATTCACCTCCTCTTTTTTCTTCTTTTCAATATTAAAAATACTTTGCTCCAATATCTTGTTTTCACTCAACAACCTCTTTGAATTATCAACTGCAACATGCAATTCCTTATTTCGAACTTCTAACTCCTTTTGGATCTTGTATAATATCTGTGACATAAAATTCATTGTCAAAAGAAAACAGAATTGCTAACAAAAAACAACAACGGATATACTCAATCATTACAATGAATTAGATTTAAACACATGATATTCACCTGATTATTCATTTCGGCTAATTCTGATTTTGTCTCTTTACTTGATTTTGTGTTGCCCGACTTTGCCAACCTTGCTTCCATTCCTCGCAGTTCAGACATCAAGGTCTATAGCATATATAGAATAAATAATTAAATAACTTCAACCAAGCATCAAAAGAAAGACAAAAGTTAGGTTATAACTAACTTGAATAGTTGTTCCCTTCTCGTCACACAATGACCTAAGTTTATCTCGGTCTAAGGTAACCTCCAACAATTTTTTCCTTTCAAGCTCCAAACCGTTGTGTATAGCTTCTAATTCTTCACGCAGAGTAACTTCTTGCTGATTTTTCTCTTGTTGTTCATCCATCAACTACCCAACAACATAAAACATACAAATAGTTCATCAGCATGCAACTCTAAAACAAAAGAGGTCATAGAATAACAAAAATTAGATACCCTACAATAACATAAGATAGGAGGGTAATATATACTGAAATATTCCAAGACTACCAAGCATCAAAACCATGAAAAATCCAACTATAATATGTTATTTCATGTTTTTAAACAAAGATCAGCCTTCCCTCTACATATTCAATTTTACATGACTAATAAACAAGAAATTTGTTAGAATGTGTACCTTGTCAATCTTCTTTTGGGACTCTTCATAAGCCTTAGACAAATCTTGCAAACGTTTTTCATACACTTCAAAATTCTGCGGCTTAGAACTACAAGATATATCTCCATTAACCAAGCTATTGGCAGCAGATCGAGCTTTGGAGTAACGACGCAACATGACATCATTTATATGTGTTTGCAAAGCAACACATATTTCTTCTCCCTACAAACATACAAGTTACCCAAATTGAATATCTCGTAAGGAATTGCTTCATAATATAATGATCCACAAATAATGATGTTTGAACCTGTTTTGTCTCGAACTGAAATATGTGAAGAACACCAGCGACTCTCATTTTGAAAAAGACAGCAGTGTTACTGCTGCCAAATTGCATTATGTCACGTAGTTCAGCAGAGTGCAGATATTCTTTCGGAACCGGTCGAAAAAAGTGAACCTACAAGAAAGCAAACAACAAATTCAAATCCAACAACATACATTTGAATTTCTAACAACAATAACAGAATTTTTAAAATCATAATGTATGACATCTATATTGAGACTAACCCCACGTTTGTTGATACCCAAAATGATTCGCCCAGGTAAAAGACCGATCGGATCATCTATCTTGCGTACGCTAAAAAACACTGAATTCCCATATGGCAGTGCCTTCAGTATCCGTAGAAATTGTTGTCTAGCATCATCTTTGGTCACGTTCTCCTACATGCCCACATACACATACGAAATATCATTTTACCATGCCATCACTTCAATGAGTTTTTATTTGGCAAAGGTATCTAGAAAGGGGAAGACAATATAAAAAAAATGCATAGAACCATTCCTACCATTGAACGGTAGCGAGCAAGGATATCCAATTCCCATTCACGCTTTGCTCGGGTTATTGCTATTTGTCTCGGCAAAAACCGCTCAAGAAGTGATGTCCAATCACTGATATGTGACACATTGAGAAAGAAAATGATATTATAAAGGGAGGAACATTGGAAAAATAAAGCATCCGACAACTCAAATGAAGTCAATGGCTTAGCTTAAGAAAAATGAAGATACAATTCTTATAATTAACAAGTTTGGAATACTAACATGCATGACTCTGGACTATTGACAAACCCAATCCCAACTAGAATTTGCAAGGCACAAAGCTGTGCAGCATCGTCCCTCCCGACAGGATAGTTTCCTAGCAAATAGTCATGTTGCAGCTGCATATATGTGTGTCAGCAACGAAAGGCAAGGTTTTTGTGTGGAAAAAAATGTCACCAATGAAGAAAATGCTCACTTGTACATAGGAAAGTTGCACAAACATCAGATCTGTTACGGCTTCATCAGACTCTCGGAATAATTTTTTTTTAAATACTAGTTTGCAGTGTAGTATCTCTCCTTTATTTCTATCTTTTATAGCTTTAAATTCTGCGAGGAGATCTCCAATATACTTGTTATCATCCAATCCTATATATTCCTCTGCAAGTGCACAGATAGAAAAATGATCAATAATGTTGTATTACTTCAAAATATATGATGAAGCGAGTCATATGAAAGCATACCATTTCCGGGATCAGATGATTTTGAACTTGAAACAACTTTACGACATTCAAACAAACTAAAGCTAGAGAAAGCTGATAGTTTAATTGTTCCAGCTAGCTCCTGAAACAGATGTCAATGCAGTGAGAGAAGTTTAACCAAAAACAAAGGGACAAAGGAAAATAAAATGCTTGAACAAGCTATTTAGAAGAAACGCATTACTAAATCTACTTCCTCAGGCAAGAATATGATCAGCGCTATATTATGATAAAGAATTCAAGAAGATACCTCAACAGCATCAGACACAGTTGTAGCCATGTCATATGATATTTCTTCAAAAGTTTCATCCAGAAAGAAGACTATGGTTGTGAGCTTTCTACCGGTCAAAAGGGCTTCAATTTCTTCACGACCAGGTGTGGTGTGCCTAGGACCAGCTTTGATAGAGCGCTTTAAAGCCTTCAAAGTGTTCACAGCAAGAACCTGAGCATCTGGTTCAATTGTTGCATCGTGTGCCACATTATGAATATATTCAGAGAGATATCCACCAATATCTTTGCTAGGAGGCATTGAGGACGCACATAAGTACATCAACTCCCAAGCTTTTATCAAGTATTGCCTGAAGTAACAGAGATGCGACGGGTAAGAAGTAAGAAGTCATACGCATATACTAAGTAATTGGTATCTGCGGGGAAGAAATAATGGAATGCACCTGTCAGGATTATGTCTAGTCTGTTTGGAGATTTGGGCAAAAAGTTCGTCCCTGAGTTCAACACGCTTTAGAGTTTTTTTGAAGAGCTTTCCAACGAGGTCAATGCGTTCATCTAAACTGGGTGGCGTTGATCGATCAGATGAATCAACACCCATATATTTTAAGATGAGGTGAAACAACTTGGTAGCACGGCTGACGAGATCGCTGTTAATCTTGAGGAGAGATGTGGGGATGGGATCCTGAAGGGGAGAGAGACATTTTAGCACAAAGTCAATGGATTGTCATGTCAATGGGGAAAGAAAAAGTGGAAACAAAAAACCTTCTGAAAGCACAGCATATCCTCAAATGTGAAGCGCTCACGGACATTGGAGCCAGAGGACTTTTTAGAATAGAAGAAGCCACGCTTGCCAGCAGACTGGATTTGCTTCTGCATAAGCCGCAGAAAAGCTTCAACCTGGAAGCGATCGATGAGGGGAATGGCGGCAGCAAGCTCGGCAGGAATTGACAACGCCACTTGAGGAGCTGGGGAGCTGCGAGAGAGAGTAAGAATGTTTGTTTTCAAAAATTCAGAGACAGTGAGAAAGAGAGCAGAAGAAGAAGACTTACAGAGGAGGAAGAGAAGACGACTCGGCATCGAAATCGGTCCCAGTGGGGTTGGGAACATAAAAGCAAGAAGAAACGTCGGTGGCGACTTCGGTGCCATTGCCGGAGCTCAACGAAGAATTACTGCCTCGTTGGCCCTCCATAGCCGAAGAAAAAGAGAGAATGTAGATCTGAAAGCACAAATTTGCCCAGAAATTTGGGCAGAGAGAGAGAGAGAGAGAGAAGGAGAGACGAGAGTCACGGGAGATTTTTAATTGCCTCTTCTTTCTCTCATTCAATTCAATACTTGACGATTCAGCTGGACTTTCTTAATTATTTTTCGTTTTTTAGAAGATGAGAGTTAAGCCAAGGAATCAATCGGCATCGTTGTGTTGTGTGGGTTGAAACCAAATAAATGAACAATGTCAAAAGACGTGCTTCCACGTCCATTGGCCATGGTTGTGCCTCCAACACCATTAACAAATCTTAACACAAATCTGCTTTGCTTTGGTGTCAATTCTCAATACAATAATGCTTTTATGTAATGTATGCAAGTCCTATTCAACACAAGTGTTGTTGCATTTATTTTCTTTTTCACACAGACACTAGCTAAACAATAGTGCTCCGTCACTTTCTCCGCTTCACAGCTTTGCGATCGCTAAAGCAGGCAAGTTGTTTCTTGGCGGAAGCTTTAGATCCTCCCATTCCTCTTCTTCCTCCACTCTCTCGAAGTACTGCTCTACCATGCTATCCTTCATGTCCTCCAGTCGCCTTGGCTCCCACTATAATTTCAGCAATACTGCACTATATCAACAATTTGACATATAACCAACCACAAATTACCAAATGGAGAGACTTGTAAAACCTTTGGGTTCTTATCTTTGTCTACCAATATGGCTCTGCACCCCTGCATAAGTAAAAGATGCTGTTGTAACTATGGTCTACAACAAGGACGGTTTCAAAAGGACAATACATTCGGGGAAGCTTGCAAAACCTCCACAAAATCTTTGCTGATTTCTCCCTTCATCACATGACACACCATTCTATACTCACGGATAAGACACTGCCCCACCCCCTGCAGTCGCCCTTCCCTTATCTGAAATATAGGCACACAGTCAGCTCTTTGTCATCATTGCCTGTGATTCATTTTGGGAACTAACCGATCTAAGAGAGATTTTAAGGCTTGCTGGTGAAGCCTTCTTCAATGCTTGAATGGTAGCTGAGATCCAACCATCTGCTTCTTGAGCGGCCTCTCTCTCCTAAACAACACATATGATGGTAGAGTGCATTGTCAAAGGTTGATCAGTCAACTCAGGATCAAAAGTAACCATATCCTATATATAAATGAAAAACTTACAAGTGCAGATATAATTTCTTCAACTGTTCTCCTTGAGAAGCACCTATCAATAACATCTAACCTGTGAAACGAACGGAAAGATAAGAAACAGCTGTCCTCTGCACTTTTTGATTCGTACAAATTTTCAATTGAAGATCTGATGAGAAATGAATTCTGTAAAGAGCGATTGAAAACCTGACAACAATACAAGATTGAAATTATACAAACATGTGATGTAATCATGATCAATAACTGAGCAAATGTTTTAGCCAATGACCTAGAATAAGCGTGAATTTGGCAGGTAAAAAATAAAGATAATTCCGCAAACTCATGTAAAACCATTTCTAGGAGAAAAGAGTAAAAGAGATAAAATCATATGGACTTGCCTGTGGTAAGCACTCTGCTGTTTCAGGCGCGGATGCTGGGTGTATGCATTGAGAATTGTTGAGGCAAAGGTTGGATCATTTGAACCAACTCGGCAAAGATCTGCTTCTAATGCAGTCAACCTCTGTGAAAAGGAGTAACCTTACTAAGCAACAATCCTTGGTGACGCAGATAGTGCTTGACACTAGTAGCTATACAATATCTGATATGTAAAGTCATTCAGAATGTCTAACGAAATAGAGTAGACTAAGAAATTTACAGGCCGCAAGATTTGATATGGACACTAATATTTTATAATTTTCAACACAAACCATCACGGCAGAGAAAATAAGCAAGCTGAACAAGACTGCTCCAAAACCCGACATATGTTTTTAGCATGTCAAGTTACCATCATGATGGCAATGGGGAATACTAAAGACGTAAGCAAAGGAAGTTCATACCGTTGACGGCACAAAATGAGTTGCAAGGCCACAAGCAAGCATTTCAGCGCCATCTAATCTAGCTCCTGTGAGGCCAACATACTCTCCTAAACAAGAAGACAGGAAAGATGAGAGAGGGAACCGCAATCATTTTCAAACTTTTGTGGCTCTAAGAAGCCTCAATCATTATCAAAATTTGGTGGCTTTAAGAAATGCAAAAAATAAGAAATATAACTTTTGTTACCAAAAAATCCAGGGAGCCTTGACAAGAAGTAGGAGGCGCCTACATCTGGAAAGAGCCCCAGAGCTGTCTCAGGCATGGCAAAAACCTTGGAGAAAGTCGAAAGATATGAGCATATTTTGGAGCGACCTATTTGTCAGCCATGGATATCTTTAAGGAAAGAATACCGTGTTCTCAGTTGCAATACGAAATCGACCATGGATGGAGACACCAGCTCCGCCTCCCATGACGATACCATTCAAAATTGAAACCTATAATTTGTGGATTACGAATTAATGAGCTTGTACACTGGGAGTGATTCACTAAAAGGAAAATATAGTGAGACCTGAGCTTTGCTATATGTGGCCATAACATAGTTGAGCATGTATTCATCGGAGAAGAAATTGGCACCGAGTCTCCAGTTACCTAGTCAACGAAGATAGAGAAAGAGTGTACAGAAGATGAAAGTAAGAAACGGAAAAGAATGATGGGATGGGGGTGGTAAACCTTGTTCGATGTCACGAACAACAGCTGCAACATCGCCACCAGCACAAAAGGCTCTTCCATTACCCTGTGGCAAAGTTATTCAGTACTGTGTGTAAAACGGAAGAGATGAGGATAATGATTACCTTTAGGATGACAAGTTTCACACTAGGGTCCTCCTCAAATGCAAGGAACAGTTGCAGCAATCGAGAGATCTACGGAAAAATGAGTCAAGCAAATACAGTGTGTATGTACAAGAAGGGAGGAGGAACAAACAAGAAGGGAAAGATTCGATACCATTTGGAAGGACAGAGCATTCAGCCGCTTTGGTCTATTTAGTGTCAAGATTCTAACACTCGATTTCTCTTCCACCAAAACCTGTAATCAAATTAATTGAGAGAGCGAAGAATCGATCGTCGTAGATTCGGAGTAAAGAAGAAAGAAAGAGACCTGAGACTGAGAGGCCATCTCGACTGCCATCTTTCTTACTGGTCAGAGTCGCCTTTGTATCCTCCGGACAAATACAAGAGAGAGAGCAGCAACGGGATCAGAAATTATTAATGGCTAACAAAATCTTCACGCTTAGTTTAGGAAGTTGATATTGGGCCTTATAGTTGGTCTTCTTATAGTGATTAGTTGGGTTTTAATAATGGGCTTGTTTTGTTTTCAAATGGAACTTTGCTTTTCAAATCTCAATTTCAAAGCCCTCTTGCAACATGCAAGCACTGAACCCACTGTTTGAAAAAAGAATACGTGGTGAATGAGAAGATAATGGAATGGTTTTTGCACTCCTCACTACAAAAGAAATTATATGGTTTTATCGAGCACGTTAGACATATGTTTACAACGAAGACATTTCTTCTTCTTCTTTTTTTTTACATTTTCCCCTTTTAATTAGGAAGCTAGTTTTCCAACTTACTCAATCTCTCTAGCATAAAATGACACGCGGGCACCAGATCAATCATTAAAAAATTCTTTGCTTTTATAAAAGTCTTCAAAATTCTCAACAACCCAACTTCTAAAAGTCAGACATGAAAGCCCTCGCTTCTCGATATATATAATTACATATACCTGAAAACTCAACAATCTCACGCATATGCAACAGCCGTTAAGAGATGGAAAGAGCAAGGAAACGATGGCCGAGTGGAAGAGGAATCAGGGTGAGGCAGAAGACGAAGAGATTGCGTGCGAGAGTGAGAAGCTTTTTCAGGCTACTCAGGAGCTGGTGCTGCAGGAGGCGTCCGCTGGTCAGAGAAGACGGTCTTTATTACACATCTATACGTCGGTCTAACTCTTTCTACGCCGATGCAATTGCAGACTGCATTGACTTCATCAACCGCTCCTCCGGTTGAACTCTTCTCATTCCTTTCCAATAATTCTTTCTTCCATTTTGTAAAATCCAATATTTTATATGCAACCAATTCGACTTTTTTTTTTCCCGTAAATTCCCTAACTGTTTTGTACATCAGCCCAGCCGGCAGAGCAATTTTAGTCAGTCGATCGATACACCTTTAAGCGAGTGGGCTTATAATGGGCCTGATGATATACTACATCCTTAAAAACCACATTTAGTTTAAGTCAGATCTGACAACTGCACTGGTCCAAACCCTTAAGATAAAGGCCAGTTTAAAACCCGTTAAGTGTTTAACATAAGCTTATATACTAGGCCAGATGAAGGCCACATAAGTTTCAAATCACAACTGACAGCTACACTAGTCCATTCCCTTATCAAAGGCCCGTTAAAAGCCCACGTAGTGTGTCAGATCTTTCCTTGCTCGATTCAACGCGTCCGAGTCTCAGACACTCCCCGGCGAGATGGAGGAATACCCGGAAGAGCTCAGGACGCCGCCGGTAAGTCTGGTGGCTCTCTTCGGATACTCGGAGCTACACGCGTCCATCACTAAGTATCTCCACTCCCAGCAGCCTCCCATCAACGCTCTGGCCTTCCCCGACTTCTCTCATATCTCTCTCCTCCTTGCTCCTGATGATCAGATCAGCCGAACCTCCTCCTTCAGAGATCCTCTCAGCGTCGCCGATTCTTCCTCTCCCATTCCTTCCAGATGCGGCGGCATCTTGAAACGGGACTGGTTGCTTAAGCATCGCACCAAGGTCCCTGCACTTGTCGCGGCCTTCTTTCCCTCACATCACATCTTCGGCGATCCAACTCAATGGCTACAGGTCTGCTCCGATCTCGACAGCCTCAAGTACTTCCTCATCTCCCTTATTTGTTTCCTTGTTTCCCCTCCTTGTTTCAAACCCTCAGATTAACAATGCGATCTCCATTGCTAGATCCGTAATCCGTCCCAAAAACATCAAACTGGTGGTTGTCGTGGTCCAGTCCTCTCCCCATGGTAGCGTTTTTATCCGATTATTCTTTTCATTTCCTCTCGGAACTGGTGACTTACTCCTTCCCGACTTGTTTTTAGAGGAAATTAGCGAAGATCGTCTGGTGGCATTGCGAAAGCGGGCAGAGTTAGATTCTAAGTACGTGCTCTTCTTCAATTCCAGCATAGACTCTGAACTCACACACTCTCTCTCCAGGCATGTTTCTCTCCTCTTTTCTTGTTTTCTAGTTAAGAGGCTTTTCCTTCAATGCATCTCAACGCAGATATGTTTGCAGACTCGCTTCTGCATTTGCAGAGTTGGCCCTTGCTTATTACAGAGAAGAAGGACGGAGAATCAAAAGCCGAGTTGAGAAAAAGAGTTCCAATTCTCTTGATTTGAATGTTCGCTACTGTTTTAAAGTAAGCTTTTTTGTTACCTCTGCTAAGTCTAATCATTTTGTTTCAAAGTATCTGGGAAAAGGAAGGCTCATTCATGCCATGACTGCTAGGTCGCTGTATATGCAGAGTTTCGTAGAGATTGGGGTGAAGCACTCAAGTTTTATGAAGACGCATATCATTCCTTGCACGAGGTCTTTAATTATCTCTAAGTATTTTGTTTTTTTCCAACCCATCTGTCACGCTAATATGTATTCTGCTTCTAGTCAAGATTATGTATCTCTGCCTGCGGTTTCCACACATTCAATTTTTGACGAGCAATTTTGTTTATGCAAACAGATGATCGGGACATCGACTAGGTTGCCTGCAATACAACGCTTGGTCGAGATCAAGATCATCGCTGAGCAATTGCATTTCAAGATATCGACGCTTTTGTTGCATGGTGGAAAACTCATAGAAGCAGTGACATGGTTTCATCAACATAAAGCATCATATGAAAAGGTTGTTGGATCCACAGACTTTATTTTTCTCCATTGGGACTGGATGAGTAGGCAGTTTCTTGTCTTTGCTGAGTTGCTGGAGACAAGCTCAGCAACTGGTCAGAGCTTTTCATCCTCAAACCAAGGAACTGCGGAAATATCTTTGACTGAGTTTGAGTTTTATCCTGCCTATTATTATCAGGTCAGTCAATTTTTCTCTATGTAAAACATAGTCGGAACATAATCTAAACTTGGTGGTGCATTTGGTGTTAAATCTTTTCTGTGTCTCTTACCACTTAGTTAATTAAAACAATACTATATAAACATAAACACCTACCTCGAAGCAAATGCTGGCTTTTTCGTCCTGTTTCTCATAAATTTCTGAGCTGTCTGTTCCTAGGTACAGTATGTTTGAAATATCATATGTTCTTATCCACTGGAAAATTTCGTTCTACTCGCAGTTGGCTGCTCATTACTTGAAGGATAAGAAATCTGCCCTGGAACTGTTGTTGTCAATGTCTGAAATAGCTCAAGAGATTGATACCAGCTCTGCATCCATTACTCCTTCAGTCTATGTGGGTCAGTTCGCTCAGTTACTTGAGAAGGGAGAAACTCTTACTCTTCACTCGTAAGTTGTTCATAATTCACCCCACAAATCTGTGTAAAAGAAAACTAATTATGCTACCACCCTCTCTAATGGTATGAATTCTAATCTATTTGCAGTATAACGGATGAAGAATACACACGGTATACAATTTCAGAAGCAAAGAGATTTCAGGATTCCCTTGAAATTATTGCTTGGCTGAAGAGATCTTATGAATCATTTACGAACCTTAAAGCCCGGAGGATGGCTGCCCTTTGTGCCTTTGAACTAGCCCGGGAGTACTTTGATTCGGCTGATCCCAGCAACGCAAAATTCTTTTTCGATATTTCTGCAAACTTGTACAGGCAAGAAGGTTGGGTAACTTTGCTCTGGGAAGTGTTGGGTTACCTGCGAGAGTGTTCGAGAAATCTTGGTGCTTTGAAAGATTTTGTAGAGTTTTCACTTGAAATGGTGGCACTGCCTGTAACATCTTATGACAATTCTGGGAACTTGAGAAACAAAAATTATGGTCCTGGAGGTCCTGCAACCATTTCAGGAAGAGAAAGTATTCATCGAGAAGTTTTTACTCTTGTCTGTCGTGAAGCCGAGCCGTTATCCTCTACCGAAGGAAGGGGGTTCAAATTAGCCACCGATAGCCCTCTTCATCTTGAAATTGATCTTGTCAGTCCTCTGAGACCCGTTCTCCTAGCTTCAGTTGCTTTTCACGAGCAAATGATCAAGCCTCGCACTTTGTGCTCTTTTACATTGTCACTACTTTCTCATCTACCTCTTCCGGTTGAAATAGATCATCTAGAAGTTCAGTTCAACCAATCTACGTGCAACTTTGTCATCAGAAATTCCCAGAGGCCTCTGTGGGCTTCTGCGTCTAACACTGTGAAAAGTGGTAGCCAAGTAGAGAATGAGCCATCGCTGGTACTTGTGCCGAATAATTGGTTAAGGTTGACATATGCAATCAATTCTGGTTAGTGTGATTTAATTATAAGGGTGTTGTTTGTATCTCACACACTTGCACGTATTGAAATTCAAACCTGTTTTGTACGTTTTCGTATTCTTAGTTACCAGTTAGCAGAACTGAAGCTTCAGAACTTGTATCTATCTTATGAAAGCAAAAAGGCAGTGGTTTTCTTGGCTGCATAACTTTTAACACATTTCTTTGTTTCATCTGCAGAGCAAAGCGGCAAGCTTGAGTGTCTTTCAGTTCTTGCAAAATTGGGGCCTCTTTTCACAATCTGTTCAAGAGCCGAGAGTCCTGCTGCAATGGAGGATTTGCCTGTCTGGAAGCATGAGAATTGCGTGGAATCTCTGCCAACAAAGGACCCTGTTCTTGCAGTATTTGGCCAGAAAGCTACTCAAATTGATGAACCTGAACCACAGGTGGACGTCAGTCTAGGTGCTTCTGGTCCTGCCCTAGTTGGAGAAGATTTTACGATGCCTATCGTGGTAACTTCAAAGGGTCATGCCGTTTACAGTGGTGAATTGAAGATTAATCTAGTTGATGTGGGTGGTGGTGGTTTGTTTAGCCCTAGAGAAGCAGAACCGTTTTCTCTAGAAAGCCATCATGTGGAAATCTGTGGTATTGATGGGGCAGAGGGAAACGATGAATCCGAGTCTGAAACTGGGAGCATAAAGAAAATTCAGCAATCTTTTGGGCTGGTTTCTGTTCCAGACCTGAAGGAAGGAGAATCATGGTCGTGCAAACTAGAAATAAAGTGGCATAGACCCAAGCCTGTCATGCTCTTTGTGTCATTGGGTTACTTGCCACATGGCAGTGAAGCCAATACCCAAAAACTTCACATACACAAGAGCTTGCAGATCGAAGGGAAGATGCCTCTTTTAATAAGCAATCGGTTTATGTTGCCATATAGAAGGGATCACCTATTGCTCAATAGGATCAAGCCAGCCCCTGATTCTGAAGACATGTCTTCTCTGCCTCTGAACGAAAAAAGTGTGTTAGTTGTCAGTGCCAAAAATTGCTCAGAAATAGCACTGGAACTGGTGTCCATGTCTATTGAATTTGATGATGAACTAGGGGAAACTTCATGTTTGATTCAGCAGGGTAGTGGGTGTGGAGATTCCCCAAGCTCTGCTAATCTTGCGCCAGGGGAAGAGTTCAAAAAGGTTTTCACAGTCATACCAACTACGAGAACTCCAAAGCTTGGTTTGGGATCAGTACATTTAAAATGGAGGAGACAGGGAGGTAACATAACAGAGGCATATGTTTCAACAAAGCACAAACTTCCTGAAGTAAATGTGGAGGCATCCCCACTGGTAATGAGTTTGAACTCTCCTCCATATGCCATTCTTGGAGAACCCTTCACTTACGCCGTAAGAATCTGCAACAAGACACAGTTGCTGCAAGAAGCAAAGTTTGCTCTGGCTGATGCACAGAGTTTTGTCCTGTCTGGGTCTCACAGCAATACGGTTTCAGTCCTTCCCAAGTCAGAACACGTCTTAAGTTATAAGCTAGTGCCCCTGACTTGCGGTGAACAGCAACTCCCAAAGATAACTGTGACATCAGCGCGATATTCTGCTGAGTTTCAGCCATCTGCGGTTGCTTCAAGTGTCTTTGTGTTTCCCTCAGCCCCACAAGCCGAGAAAGCTAACTCTACCACAAAGTAGTGTAACTTCACGTGACTTGGGTTTTCAGATGTTGTCTATGCAGTTTCAGCCATATGTGAGACATATTGAATCAGTTTGGTAAATTTTGGCCCGGACGTGTCCGCTATGTTGTATTTTCTTTTCTTTTTTTTCCTTTTATGTTGTTGATAATAATGGCTATTTTTGAAGAACTCATACTAGACACATAGGATTAGGATACGCATCTATTTATGGGAGACAATCTGTTTGAGATTCAGAACACCGACATATGTTTGTGGCAACTGTGTTTCTTTCAATGCAAAAAGTGTGTGTGTGTTTAAAACGACCATACATGGTCAAGTGTTACATCTTTAGCATCTCTATTCTCTAGCGTTTTTACTCGATTCATATTTCCATTGTATTGGGCCTTTTGTATTTGGGCTTCAAATGATTTCCATTTCGTCTCTTGGCGTTGGGTTTGCGTTTTCTCCCTTGACCTCAAAGCATAAATTAGCAACTGTTTAGATTGGATCTTGATCTCTGGCGGGCGAAGTTGGAGGAGATTGATGGAAAGCCGGCCGGGAGTTTTGGTCGTCGGTTCCTCTGGCGTCGGCAAGCGCACCCTCCTCTCTCGTAGGCGCTTCTCCCTTTTGGATCCGATTCCTGTTTTACCAAAAAATTGTTTTGCTCTAATATAGGGTTGACGGGATGTGATCACAGGATTGCTCTCTGTGGAATTTGAGGATTCATCGGAGTCACCATCTCAAACAGAAGTTCATGGGTACGTGTAGTACCCATTTCCTGAAGAATTTCTTACCCTAATTATCGTTTGAACTTTTTGTTTCTGTAACATGTGGGCAGCTGGACGATTAACACTAAGTATTACACTGCGGATGTTTCTGTATGTATATCACATATTTGCGATGACTACTCTCTACCCAATCTCCCTCACTCACATCCACTGGTGGCGTTAGTTATGGTCTTCGACTTGAGTGAGGTTTGACATTGATGATGAAACACGCATTATTATCCTCACCTTACCATCCCCGCATAATAACCCTTTTTAACCGATTCTGTGCAGCTGTCAACTCTTGTTGCTCTTCAAGACTGGGTTTCTCATACCGACATCAACAATTTTGATATATTGTTGTGCATTGGTAACAAAGTAGATCGTGTCCCTCATCACCTAGCTCATGATGAATATAGACGACGCCTTTTGAAGGCAACAGACCCCTCTAGAATTCTGTATTCGGACATTGATGACTTTGGGATCTCCGAAACCGAAGGAAGCAGCTTGTTGGGAAGTCAAGATACATCACTGGATATCAGAGGAGCATGTCTTGAGTGGTGCTCTGAGAATAACATCGAGTTCATTGAGGCTTGTGCCTCTAATCCTGATTTTGACAAGTGTAAGTTCTATATCCTTCCTTCTTCATATTGACTGCAATATGCAGGTTTTTTAATCTGGTTACTCCTTGTTTCCAATCGAATAGCTTATACTGAACTTGTGAAGAGTTCCACATTTATGGATGAAAAGTGAGTGAAAATGGGTGAGCAGAGAATAATACGTATTTGTCTCTAGCATTAATGAGGCTCACGGGTTGGTCCTTGTAGGTTTATCAGTCGATGGAGATTCTCAAGGGGTTGAACGTCTATTTGGCGCTCTTTCGGCTCACATGTGGCCTGGGATGATTCTGAAATCGGGTGATACGATCAATGATCCGGTGTTAGCTCAAGGGGAAGGTTATTTGTTTCTCCATTTTCTTCTCCCATATATGTAAAGGTTCCTGAAACGCCCTTACCCGGATAAGAAAGATAAGAAATCCTGGTGAGGACATTTCATTTCCCCTTGGATTCATGTTTATTGGGTCTTATATTTCCTCTCAGAGTTGTCAGAAGAAGAATCTGAATATGAATTGGAGTATGAAGTGCTATCAGCAGGCTCAGGTGATCCATGGGAGAATATCGACGAAAGATGGGTTTCTGCAAGTGAAACGCATTCACATGCAGATGCTGGCGGATCCACGTCACAGGAAAACCTCCATGTGGAAAATAATATGGTGAAATCGAATAAAGTTGTGGATGAAGAGCTGCGGCCGTCAGGGTCACGGTTAGAGCCGCAAAATGACACTGACAGAGCAATAGTAACAGATGAAAAACCTTTGGACACAGAAAATGAAAAATGTTATGAGTTTGAAGATGTGGAACAGCTGATGTCAGAAATAGGAAACATCCGGGACAACTTGCGATTGATGCCTGATTTCCAGAGGAGGGAAATTGCTGCAAATTTAGCGATGAAAATGGCTTCCATGTTTGGAGGTGACAGTGATGACGAGGAAGAACCTGAGTGAGTCTGTTTATATCAATTATTGTGGACGATCGGTTTAATCTTGTCTTCATACAATTTTTATCAAAATTCGTTTCTTGTTTTGCTATAGATTCTGGCAGTAATAGTCAGTTGCTTGATGTGATACAACGCTATTCTAGGTTATCTGGGCCGACCTGTTATGTATCTCTTTACTTTGTCTCTCTAGATACGTAAGAGCTCTAGAATACAGCCTTGTACAAAAATCCTAGTTGGTAACACTTAGCAAAGCAATTATTGGCATACAGGTTATAGAAAACAAAGACCCGGATGATGGATTTGTTCTGCATTCATTTTGAACATTAATCAATATCATTAGCAGGAACAGGCTTCACAAAGGAGAATTGGTTTCCAGGACTCATAACTCCAGTATATTCCATCTCTGTGGGCTGATCACCATCCCTGACGATAGTGTGCCCCTCTATTGGCACAGGAGTTAATGGCTCAGCCTCAAGATCAGACATACTTTGGTCCTCGAAGTTACTCATGTAAGAGGCTATCGAGTGACCGGTGGTCTTGGAGCGGAGTAGAGTGGCTCCAGAGGCGTGAAAGGCTGAGGTGGAGGTGCTGACACTGTCAGAACCACCAAGGGTCTCTGTTGGTGGCTTTCTCGCTTTGCCTTTCTTCTTCTTTGCAGTCATGTGCCATTTCTTCAACGCTTTTGCCATTTGCTCATCAAACACAGCTTTCTTCATGTGTGAACCCATCTGCCCACATCAACAACATAAGGTTGTTGCTTGGTTGCTTGCTACTGTACTATATAGCATCGTAGACAAACATATCTGGAGATTAGGATAATGTACCTGGGTAACTAGTGCATACAAAGGAAGTGTGATGTAGCTGCACAAAATCAAAGCTCCAACGCTGCAAATTTACCAAAGTTAATCGTTCCAAGAGAGGATCTATCAATTCGTTTATTCACTACTAGTGAAGAACTGTTTACCCTAGAGAGAGTTTTACGATGACAAGTTTGAAATCCGTATGAAAACAAGATTTTAGCCCAAAGGAATACTGCATGCCAAATTAAGGAAATGTCTTAGTATCATTGAAGATATAGAAGAGAATACATCGGCCAAAAGGCAAACTACTGTATTGCGCATAGAATATAGAGAGATGTTGTTACCCAGACCCAGAAGAAGTATGTTAGCTGGAAAGCATTCTACACAAAAATTAAAGAAGAGGCATTTAGACAGCATGGTACAAAAGATGAACACAAGTATATAACATGCAATGCTAATTTTGTTTGGAACTGAAAACAACAATGCAAGTACCTGAAATAAGGCGAAGTGAAGAAGATGAAGCAGCAACTGAGGGCGATTAAACCAAAAGTACTTATCTGAACCATGCACAAGAGGTATTCCTTGAACAACTGCGTGTCTCTCTGTGATTCCCAGAGCCATTCTTGTTAGGATAGCTTGAAGCTTCGTACTGACAGCTAAAATGATCTGCAAGGGTTGTAAAAATGAGACTTACAAACACAGTAGAAGATTCGCTCAAGACTCAAGAGTATACTTGTCTTACAAGTACAGGCAGGATTGACGCCCAAAACAATGTTTCCCAGCCTAAACAGGAATGGGATAATTATTTCAGTAACACCAACAACCAATGATTTGGTAATGCAAAGCTGGCTCACCATTAACATTCAGAAGTAGGAAAATTACAAATGATGCCCACAGAAGAGGACTGCACAGAAAAACTTTATCAGCAATTAATGTCAACAAACACCTCTCAACGAAGTACTAGCTATCAGTGTTTTATGTTACATACCTTATTCCAACTACCACCTTGAAATCGTCTTCCAATGATCTTTTGATATATTTCTGGAAGTCGAACTTTCTTCCCGGAGCTAAATGGGCCTAAAGGAGACTCACCCATAAACATCACATCATTAGTGGAAGGCAAATACAAGAGAGAATTGAGTTTTTCCTTACAGCAATGAAGCCATGGCGCAGAGTTAAGTAGTCGGTCCTCCCGACAGATCGGAAAAAACTGCTGTAGGAAGCAGCCCTGTAAATCATATGGTTGAGAGAGCGAGCAAAACTGAATTTTTGCTCAACAAACTTGATGCCACGAGGGCTTGCTAAAGAAGAAGGAAATGCTTCTCACAGCATAAAAGAAGAAGGGGATTTTTGTCCAGAAACTGGAATGTTGTCTGACGAAGGATGTCTCATGAGTGAGCCTGAATCTTGATGGATCTATGCATAGAGAGGAGCCACATTTAGTGACCTATAGAACAAGGTTTAATTTAACGAGGAAGAACTCGCCTACCGATTGAAAACTCGTAATCATGAGAACATGTCTCCTGCTCCCACTTTTTCCAGCCACGGATCTGCAGTTACAGAAAATGATGAAGAGCTAGGATTACGAAAGGAGGGTTTTGAGATTAGCAAGTCAGGCTTTTCGTACCTTGAGTCTGCCAAGCATCATGGTGATGAAACTGTAGAGGATATGAAAGGCAGCCATGAAGAACAATAGAATGTGTAGCTGGTGCAAACCCGTGGCAGGTATGAGTGCTTCATGACCCTGCGGAAAACAAAAGAGTGTGAGAGAGCGTAAATTTTATTCTAGGCCAAGCTATAGATGACCTCATCGCAGCGGGAAGAGGTAGTAGCAGCAGCTAGACGTCTGCGGTGGGTCTTGTCTTGGTCATGAGTAGAAGGAGCTGGACAAGGTAACATAGAGGCTGCAGCCTTTTCAGGAATACAAATCTTGAGAATGTACTGCTCTCCGAAGGTGAGCAACAATGAAATGAATCCTAGAATCATCAGCTCTGCATCCATTTCATATATCTTAGTTTTCTTAACCAAAGACAGTAGGAGAAAACAATTCTCTGGTCTTACCGGCCTTTATTTTTTCCAAGGCTTCAAGCAGAGAGTTCTTATGTTTCTCCCACAACCACTGAGGAAGAAAAGATAAGTTAAGAGGGCGGAATTAAAGGAAGAGAGAAAAAAAGGATTTCAGGGCAAACCGTGGCAACTCTGTGAAGAGCCTTCTCGAGGAGGACGGAGACAAGGATGAAGAAGGTACAGACGAGGGCAACGGCCCAGGTGGGAGTTTGGGAGAGTCCTTTCTCTTTGGCAGCGCCCGCAGAGGAAGCTCGGGCGCAGCCGGTAAGCAGCTGAGAGCAGAAAAGCAAAGTGGTCCAACACCAAAAGCATCTTGTGGCCATGGCAGCCAAAGAAGAAAATCCCTTGGTCCTTGATTACGTGAAACAATGAAGAGGGCAAAGAGACTAACAAAAACATAAAACAAATAAATGCGGTGTTGACTTGAACGTCCGTTTACCGTGATATGTTATGCATAACAATAAATTATGGGAAGAGAGATCAATCATCAATATTTGTTTGACACTGGAGGTGCTTGAAGACAATCTAAATCAACCTAAGAAGTCTGTATGTGTCTCCTTCATGTCTCTATTCACAACCCAACGCTTAGAGTCAACAACAAACTGATGTCACTGTTGTGGCTCTATCAAAAACTAAATAGGAGTGTTATTTCACTTTCTTCTCTCACCAACACAAATGACAATTTGATTCCCTATGGGGTAGAAGAACAGAATCGTCCAACATACTCATCAATCCTTATTGACTAATTTGGTTATGCTTTTACTATTGCTTTCCACTTTTGGTTTTCTTTTTTTTTTTGACGTATATCCGCTTTTAGTTAAATATATTCCCAACTTGCAACTTTAGAGATATAGAATGTTATCTTACTCTTGGCCATTGCTCCACTATCTATCACCTTTTTTTGGCTTTCTTTTCTTTATTTACCTAAAATGTTTTTATATACATGGGGGAATCACCACTTTCTCAGCCTGGGATAACTTAATATGATTAGAACAAAAGGCTCCTCTTTGTCTCTACCAAGGTTATTCCCTCTTTTTAGTTTCAAGTAATCTGATCATTTTGTAAAGTTTTTTTGGTAGAAATATCTTTATTTGATCATCTACCGTTGATCATCGTTACCGTGGTGTATATATGAATTATTTGGAAAATAATGGGCAATGGGCTAACCCAAATATAGGCCTCACAATAACTGCCTCATACATAAATACCTATCATGGCCTCTTTTAGGCCTATCTACTTAACAGGATTTGGGATAACTGCAGTGTAGCCCAAGGACTGTTAATACTTAATATGATGATCAAAGTCAAACGGTGCCCTCGTGTAGACACGCCATTTCCAAGTCATGCAACTATCTTATCTCCCGGACTTGTTCCACCACAAAACCTGGTCTCATCATTCTCACCTTTTTTCTTGTTTAAACAAATATTTGACGTTAACTTAATATTAACCCTCAGCTAAAATACGTAATTCTCCGAGACATACAAGCAAACGACGGTTTCCTCTTCCTCTTAATTTGGTTTTAATCCCACAAGTTTTTTAGCCTATCACTTCTTTTTTTATTGGTTAAATACATTCAAACAAGATATTGTGGAATTGTAAAGAGGAAACAGAGGAGATGTGCAGGATGATATTATTTTCCTCAAATTAAAATGACACTGGTTTCTATGTGTGTATATGCAGGGTTGAGATCAGCTTAGCAGAGTGGCTTGTGGAAGTCACCCATGTATATCACAGTTGACATTTATTATTGATCTTTGTAATAAACTATGAGTATGAGGAGTATTGTGGACTTGGCATAGCAATCAGCTTGGGCGTCAAATTCAAGAGAGGTTTTGTATACCTTATGTTAGGTGTGATAAAGACAAATAATATTATGATTAAAAGGTCAAATTTGGCCACTTAAGAAAAATGTAAGTTTGTTACCTCTTGCTTACTTGAGTTTGGCGCAGAGCCGTATTGGGCTGGATAGATCATAGATGAGATATTAAAATAAAATAATTGGAAAGAAAGATATTGGGAGCAACTAGCTATAGCATGACGACGAGTCTTACTTTGATTCTGTCAACATTGACCAGAGACGATCCCAAAAGCCTTTAATTTCGTCCCATTGAATCTTCTAATTTTGACGTCCATATGATTTCGCATGTGCTCTATATTATACCTGAGAGACCAACAGTACTCAGAAGCCAACTTGTCCTTTTTATTCACCTTTCTTGCTTGACTTCTCCTCCTGTTGAAAAGTTAGTTATACTCTTATATTACTCTTCATATATGTACCCCACTCCTCTTACGTATTTATATTAAATATATATACCCATCAATTCTCTCCATCTACACATACAGCCCGAATATCAAAACTTTCATCTCTATATCTTTACCTTGACTGCTTCTCTTCTTCTGCAAGAAACCAGAAAAAAAGAACAAAAAAGAGATTAGGGATGGGTTTCTTAGAGTTATTGGAGGTGGCTTCAATGCCAATCGTTCAAGTTCTTCTTATCAGCGTCCTTGGCGCTTTCTTGGCAACCGATTACTGCTCTCTTCTCTCTGCTGACACCCGAAGATCCGTGAACAAGGTAACCTTCATCTCTGCTTTTCTTTTTTCTTGTTACCATATTATATCGTCACTAATAAACATTTTCCGTCGCAGCTCGTCTTCGTGGTCTTCACCCCCTGCATCATGTTTGCCAACCTTGCCCAGACTGTCACATTGCAGGACATTATTTCATGGTACGCACTACCCCGTCTTCACTCATCCCTTTGAGAAAACGTACGTGTGGCTATGATTTGAGCAAAATTAGTTTTGCAGGTGGTTTATGCCCATAAATGTTGGAATCACCTTTCTAGTAGGAGGCATTCTTGGATGGTTAGTGGTCAAGCTGCTGAACCCCAAACCTCAACTTCATGGCCTCATAATTGCTACTTGTGCCTCAGGTAACATTAAACCCTCAATCAAATTTAATCTCAAGGAGGAGATCCCTGAAATCTAACATGAATCACATATATGTACTGTCCTGTGTACGTAGGCAATATGGGAAACCTTATGCTTATTCTGGTCCCCGCCATCTGTGACGAGGAAGGCAGTCCTTTTGGGAATCGGAGTGTCTGCAGATCCATCGGGCTCTCCTACGCATCTTTCTCTATGGCCGTAAGTCAAACCAAACTTATGATCTTCTCTTCTCAGGCTTGTTGAATTGATCGTGTGATTAATTTTTGTCAAGGGCAGCTCGGGGGTTTCTACATATGGACGTACAGTTACCAACTGGTAAGAAGCTCTGCTACACAGTTTAGAGCTCTTGAAGCCGCTGGGTTGGTCAAGTCTCCCAACAAGGACATCGACTCTGATCCCCACACTCTTCTCCTCAAGCCGAACCAAAACCAAGACCTTGAGATCCAAGGCAAACAAAAGGTGTCTACCGGGACTTACATCAAGGACTTGCTCCATCAGATTCTTGAGGAACTCTTCGCACCACCCACCATTGGTGCCGTAAGTAAAAAAAAAAACAAAAGAAGACATGATTTCGTTTCCAATCACCAACTAATAAATCGACTGCTCTGATGCTCTGTTATATGTTCCATTCAGATTCTTGGCTTCGTTTTCGGAGCAACAAATTGGCTAAGGAATCTTATAATCGGGGAGAATGCCCCGTTGCGAGTGATCCAAGACTCAGTAAAGCTACTTGGGTACGTATGGACTCTTTATCTTTTTTTTGAATATGGAAATTACATCACGACTTTGCGCCTAATAGTTGACTTGGCAGGGACGGCACAATTCCTTGCATAACACTCATACTGGGGGGCAACCTGATTCAGGGTCTGCGTTCCTCAGCCGTGAAGACATCAGTGATTGTGGGAGTGATCTGTGTGCGCTATATCATCCTCCCCGTGGTGGGAGTCGGAGTGGTCCAATTAGCAGGAAATCTAGGCTATCTTCCTCCAGACCCTCTCTTCCGATACGTTCTCATGCTTCAGTTCGCACTGCCGCCTGCCATGAATATCAGTAATTACTCGAGACATCCCCCATTCACTTCATTGTTAGCTAGATACGGATAAATTAATCATACAATATATATATGGATTGCAGGCACAATGGCACAGCTGTTCGACGTGGCTCAAGATGAGTGCTCGGTCATCTTCTTGTGGACCTACCTGGTTGCATCCTTAGCCCTCACCATCTGGTCAACCATCTTCCTCTCCATCCTCTCCTGAATCTGATTTGAAAAGACAATGGAGTTTGTTTGGTCTCTATTGTATGGATTTTTTTGATTTGTTAAATACTCTCATTCACATGTTGCCAAATAAAACAGAGAAAAGACAAAAGTATCTGTTTCACAGCCAATGTGTTTGTTTGTGGGCTTTTTTTACTTAGAAAAAAAGGGAATGAGGTGTGGGCTCATAGAGAAAGAGAGAGCCCAAAATTGGAGAGCCGTGTTCAAGTTGGCCACAGAAGGAGACGTGCGATGCATCTTCCACGTTGCTTTGCTCTGATTGGTTAAAACCTCTTCAATCATTTCTGAAACTTCTACATTTCTTCACACCTGTCCTCTCCTCCTTTCCTGCCTCTTTAATTTTTTTTTTTTTAATTTTGTTCTACTTTTTAATAGTAATAATTAATCGATTAATTGATTTGCGAATTCAACAGCTCATCATTAGTAGATTAGAAAAATTCATTTGGTTAAGCCTAAAAGTAACATGTGGTTTATTGCGTAAACAAATGTTTCTTAAATTGATAAACCCCAAACAAGAGCCAATGTGCGTTTTGTATCATTCTTAATGACACTTTAAAAGGGAAAAAGATAAAATATTTATCATTTGACCACACAAACATCTACAACCATTACAATATTCCAGAGATCGATCGCCATTAACGTCGACTGTGACTCTCGGTTCTTCTTCACTCTCAATTTCGATTATCTCGTCAGCATGAGGTACGATCAGGAAGCGGGATCGTCCTCCCTGTCGCTGCCTTCGGGATCATCCTCCCATTCGCTGCCGCCGACGGAAGACACTCCTCTTTTGGGGCCTCGAACATTGTCGTCGCACCCAAAAACCTTTGCAAATGTCTTCATCGCCATCGTCGGCGCCGGCGTGCTCGGACTTCCGTACACCTTCAAGAAGACTGGATGGCTCTTGGGCCTCCTCACTCTCCTCTTCGTATCCTCCCTCACCTTCTTCTGTATGATGCTCCTCGTCCACACCCGCCGGAAACTCGAGTCCCTCTCCGGCTTCAACAGCATCACTTCTTTTGGAGACCTCGGCGAATCTGTCTGCGGACCTGCCGGCCGTCTCGTCGTAGATGTAATGCTTGTCCTTTCCCAATCTGGCTTCTGCGTCAGTTATCTAATCTTCGTCGCCACCACAATGGCTAATCTCCTCAGCCGCGGCACCGAACATATTCTAGGCCTCGATCCTGCTTCGATTTACCTCTGGGGATGTTTCCCTTTTCAGCTGGGTCTCAACTCCATCCCATCGCTCACCCATCTCGCCCCTTTGAGTATATTCGCCGATATCGTGGACGTAGCGGCCACCATAGTGGTTATGGTGCAGGATGTTTTCATCTTCCTGAAACGAAGACCTCCCTTGAGAGTCTTTGGAGGTGTCTCTGTTTTCTTCTACGGATTGGGAGTTGCTGTGTACGCATTTGAAGGGATCGGAATGGTAAGCAGACCAATTCCTCTATTGCCTCTATCGTATCTAATAATTCTGATTTGTGCTTGGATGTGAACAGGTTCTGCCACTGGAACTAGAGGCCAAATACAAAAATAAGTTCGGTAGAGCGCTGGGGCTAGCCATGGGCTTAATCTCGATCATGTACGGTGCGTTCGGCCTGCTAGGGTACATGGCTTACGGAGAGGAGACCAGAGACATCATCACCACCAACCTGGGGACAGGAGTGGTGAGCACTCTGGTGCAGCTGGGCCTAGCAATCAACCTCTTCTTCACATTCCCCCTTATGATGCACCCCGTCTACGAGGTCGTGGAACGCCGCCTTTGCAGCTCCCGCTACTCCATATGGGTGCGCTGGGCCACTGTGCTGGTGGTCACTCTCGTGGCCCTGCTCGTCCCTAATTTTGCAGACTTCTTATCTCTGGTGGGGAGCAGCGTCTGCGTGGTGCTGGGCTTTGTCTTGCCATCACTTTTTCACTTGCAGGCTTTCAAAAACGAGTTGAGCATCACAAGGATAGTTATAGACGTTTTCGTTTTCCTCATTGGTGTTATTATAGCCATTACCGGGACTTGGACGGCCGTACACGAGATCCTGACATCCAAGGCCTGATATTCTTCCATTGTTTATTTTTGTCAGTATGAAAAGAGAAGCATAGTTACCTACAGCGAACACGGCAGCATTATTGTTATTCTGTTACTCTCCTCACTTGTTTATTTGAGTCTTGTTACTCTATTTGTAAGAAAGACCCATGAAAACCAATAAGAAAATACGCTTAGAATCAAGTGTGATAAAGTGGTTAGATCATATGAAAAAAAGGAAAATCGGATTAGATGGCCGAAAGAGCTTCCATCTTAGTTTCATCGACCTCTCAAATCTCACACACATTGTACAGACACCATTTGCGGCTGTTGACAACCAATAGACTAAACCAAAATTGCAGAAGCCAAATCATTTGGACTTTGGCCTCCCCCTTTTCCTGGTCACCTGAACCCCTTCTTTTGCTCCTTCTCCACCTACTGATTCGTTCAATCTATCGGTATCTAACTCCATGCCAAGGCCATCGAAATCCGCCCTCTTGGAAATGGCAGGCTCTGTATTCAGCCTCTCTCTTGAGTCTATGGGAAGAGGAGCACACTGGTCGTTCTTATGTTGGCAACTGGAAGAAGAGTTTGAAATTATGCCCTGACTGACGTCTCCTAGTTGCAACTTGGAGGGTAATTCATCATCCTCGGCAGCAACATGCTTCTTCGTCATGCTGTCCTTGTGGAGACATGCGTCTTGGACGAGTCCCTGGCTAGGAGGGAAGGAAGCAATCAAATCTAAAGCGGTTTTAGCAGCAGCGACGGCTTTTGCTGCAACAGCGGCTTTCTCATCTGCAGTAGCTCTGGCGGCCTTAGCAGCCATAGAAGCAGCGGCAGCAGTACATCTTGAAGCCTCTGCAATCTGCTGAGGGGTGAGATCTGGGTTACTCAAATGCGAAGCTAAAAGAAAGCTAAGATGGTAATCAACATTGGTGGAAGGATGTGGAACTCCATTATCATCAACCTCTTTTGTCAGCACATTGAGGCCTTCCATAATAACACATACAAACCTCTCTAACCTACAACACAAATGTCTCTAAACTATCAGATCTTACACGGATATTCATGAGAGAAGCCGACATCGGGAAAATCTAAGTTTGACGCTAAGATGCATTTCTGGAAAACCGATGGAGGAAGCTTTAGAGTTTACCTTGAATGCGCCTGCGGAGAGAGATAGATAAGAGAAGACCGCCAAAATTAGGGTTTTGGAGGTTGAAATTCTGAAACTCACAGAGGCACGTTTATGCTGCTTGTATATTTATGTACACACACATTAAAAATTAAATTTAAGACGAAGATGATAAAACCCAAGCTACGAGTTTCTTCTTCTCCGACACCAATTTCTTCGCACGCTCTCTGTTCGGATTTCTTCTCCTGCCATCCGCTTTATTACGGTCGAAAGTGCGTGTCGTTCAAATTATTTTTGGGATTTTCCCTTTTTCAAATTGTTTTTTTTTTTTGTCATTAGTTAGTTGATTTCCATTTTTTTTTATAGTGAAGGAATGATACGATACTAGGATTGAACCTGTGGTGTACAAAAGCTTTTTTGGTTAAAATCATAGTTTTTTTACACCTTGCAAAAACCTTATTGCTTGGGCAGCCATCCAGAGAAAACATCAAAGATATGTTCTTTCATGGAGTCTCTGTTACTCTCACTCAGGGTGATTACAGTCACTCCCGGTTGGTTCTTCAACCTTGCCACTGCTGACAACAAAGACGAATATAAACTTTGTTAAGGAAATAGATAGTGAAGCTTTTCCAAGCAAGCAAGAAATATGCTAAAGATAGTTTGACTGCTACTTCTAGTCTGTATGGCTTTTAACATTCAAAGAAATGGATGTCTATCTCAATCTAATAAAGAAATACAAGAAAGAGAAGTGAAGTTCGATTTAAAAAAAAAATGATCAAGTAAGCATAACTAATAGAGGAGGGTGACGCCCAGTGACACAGGAAGCCAATACAAGAGAGTCCATCAAACTGGACCATGGACTAATCAAGAGTTGGAAAATTTCCAAACAGTATATAGAGGTGAAGGCAATTTCATAGTTTTCAATTCAAGCATCATTGGCCTCAGTATTGGAGACAAATACAGGCTGAAAACGAATCTAGTGAAGAGATGACTCCTCATTATGTTTGAGATTAATTACCTCCAGGAAGATCTCGACCAAATTTTGGGATAGGAATGGAAGCAAGAAGAGGAATGTTGGACCCCAAAACCTTGAGGACAGCCGGAAAGAAGGATGGACTAAACATCTCCATCTTGCCAACTTCATCAATGATGAAAAGATGGGTATCGTCTTTGACCTTGAAAACCAATGCTAAACCAGTCAGTCAGTGTTCCTCTATCCAAGTTACTATTATTTATACCAGTCAAGGAAATGATGAGGTGGCAGAACCTGAAGCTCAGGCAATGCTATAGACTCGAAGGATGCAATGTCCACTTTGTACTTGCCAACATTAGGCCATGTCATTGATTCTTGACTGCCAACAGAGAGAGGGAGAGAAGTAGCCTAATTGTGAGAGGGAAACTAGAGAGTTAAAGCTCAAGGAGAAGGAGGCTGGACCTAGAAACAGTGGAAGAAGCAAGCAAACTTGTGCGGCCATCCAAGGTGACCACTTGAAAACCAACCCTTTGTCCTCGTTCCCTCATCTCTTCTGTGTGAGATAACTAACGGGATCATTAAAATACCAAAAAGAAAAAGATTGGTGTTAAGAGAGAGCTTACTTACGAGTGTAGAAACCTTGGATCTTTAAGTTAGGGTTGGAAACCCTAATCATGTCGAACACTCTCATGATCAATGTGGTTTTTCCGACACCCTGCCAAAAAACCACCAATGAGAAACTCTAAAAAGGCGATGAGAGGAAAGGAGAAAGAGAAGCTCACAGGAGGGCCGGTGACAAGAAGGCATTTCCCGGTGCCTGCCATTTTGAGGCCAAAAAGGGTCAGACCCATCCATTTGCTTACGATTACAGTAAATTTATTCTACGGATTCAGATCCCTCTGATTGCCTAAATTTGGCTTCTTCTTCCTCCACCAGACCATTAAAGTCTGTCCAACACACTCTTTGCGAGATACGTATGGGCCTCATTTAAAGTTTGGGCCTCATTTAAAGTTTGGGCGCTATAATGGGCCCAGACTTTATCTTCGGGGTCCGAGATATTATTTAGGGATATTCTGATGCCAAGACTTGAATTTTCTCATTCTCAACGACGAACCAGAGAACAGAACCGTCGTGGTCGAGAGAAGAAGACCTTGGCGGCAGGTTATGTACGGATCTAGAGGGTACGTATTCTTACATTCGATCGCCATTTATTCTACTCGATTCATTTCCTGTTGCCTGATTGGTGTTGGAAAATCTTTGTGGAATTTAGATGGTTGGTGTATAGGAACAGGATCTGGAATCGATTCTTGTCATCGTGCTACGTATTCCCTTAGTTATATTATCGATATGAGTGTTTAGGTTGGTGTTATGTTTGTGTGGTATAATTAAGAATGGGTCTTACTTACTATAGATTAAGAGACAGGGAAGTCTGGGTTGGGTCTGGTTATATTAACTGGTTGAGTTGGGGGATCTTTTTCCGGGTTTCTTGTTTGATATTTGAAGGGCCATGTTTGGGAGCGGGGGGTACGAGGTTGGATCAAAGAGACAAAGAATGATGCAATCAAATCCCTACTTGGCAGTTGGCACCGGACCTACCAGCTTTCCACCTTTTGGCTATGCCTGCGGATTCCCTGTCGTTCGCCTCAGGGGTCTTCCCTTCAACTGCGCTGACATCGACATCTTCAAGTTCTTTTCTGGCCTCGACATTGTCGATGTCCTGCTCGTCAGCAAAAACGGTAAATTCTCCGGGGAGGCCTTTGTGGTGTTTGCCGGCCCTATGCAAGTCGAGATTTCCTTGCAAAGGGACAGGCATAATATGGGGAGGAGATACGTGGAAGTTTTCCGGTGCTCTAAGCAGGATTACTACAATGCGGTGGCTGCTGAGGAGGGAGCGTATGAGTACGAGGTCCGTGCTAGCCCACCTCCCACCGGGCCATCCAGAGCAAAGAGGTTTAGTGAGAAAGAGAAGCTCGAGTACACAGAGGTTTTGAAGATGCGAGGCCTCCCTTACTCGGTGAACAAACCTCAAATCATAGAGTTTTTCAGCGGGTACAAGGTTATCGAAGGACGGGTACAGGTTGTGTGTCGACCTGATGGGAAGGCCACGGGAGAGGCATTTGTGGAGTTTGAGACGGGGGACGAGGCGAGGAGGGCAATGGCTAAGGACAAAATGTCAATTGGGTCAAGGTATGTGGAGTTGTTTCCAACTACACGTGAAGAGGCTCGAAGGGCTGAGGCCAGGTCTAGGCAATGACTCTTTCCTTCACTATGTATCATTATATATATCCTTTGGACTAATTTTGTTAGGTTAAAAACCAAAATGTTCATCAGTGGAATCATAGTAATGTAAGACCTGTGTGTGTGGTTCAGAGTTTCTGCCTTGGGATCCAGTTGCTGTTTGTTTTCTTCTCTCTTTCGAATACATATTTTTTACAAATAAATTGGTGACCTTTTTCGAATAACTTTGTAGCTTGAATGGATCAGAGTGAAAGATATAGGATCTCGGGTGAGATTGTATAACTTTTTAGTTTCTACTCATATATTTGCCTCTCAAATTAGGTCCATATAATAAAACCTATTGTGAGGCCCGTAACTATTTTATTGACATGATTATTATTCAATATGATTCTCACATTATAAAAAAATAAAAACCCAACTTGTATTAATAAACTGAAGTCAATTAATGATAGTTTGAAGAATGAAATTGTAACGAAAGGAATCAATGGGCTCCATTTGCACAAAGTTCAAAGCCAAGCTATGGCATCAAGATCTGGGTTTGTGCAGACGAGGCCGGTTGCAGAAGATCCGGCCATTGGCCCTCACGAGTGCCGCGACAGCTACACTGATGCCCGCCCAAACAAATGAGAAAAGTAAGTGCTTATAACTACTCCCAACTGCACCAAAACACAGATGGACTTTGTCAACCTTCAATGGCCTTATTATTCCTACACCAACTACAGGGATCAAGCTTACCTTGTTTTACAGACATTGTTGCGAACCAGAAACTGATCAGAATCACCGTCAAAGCCACTGGAAAGTTCTGAAAAATGAGAGTATCTTGATATGAGACCATCATACACCCTAAGGAACTGGCCTTATATACTTGTAATATATTATTAGCTGATGATTGCTTACAGCTACAGCCTCAAGACCTCCCTTTCGAGGCACAGGAGCCATGTCGCGGCTCACAGCAACTATATAGTGTCCTTGCACAAGATCAATTGCATCCTTTGTACGGAACGAAGAATATTATAAACAGTCAGTAGAGATTGAGGTACCAAGTATTCGTAAACTGGTAGTTAGAGCCACCAACCTGCTTAGTTCCATCAGCAAAATTGTTCAGATAGTAGCGTGCGAGGGCATTCCAGCCATCTTGAAGGACTCCTTGGACAGTCCTTTGACCATACCTAAAATTTTTAAAAGTTACAGGAAGGCATGTGGAAACACTCTTCTCTTGGGAATTTATGTACTCGAGTCCAAGAACGTACCTGACAAAATCTCCTTTAAGTGCAGGAGTGCCGGAGTATTGAATGCTAATGTCATCACCGTGATTAGCCCACACTGAAGGAAACATAAACACCAGATATACTCGAGTTTGGAATTGCTTATCTAAGAAATTCACTTTACTAGTGCAAAACCACATGGAGAATAAAGTACCGACATATCTTATAGCATTCGTCAAAATTTTGATGCGAGCTTATGGCCTCTTCTGCACCAAAAACACCAATCCTTTTGAGTTGAAGTTCCAACATCTTTCGGCCTATCATGCTCTGCATTTTGGAAGGAGGATGAGTAAAGGCAAAGAGACAAGGGGATGTCTAAGAATTGTATACTAATACTAGCCTGGGTGACATTAGTACGGTCTAAGCAATCTATGCAGTTTGTTCGCACAATACCAAGCTGCTCCTTCATTTTCTCACCCTTTTCATTCAACAAAAAGTACCTGTGTAATTCAACGTGTAGTGGTAAGCTCTTTTGTAAGATGCCAGGAGATGTACAAGGAAATTAGTACCCGTTTTTCTGGAGGAAATCCTCCATCTGCTCATACAGAATTGCTAAGCGCTCAAAGTGAATATGGCCACAGATGTGATGGAAATCAAAGTGCAGGTATCTAGAGGATGAGTGAGTGAGTGAGTCAGATGATAATAATATCCTTCAAGTAGCAAGGAAGGATGTTAGAAGAATGCATAGCTACCTTACATCATCACCATTGATGTGCTGCATAGCACCTGCAAACCTCTCACTTAAGCGCCCCTCACCTCCATGCTGATCACGGAACAAGTAATTGAGGAACAAGAATTTGAACTAAATCTCCTCTGCATTTTACTTATTGAACTTTATAATTTAATACACAATTGAGGGTCAAGAACAGCAAACAGGAGCTTAGTTACATATCCAAAATTATATGCTGTTTGTTATATATCCAAAATTATTCAAAAAGATATATATATGCACCTTATTGACAAGATCAACCGCCAAAACTGATCCATATTTTTTCCTTAAGTCAAGAAAGTGACGCTCAGCTATCCTCGCCTGCAATGGAGATTACTTAAAACACTGTTAAGGGGGAAATGCTTAGTTACAAATCATACTCACAGCTTCTTCAGGTTGGACAATCTCAAACTTGGGCTTGTAGGTCAGATCTACAATTTGCTCCCACATAAAAGGCATGGATCCTCTAACCTGCAATATGTCAAACAACACAACCATAAGTAAAATCATCTGACCCTAAAGAATAAATGAAGAATAACCATCGTACATATGTGAATGAAAAATTTGTAGGGCCTGCAAACATGTAACAATATCACCTGAACAAATGATGATGTGTATCCGTTCATGCGTACAATTTGCTCAGTCTCCACAAAATTAGCAACATAACCATCAGGGTCAGCTCCTCGTCGCCACATGCGCGTACCTTGCAGATACACAATCACAATTAGGCATATCATCTGAATTCAAAACTAAAGCTAAAGAATTTTGCCCACTTTTGTAGACTGTAAAACGGAGCTAGCTACTTGAAAATAAAGTGTCAACATGTAAAAAAAAAAACTAAGGAGAAACGCATACCATTTCTTCTAGAGCATCTCCTAGCAATCAGAGTAATGTCAACGACATCTCTTCCAATGGCTGTTTGAAAACTATGAAAACGTGATGCAGGGTTTAGGAAAATTGTCTGAAGTCATGATCCAGGAAAAAGATTTGAATAGTGAACTGATAGAAAAAGGATATTCCCTTGAATTACAGGAAGCAAGAACTGATCAAGCTACAAAATTAAAAAAAAAAAACAAAGGTGATATATATATTTGCAAGTACAGAAAAAAAAAACAGAGGAGTTAACTTAAACAAGAATTCACTAACCTTATTATCGATAAGAACTTCTAACATATAGTTGTTCCATAGAAATCTAGGCTCAGCCTGCCATACAGATGCAAAAGGTTAACTTATACACAAACAAGCAGCAAGGCATAAAAAAGTGCGTATGGATGGATACCTGTCTCCACAAAGGAAGCAACTTAGACTCATCACCCAAATCATGCAACCGCTGTGCGCTGAAACAAGAACAAAAATGATCAAACTAAAGACACACACATTACATGATTAGCAAAACCTCAACTGTTTTTCTCTTCTTTCAATGTAGCATTTCCAGAGTGGCACAAAGAAGAAGAGAAATTATTTACGTGAGAGTCAAGTTTATTTCATATGAGAAGTAGAGCCCAGTTGTCCTCTCTGTGACGCTTAGCAGCCTAGAGAAGTCAGTCTCCATCTTTTTCTGCGAAAAGCGGTACAATGGTTTGAGCGTTCAACTCCATTGTTGCCAGCAGCTCATAGATATACAAGAGGGAAATGTAACACGGAGTCACCTGTTCTTCATGCGAGTTTTCAAGTGGATGATCACAAGGAAGAAACTTGAGCGAATTAATTTTGAATATAGGATGTCCCAAAAACGAGCCAACAGATTCGCTCTCTGTCACAACTACTAAGTAGGATCCTGAAATCGGATAAGAAAATTTGGTCTTGGTTCAAATGAAGATGAAAACATTCACAAAGAAAATGTAAACAAATAATTGAATTTTCACCTGCCAGGAGCTTCAGCATCCCGACCACACCGAAAATGGAGCGGATTTTAGGGACACGCAAAGAGTTGCATTCTGCTACTTGATCTGAGATAGGCAAAGAGGATTCACGTACATGCATAAGAGAGCAAAAAAAGATTCCAAATAAAGAGGTGCAACAGAAAACACACCAATGAGCTTCATGGAGCCGTCAAGACGGCTAATGTCCAAACATGAAGCGGAGGAACCATCGGTTGGCTCGATGACGTACTGATCAGGGAATTCCCATAAACGCAAGCCAGAGTGTAACTTGTGCCTACCCTCCATGGCTTCAGCAAGAGGAAGAAGAATCAATCACCACGAGATGTGAAACTAGGCACCTCAATTAAAAATGGCCTTCAAGGCAGTGAGAGTGAGACCCGTTCAAATTGATTCCGTACAATACGGTTGACCAAAAACAACAACAAGTCGACGACCGTTATTATTATATCTTTGAAGTTAGTTAATTTTGCGTTGATTCTGTAAATCATTAATTCCGATAATCAGCGATTTTCTGCATGGTTACAATAGACTCCATTAATAAAATGGCCCAACAACTCAATTCGGTGGCTTCTCCTTTCTTTACATTTGGACAAAAACTGTTTTCTTGACTTTTAATGTTCATTACACAAAAACGAAGGACTTAAACCCAAAGTCGTATGTAATGTATGTATCTTGGCCCAAAAGAATGTGTCCAGTGTCCACCCGACTATGAAAACGAGAATCTTGAGAAGAGTGATAGACCTGAACCCTCACTTGCCGGATCTGGAGTCGCCTCTGTTGTTGTTGCTGTTGTTGTTGAGCTATGGTAGGCTTGCTGACACTTCTGGATCTCCTCTGGACTGAACTGAAGCAACATCCCCACTACAGGTAGTAAGGCCTCCACTTCACCTGCAACCATCACATGTTATTTTACCCCTACAACATCTACTTCGTGAATCCACCTTTAATCTCCTGGTGTTACCTGTTTCTAGCAGTTTTAATATCACATTCTTTAGGTATGTCATATCTACGCCTTCTCTCTTCTGTTTTCTTTCCATCTCCCTCAACTCCGTCTTTAGCATAGCTTCCTGTTTTTAGCATACCCCCGCAAGTTTAAAATAAGATCCTAAGAAACTGGCAAAGCCACCAAACTCTCGTGTAATCACATACCTGTTGACTGTGAAGACGGTTTTCTCGCTCAAGCTCCTCGATTTCCTCCTGATTCAGAATAAACAGTTAACAATTGCAACATGGGCAGAAACAGATTAAAATCAATGCAACCAATTCTACTACACCTGAAGAGCTAAAATATGGCGCTGTGTCTGTGCTAACTCTTCTTCTCTCTGAGCTTGTTGCCTTGCCAATATCTGAAATTTGAATATTATGTGTGATGATTAGCTCTCACCGATTGTCCCGTAGGCCATAGCATTACATATGAATGAAATTAAGTTCTAGGATTAAAGATAACTCCTTGCTCACACAAGCAGACGGCTAACATTACAAAATCCTACCAGAATCTGGTGCTCTGCTGCAGAAGTGCTCAAGTTAGATACATCCTGCTGTTGTGACTCTGAAACACCGTTTGAAGAAAATAATAGGTTAGTTGATGACAGGCAACCCACTGATTCATTCATATGGGGAGCCCCTATTTAAAAAAATATGGTATCAGAAAAACAAATTATACCTGTGTTGTTGTTCCCATAGTGGTGAACCTGAGATGGAGATTTGTTCCACTTAATGCCACATGAAGAGTGAAAAATTTAAGTGCAAATTAAATGAAAAGTTACTAGCGAAAAACCAAAGAAAAAAAGGAGAAGTAAGGTAATACGCAGTTTGACCGAAAAAAAAAAAAAAAGGTAATACGCCAAAAAAGAAAATAAAAATAAAAATGAACCATCTACATACTACTGGTTTTGGCTCCATAGAATTTCGAAGATTTTTAATCTCATCGACAAGTCTTGATATCTCTCGATCCTTCTCCTCAATGAGTCTATCTGCAAGCTCACGTACTGATTCATGCTCCTCCTGCCGGTATGTCAGTTAGACAATAAACATCGGCAATCTTTCAGGTTCTTATGAGTATAACAAAAAGTGATTTACCTTCAGTCGTTTATTCCGCAGTTTGGCATCTTCTAGTTCTTTTTCTATTCCTTCTGCAGAAGAGGCTTCATTTTGAGCGGTTAAAGCTTCACATCTTCCTATAGATTACTGTAATCTTTTAGGAAGAGAATTTCAATTTCCAAGAACTAATGAAAAAATCGAATTTAGATTTGAATCAATTACGTCGCCATGTTTCTTCTAAAACCCTAAGGTCTTCTTCCCACGCTTGTTTCTCCGCTTGATTGCGAGCAACAGTGGAGTCAAGCTTCACTTCAAGATTTTTGATCTGCTCGCTGGCATCTTTAAGTGCTCCAGCTCTGAAATGGATATGAAACAAAAATAGCTCAGACGACCTATATATGTCTGAAGAAATCCACAAAGCAGTCCCCTGAGAACACCATTTCTCAGTTGTTTTCTCTGGAAAATTGAGGAGAATGAGCAGCCAACCTCCGGAATCAAACATGAAAAAGTTTCAGTGTCAATATATACCTTTCCTCAAGTTCTTTCTCAAGGCTAGCCAAAGCACCCTGAAGATCTTGCTGTGCCCTATCCCTCTCTGCAGATACCAAATATACTTCTTTTTCAGCTTCCTAATACCACCCAAAAAGATAATTAGTTGGTAAGCACCTTGGCAACCATCTAAAAATAGCTCCATCTTAAAATTCTAGATAACTTACCTTTAGAGCTTCCTCAAGAGATTTGATTTGTTCAGAGTCTTTAGCTGCAGCCAGCTCCATGTCCTTCTTTTGCAGAAGCGTGTGAGCACGGATCTTGTAAGAAGAGAATTCACTTTGGAGACGGTTGATCTGTGAACAGTTACAAGGAATTCAATATAGTTAAAATGAAGACAAGCTACAGCAGAACATTCCTCAAAGATCAAATGGCTCTTTGATTCCAAAATAATTCATGTTATGTGATTAAAAATGGATGACTAATAAATTTGTTCTTACCCAACCAAGGCTACAATATTTTTCAAAAGAACCAAAAGAAAACTATGTACCTCTTCTCTTGCACCTTTGAGTTCAGCATCTTTTGTGCTTAGTATCTGGGTCTGCATGGACATTTCAGATCCCAGCTGACCTGACAATTTATATGAATGAAATGTCTATATTCCATTGACAAAAGTAAAACATAACTAGATTAGTTTCAACGTTTCATGAACTCCGTAAATTACTTCTCAGTTTAGCCACTTCGATTTCGGCCTGTAAGTAGTTGCTTTCAGCGATTTCCAGTTTAGATTTAAGGGCACCGCATGAAGCTTCCCAAGTCTCCTTTTCCTTTTCCTAGAAGAACAAAAAAAATTCATGGCTTCTAAGAATTACAACAAAAGAAAATAGAGGAATTTATATGGCCAAACAAATTGAAACTGCAAACATGCTGTCTGATGGCTACAGACTGACGCCTTAGATCATGTTTACAGTTATCTATACGCACTCCTATGTTCATTCCCTGGTTAAATCAGGCTAGTAAATCTGCTAAATTAACGATGGAACTCATTTGACGAGTATAACGAAGGACAAATGACAGTTGGCATCAGAGAGTCCTGTGAATCCCTCTTTTACATATTCCACTTACATTCTCCGATTTAAGGTGTGCAAGCTCTCCTTTAAGAGTTTCTGCAGCAGCCCTTAGCCTTGCTGCTTCGCCAGTTGCAGCTGCCTCCATCTCTGCAATTTTAGATTCCTTCTCTGCAAGCAGTACCTAAAAGAGGTGTATACTTGGTGTGAAGAATTCATCACTTATTTCAGACTATTCTCTCTCGCTCATTTGAAAACCAAAGCACATCATCAAGTAATAGAACTAAAGAATTTAGTAACAAGACTAACCTGCAGCGACGAAATGGTTTCGGCTGCTTTGTCCCTCTCAGATAGAGCATCTATGACCTGTGCTTCCAAACTCTCTAAGTTCTGTCAAAAAGGTGGAGAGAAGAGAAAATCCTGGATATCATTAGCGGACAATGGTGGCTCATAGCATATAAGAAGCAACACAATTACGCTAATGCTGACTACCTTCTGATGTTTGGCTGACAACTCAGTAACTGCAATTTGCTTTCTCTCTTCCACAGCTTGTAATTGCTTTTTCAGGTCCTCCAGAATCTAGGATAAAAGCAAGTAAGCATATGAAGCAGAGTATACACAGCCATCCATCCCCCCTCTCTCTCTCTCAATGTCTTTTTGTCTCTCTCTATAACTCGCTATCTTTCTATTATTGCAGACTAGTATTACAGAAAATGAAACAGATCAGACCTGGTCCTTATCAAGAAGTGACTGTTGCAATGTCTCTATCTTATTTTCTTTAGGCTGCAATGAGCCACGTAGTTCCTCGATAGTATCCCTGAGCCTGTGTATTGGAAAATAAGAGAAAACACCAGTACTCAAATTCTGAGAGATAGCTAAAGAAGTGTGGGAAAGACAACATTCATTTTATACAATTCCGAATGAAAAGCATAGCCAAAAGGATATTTAAAAGGCTGTCTGTAAAAACTGTCTTGGTATTATTTACTTGTTATTGGCACTCCTTAGTTGTTGCCTCTCTGCATCCATTGCTTTCAGTGCTTCATTCGCCTGTTGCCTAGTGCGTTCCAGCTCTTGTTGCATGGATGAGTGCTGAGAAGATGCTCGTTCAGCTGTTTCATTCACTTCCCGGAAACGGGCATCGAGATCATCTTTTTCCTGAAGATAGCAATATAATAGACCATTGAGATTTAGACTACAAATAGCAGCGAAATATATATATATATATATATATATATATATATATATATATATATATATATGTCTTAAATGCAGCATAGAAAATCCGAAATAGTATAAGGTGGTTTTGGAAACTCAGGGTAAAACAGAAAGCATTATAATATGTAGAGAAGGAGATTGACCTTTTGGATTTCTTGAATGCGCTGTTTAGCCCTTTTGTGAAGCCTAGTGAATTTGGCGTCCAGGTCGGCATATTTTTCGTCGCGCTCTTTGATTTCCTGGTCCAGCTTCTGTTCAACTACACCAACAACAAGGTAATAGCACAAGTTGAGAAAAAAGAAAGAAAATGCAAAGATTGGTTCCGAGCAAATAGAAAAGATGGCAGACCTTGGGAAAACTTGGTGGAGTATTCCTGGGCTTTTGCATCAGCCTCAGAGTATGCTTCCCTAAGATGCTCAAGAGCTTGCTCAGCTGCAACTCGAGTTTGTTTTTCCACATCAATTTCCCTGCTCAATGATGCAACCTGTTCTTGAAGTTGTTTCAATTGAGCAGATTCGGCTTCCACTTGGTGAGACCTACTTTGCTCTACTTGATCCTTAAACTGGGATCTGAGAAAGTCATTTTCTAATCTCAGTTCAGCAATCGTTTGGAGTAGCTGATCATCATTTTCTGTCGTCAGATTCTCGTTTGACGCATCATTTATGTCAGATTCATGGACATGGCTCTCCTCTTCAGATTCCTTGTCTTCGGACATCTTGGGAAAGATGAACCCGCTCAAGAGCTGGTAAGAGCGACTAGAGTAGAAACAACTAGTAAGCGTACAATCGGAAGAGAGAGAGAGAGAAGTCAAGTCGTGAAAATTCGAACAAATCAGCAAAAGCAACGGAAGAAGAAGAAGAAGAGATTTGATTGTAATCAGAAGCTTACCTTGAGGTGAGGAATTACCAGAGAAGAAGAGTGTGGAAGCAGGCTGAGAGAGAGAGAGAGGTCGCAAACAAGGAATCTCGATTCCGAAATTGGATCGGATCGGATCTCGCCCCCACACCCCCACCCAAAAGGTTAAAACGTCGTCGTCTCTTGTCCCGTCGACCAGTGAGACGGTAAAACGTTGATCTGATCAGACTGAGTAATAATTGTGTGAAGGGTGTTTTACTAATGTAAAATTGCATTTAGGACCCTCATTATAATTAAGTATTGCATGGGAAACCTTTAACTTTTGAAAAAGCACTAACTAACCCCCGACGAGATTAACACCGTTACTTCCGTGTGACGGGACTTAAAATGATGTCGTTTTGACTGGAACAATTCAATTTTCGCCTCCCTGTTGACTGTTGGTTCAGGAGATGGGTCTTTGTATTTTCCTAACTAACCTCGTCAGGTAATATGTCTAATACCTATTTGATTTTGATTTTGTGGGTGGATTCAGAAGATCAACAGCCTCTTTCCGAAAGAAAGGAAAAAGTATGGAGTGTACATACAGAGTATATAATAAGAAACTAGAGACACAAACGAATCAGCAGCAGCGGCACTTGAACAAGTCTACGCAAGTGTAGGGTCTTGATTTTTGCTCCACTTCATATGCTGTGGGCAGTGGCTCTAGATTATCGCTCCCGCAACATACCTTGTATATGTTTCTGCACATCCCTCTGCTAAAAGGATGCACTCGTTCCGGAATATTCCTCAAATATGGAATACGCCTTCGCCTCACAAGCTCAAATGTGGTTTGATTTGTCATTATCAGGAAGCTGCACATATCACATAGAAAGGAGTTAATAATCACTAACCATAGGGGTGCCAAGATGGTGGAAACTATCCAAGAAATCGCAACTCCCCCCACCTGTGAAAAAGCAATAGAACCAGCACAAAAATCAAGAAGATCCCCAAGATAAGCAGCAGCAGTATGATAATCGCATTCTTCCACCTGTTCACATTCCCATTCCCATAGTGAACCTAAAAATGGCTTTAACTGTGAGGAGTAGAGAAAATATATTATACCAAGACTTGGATATGTTGTTGTTAACCAGGTAGTCTATGTACAAGATGAACGTCCAAATGCATAGGGCTGTCTCTCCACATACGTACCACCTGATCTCATCCAAATATGTTTTTAACTGAGGTCATAATAACAACAACAAAGAAACTCTCAATGGTCACCTCACAAATATATATTCATTTGGCTTACCAGAATTTACAATGGTTATTCTGGCCTATACATGTTCCAATCCAAAGACAGTGATGATCAAACTGAAGAACACAGCGATCACAATCATGACAATGTTTTGATCGTGGAGGCTGCACATGAAATCATAAAGGTCAAGAAGTCTGACGAGGGCCAATCAAATAATACAAATTCCAAATGCATGACCACAAGCTTAGTACCTGCTCCACATGACAATCGGCGCACGTCAAATTTCTGCAAGATTAAAGAAGACGAAGAAAAATCAGTAGTCATCTACAAACAAGATATCAATAAACTATATAAAATGGAGGACTATGATGGATATTGTAAGCTTAAAGTTGTGTGTTGAAGAGTGTTCTCCCAGGATCACATACAAGATGGAAGTAGTAAGCAAGTGTTGAATAATAATATACCTGTGAGATGTTCCTGGAGGGTACAAGTCCGAAACCAGCTTAGCCCAGGAAGTTGGGAAATTTCCCCCAGAAACAGGATGACCTCGGTCCACAGTTAAAAAAACGCTTGAAGGAGATTGTCTTCTCTTAAACGGCATAATAAAAAGTAGGAGACAAGAGTGAGACTAGAGTGGAATAAGGAAAGTACAATTCCATCAAACTCCTCCACAGACAAAATAAACACCATTCTTACATAGAGGTCGGAGGTGCACAAGCGTCCCTCATTGCATCGACAACGTATCTGAAAGCCAACAAAAACAAAAAAAAAGAAAGAAAAAAAGAGTCGGATCGGATTAGCTATGTGTATAGCGGAGAAAAATAAAGAGTTAGGGTGGGGAAGAATAGGATGGTAACCCAGGTGAAGAGGCGGAAGTGACGAAATAGAGCACAAGGGTTGCAAAAAACAAGAAGCAATAAGAGACCATGTACCACCTGGTTCACAAGCAAGCAAGCAGTAAGATCAACCAACCAATGAGCGACATTAACGAAGAAGGCGTGTAGTGTAATGACTAGATAGGTCATAGATAGAGGCATTTACCAAGGAACTGTCTCAGCTTTCCCAAGAAACAGAAAACCCGCGAAGAGAAAGTGCAGCGTCACCACTGCCAATTTCATAACCAGAGAAGATCTCCCAACTGGTGACAGTAGAAAATTAGTTGGTTTAGCGCGAATAGGAACCTACATGGAGTTTCTCGGAGAAACGAGAAAAGTGGTTACCGGGATCGGAGAGACAACGAAGAAAGGGCCGACAAACTCCCATGATGGTTCACTTCACTGGTTCAGGCCTCAGGGATGAGCGATGACGCACATCTCTCTCTCTCTCTATCCATTCTATCGTATGACAGCAATGCTTTTGTTGGGCAAAAACAGCACCTTAAGGCCCATTATGTATGGCCCAATTATAACTGCTTTCCCAACTAACAGTATAAAAATGAAATTTATTTGTCTTTGTCCACTCAAATCTAATAATAATCCATTAAAAAAAAACATCTTACCAAAAAAAAAAATAAAAAAAATCCATTAAAAAAAACAAATATGGCGGAGGAGAGAAGAGTCCCATCATCGGTGTCGGTCACAGTCGCCCACGACCTTCTTCTAGCCGGCCACCGCTATCTAGACGTCAGGTAACGCCACCTGTCTCTTTTCACAATTTCAAACATCATCAATCATCAACATAGCATCATTAGGATGTTGATGGTAATGGGGATGATGATTATTTAGGACTCCAGAAGAGTTCAGGCAAGGACATGCCTGTGGGGCGATCAACGTACCTTACATGAATCGAGGAGTATCAGGTATTTTGTTATTTTGGTTAGTTGGTAACTGAGTGGGTTGTGATGGATATAGTTTTGTGATGGTGATCAAGCAGGGATGTCAAAGAACCCTGACTTCCTGGAACAAGTGTCCTCCCATTTCGGACAATCCGACAACATCATTGTTGGCTGCCAGAGCGGTGGTAGATCTATCAAAGCCACCACCGATCTTTTCCATGCAGTAAGCTCCCCCCTCCACAGCTTTCTTCTGCCTTCTTTTACTTTTGTTAGTGATCATAATTTGGGAATTGCAGGGTTTCACGGGAGTCAAAGATATCGCCGGTGGCTATAGTGCCTGGACCAAGAATGGCCTTCCTACAAAAGACTGATATCGCTGGTGGCTATAGTTCTCTTCGTCTTCTTCTTCAGTAATGATAATAATGCATCGTTTCCACATGTAATCAACATCTTTAAAATTATTTTTAGTAATGAAATCCACATGTAATGATTAATAAATGACCTTCCTTTTCCTTGCTGTCTGATGTGATATCTTGGAGGGGGCTCATTATCTGTTGTGCCCACAACTTACGAGTGTGTTTTGATTGCATCGAAATCTCTATATAAGTTAAAAATCAATAAGAAATGAGAGAGCATCTGATCAATGATTATAGGCTTACCCTGCATGCTGACGACACAATGTTACAAATCTACAAGACTTTTTTTACCTTGAAGGTCGATCTGTTCTTGGCAACAGACAATATATGTGTATATTGAATGATCCATGAGTACACAAATACAGCACCACCATATCAACAAACAACTCGTGTGTACAAAACAAGACAAGTGGTGTGACCTAACAAAACAAACTCTAAATTATGAGAGAAGCGAGAGAGGACTGAGATATTGACACGGCTCAATCAGATGAGTTAGTAAGGAGAATCTGAGTGAACCAGGCCAATATCAGAGGGACTCTCTCGGACACAGAGACAGAGGATATCTGTTTTGTAAGAGAAACAAGAATCGAAGAGAGAGAATGTCTGTAACTGTAAGGGGATTAAGAAGAGGAAGAAGGGAGTGAATGTGCAACTGCAATTCTGTGAAGCATTTAATAACTCTGCTACTCCCAATGCACCTCATTTATTTTTTTTTAACTTAAACCCGAAAACCAAGTGAAAAGGGAGTGTTGGCAGGAAGCTATAAAGTCCTTTGTGTAACCATCGTTTCAGGGGAAATCATTCACGTTTCTTTTAACTTCCTTGCTTTGCCTTCCAACATTTATTAAGGCACACCCATCCACATCTCTTCTTTCCCTTTTTCGTTTTGTCTGCTTCTGCACTCAGTTTTTTCTAAACTACTACTATTATATTGCCAATTCATTCAAACATACTATACACTGAAAAAATTGCATTTCATTTAGTCTTCTTCCATTTACATTTTACACATTCCCTCAGGCTATTCATACATCTTTCAGTTACTTTTGAATACGTCGTACGATCCCATCAACCTAAGCGCTTCCTCTCAGGTACATGCCATACCATCAATCTATAAGCATCTTCTATTTCTCTCTGCATACCCTTGAAATTCACCACACTTGCATTCTTATCTACATCCATTTCCTTTCTTTGCTCCTATTCTTTCTTTCACTACTCATAGCTCTCAGGAGTTTCTACACCCTTATTATATTCAACAGAGCTGCAACCAAAACAACTCAATTATCAATGTCACTTCATTAATGCCTCTCAATTATCACCAACAATTGTCTACTCACCTCGAGTTCTGAAGCTTCTTCAGTCTGTCCCTCCACATCGCTGCAAAATGTGATCCCAGACAAGAAATAAAAATGAGGAGTCTGCAAATCACACTGAATATAGATGCCATCCACAGCAGTTTGTATACCTGCATCGATGTACCTTTCCTCTTTAGACGCCAAATCCATATTCCTCACTAATTTAAGCTCTTCCGATAAAGGATCTGGTCCCTCGGGAGCGCTGAACAAGAACACCCACCATGTGGTTAGCAACTGCGACAGAGTTGTACAGTGTAACTAACCCAGGAGATTCATTAACAAACTAAAAACCTGTCAAGGATAACATTGAAAATAGGCTTTGCGCTCTGTGGTCTGCCTCCATAACCAATTTTGATAGCCTCTTCCAGGACTATTGCTTTATTCACATATATTGGAGCCTGTGATATGACAAACAAAAACATGTTATCGCAGTATTCATTCAAAGGAACAGGATAAGATTCCTCAATTTGAGAAACAGAGAACAATAAAGATAGTGAGTTTAACCATTTCAAAAGGAATAAATTGAGGAAAGCCCAGGTAGCATACCTGGCATGCTCTTGCAACATTGATGGCATCTGATGGCCGTGAATCAATACATATAGCATCATTGTCCCCTGGCTGCATGACACATGGTTAACCTTAGACATAATGACTTTTGACAAAAAGTTTCCTAGCTAAGAGGATGTTTGCAGCCTTTAAGTTACCTTGCCAAGACATAGACTTGCATAGTAAGTGTTTACAATTCTACTAGTAAGTTTGACCATCTTAACCTGTCAATAATACAGTACAACTTGTTAACCAGATATAATTCGAGGTAACTTATAGACGTAGAAGAGGCAACATGTGTGTTGGAAACGGATACTTTACTTCATATCCGAGTTTGTCGACAACAGCAGACACGAACTGGAACTGATCAGGGCATTCCTAAAAGATAGAAAGAAAAGAAGGTTAAGGGGAGGAATAGAAAGAGCAAACATGAAAAGCGTAAAACAAGAGGAGGGGATACCTCAGTCTGGCCTTGTATAGGTACGTCTAGTAGTTTCTCAACGGCAGCATCCCCTGCAAGTGTAAGCAACAGTATTAAGAGAGAGATATATATAAGAAGGAGCAAAGTTTAGAAAGAATAGAGGAACATAAATTACCAACAATAAGGGGAAGCAAGTAGTCACCATCACAAGAGATCTTGAGAAAAATAGTGGGGTGCTTGAATTGACGGAGAAAGCCGAGTCCAATAGGGAGAACACCAACCCTGGATTCACTAGCTCGCACAGAAAAGGGAGGTAAAGGCCTAGAAGTTTGCCACATTGAATCTTGCCGGAAACCATGTCTCCGCATTTTGTAATGCATACTTGTCTCTGTTATTTGTTAAGCAATTAAGAAAAACAAAATGAATGGGCTAATTGCTACAATTCCTTTTAAATCAGCAATAAAAGGGATCTATCTATCTAGGTTATTGGCATTCTTGGTAGGCAACAATAATAAAGGTATAAAAGGGGCAAATGAAATCACAAACAGAGTTGGGCAAAAGCAACAGAGCCACAGGATACGAGTAAACGTCACCGGAATCAGAGAAGAAATTTGAATAATAATAAGAGAATAGTCACATTTGGACCTGCAACGAGGACAGAGGCTTGGAGAAACTCGAGATCGGGATCGCCGAGGCCAGATCGGGAAGCAGAGCTTCCGTGGCAACAAATATGAGAAATCTTAGGGGGGCGTTGAGAACGCAGCGATCTGAGGTTCAATGGGGTGCAACAGCGAAAGGAGGAGGGTGAACTGGAGGAAGATGAGAGGGAGGCCGAGATAGAGCGGTAGAAGGTGGTTGTGGTGGAGTCGGAGATGGCGATTCCCAGATCGGAGGCAGGAACACAGGAGAAGGCAACTCCGGGCATGGTGGTCGTTGAGAGAGAGAAATAAAGGAAAGAAGAAAAAGTGAAGCAGAGCACAAAAGTAGAGAAGAATGATGGAGAGAGAGAGAGAGGAGACGTCAATGGCTCTTTCTTTCTTTTCCGGGATTTTTATCTAACATCCTTAATAAATAATGTAATGTTAATGTAATAAGATGTGGAGGATAAGGTTCTGCTTTTTATATCAAACTCGTTTTGCTCTAAATTTTAACACTAAACTAAACACGTGGGTCTATTTTATTAGTATTTCTTTAAATGTTGACGTGGACAGTTAATTGATAACCAACATTATTCATTCATTGGAATGCAATGCATATACATAGTGATGTAATATAAAGGTGCTGATTTGCCTAATTATTTTGACACTAATTAGCGACAACAATAATACGTCGGTAAATCAGACCAGTAAATAAGCAGATGTGGATTTGGTGGTTTATGATCAGTGAGATGCCTTCCAACCATGTTACATACTCTTTCATGTTCCAAATAACTAAAACATAACTAGAAGTTTTTATTTTTGGCTTTGCTTAATGCTTATAGTCATAGTTGGTGCCGAAACCAACAAAAAACATGAAATTCAAACAAAAACGCGTACACAAGAAACACCGACCAGATGTGCAAAAGTGGCCCTGTCGTCATATCTCCAAAGGTTTTGACATCTTCTTCCGACATTTTAGATACTGCTCACCTCATCTCAAGTTTAAATATCATGAGTTCCTCATTTTTGACTACCTATAATTCACAATTGCGCTTACACTACTGCATATATAATTTAAAACAACAACATTATTACTCCTCTAGCTCAAGGTACATCAAACCAGTTTATTTTATTTTCAGATATTTTCTTTAAGAATGGATAAAGTTGTGACAAATATCCAAAACCGATGGATAAGATTAACAACAAACCAAATTTAAGCAAGTGCGAGACTGGACCCACTCCACTTAACCTTTGCCTCCATCTTCGTTTTTCCGGTTTTCTCACAAGTGAGTGGTGCTTCAAGCTGCAATTAAGACAACTATTCTATCGCTTCATCGGTTGTTATCAATCTCTTCTTGTGTCTGCTACAGGGAAACTCTTTCAACATCTTCATCACCTCATATGTCCTTGTCTCTCTTCCAAGGTAGAGGCAAAGCCCAAGCGGAGTTAACCCATCCTGGTATAGTCAAAAATGGCATCATCAGTAAATGCTTTCCAAACCAGATAGGGGAAAACACGGGAACTTGCCTTGTTCTTCACTTCTATGTCCGCCCTTTTTATCAAAAGAAGCTTTACAACATCGCTTCTTCTGGCCTGTACTGCAACGTGCAGGGGAGTCCACCCGTCCTGAAAACCCAATTTGTCAACCACCTGATCAACAGTGATGTTGTCTACAATGAATGCTTGATATCATACCCTGTCCTGAGCGTTTATATCAGCGTTATACAGTAGGAGAAGTTTTATTGTGGGAGCTGAAGCTGTTTGCACAGCATAGTGCATCAAGGTCGCACCTTCCTATCATAAACGAAAGGGATCAGATCCAGCATCTGAAGCGCAAGGGAGACGATATCTATATCATTAGGTGACCACTTACGTCATCAAGAACAAATGGATTTGCCGATTCCCTCAGCAGGTAGTTGGTAATAGCCTGCTTTTTACCAATGATTGCTCGGTGAAGTGCTGTCAAGCCGCCCTAGAAACGACATGAATGGAAACATAAACAAGTGGGGCAAAAGCAACAGCTTCAAACAACTCAAGACTTACCACGTCGGTTGCGTTGATATCAAGATTGTACTTTAGCAAGGAATCAACCAGATAAAACTCTCCAGATGCTGCCAGCGTGTGAAGAGGAAGCCATTTTTTCTGATTCACCAACACATAATACATTTTCATCAGAGACGGACTACCAGAAGACTCAACTGAAAACATTCAGCATCATAAGGGGACTTACTGATGTGGCAACTGCTAGGTCAGGATTCCGGCTATTGAGCATAAACTTTTCTTCTTTTGAAAGAAGCTTTCGAGGGCCTGCTCGGGAATAATATAGATAAGCTCTTTTTGCTTCAATTTCAAGCAAGAGAAAGAAACAAGAGTGGATCTACCGTCGGATTTCTTGACGCTGGGATCGTACTTGTCGCTATTGAAGAACTTGGCAACGTGGTCGAATCCCTTGCCGTAAACTGCCCATCTAGGGTTCTTAGGAGCCACTCGCTCGCTGGAAGATGATACAGCGGTCTCTCCATCGCTTGACGCAGCATGGTTGGAGAAATTGCCCGGTTTATCAAGAGTGACAGGCCTCAATTGAGCCAACTTGGCTTCCTTGTAAGTCAGAAAGTCATTCAAGTCGACGTTCCTCAGCGGAATCAGCCCTTGTCTCTTCTTCTCCACCCGAACCCCGAACTCCATCTCCTGCGCTATCTTGCGCTTGTCCTTCTTGGTCAGATTCACCTCCGCCTGAATATCCCTCCATTCCTCCGGCACGAGGTTCTCGGGCTCAATCTCGGATTCATCTAATCTCTTGGCCCCACCCCGCGGATTCCTCTTCTGCTTCGCAACCTGAGTGACCTCCGTCTCAAGGTAAGGGTCTTCGAAGACGCCGTCCTCGTAGACGAGACAGTCACCGACGATGAAATCATCGCCGGCATCGGGGAGGATCGACGTCTGAGAAGAATAGGAAAGAGAGCGTAATCGTGTGGGGAAAACAATGGAGTGAAGAGAGGGAGAAAGACGAGACGGAGAGGTCCCGGGGAGAAGAAGAGAGATGGTGAGTGGTGTGGCGAGGGACTGCATTTGAGGATGACGGAGCTTTCTCCTCTCCTCCTGCCGGCCTCTGATGTAGTAGTACTGGCCTCACTTTCTAATGGGCCTAAGTTGAACTAATGGACCTCACTTTCTAATGGGCCTCAGTTGAACAAATGGGCCTGACTTCCCGTTCGTCCTTTGATTAGTCAAAAATCTACAGAGAGTAAGAAAAGAAAAAACTCCATTGTTTCTGTTCCTGCTGCTGCGCTGCTTCTTTCGAATCGAATCTCGGTCGGCCGGATCTCATCCTTGTTGCAAAAATGATGGCAAGACCGAGGAGTCATCGTCCTTCAGCTCGGAAATCCTCCCGTTCAACGCTCATCTTCGCCGTATTGATCATGTCCACTTTCATGATTTTGATCCTTCTCGCCTTTGGAATTCTCTCGGTGCCCAGCAACAATGCCGGCTCCTCCAAAGCCAATGATCTCACTTCTATTGTCCGTAAAACACTTCAGAGGTACGATTCGATCCCGATTCAATATTTAATGTCAATGTTTTTTTTTGTGTTGCTTCAAGATCGGGCTTACTTTCCTTTTCCCGTAGAGGTGGCGAGGATGATTCAAAGAACGAGCGTTGGGTTGAAATTATCTCTTGGGAACCCAGAGCTTCTATTTACCACAATTTCTTGGTGAGTCTATGCCTATCCATATTTACAGATTTGGTTTATTTTTCTTTCCACTGGTTTTGGCTCCCATATTCATCATCTCTATCTGTATTTTCAATGTATACTTGCACGTTTCCTTGAGAGATATTATCAATGTAAGGAATGTCTAGGTATACGGAAACAGAGAACTGGCTGTGATTAGAAACCAAATGAGAAGATTGTGAACTAGAACTAGGATAGGGAAGTGATTAGTGATGATTTGATTTGCTCTTGGTTTGCTTACCTTCCCCGGTTAACCGCTACTCACGGAATGGTTTTTTTTTGTTTTCATGTGTCCTTTTCCCGGTTTCGGGATAGACAAAGCAGGAATGCAAGTATCTAATAGAGCTAGCTAAACCGCATATGGAGAAATCAACTGTTGTCGACGAAAAGACTGGAAAGAGCACAGATAGCAGGTTTTCTACTTCTCTCACTCAGTGCAACCGTGCTTGTAGTATTAAGTGAATTCTCAGAAGCTTATTCTCTTTTACTGCATCCTTCTCCTCAATAGAGTGCGAACCAGCTCAGGGACATTTCTTGCAAGAGGGCGTGACAAAACTATCCGTGAAATTGAGAAAAGGATATCAGATTTTACATTCATACCAGTTGGTATTATCTGCTTTTCTGTTTGTTTACTAATTTGACATTTTCTTGATCCCGTTAGGCAGCCCTATTTATTTGGGCATCATATCACAAATCTCTGACTGGTTCTGTTGATGCTACAACATGCAGAGCATGGGGAAGGTCTTCAAGTTCTGCACTATGAGATTGGGCAGAAGTACGAGCCTCACTACGACTACTTCATGGATGAATATAACACTAGGAATGGGGGACAGCGGATAGCCACAGTTCTCATGTACCTGTAAGTAACTGAAAAACGTTGGGCTTCCATAAGCTGTTTCTATGTGCTTCCTATAATGCTCCTTAGGGACTTTGCAGATCAGATGTTGAGGAGGGGGGTGAAACAGTGTTTCCTGCAGCCAAGGGAAACTATAGCGCAGTGCCATGGTGGAATGAGTTGTCAGAGTGCGGGAAAGGAGGGTTGTCAGTGAAACCAAAGATGGGAGATGCATTGCTTTTCTGGAGCATGACGCCTGATGCGACGCTAGACCCATCTAGTCTTCATGGTGAGTAGATGAGTTTGCAAGGATATAAAATGATGATTGAGAGGAAGGCATAGTGTTTGTGTATGGTTGGTTTTGAGAATTAGTTTGTGGAAGCTCGTCCCTAATTTGGTCCAATTGGGCAGGGGGGTGTGCTGTTATAAAAGGGAACAAGTGGTCGTCCACAAAGTGGCTGCGTGTACACGAGTACAAGGTTTGAGGATGATTGAGGTAAGTTTAACTGTTTAAGTTCCAGCTTCTTGAAGTGTTATATGATAGCGATATGTGCGTGAGAGAGAGACACATTGAATGAGTCACACCACCTGCCTTAAAAAAATAAAAAAATGTGTTGTTGTAAATGGATGGAAAAGTAGAATGTAAAATGTAAGAAGAGGACTCTGATCTGATCATCGTACAGGGAAAGGTGTGGAGGTGAGTGGGTCACCAAGTTTTGAAGACAGTGGTAGAAAATGAGGAGCAAGCTTGTAGGGGTAAGTTAGGGGATGAGACATGGGAATCATTGTACGGTTTGTGATTCGTTTGATATACATACATAAATATACTGTATGTTTGATGGATTAAGAAAAGCAAGCGCATTTGGATGGATGAAGTTGGGTGGTGTTTCTGTTTCACATATATATGTTTAGTTTGTATAATAAAGAGAAGTAAAGGGGGTTGTTCAAAAAAAAAAAAAAAAAAAAAAAAAAAAAAAAAAAAAAAAAAGAAGAGAAGTAAAGGGGTTTTTTGATTAATTTGGAAGCCAAAAAGTCAGAAGAAGGGGCGCAAAAGTCTTACCCACTCATGGTTTCCTTTAAATATTGAATCCACTCGTCTAAGAGAAAGATGAGACGCGTGATTAATAAAGAAAATTATGGTCAGCGGAGAGAAGTTTCCTTTGCCTTTGGTCTCTCTCTAATTGAAATTGATTGATTATCCTCAAAATAAGAAAGGTTCCTTCCTTTTCTTCTTCTTGGTTTATTTCAGACAAAAAGAAAACAATTCATTCCCTCCTCGTTGATCTCTTCTTCTGCAGAAAGAAAGAAAGAAAGAAAGAAAGAGAGAGAGATATGGATGGTTATTATTCTCTGTCGCCCATCTCCCTCCTCCATCGGATTAAAGATTCCTTCCATTTCGCCGTCTCTGCCCTTCTCGCCAACCTCTTCTCCGCTCTCTTCACCTTCTTCTTCGCTTTAGGTTCCTTCTTTTCTTCACATTCATCATCTTCAATCTATGTGATCCGCTGAGGAATTGTTTGTTTCTGCAATTACGATATGAATATGATTTTGACTTGTTTTGTTTTGTTTGTTGATTCAGTTGGGACTTTGCTTGGAGCATTGACCGGGGCTTTGATCGGCCAAGAAACAGAGAGCGGTTTCATCAGGGGTGCCGCCGTTGGTGCTATCTCTGGCGCTGTCTTCTCCATCGAAGTCTTTGAATCTTCCCTCCTCCTCTGGCAATCCGATGAGTCTGGAATTGGATGCCTTCTCTACCTGGTAACTATCATCATCACCCATTTTTTTTCCTTTCTTTTTCTTCATTATGCTCAAATGCTTTTCCTATCTTATCTTTTATGTAGATTGATGTCATTGCTAGCCTTTTGAGCGGGAGGCTTGTTCGTGAGCGTATCGGTCCTGCAATGCTAAGTGCCGTCCAGAGTCAGGTACAACAACCATTCTTTCTTTGATGCATCATTCACATTCAATTATCATTCTCAACTTCTGTATAAATAAACAGATGGGAGCTGTGGAGTCCCAGTTCCAAGAGCATACAGACATCTTTGACACTGCCATTTCAAAGGGTCTCACTGGGGACTCTCTCGACAGGATCCCAAAGGTCCGAATCACAGACACCTCTCCGGAGATTGTCTCTTGCTCTGTCTGCCTTCAGGTTTGTCTCACTTCCCCTCTGCTTTTAACATCATCTTCTTCCGTGGAACGTACGTACGTAGATTAGAAGAAACATAATATAACTGAGAGAGGTTCTAGATGTTTCCATTAGGTGACAAGTGGTTGAAAGATCATTTAATTAAAATTGAGGTGTGGTGTGGTGACAAAACAGGACTTTCAGGTGGGAGAGACAGTTAGAAGTTTGCCGCAGTGCCATCATATGTTCCACCTACCATGCATCGACAAATGGCTTCGCAGGCATGCTTCTTGTCCCTTGTGCAGAAGACATCTTTGAATTGAATTTGAACACCTCTTTTCTTCTTTCTTCTCTTCTTTGTACATGAGGTATAGGCATACACACACATACACACACTACTAGTCTTCCTTGATTTTTTAGATTACACGTTACACAGATTTTGATGCACCAATCATTGTAACTTCTTCACTCATCTCTTGGAGATCCTGTTTATTTATGCTACTTATTCTTGGCTTCGTCATTCAAAAGGACATGCTGCATTTCCCATTTATAGAAAGTTTGGGATCGAATTTGCATAAGGCATAGGCTAAATCCCAAATGAAAAAGCATACATACATATCCTTTTCGTCTAAAATAATTCTCAACTCCTAAGAACTAAAGAAGAGAGATAATACATTTTACATGAACTAGTTGAGTACAAAAATTATTTGGGATGAGATCCAACATGTCAGGTAGCTTCAGTTTAAAATTATACATTTCTTATACCAACAAGTAGAGTGAACCCAAAAGACATAAAACATAAAGGAAAAGAAAAAACTTATCTTTGGTTGGATAAATATAACTACAAGATGGATGGAACCTGGTTTTAAAGTTTCTTAGGTAATAAAGTGGTACCACCACCACGAATAGAAATAGAAGGGGTTTTGAGAGAGGAGGCTCTGCTGAGCAGATTGGTGTCCAGGAAGAGGACAATCACAGTGATGTCGTCGTGGAAATGCCTTCTGACTCCTCTCTCAATCTTGTTGAGATCAGAGTATCTCATCTCTCTTTTCTTTGCTGCCTCCTGCAGCGCAGCTTTCACCAGTCTCCTCGCTATCCCCGCATCAACATTCTCACTTTAATCATCTTTAAGAAAATTCATCTATATATGTGGAGGTAACTAAAACTGATAGACTCTCATACGTTTCTTGGGTGGTTCTGAACGACTTCAACAGCCTCTTGGTTGCTAAGCTGCTCCCAAAGTCCGTCTGATGCAAATATCAGAAACTGATCGTCTGGTTGGAGATCATGCACAGTTATCGATGGTTCCCCTCTCAAGATGGGTCTTTTCATGGACTCCCGCAGTCGGTACTTTGTGTACAAAGGTTCCCTGTTGAACTCCGCTTTCTTAAGATACACGTCTCCAATGGATCGTGATACCTGCAAACACACAGATAACCCAGGCTTTCAAGATTTGACATTTGGAGGGCCAACAATAATATCTTAACCAACTCTGTGAAGGAACATCTTGGCTCAGATTTTATAGCATAAGAAGATTTCTTGGGTTGTATGGACTTGGTAGAGAAAGACACCTGAATGAGGCCCTTAACACGCCAGACATTGTGCTTTAAGAGGACAATATGGGGGTCATCAGGATGTAAGGAGTGCATTTCCTGCCTCACAGACTCTATGCTCACATTATGCTCAGCTGAGAGCTGAAGCGCAATAACCTCACCTGTGGCCTTGATGACCTTTCCAAGAACGGCACGGGAGTCCCCAACGTTAGCTACGTAAAGCTTCCCATCGCAGACCACACGGACCAGGCAGCATGAGCCAACCGCTGCTATATGTGGCTTAACTGCCCACTGTTTCGCCACCACCCCTAGAAAGCCTTCTTCGGTTGCCTCATACGCCTTTCTTATCACATCCACAGACATGGAATCCTGCTCGGCTGCGAATCCTGCAGAGTTATATCAACGATTCAGTGCCAGTGGTTCCCTAGCTAAATAAAATGCAGTGGTGAGTGAGCAACAACTAGTTAGTTACTCTTGAGATGGTGAAAGAGATGATCGTTGAGAAAACGGGAGGTCTCAGGGCCGCCGTGGCCGTCATAGATGCCAACAAAGGTTCCAAAAGGACCAGAAGAAGAGAGGGTGCTCAAAGGACCGGATTCGACCTGGCTCTAATCCTCGAGGAGGTTGTTGGCCTGAACAAGGGCCATGGAGAAATCACCAAAAAGGTGGTGAGCAGAGTCTTTAAACCAGAGAAGGCCGTCTTGTTTGGCTTTGGAATCAGAGTAAGTGTGGGAAGTGGAAGAAGAGGGCCAGAGACAAGCGGTCAAAAAGTTGATGAAAAGGGATAACATCGGGCCTCATCTCATATTACCCCCACCACAACGATTATGCTACAATGAATGAAGTATGTTGGAAAAACAAAAGAAGAGGGAGTCAGTCGGAAACTTGCATTCATTCACACCAAAAGAGGAGTTTGTTTAGTAAGGAAGCAACAGCTGGATGGATGGATGGAGATATCTCAAGGAGAGAGAGAAACTATTAAGTTGTAAGTAACAACATGTAAGGAGGATCCAGACACAGACGCAGACGCAGGCAGGGGAGAGAGATAGAGTGAAAGAAAAAAGAGAGACAAAAGATGGGTTATTTCGTTTTATTAGGAACAGAACAGAATAGAGGAAGCCTTTCCCTCCCTTGTATATATGGGCGGAACCGATCACAAGAGGATTTAGATTTGCAAATTCAAACCCTAAGACTATATCTCTTATGACCCACAAAGAAGACACACATACGTGTGCACGTGCATTCCTTAACTCCACCCATGTGGTGGGATTTACATACATTAGCTGTTCCTCCAGTCCTCCTTGCAGCTTGCACCACCATTACTTGCACTCTATTCAATTCAAACCTAGGAAGCACGGAATCTTCGTCGGAGGTCCGCTTCCCGCTTCGGAATCTTAGTCGGAATCGGAAGCTCTTGGAAGCTTTCGGAATCTCGCTTCCATCGCGTTTCCAAAAATTCCACTTTGGAAGCTCGTTGGAAACTTACGATTCCGGTTTGGAAGCTTGCGCTTCCATTTTATAAATTCAATTTTATAAATAAAACATGAAATTATTATTTTTATACAAACAAACTCAAACTAAAAAATTTGCATACTAATCTTTGTATTTTATTTTTAACAAAATCATGTTTAGAAAATAGCAATGACATGAATCTAATATGTGAGAGATATTATAAATGATTAATTAATTTAGATTAATTTCGAGAGACTTGAGTTTGATAATATTTTTACCTATAATATACATAATTTGAAATGATTTTGTTTGATGTTATTTAAAAAAAGAATGAATATAGTGTTATAATTTTTTTCTTGATATTTGATTTTGTTTGTTGTAAAAATTGGTTTAATTATTAAATTTAGTTTTTAAAATTTATTTATTAGATTTGTGGGGTTAATATAACTTGTAATATGATATAATGTTTAATATTTAGTTATATATATACATATATATATATATTCTTTATATATACTATACGCTTCCATCGCGTACCTCTTCCGTAAAATTTTCTAAAAAATCGCTTCAGCGCTTCTAAACGATTCCGCTTCCGCGTACCCGCTCCCGTTTCCATGCAACATAGATTCAAACCCCTTTGACCAATGCATCCCCCTCTTTGGGCTTGGATTATATGGGCCCTTTCTATTTTATCTTTCTCAATATGGGCCGAATTCAATATACAGCTTCGGCCTTATATGAATTCAAGCCCCTCACCGATACTCTTATGATTCTAGTCGTCGCCGCAGGAAATCGCAGCAAAATAAAAAAAAATTGTTTTCTGGAAACGTCGAGAGCTAGCTAGCTGCAACTCCGTCGCAATTTCAATGGCATCTGCTCACTCCCTCGCCGCCGTTTCTGTTCTCGCTGCGGCCTCCAAGCAAGCCAGCCTTCCTTCTTCTTCTTCTTCTTCCTCTACTCTCCACTCTCTTTCTTCTCTTCGATCTAAACCTCGCCAGCAGCACCTCTCCCTTCGCAGTGTCGCCCTCAAAGGTATCTCCTCTTCTTCTTCTTCTTCTTTTTTCTGTTTATTTGGAATTCCTTGTCTATTTTTTCCGATTTTTTCCGGCGAATACGAGTTGCTCCTCCTCTCTGTCCAAAACTTAAATGTCCAATTTTGAATTTGATAGTTTGGGATAGCGAAGGGTGTGATTCATGTTAGCACAATCGTAAAGAGTAGTTGTTGATATGGTCAGTTTGTTGATGAGCTTAGGGGGAGCAAAGGCGCAGGCCAAAGAAGCACAAGGAAACCCAATTACCGTGGGAGATGCATTCAGTAATGTGAAGCATATTCTTCTGCCAGTGATTGATCGGAATCCTTATCTTTCTGAAGGCACCAGACAGGTTATATTGCCTAGCTTCTTGTTATCTTTCTTGATAGACACCAACAAACAAACAAAAATCTGATTTTATATTTAATTCGATAGGCTGCTGCTACAACAGCTAGTTTGGCAAACAAGTATGGAGCTGATATCACAGTTGTAGGTAAAAGTAATTAGTGTGTGTTGCATTAATCCCCTAAGCATATGATATGAATGGGCCATTTTGATCAAACATATGTGACCACCGTTGATTCAGTCATTGACGAAGAAAAGAGAGAATCATCTTCGGAGCATGAGACTCAAGTATCCAACATCCGGTGGCATTTATCCCAAGGTAAAACTAAGGAATTACTAATAGGAAATTGTAGGTAAACAACTAGTGATGGAATCCCTTAAATGTTGTTGTTCCAGGTGGGTTCGAGGAGTTCAAGCTGTTGGAGAGGCTTGGGGAAGGAAAAAAGGCGACGGCCATAATAGGAGAGGTGGCAGATGAGCTGAGCATGGAGCTGGTGGTGATGAGTATGGAAGCCATCCACTCTAAGTACATTGACGCCAATCTACTCGCTGAGTTCATCCCCTGCCCCGTCCTCCTCTTGCCCCTGTGATCGCTCTCGCCAAATGCTTATATATAGAAGACGTACCACTTGTTTTCTTTTCCTTTTTGTTTGGTTGCCGTAGAAGAGCATAGTAGAAATGTGTCGAGGTGTGAGATGCATGTGTCAAGCATTTTCTGTCTTATCATGGTCATGGTTGTTGTCCTTTGTTTTCTCCGTTACTAGTCACATTCTATCAGATACTAACTAACGTGTTCTTCGACCACAAAAAAAAAAACTCAATTAAAGGTGAAAATCTGTATTCTATAAAATCTTATCCCCTAATAAATTACTTAGTACATACTAATAGGTAGAATCAAATTAGTATAAGCCTAATAAGTAGTACCTTATAAATATGATAGGCACGCAGACGCATGTATTTATTATTGCTAGTGTGTTTCCTTCCATGCGTCAAAACTTTAAGGAAGGATTTGTTAATCTCACTAATTAATACGAGGATTAGTTTGATTAACAAAAAAAAAAGATTCACCGTCCGAAAGAGTTTTGTTTTTATTAACCCAGTGTTGGTCCAATCAGGTGAAATCACACGGATTGGTAGCGAGAGGGGTATTTAAGTAATTGCAAAGGGAGCTTTGGTTTTTGTTTGTTTGCAAAGGCCAGGCAACACAGACACACACAAGTCTTCCCCACCGGCGTTGTTATAGCTCTCTCTCTCTCTTTGGTTTCAGAGATTCTTCTTCTTCTTCTCTGGTTCTTCTCTGACAATAATAACCCCCAGCTTCTTCGATCCCCTCTCTTCCTCTGTTACAGGATGGCTACGACGGCGAGTAGTGCCGCTAATTCTGCATCTCGCTTCTCCATTGATTCCTCTTTGTCGCGATCACGTCACAGCGATTCCTCTCCCTGGTTGATGCCTGCTGCTGCTTCCCATGATGATCCGGCTCCTTCCCTCTCCCAGGACGATCCCTTCTTAACCGGAAATGGCACTTCCGACTACGACAATGCTGATCAGAAGCCTCCTGTCTGGAACATGCCTTCTTCTAATAGCTCCTCCGATGTCGGCCCTGTCATGGGCGCCGCCGAATCCTGGCCTGCTCTTCGGTCTTCTTCCAACAAGTCTCCCTCTTTCGATTCTTCCAAACCTTTATCTGATGGATCATCATCATCATCATCACCACCAATGCCGCCTCCCCAGGTTGTTTCTTTTTGCTGTTACGGCTCTCCAACCATCATTAGGATTACTTTTGAACCGATTATATGATCACAGAATTGTAGGAATTGACCAGTATCTACCTATCACAGGCTTTTCACACTCTGGTTTCATGTTTCATTTCTCAAGCTCATTCTTTTGCATGTCGCGAATCCTCGGAGAATTTAGTCTTGTCGTCAATGCTTGTTTGATTTTATACGTCTTTTTTCTATTGCTGCTATTCATCATCCATATATATTGCAGGCTGGTGGAACTCCTTTCAATTCTACTTCCAACACCAATGCCAATGCTGGCTCGAGTGTTGCTGCTACTTCATCTGAAAACATTACTGTTAATAATAGCCAGAGGAAACCTTTTAGACGGAATAACAACGCATCATCTTCCAGTAGTAACATCTCCAACCCACCTAATGCTGCGCCTTTTAACTCCAGAGATCAGAATCACAGCCAAAGGGGTGGTTCTTATGGCTCAGGGAATTTCCGTAATTCTCAGAGGAATCGCAACAACAGCTCTTACCCTCGTGTGGAAGGTCTTCACCATGGAAACAGGCGCAATTATGAGAGCGGGTTTTCTCACCGTAACTATAGTGGGAGAGACATGCACTTGCAACCGCAGAGGGGTATTGGGATGATGAGACCGCAGATGCTGATGGGGCCACCATCTTTTCCTGCCAGTAGTGCGCAATATATGGCAGCGCTTCAATTAGGTTCATATGGTGGCCCCATGATCTTCCCAGGTATGCTTTTGGTCATCTTATGCTCTCTCATACATTCCCATTTCTAATTCATTCCGCAATGTTAAATTTTCAGATTATGCACAGCCTGTCTTTATGCCACATACTGATCCAGACCCGATGGCTTTAGTTGGACCCTTCCCACCTCTACCCATGTATTTTCCCAGTTATGATGCCATGTTGTACAATAAGATATTGACACAAGTAGAATATTATTTCAGGTAATCGTTTCAGTTTTGTTTGGTTGTGTTTGCACCTTTCTACTTGTTTATGGATTACCCCAATGTTCCATTAGATGCCTCTATCTAAAGTGTGAATAACAAACTTTATCCTTTGGTAAATTTATAAATGCAGTGCTGATAACCTGAGCAGAGATAAACACTTGCGGTATCAGATGAATGATGAAGGTTGGGTTTCTGTTAGAGTAATAGCAGGGTTCAGGAGAGTAAGTGGTTTTCTGTCCTCATTTAAACGCATTTGTTTACACTAAATCATCATCTATTCTGAAGCTGACATGCGTTCATCACATTACAATGTGTACTGCAAAAAATAGTAATTCTTATTGTATCAAGGTGTTACTTATATTAGTTGTGTTTGTTTTCGTGACCTTGGAATAGTAGTCTTAGTTTAGTGAGTGTACTGGTTAAAAATAGTAATTCTTTGAAATGTTTGCAACTTTTGCAGCTTGCAGAACTGACCAACAACATCCAGACTATATTGGAAGCACTAAAAAGTTCAGAAGTCGTGGAAATTAAGGTATGTAAGATGAGCATCCTCATTCATTGATGCGAATAAGAAGTGGAAAGGGGTAAAGATAAAAGGCATAGAAAGACTAAAGTTAGAATGTGGATGGGATTGTAGGGTGAAACATTAAGGAGGCGAGGAGATTGGGACAAGTATTTATTGCCACGTGAGCCTTCAAAGTCCGGTCCAGCAGTGGGGGCTGCTAGCAACAATGCCTCACTGGTGTCTCAACTTGAGAGCATGACTCTATCAGAGAGGAGCAGAGAGGGAGAGTAAAGAAATGCGACTAAGAGAGAGGAAGAAAGATGTGTTTGCAAGCCTCTCTCTCTTTCTTCCCCTTTTTGTTTTGTTTTGTCGAGAATCGGATAGGAACTGATTGATACTCGGTCTCATAAGAAAAACAAATAATATGCTGCTCAACTTTTTTTGAACTTTTCTGGTTTTCTTTAAATTTTTTGATAGGAAACAAACTGTTGAGACATCAAATTTTAATTAGCTGGTGATGGCTGATCAATTGATATATAAGTCATCCTCGTTCAAAAATAAATGTAACATCTGAGATACCCGCTACTCGGAAGGGAGGGTTTCACGTCCAACCATATCCAAAATACTAGAAAGCTCTACATTGAAAACAGCTGGCTAGCTCAGCAGTGACATACCATTCCCTCACTCGTCCACGTGCAAAGTGGGCATGTTGTCTCACTTTTATATATGCTTTGATCAGACAATTTGAAGTTACGAGAAAAAAAAAAAGGCTATCGTAATCGGCGTAAATGGGATTCCAAAACCTCTGTTACCGGAAACATCACAAAAAGCTCAAGCAGTTCCAGGCACTCTTCTCTTTGTATATTTGATGCTTTTTCTTTTTTTGCCTGTAATTGTTGTTGAATTACTACGATATGTAACGAGACTGTGTTTCCGTATGATCAAAAAAGAGGGTGGAGATAAAAGTGAAGATGGACTGCGAAGGATGCGAGAGACGGGTGAGGAAGTCGGTGGAAGGCATGAAAGGAGTCAGCAACGTCACCGTCGATCCTAAACAGAGCAAACTCACGGTGGAGGGATTCGTCCAACCGAGCAAGGTGGTGCATCGGGTGATGCATCGGACGGGGAAGAAGGCGGAGCTGTGGCCTTACGTGCCTTACGAGGTGGTGCCACACCCTTACGCACCTGGTGCCTACGACAAGAAGGCCCCTCCTGGTTACGTTCGTAATGCACTCGCCGACCCTCTGGTGGCTCCGCTTGCTCGTGCCAGTTCCTTCGAGGTCAAATACACTTCTGCTTTCAGCGATGAAAATCCCAACGCTTGTACCATCATGTGATCAAGTCTTGTCAATTTATAGTTAACGACACATGTGAGTGTGCGCGTGAGTGTGTTTGTATCAGTATATATACACTTTAAGTAACTCTGAATGTTGTATGTATGAGTCATCTAAATTCCACTGAAATTAAAAGGGAGAAACAGAAGAATAAAGAGGTGATGAGATGTAGGAGTAATAGGAGAAAGAAGAGAGAAAGGTGAGAAGCCATGAATAGACTGATTAGGCAAGCCATGACCCAAACCGGGTATATCAGAAGCAGTGTGTAACAGACGACGACAAGGCAGTAGCAGACGAGACTCCCCACTTTCTCTATAGCTTCTCCCACCGGCATCTTGATTTACGTATTACTACTACTTTGGATATATGAGACTTCATTTAAATACTCAACAAAGAAAATTGGAGAAAGACATGCAAAAGAAGTTGTTTCCTCTCTAAACGGGACAATGCATTCCGCATTTCTGCCCTTCCTCTGCTTCTTTTTCCCCCGTGTTTGCTTCTTGTCTGTGTTAACATCACAGAAACGTGCTTTCTCCTAACGCTCAAGGAACAATCTCCAGAGGCAAGTATCCAAAATTGAAACATATATGGTGTCCATTGACGGGGTAGTTATTCTTTTACAATCTCATTATTATCACATTCCGCAAAAGCTAGTTACAAGGTTGGTATACATGATTATATATCCATACGTGAACATAACAATACCAAAATTATCTCAAATATGAAATGCTCAGGATTTGGAGAATGCACGAAGCGTGGCATCCAACGCTTCCCGATCATAATCCCCCGTGAACACGCAGTTTCCCAGCGGGCCTTTGAGAAGAATCAGCCTCAGCAGTCCATCTGCCACTTTCTTGTCCACCTGCATCACCACACACATTTCAATGAATTTTTAGTTCAAAAGTTGCCAACTTTTTTATTTTACATCTGGAATTCACCACAAACTCACCGCCATTATGGATTTGAACATGCTCACGGTCATGCTCTCTGGCGGCGTTGTAGGCAATTTTGCCCGTTCTAGGATCTTGTTCACTCTCTTAACGATCGATTCATCGATCCAACCAAGACGATATGACATGTCCACTGCCATTACCTGAGATAATTATAACAGTGTGAACAAATCTCAAATTTGAAGAGAAGAGGGTGGTTAGCAGTATGGCAGATCGAAGGAGATACCGTGCCAGCTGCAACAGCTTCTCCATGGAGCCACTCTCCATAACCAAAGCCAGTTTCTATGGCCTGCAAAAAGAAACTATAGGTGATGGGTGGATCTTGACCCGAAAAGAATATGTCAATAGAGGCCGTTATTGACTACTTACATGGCCAAATGTATGACCCAAATTTAGGGTTGCTCGCAAGCCACTTTCTTTCTCATCTTGTGACACAACGTCTGCCTTGTTTTCACATGATCGCTTTATAGCAAAAGCTAATGCAGCTGGATCCCTGCGATGAAAATTATCACACAATTTTTACAGGGATAGACTCATGATCTCAATGTTTTCGTTTTGGGCACACTTGTAATGTTAATAATTACCTTGCCAGCAATGCCTCAATGTTCTTCTCCTGCCATTCAAAGAACTCGGCATCCCTGATAAGCCCGTACTTGATCACTTCAGCGAGGCCTGATGCCATCTCCCTATCTGGCAATGTGTTCAATGTGTCAGTGTCTACTAGCACACACTGTGGTTGGTAAAATGCACCGATCAAATTCTTTCCAAGACGATGATTTATGCCTGTTTTGCCACCTACAGAAGAATCAACCTGCAAGGCAATGAAATGAATTGCAGCGACAAATTCATTTTTTTTTTCTGGATGTTAATGATTTAGACAAGAAATTCCTAGAGTGAAGTGAAAAATGTACCTGTGCCATAACAGTGGTAGGAATTTGGATGAAATTAACACCACGCAGGTAAGATGCAGCAGCATATCCACACATATCTCCTATCACACCGCCTCCAAGGGCAACAAATGTACATCGTCTATCTAGGCGAGACTCAATGGCCTTGTCGAAGACTTTCATGAGAGTATCCTAGAAAGAATAAACAGTATCAATAACTCATGATTACTATTGATTCATTATTATAAACCGGGAATTCAAAAATCCAAGATAACAAATACCATGTCCTTGTATTTCTCTCCATCAGGCAAAATTACACTCTCCACAGTGACGTTGGGATTTCCTCTGGTTAAAGCATCTATAGTCTTGTCCAGGTAGAGAGGAGCAACTCGATCATTGGTGACCACAAGCACTCTCTTTCCATGAACATGCCTAAACATTCAACAAGAAATTAAGTAAGAAGAAACTCCAAAAAAACTGAGAATGTGCTCGGAAATTCACAAACAAAACCATTGGCCTAAATCGATACTAACGGCTAAAGAGAAGCCAACATTCGAGCCGTTTGATGGTGGCGAATATTAAAGCTCAAAAATACAATCTTCAACACATTTGACAGGCATCAAAAAACTAAATTAAAATGGCCTTATGGGAGAAAAGATGAGACCTTTGAAGAAGTTCAGAGTGATCGAGCAAGCCGGCGCCGATATAGATCGGATAACTCCGGTCACCCAGATCAACCTCGACGACTGTGGGAGAAGAGAAGGAGCGTTGATCGTTAAGCGGCTCGTTCATGAGCTGGCTAGCACCGGCGCGCACACGAGACTTGGAAAGAGTCGTGGAAGATAAAGATAGTTCCCCAGGTTTAGACTTTGCCGGGAAAGAAATGGTTGGTGGAGCAATAAAGGCACGGCTTTGAAAGGAGCTGAGATTCTTAGAGGCGACGACGTTGGAAGAGATGGAAAGAGAAATGGTGTTGGCAGCCATGGAAATCGATGCGGGTCAGAAGTCGGATTTAGGGAAAAGAAAAGAAATTGGGTTGGTGAAGAAGAAGAAGACTGAATTGAAGAAATACATTAGTGGTGAGAGGTTTGGTGAAGCCTTCGGAGACGGCGTGGGGTAGGTGGTGGTGAGTCTCTCAGGCGGGCCATTGCTGTAATCCCCTACAACTCACCCTACACTAAGTCACGTTATTTGACGGTCTTAATTTACCCACGTGGGATCGGCGGTCTCGATATGGCCATGTCATATAAAGACCTGACTACTAGTCTTCTCATGTACGCCTCCTCACATTTAAAAAACGGTGTCGTTTTGATCGACCCGCGAAAAAACAGAGCGATGAAAAGTGGAGCGAGCGAGCCAACAACACTTACTAACACTCCCAATTCCCAAATTCGAGACAAAAACGCGCCGTTGAGGAGGATCCGATTACTCGGAAGTCTTCTGCTCATCGGCACTTTAATCGAGTGATAAAATTCCGTTCGTCTTCCATAAACCCTATTAAGGCAATTCGATTGGGATATCTGAAAGGTTTCGGCTACGGCGGCAAAAGGAAAATTCAATGCTTGACAAAAAACTATCCCTAGAAGATGAAGATGACGATAGATCGTATAACTTAAGGTCATCGCGTTCTAATGCCAAGTCCAAACCCAGGTCCTCTGCTGCTACCACAACCAATCCTAGAGCGTCAAAGAGAGCTCGACTTTCCGGTGCGAGTCTTGTAGATAAGGTCTCAATTTCTTTCTTTCTACATTTTTTTTTTTTGGCCTAGTGGACTCATGTGTTCATGTTTTGGCTGGTCACCTTGATGATGGTCTTGAGTTTCGCTTTTGTATGTCTCGCAGATTAGATTGTCTTTCGAAGATTTCGACGAAGCTTTAAGCGGCTTCAAGGTCTCTTCTGGTACGCCCCTATTTTGCCTGTTTCACACTTTTTTATTGCTGGAGCTTATAATCTCTTGTCATTTCATTGCTCTGTGGTCTCTTGTTTAGGTTATGAAAGGAGCAAGAATACCGATTTATGGGTTGATAAATACAGGCCTCGCACCTTGGAAGAGCTTGCTGTTCACAAGAAGAAGGTTGCTTTCTTCTTTCTTTTCCTTTTAGCACTGCTTTCTCCTTTTTCACCTACTCATCTCCTTTTTTGTTTTTCTAATCTTCAGCTTGAAGAAGTCAAATCGTGGTTTGAGGAAAGTTTTGATTTCTCAAAAGTAATGTTTGGTTTATCTTTGAAATTGATTTTTGACTTCTGACCTCGTGATGCTTGGATGCCTGGATTCACTTTATTTTTGGTTTTCTCCATCAGCAGGCTGGTTTAAGGAATAATGTTCTACTAGTCACAGGACAAGCTGGAGTCGGAAAATCTGCTACCATCCATTTGATTGCGTCTATCCTTGGAGTCACAGTGTATGAGTGGAACGCTCCTATTCCTACTATCTGGCAAGAACATGTGCACAACTCTAGTTCAGGTACTTAAAGGAAATATAGTTGTTAGTTACTCAGTTTTGGTACTGCTATTACAGAACAGAGAATGGTTTTGTTAATAATCTGATGGATTTTCATTAATACTTCTAGGACTGAAGTACACGTCGAAGCTGGATGAGTTTGAAAACTTTGTCGAGAGTACTAGGAAATACGGAGTGATGGCTTCATCAAGTACTGAGGGAATAAAGGCGCCCGTTGTTCTTTTGATTGATGACCTTCCTCTAGTCAATGGGAGGCATGCTTGTGAAAGGCTGCAAAACTGCTTACTTCTATTGGTGAGATCAACACAGATTCCAACAGTGATATTAATCACTGACTACGATAAAGCGGACTCTTCTGCCCAGACTGCGCGAAGCATGGAGGACGCACAGTCATCTCTTGAGCGAGCAGGAGCTTTAAAGGTTGCTTTATCAAACTATTTGCAGTCTAAATCTAATTATACATATGATTTTTTCAACTCTAGTTGATTGTCCAGGTATGTATTAGCAGGTCGCTTTCAATCCTATCACGAAGAACTCAATTAAAAAGGCACTTCAGAGAATATGTAGGGAAGAGCATTGTAAGGTAACGACTATGGAGATTGATCAGATGGCGAGTGCCAGTGGAGGAGACATCAGACATGCTATTACATCTTTGCAACTCTTCTCCGTTAAGCCAGACCTAAATCATACTAAGATAAAATCACCACGACCTGGCATGGATGACAGTTATCATGGAAACGAGCAGACAATGTACAGTGGTTTGGATAGTGGAATATCTTCCTGTTTTGGTAGAGATGAGACCCTTTCGTTGTTTCACGCTCTGGGCAAGTTTCTCCACAACAAAAGAGAGACTGATAATGTCATTGTATCAGGTAATTCGTTATTAAGAAATTTAAAGAATGCAATTTAGAGCTCAGGATCACTATCTTCTAAGCTAATGTTTGTGTCAGATTGCAGCAACTCTCTTGTTCATGACGAATTTGCGAGGTTGCCACTGAAAATGGATGCGCCGGAGAAGGTTCTCAGCCAAGCTCATGGACAGGCAGGGCGGGTTGTGGATTTTCTGCATGAAAATGGTATCAACTACTGCCTCGCTTGACTATCCAGTATTGAGTTAGCATATGCATTATTTTCTTCCTTGATAAAGTGACTCAGGAGAGCATACTTAAACTTACATGTGTGCGTGCTTTTTCAATTGAAACATTTTCTAAAATGGACTCATAATGTTAATGAAGTGCTAGATTTTGTGAGTGAGGGAGCCATAGAAGATGCCTGGTGTGTTTCTTCGTATTTGGCGGATGCTGATCTCCTTCTCGCTGATTTAAGAGGAAAGATGAGTGGGCAGAACAAAACAGAGGATGTTCCACAGTCAGCCGGTGCCTCGGTTGCTGTCCGTGGTGTGTTGTATGGAAACAAGCAGCCATGTTCATCCAGGTTTCTTTCACAGGATTCTAGTCGACTGTATTGTAGTTTGTTTGAAATTAAGATTATCGATTGATCTGTATTGTGAGTATGCAGATGGCACGTGATTCGGAAGCCAAAACTCTGGCAAGTGGAGCAATCCTCAATACAAACAAAGGTCGGGGTCTTTTCCTTTTTTTCAGGAATATAAACTAATTATACATGAATGCATATCAAACCTGTATATGCTTACAAATTTGATGTGTGAATGCAGAAGAATCTGAGAGAGCAGAGGAACATAAGCTATGAGGGGTCAAGGGTGGCAGATATATCAGTGATGGCCACAGAGTATAGCCCCGTGCTGAAATGGCTTAGCTACAGGGCATCTCCAGATGCGTTTGCAGGAATGGGCGAAGAGACGGATGAGGAGGAGAGTGAAATTTCTGAAGACGATGAAATACAAGACTGGTGACATGAACCATCTTTAGTCTCTCTTATATATATGTTAGGTCAGATAAAACTGGTATGATTGTTAACATCAAGGGAAGGAAGACTAATTGTTCTGCTTACCTATAAATAGGAAATTGCCAGTCACTTCTCTATCTAACAATGCGCACAGCGAATTTATCCTTGGTTTGATCAAGATCAAGCGAATTTTACAGCTGCCTGAATTTTTCAAGAAAACTTAAGAACCGGGCCTTGTGGCCTAGTGGTAAAGGGGTCACAACTGTGACTTCCGCCACCAGGGTTCGAGGCACGGCCACTGGCAGGTTTACATAGGGGAATTGCCAGCCTCGTGGGATTAGTCCTTGGGCCTAGGAAGCCTTTGGGAGACCCGCGGTTATTCAAAAAAAAAAAAAAAAAAAAGATCAAGCGAATTTTAAACCCTTTCTTCAATTGTTTTTGGGCGCATTTTCAAGTTAACGAAAACTGGCGAAACCTTTAGTCAAATACTTGATTACTACCTTGTTGTTTGTTTTGACACATGGCGAAACCTTTAGTCAAATACTTGATTACTTGTAGATTGATATATATATAGTACATGGTTTTCATTTTTGATCACAGATTTCACCAGCCTCCTCACTTGCAAGGAAGACTTGATGTTTAACGTTTGTTTTAATGACTTAAAGAGATAAAACAGAAACCCACTCAAATAAAGAAGTTAGGTTAGTTAAACTCCCTCCAGAACTGGAACATCAGAGCAACTCTCTGTCTCCAAATGCAACATTTAATCAGAGTTGGTTAGTCATGCTTTGGACTTTGGAGGTATCAAACCAAGTTGAAGGACAAACCAACCAACAAACGAAAACAGCTGAGATATCTAATCAACCCAGAAATTTTGTGGAGCAGGTCTTCAAACCAAACATCAACAAGTACATAAATGATAATGGAGACCAAAGAGCAGTCTTTGTGGCTGAATTGAGATATTGTTTTATCAAGTTTCCTTTGGAGGGCCTTTCTTGGCTGCTTCTGCAGCCGCCTTTTCAGCTTCGATCTCTGCCACAATTGCATCAATTTCAGCTTCTTCTAGCTGGCGAAGCCCAGTTTCCTCCCGTGTCATTACAGCAACCTCAATATTCTTTCCTCCACTCTCAACTACCTGCAATGCAAAGCCGATATCAGGCTAGGCCATACCAAATAATAGATATGATCTCAAAGGAAAAGAAACCCTGAAATAACAAAAACATCAATATCAGCTAGGAGAGGGCAACCTCAAGAAGAGCACGGATAGCGAGTTTAATAGTTTCTTGGCCAGAGGATTCTTTGTAGTTCTTCTCCAGGAATTCCCTAATAGAGTTGGAGTTTCTGCCGGTTGCATTAGCTTTCCAAGCAGAGAAAGTGCCAGAAGGATCAGTCTGATATAGGGAAGGCAGACGAGAGTAAGGGTCAAAGCCGACGATAAGAGTAGAAAGACCGAAGGGTCTGACACCACCACTTTGGGTATACTTCTGTTGAAGGCCAGCAATGTAGCGAGTGATGTACTCAACAGTGACAGGGTCCTCTAGTGTCAGTCTATGGCTTTGACACTCGATCCTTGCTTTGTTAATCAAGACACGGGCATCTGCCTTGAGCCCGGCGCATGCCAAGGCAATGTGATTGTCAAGGCTCACAATTTTTCTGGCTGATCTGTGAGAAACAAGCACAAGTCATTGAAGACATAAGCTTCATCTATCAACTACTTTTTTTTTCATTTATCTCTCCATAATATATTGGTTAGGCAGCAGTATAAGAGAATTGAACAATTAAGTTGATTCCTTTTCAGGGAATGGCCTGAGACATTCGCAATTAGGAACAAGGTTCGTTTTAAACTAGTGTTTCAGCTGCAAATTCCATCCATTAATTAAGAACTAGCTACTGAGAGAGTAAACCAAGCGGATCCAACAAGTAAAGAGCGCAATTAAGCGAAGAGATGGAAATAAAACCTAGAATCCTGAAGCTTGGGGGTAGATTTCTTCTCGACGGCGAGGACGACGGTGTCGGTACCGCGGACACCGACGGCGGCGTTACCCTTGCGGACGGCTTCAAGAGCGTATTCGACTTGAAAGAGATGACCGTCGGGGGAGAAGACAGTGATTGCTCGATCGTATCTAGCCATCTCCGATGATACTTGTGTTTCGTTTTCGTTTTCAGGGCAAATAAAAAGACGAATCCCAACTTCTGCGACAAGCCAACAACAGAGGGAAAAAAAAAGAAGGGAATTCTCTACTCAGATCTTCAAGAGAAGCGAATCGCGCATTCATTCATTTCCTTTAAATGGGCCTTAATAAATACCCAAAACTTCCATAACAGGCCCATTAACACAGTATAATTATTAATGGTCATTTAAAAATACATGAACCTTCCTCCCGCGCTTTCTAACTACCACCAAACCGTTGATGAATGAATTTAGTCCAACAGAAATTCTAAAACATTTAAGATTACAAACATATTGGCGCAATCATCCCACAAACAGCTTTCTTCTTCTACGTTGTTTCTGAGAAAACTCAACCACAAATGTACGAATCTCCATGGGACCAAGCTCTACTACTAAAGTCGACTTGTCAACGGGTCCCCCTCTTTGCGGGGAAGAAGCTTGTTCCGCTTCACCCTCCACTTTCCACTTCATCTTCTCCTTCATCTTGTCTTTCTCTTGATTTGCTGACAAACTCATTTCCATCACTTCTTTGATCTGCAAATATCAATATGGATTCAGTTACCACCTAGCTCTACATGTAGATTAGATGAGCAAGTGTATTTCTTACCATTTTCCCGGAAAACAACTTCTTCAGCTCAACTTTAGCGGTTTTCGAGTAACCACTATCTTCTCCAGCCTGTATACAACAACACTCAACACTCAATTACTGTCCTATATATCCCAATTCAAGAACATTAAAACTGTACCTCGTAGAGATGAGCCAGGCGAACAAGGACGTTCCCGAGATCCATCTCCTCAAGAGTGATAAGAGCAATGTTTTTAGGCAAGGTGTAGAGAGGATCCATGGCATAACCTTTCACAGTATTGGAGCCTTTCCATTTCTCCTTGTTCTCGTGTGCGAATGCCATTAGAAGAGGATAGTATATTTCCTGCCCAGTCTCTCGTCTCCACCGCCCTCCTTCTCCTACCCTATTTATGCTTACATAGTAAATCCCACGAACCTGCATTTACACAAGTATGTATCAAGACTTTTCCTGGACAAAACACACACAATTCATCAATTGTTTATTCATTCATACCGTTAATCCTGCGCATGTACCATTCGCACACACAGTTTCCGCAAGGCCCTCCTCTACTCCTCTCCCGTCATCCATGCACATACTCCTGTTCCCATGTGTTCACTCAACCACATAATATGTATTTCCTGATTTTAAAATACAGACTGATGAAATTTGGAACCTGTGAAGCATCAACTCTATTTCACCGTCCTTAATACTAGCACCCCCAGTAGCCCGATCAACCAACAACGACAACTCTGCTTTCTCGTCTTTTGTGTACATTCCAAGATTTAGCTGGAGAAATCACACTAACAATGCGTTAACACTGCAAAGCCATTCACACAATCGATCTACTCCAAAAAAAAATTTGGTTTTGCAATTTCTGCTAGACATCAATACCGGATAGTAGTTTCCTGCTATTGGCTCATTCACTTCGAGATGCCAATCTATTCGGTTGTCCCGGACCTGCATTAGAGATCCTCAGGTACAGATTTTTAATACCCTATTTGTTGCAACCCGAAAACACAATCTCATTGGTGTTTGAAATATATGAGAATACAGAAAATTCAGGGTACCCGTTTCAAAAAGTCTCTTCCATTAGAGTCAGTATAGAAAGCCTTATCTGTAGTCATATTTGTTACCATTCGCGTGATAATCTCTTTCCCTATTAGATCTCCATTACCGGAAGGAATTGGACCAATCTGCTAAAGAGAGTGAGCCTGAGGGATCTTTTTATCCAAAACACATTAAATAACCGGAATTAGAGTTTTGGAGAACACTCACAGTGAACTCAAACTCGGCGTGCTCTTTTTCTTTGTACAGTCTTACCACCTAGATAACACAACTACTTATCAAGTAAGGATTTTCAAATAGTTATATGCCATCAATTTAACAATGACTTACCTGTGCCACCCACGGACTAAACTGCTGGTGCACCTCATCTATCAAAGGCCCTCGCACAATCTGCAACTTTGGCTGCGCATTACCATTGCCAATGAAAGCATCAGTTACGGTCCATATCTTCTAAGCAAGTATTTATATGGACTATCTACTACTTCTATCATATAGATTTTATGGGTTTACTACATAACGATATATGGTGTGTAGAAAACCATAGAAATACTAGAAAGTTTTTTTTTTATCTAATATCTTGATGATAGCACCTCAGCATCTCAATGCTCTTAGTCTCTTACAGTATTCATAGACTCACTTTGGAAGACGAAACAGGATACGCCAAGGAACCATTAGGTCGAAAAATATATGCACCGGAAACCTGGGGATCTTTTGCATCCCCACCATTTGAAGCATACCAGAAATAGTTCTGATCCACCATTATGTCAGCCTGGAAGATATTTATTAAAAGCAAGTGTGATTGAATCTTTTGTCTAACAAAATTCCCCAAATTAATGAACCAAAAAGTTTCAGTGTGTAGGAGTAAACGAAACATTACTCCTGTTCTGGAGTTGTACATCCGTTCGAGACGACCAGAGTCTGAAGAAAACACCATCTTTACATTTCCTGGACCAATTTCAGTCGTATTTTTCACCGGACTAAGCATCACTGAAGAGTGTGTGTGATTGCTGCTTCCTATATCATTGAATGATACCAAAAAGTGAATCATGAGGGAAATGCACATGTTTAACTTTCTATGGGAATTCGTACAGCTAGCAGGAGCCTGTCTCTCCATACCTTGTGCGGATGCTTTAGATATGAAGAATGTGTTCCAACCAAGTGGCGGCACTGTTGCCTTAAACACGAGCCAATACTTTGGAATCTGCAGGGAAGATATTCCTAAATAAGCTTTTGTATAGAAACTTCTGAGGTTGCTCGTGACAGTATCCATGGGAATGTATTGAGCATCAAGGGTGTTTCCAGATGAATCCTCCACACTTAGACCTGCATCACTGACCTGGTACATACCCTAACTCTTAGTAAAACATAGAAGAATTTGATCTCAAAGGAGCAAGTAAACAGACGCATGAGAGATATAACCGGAATCCTAATGATTTCTGTACGATTCCATCCAAGGGAGTTATACGCCACCAGAATCTAAAAATCAAACACTGAGATAGTTGGAGAATCTGAGCTATATATCTTAATGATTTTGCTAAGAGATGTGATGGATTTACCAAGCTCTTCTGGCCTGGAATGGTTTCTTCTGTCGCTGGGCAATAGCTTATATTCATCAACGAGCACTGCTCATTTGATTCCAAGAAAAGGTATAAACAAGGTGATTACTAGAGAGACACTACAATATTTTACTCTAAATTCCAAGAGGAAAGAAATGACTCCCACACCAGTCATCACCATAAAATTAATTCTTCAATCGCATTTCTATATGGAAAAATGAAAACCAAAACGAGTTTCTTGGAGATTTAACCTGGCTGAATGCTATTGCAGGCTTTGTGCAGCCACCTTTTGGTGCCTTGTTCAATAGGCATGCCAGCGCAGCATTCACCACAGCTTCTGCCTACGGAAAATATGAATACTTAAAAAAAAAAAAGACAGAGCAAAAAGAAAGAGAAGAGTTTTCATATAGAAATCCGTATATAGTATCTTACCTCAGAAGCAGCAACAGCAAGGCGTTTCATGTAATCATTTGTTACATGCTGCTTGGCAGTTCCAGTGACAGCATCGTGGTGCTGCGCTATCGCTAAAGCATCCCCAAGACTGCAAGTATTTGGTCCTCCAGGTTTCTTGCCTGCCAGAAATTCAAGTTGCCTTGCAGCCTGCATTCAAGGCCATGTAACTCATGTTTGAATTTCACAAACGAAAATCGAAATCGGACTCCGGGAGATGCAGTTTGATACCATGTAGTATCCGCTAAGAGCCCGAACATAACGTTTAAGAGCAGGACGGCTGGTGAAGTAGCCAGTCCAGTAAGCGTATGCCCGATCCGCATATCTGCAAGGTAGCCGGGAAAGTATTGAGAAAATTAAGATGTTGAACAAGGAATGCAAAATTATTTGGTTTACAGGCACTCACGGGAAAAAGTCACCAGTCTTGAGAGGCCAAGTAACATTGGCATCATTCTTGGCATCAACATAGAGAGATGGTGTGGAGTACAAGGCGTTGACACGGCCATCCTGTGGAATGGAATTGGTGAGAATCTAGTCTCCAAGAAAGCGAGATTAGGCGAAGCAAAGAGATATCAAAAACCTTGTTAACATAATGGATAAGTCTGTCCATCTGTCTGAACCAAGACTCGGCGAACTGGTACTGAAAATCATCACCCATTGTCCACATCACATGGTTCCCTCGACTCACATTGGCCTATATATATCCATATTGACTACTTTGAGAATCCAAGATTACACATACACTTGAAAAAAAACCATGAAGAAAAAAAATACTCAGGACTTACATAAACCAGAGAAGCATTGACGAAATTATCAACGGCCTCCTTAATGTTATAGGCATCGAAACGAGGGTTGTCCTGCAAAATCACCAGTGAATAGAATCCCCTAACCAAAAAATCAAACGGGAGAAAGAAGAAGCGAACCTGGAGGGGGACGTAATCGTCGGTGACTTCATAGTGAAAGCCAGTGGGAGGGCCGTAATGAACAAGAAAGACATTGGTGAATATTTGAGAAGAAGAAGCCAATGTTTTTGATCCTCTCCAGATTACTTCTAGTGATTTCTCGGCCTTTCTCTTTTCTCTGTCTTGGTAATCGATTCTCGCGAAATGCACAGAATCCAACCCTAACTGCACCCACCAAATTCACACACAATATTAAAAAGGCAACAAATTTTTAATGTGGGGAAATAAAGATAATAGTTAGGGGTTTTGATAAGAAGGACCTCTGCTCCAAGGAGGTAAGCTTGCACAGAGGAATGACCAAAGGGGTCGATTTGCCAAGCAGCACGTGGAGTTGTATTGAACTGTTGCTTTATAAACCGATGCCCCTTTGTGGTTTGGTCTATCATATCTATGTAATGGCACGTTGCTTCATCATTCATAGCCCATCCTCCATTTCTGCACACCATGTACATTGATTCTGTGAATTAACTATATTATCACTACCCAAAATGATCAAATTAAGGTAGAGTGACCAACTTACACAAACTCTAGTTGCCCCGATTTCACTAGTCTCTTCACTTGCTCTTGTGTCTCGGGGCTTTGTTCTTCCCACCAACGTGTAAAGAAGGCCTTTTCATGTATATAGATATATATTCACATAAGAGAAGAAGAAGAAGAAGAAAACATGCATATATGGTTTTATGAACAAAACATTAGGAAGCAATGTTTCACCATTTCTGCGAACACAAACTTTCTATTGGGATCGCCAAGTAGAGAATCCACCACCGAGTCTAGCACGTTCCTCACGCAAGCGTTCTGAAAACCACACGATTCGTTAGGCTCGTGTCTACATATACATGATTCATCTCTATATAAACATAACATACCTGGATACTGTTGTTAGATCCTACATAGTACTGATCAACAGTTTTCAACCACCCGACATCATCATGCGAATGCGGAACAAGATGAACATTTAGTTTCCCCGGAACCACTTTAGCATCGGTGCCATACTTCACGAAGCCCCCGCCTTTGACGCTCTCAACCGACCACCGGAGAACAGAAACAATAACACAAAGTGCTCCTTTCAATAAAGACAAACCCGGTTTTGCCATTTTCCGATGGCCAGGCGCTCGAGATTCAGATGTTTTTCTTCTTACAGGGTGTGGAGGAAACTTATCAATAAACAAATGGAGAGCAAAACAAGGGTCAAATTAAACCAAAAGACCGATCCTAATCGTTTGTTTTGCTCAGATCCGTCGGTCTCCATAAGTGTTTCTCTATTGTTTTACTGTGACTAGATTGTCATTTCAACACATGTAATATTTAATTAGGTTCTACAATAATCTTATTTTCTTACAAATTTAATTGAATTTTGTCCATAAAATAGTACTACTACTAAACCTTTTTTCTTTTACTTTGTTTATCAATTTTACCACATATAGTATTAACTAATGTGACTAACAAACAATAAAATTAAATTGTTTTTTTTTTGACATTAGTCACTTGCCATATTAATTTTATTTAAAAATTAGTTTTTGGGAAAAACTATTTTCAAATCAATAGATTTAGAGATAATTAAACCACGTACGTAACTTGTGAATGTAGGAGGTTTGAATTATACAATGAATCATTTACATTTGTGGAATGGTTTTAATTGGAACATGTTTATCATTTGTGATTTTTAACATTCCCTACTACATGCTCAACATACCTGAAGGTAAATCAAAATCTACTTTTCTTGCAAAGGAGGCTTTCTTTTGTTTTCTAAGTACGGCGTCGTTTGGATCTAATTCATTTTGCATCCATTTATTCCGTATAAAGAAAGCCTCTGAGGAGAGTAGAAGGTTCGGGTGAAGAAACCAATGCATTTCGGCGACCGCCGGAAACTGAAAAGCCATCGATCGACGGAGAAAGCGAAAAGAGAGAGAGATGAGACTCGTCGTCTCAAGCTGTCTACTAGTTGCAGCTCCTTTTCTCTCTTCTCTGTTACAAGTTTCACTCGCCACTGTTGTCCTCAATTCCATCTCCGCCTCTTTTGCCGATCTCCCTGCTAAATTTGGTCAATTTCTCTCCTCCCTTACCTTTTCCTAATCCCAAACAATTTTCTCTTCAATCTAGTTTAAAAGAAGTTGATTTTGATTCTAGACGGCTCCGTGACCAAAAACGGAATCTGTGGAGCTCTGTACGTCGCAGATCCTCTCGACGGTTGCTCACCGCTGCTCCACGCCGCATCATCCAACTGGACACAACAGAGAACTACTAAGTTCGCTTTGATAATCCGAGGCGAATGTTCTTTTGAGGATAAGCTGCTCAATGCACAGAACTCAGGTTTTCAAGCTGTGATTGTCTATGACAACATTGACAACGAAGATCTCATCGTTAGTAAGCCTTTTTGCCTCCCTCCCAACTTTAGATTCCATCTTTTTTATGAGAGCTGAATTTCATTGGGGTTAATTTATTTAGTCAACGCCCAGAATCCCATAAGTTCGGACATTCCTAGACCAACATCTTGTTTTGCACAGTGAAGGTGAACCCTCAGGACATTACGGTTGATGCAGTCTTCGTTTCAAATGTCGCCGGTGAGATTTTAAGAAAGTACGCGAGAGGCCGAGATGGTGAATGCTGCCTTTATCCGCCAGCCAAAGGGAGCGCTTGGACTGTGCTGGCCATCTCATTCTTCTCTCTCCTTCTCATTGTCACTTTCCTGTTGATTGCCTTCTTTGCACCCAGACACTGGACCCAATGGCGAGGGAGGCACAACAGGACCATCAGGTTAGATGCAAAGCTCGTCCACACTCTCCCCTGCTTCACCTTCACTGACTCTGCTCACCACAAGGCCGGAGAAACATGTGCTATATGTCTTGAGGATTATAGATTTGGAGAAAGCCTCAGACTTCTCCCCTGCCAACATGGTATTCTTTTCTTTCTCCTGTGGAAAAAAACTGGCAACTTTCCACCATTAATGTTTTCATTGATGTCTTGGAAATGTAAATTTACGAGACAGAGATCGAAGCATATGCTTAATCTAGGGAGACTTTGATAGGTTTCTCTTAGATTCTAAGTTTATTAAATAGATTTCTTTCTAGCATAATTCCCTCTGCTTTAGGGTTGATGGTACAATATATTCCGTTTCTGTCAATTCCAGTTTGATAGGTAGGCACCTAATGTCAATTGATTCGAATGATATGATATGGGTCTAACATGTACAGCAGAAGAATCATCAAAGATTTGGCCTTTTTTAGTTTATGTAAGTGGGTAATTCATATCAGTTGGTTGACTTGAAGCTCTTATGCAGCTTTCCACTTGAGTTGCATCGACTCTTGGTTGACAAAATGGGGTACATCTTGCCCAGTGTGCAAGCATGACATAAGAACCGAGACTATGTCTTCTGAGGTGATCCTATTAGACTGACATCTTTGTTGCCATATGTATAAATGCTTTTGAGTTGTTATTTTGCTCTTTTTGTGTTGGCAACAATACAGTGTTTGTGTTGTTTTGTTGCAGGTACATAAACGAGAGAGTCTGAGAACAGATACAAGTAGATTTACCTTTGCTCAATCCAGTCAAAGCCATTAGATTTGTTGTTATCGGCTTATAGCAGCTGAACACACATATCAGTGCTCGGTTACGTGGATCAGGTCCAGGTTCGCATCCTATATTGAATGGTTAATCATGGTGGGGTAAGTATAGGTAAAGTGACTGGATTTGCCATAGTGGTCAATGCTGTGCTGGTTTTCCCAGATCAATAAGATCTGAGTTGCTTTGCTTGTACATTTACATACGCTCGGAGTCATTCCAGTTTTTTTTTCTTCTTTTTTTTTCCATATAATTGATCATTGTGTGTGTGTGTTGTTTCGTGATCTTCTTATCTGTGAATTAGATTAAAACGATGTGTATGATTGTACATAAATGCAAACAAATTGATAGAAAAAATGTTTGATATAATGAGATTTTCTCTCTCCGATCCAGGCAAATCTTTAATGGTATCTTGTTGATTTTAAAGGGGATTTCTTTGTCTAAAGTTTGTATAATTTAAATATTGAATCTGAGTCCCTTACATTGGGGAATGGAATCCATTGAAGGTGGCTTTGATTTTGTCTTGTCCCTAGTAATAATAAAAAAAGAAGAACACGTCATCCTCATGTCCACCTAACGGTCTCATCCAATACGAAGACTCGTTCATGGGGTCGTTAGTTGCCCAATTCCATCACCATAACTTTATTTCCATGCTCTTTAACTTGTTTCGGTTACTAAATTCAGCCAACATCTCTCTCTAATCAGTGAACACGTTTTCTATGCAGGCTTTGGTGCCTCTCTTATCATAGCTGTCCAAGAAGATTATCTTATATTCTTTATTGTAGATTTCATTTTACTTGCGTATGGCAACAAATTTCTAATGGTTAAATCATATACCATTATTTATATTGGCCATGCATTTGTATAAGTGGAATATAAAAGAATATTATCTGTGTTTGGTCCTATTTATTTCTCTCTGCTCTCTTCCTGAAGCTTCATCTTTTGTTTGACAAGAAGAGGTAGAGAAGATCAGATGTCTCAATCAATCTCCTCCAGCACAAAGGCAGAAGAAGTTGTTAGTGTAGATGTGAGCGAAGCCAAGGCTCTCCTCCAGTCTGGGCATCAATATCTTGATGTTAGGTGAGCTCCTGATCTATTCTATGATATCACCATGTCCATGCATGTACCAGCTGTTGGAGTTGTTAATTCCACATGCAGGACTCAGGAAGAGTTTAGGAGAGGCCATTGTGAGGCAGCTAAGATCGTCAACATTCCCTACATGCTCAACTCACCTCAAGGTAAGTCAAAATGAACCACCTTTAATTATGAGATATCAACCAGTACATAAATGAAAGCCTTGTGATCTCTACTCTAGGTAGAGTGAAGAATCAAGACTTCTTGGAGCAAGTCTCTTCTCTTCTCAACCCAGCTGATGATATCCTTGTGGTAACTCTTTTCTTCCTTAATTACATTTTTCCCCATAGAAGCCCAAAATTTTGTGAGATTTAATCATGGGGTTGATTAGTATGAAAACGATGATAAAATATGGTAAATGATATGATACAAACAGGGTTGTCAGAGTGGAGCCAGATCCTTAAAAGCCACAACTGAACTTGTTGCCGCAGTAAGTATATATATACACTCCGAATAATGTGTTTAATCTCAAAGAATCAAAAAATCAAAGAATCATTCATATTATTATTATATATGGTAAAAAAATAGGGTTACAAGAAAGTGAGAAACATGGGAGGTGGCTACTTGGCCTGGGTGGATCACAGCTTTCCCATCAACAAGGAGGAGGAGGAGCCATCTGCAAACTAATCATATTAAGATTCTCATCTTTCTTGTCGAATAATATAATTGCCTGTGTGATGTAATAATCATTTTCTATTTAGAATTGCGGTTTCTTGTAATCAAAACTTTCATGTGCCCGCAAACTTTCAATAAAAGCTGTGTTTTTTTTATTGAAAACTTTCTTGTAATTTATTTTTATAAGTGAAATAAATTACAAAACCCCTTTGACTTTGATAGTTTTGCTGGTCGGTCAAAACGTTTTGGGCTTTTTCAGTATCTAAAAAAAGGCTTTGGGCTTCTCAGCCTTTTGCGCAGCCTAAGCCCTTCTCTTCTCTGTTCTCGTCCGGCGATTCTCCGACTAATTTTCCGACCAAACACTTCTCTCTCTCTCTCTCTCATGGAAGAAACGTCGAAGCTACAGTTACCGGAGACTTTCCTTAGCTTTCTAGAGGCTAATGGCCTTGATCCTTCAATCTATACTCACGGAAATTCCATTCCACGCTATGTAAGGTAACTCCAGACCACCACCCCCTCTTTGCTTTTCTCAAGATTTCGTAATTTGGCATTGAAACCCCCAGAGGTCCGTTTCGTTTGAAGGTTGAAACCTGGGTTCGAGGATGCTCTCGAAGAGATTGAATCCCAAATTAACTGTAAACTGGACAAGGTGAATTGGTTACCAGGCTTTTACTCTATCCCTCCAGATGTTCATATAGCCAGATCCAAGGCGTATCAGCAAGGCATGGTGAGAGCAACCAAACACCAATTCTCCTCTCGCTTATTCGGTTTTCTTAACCTTATCTCTTCTTTCTTCGGGTTTCCAGATGTACGGAATCGATGCAGCTTCCGGTGCCGCTGTCTCAGCTCTTGGTATCTCCCCAGGAGACCATGTCTTGGATCTTTGTGCTGCTCCTGGTATTTATTTATACATCACTCGTTGATCAGCTGATTTTTTTGTACTGTGTCCATTCGTCTTTGTAACTTCTTTAGAGGGAATATTATTACTCTAGGTGCTAAACTATGTATGATGCTTGACCTACTCGGTGACAAGGGCACTGCCACTGGTGTCGATGTTGCAAGGCATCGTCTTGCTGCCTGCAGAACTATGCTTCTCAAGTATGGGCTTGCTGAAAGGAGCCGTCTTTTTCTTGCTGATGGAACCACTTTCTCAGTGCCACCAACCACTAACCTACCATGTAGAGCAACACTTCTACATCGTCAAACAGTATGTTCCTTTAAGCTTTCCTGACTTTGCTTATATTCAGGTGACTCATTAGTGGACGATCATGAAGACACATTCAAGCAGTGGACCTCCCGTAGACCTTACAAAGAAAGGAAACAAGAAGCTAAGGCCAGGAAGAATTCCGTTTTGCCGCAGAATGGACAGCCCGAAATTATTTTCTACGGACAGGGTTCTGGAGTAATCGGGCTTAAAAAGAAGCAACTTTATAGATCCCTTGACCAAGATGATTATGCATATTGTGGGTATGATAAGGTATAGTTTTGATGTGCGGATGCAGATACAATCACTTAAAAGTGACATAACTAAAAGATTGAAGTGGAAATATGCAGGTTCTTGTAGACGCAGAGTGCACACACGATGGTTCAATCAAACATATCCAGAAATTTGAGCAATGGGGTTGGACAACTCTGGAACGCCGTGTACTGGATGCTGAGAGAACCGATAGAAACTTATCAGCTCTTCAGGTAAATTCCATAAGTTTGTTGGTGTTTCGTGTGTCTGCCCTTGTTATTGCCTCTCTGGTGATCATTGCCAGGGCCTTTGTTTGCAGTTGAATCTACTGAGAAATGGATTCAGATTGTTGAAAGAAGCTGGCACCCTAGTGTACAGCACTTGCAGGTGAAAAATCCAATCACAATAAGCTATTTGTGCTCTTGCCTCTCTTTTTTTTGTTTTCTTTCTCTTTTAGCCTGAATCAGTGATATAAGTCGTGTAACTATCAGTTTGACGCATGCTCAAAACGAAGATGTGGTGGATCAGTTCCTTGCTGAAAATTCCTCTGCAGGTATATAAAATATATTCTTTGTGCTACGGTTTTCGAGATAGAACTCAAACTTTGTAGGTGCTATAGGTTAGATTTTGTTTGAATCTTGTATTTCTTGTTCCTTACTTATGGACTAATGGGGAGACTAACAGAAAACTGGGTCATGATGATGCAGAGTTACAAGAAATTGAAATGGCCAAGGATTGGCCGTGTAGAAGTGGTCGCACGCCTAAGACACTGCGGTTTGATCCTTCCACCTCAGCAACCAGCGGCCTTTTCGTTGCAAAAATCAGGAAATTGCCATCCAACGAAGCAAAGAAGAATGTGTTGTGATACCTCACTCAAAAAGGTGGTTAGGTTGATGACTCTACTTAAAGTTGGCTACTTTTAGCTTCTTTATCTGTTTGTTTAAAGATTAGAAAGTGGATTGGGTAGAGCCATTGGGTTTAGGATTTGCCTAATCCCAAATTCATGAATTGCAAGCTGATTTGTGTCCACTAGAACTTTTCAGTCTCACCACTTTTCTACTGTCTCAGTTTTTCTGTACATATCTAATTGTGATGTTGATCATAACAAAATAACGAATTATATATTTTCAATTCAGACACCAGTCCCCTTTTTCGCCGGAATCCTTCACACATCGTCATTACTAAATGTGGAACAAAAAGAGGACCGATCCAAGAGAAAAGTATTAACTTCACCAAATTTTAGTGACCATGATTGTATCTCTGTAAACTAATAATAACTCATAAATCATAAAAGAAAAGTTTTTGACACCTAGTCCTCTTTTTCATATTCGTCCAAAAAGAAAAGTTTTTTAGAAATGAAAAAACATAAATCACAAAAACTCACTATATTGTTGCAAGAAATATAACATGAACAACAAGTGAGAAAGAGTAGTTTGATGGTATTGATGTTCACTTTTGTATGTTTTGATGGAAAATCCTTGAGAAAGAAAAAAGAAGCATAAATGAAGATTTCACAATGCATCAGCTTTTTATCTACATTATATAATAACTCCCTCAGAAGCTTCCTTAGTAGACTTCAACATTCCACTGCTCACTCCTCTTCAATTGCTTCTTGTACTCCAACCAATCGATCCCTGTTCCCACCCAAACCAAACAGTTTAATAAAACATGTGGCACACACTTCTCAAAAACAAATGAAATGAAATCAATGTCCTCACCATCTTTAGCAGCAAGTGAGACCATAATGTCATCGATACCCTTCTCCATACCCTTAAGACCACACATGTAAACAAAGGTGTTGTCTTTCTTCAGCAACTCCCACAGCTCTTCTGCATACTCTGCCATTCTTGTCTGAATGTACATTTTCTCTCCCTTCTCGTTCGTCTGTTCTCTGCTCACTGCAAAGTCCAGCCTGAAGTTGTCCGGGTTCTTCTCCTTCATCTTCTCAAACTCCTGTCATTATCCACACAAGTCAACAACAGCTTTTTCACAAGACAACATTGGTAAAGTTGACTAGGATGTAGCTTATGTACCTCCTTGTATAGCAGTGAGCTGCTTGTGGGTACACCCAAGAAGAGCCAGGCCAAACCATTGAACTGCACATATAATTGGAAAATTCAGTTGGTGAGTGAGTGAGTTAGTGTGGTATAATTGGTCTCAGAGAGTTTGCTTTTGGTTTCACCTTGTAGTCCTCGTGCTCCTCGAAGAACATTTTCCACAAAAATGATCTGAATGGAGCTATTCCAGTTCCTGTTCCAAGCTAAGGAAACAGAAAACAACAAGTAATCAGTACAAGTGTTGATTAAATTATGCTCTCTAAGTGAGGACATACCATGATGATGGTGGCATTAGGGTCTTTTGGCATAAGCATTTCCTTCCCAACAGGTCCAGTGATCTTAGCTTCATCACCCGGCTTCAAGTCACCTGAAAACACCGGAACATTTACTAAGAAGAGTTTAAACCGTAATCGATCCATGACAGACCCATTATTCTTCTTTCTTACACAAGAAGTTGGAGCAGACCCCCTTAACAATCTCTCCGCTATCATTTGTGTAAACTAGTCTCTTGACACAGAGAGAAACCTGCACAAGAAGAATCCATTTGCCAGATAAAGAGAAGATCATTTGTAATCATTATATATATACTTGTTAGAGGGATTATTTGCTTACGGTCTTGGAGTCTCCAAAGTCACCAATGGCACTACTGGCGATAGAGTAAAGCCTGAGCTTGTGCGGCTTCCCGTTCTTGTCAATTCCCTCAGGAATCACTCCTATCGATTGCCCTTCTCTATACGGAATCTCACCTAATTCATAACGAACCTAATAATCACTCGGAAAATTCCTCAGAATACAAATGCAATTCCTTAAATTTAGGGATTGGCGTACCTTGGGTGGTGAAGACAATGTGCCAGGTCTCACCGGGAGCGTCATCGCCGGTGATCTTGGTGTTCAAGAGGCAGCGACCAGTGTAAGGGTTCTTAGGTTTGAATTTGTTGACAACAATCCCTTCTTCCTGTTTCTTAGACTCCTTGACTACTTTAACTGGTGGTGCCTCGGTAGTATCTGTTGTCACCTGAGCCTTCACTGACACAACTCTCCTGTAACACAGTGTGCTCTGTATGTATGTATAGCAATTATGCATGTCAAGATCCAGCTTTTTGTTTGGTCATAACTTGTGATTCAAACATATAAAATTAAATGAAATGAAACGATACCTTCTTGAGGAAAATCCTTTGAGGGGATACAGAGGATGTTTTGGTGGGGAGAGAGGATGACTTGGAGGAAGGTAAAGAGACTGCAGCACTTATAGCAGCAGCCATGGTTGATCAGAAGAAGAACTGGTGGCGATCAAAGTCAAAATGATAAGCAAAAAAAAAAGATCAAAGAAAAAAAAGGTTAGCGGGAGATATATGATGAGTTTGTGATTGGATGTGTGTGGATTGTGTGAAGGGCAATGTGAGGCCAAGTGTTAGAGTGGATAAGTTATTGCTGCTTATCATTGTCCCAATTTAGCCTTGCGCCTATTGTTCACATTTCACTATATATTTAATGGGCTCAAGCACATATTGATGGGCCTCTTATACTCATATATTTTGACATGGGAGTCATCCCTCCCTCAGTCATCCTTTCTCGTTGTCTCCACACACATTGATACATTCAGCTCCATACCAAATTACACGATGCTCAAATAAATAATCAATGATATCGTCTGCAGATATAGGAATCTGTACAGAAAAGATCAGCCAGAGAAACTCAACTACAAAAAGCTCAAAAGCCTTTTTGTTTTTGATTTACACGGGTAAGGTATTAAACAACAAGGTACGTATTCTGCATTCGCTGTTCAAGAAATCAACATCAAAATCGAAACAATGAATCAATTGAAATTGAAACCCCTCGATCCTCTTGACTGGTAAAGGTCCAGTCTGCTCTTTGCCTCCAGCAACAGTGCTTCTAATCTCTCCAGCTGTGTCACCCATGACTGCTTCGAAGCCCACTCCAACACTGCCAGAACCTCGTCCTTCGCCAGCTGTTCGCTGTCTGGAACATTGAGTGCTATGTAGCAGAGGAGCTCTAATGCCGGAATCTGAACGCCACTCTCTCCAAAGTAGGCCAACTGAACCAAATGTTTGCCCCCTCCAGCTTCTATAATGCCCCTCGAGTGATCTTTATGCAAGTAATTATCAGTGCAGGCGAACTTCGTGAGGGCAACTGCGGCTTCCACTGTCACTTCGGGCTCTCTTTCGTCCAGAAGCTTCACCAGAGGCCCAATCATCCGTGTCTCGGTTGCTCTGAAAGTTCTAGCAAGGTTCCCTATGGTTCTGATGCAGGGGATGAGTAGCTCAGAATCCGCGATCTCGATGATTTTAAGCACTTGATCCACCACAGCCTTGCAGGCCGGGGAATTGGGCTTGAATGCGGAGCGTCTTAGATCAGCGTCCTGCTCTGCAACGGCCGTAATCTCCATTAACGCCATAGCTGAGTTGTATCTGACCTCCTCGTTGCCCTTGTCAATCAGAACAGCGAAGCAGAGGAGAGCTCTGGACTCTGTGATGCTTTTGCAGATGGTGGAATTGCCTTTCGCCAGCTTCCACAGCGCTCTGGCAGCCATTGCCTTAATCTGACACTTGGTAGCTGCGTCTTCCAGCTCTCGAGTCTTGGATGCGCTCGAAGTTGTATTCTGGTGCTGCTGTAGATTGCTAGGTAGCTTTACACCATTACTCTGGCTCACACCGTTGCTAGTCGATTTCCTCGGAGGGTTTGCCCTAACAGCCATGGTGTTGACGACCACATTGTGCATCTGATTCGGCATTTGCTTCCCTGTAGGATGAGGAATCGAGCTCTGATCCTCATCAAGGCCCTTGGGCAAGGCGGTGGCGGAGGTGGAATTAGGATTTTCCTTGGCGAGAGCGACGGCGTGGTGAATGGAAGTAGCTTTGTTGGTAGTGGCAATGGCGTATTTGCTGTGCTCTTGCACCGTTTCGAAGGCCAAGTGGCCAACGAGTAGCCGAATGGCATTGTGCTGAGCGAAGACGTCTTGGCACTTGGGGTGATTGGACACAAGCTCCGACGTAGCCCACGCAACAACCGCCTGGACTTTCATCGGCCCTTCTTTGAGGACTTTGCCGAAGACGGAACAAGCTCCGCCGTGAATCATGTGCTCCACGCTCTCCGGATCACGGCCCAGTAATCCTAACGCACGCGCCGCGTTCTCTTGCCCCTCGGGCTTCCCTTCCTTGAGCAGTTTAAGGAGAGGCACCACACCTCCTTCCTCTATGATTAGCTTCGTGTAGCGATCGTTGTCACGGGCCAGCGATACCAGCGAGGCAGCGGCATCGGAGCGGTCTTCAAGCGATCCGGTGTAGAGAATGGCAATCTGCTCCCAGATCAGGCAAAGGATGGGTTCGTTGGCGGCGATTGGTGGAAGACCAAGGTAGCCAGCGTCACCACGGTCTTCCGCCGGAGCGGAGACACGGAGGAGCCAGGAAACGTCTCCGATAGAGTTCTCCAACTGAGCAGACATCTTCCGGAAGGCGGCGGCGGGGATGATGGTGAAGACGCGCTTCATGAGGCCATTGGCTCGGCACTTTAAGACAAGAGAGAGAGCCTTCTCAAGCATCTGCTCGGTGTCATCAATGATACGGCGAGTGGGTCGCTCGTAGAGATCGTTGCTGGCACGGGCAGCCTGACGGAGAAGACCGGCGAGCTTCTCGGTCTTAGCCTTGAGTTCGCCGCACTCCTGCTTGAAGGAACTAGCCTCATCGGCGGCTTTGACCACCTGGTCAGACAGTTGAATCGGCTTCGCTAGGATTTGCTTGACGATGTCCGCCATCGTCGAGATCAGATCAATGGCAAATCGAGATTCAGAAACGAAAAAAAGAAAGAAAGGACAAAACTTTGAGGAATTAGGGCAAAAAGGAAAAAGCTTTTTTATTTTCTTGTCAACTGGGTTTTACAGAAGCCGAGAAATTGACTGGATCGGAAATAATACTAAGAAAGAAGAAGAAGAGAATCCATTGGAGAGATGGTCGACGGACGAATGATTCCTTCAGAAAATGTCAAACGCGGCCGCGGATTACTGTCCGAATTTACTAATATGCCCCTCCTTATTACTGACTTTTCCCGTCTTCGGAAAAGGACATACCATATGCATTTTGATCAACATATCCCGGATTTAGTGTCTTTTCATCAACATTTCTATTTAAACCAAGTTATCATAATCTAATAGAGATTAGTATCTTTAAACGTGACTAGTCGAATAGAGATTTACATTCACCGAACCTGCAAAAATCACACATTTATATATAAAGAGTACTGTCACCTCCGATGATCTCTTTTTTTTTATAAATATATATCCAATTAGATTTGAGATATTCCTTTAACAAACATTTAATCAATCATTGTTAAGTAAATTCGTTGGAGCCACTCAGATCCTGGCTGGATAATACTCATAGAAAAGGGTGTGTTTGGTTTGGTGCTCTCGAAACGAATATTATACTAGGAAAGAAATATGGAAACAGACAAAATATATGGTAGAATCGAAATTACAGCTGGCTCTCTATGTTTCTTTGGTGCCCATCCATTATTAAATTTGGATTCGGCCCCCAGTCAGAGAATGCCACCTTTGGAAGAGCTCTCTCGTATTTCATCAATGGACAGTTCAATAAGATTTTCACTCCACTTTCTCTCTTTGGTTTGGCTGCGCCTTAAACAACAACCAAAGGACTTGCTTACTTATCACTACAAACGCAAAAAAAAGCCCACTTATCTTACAAGCAACATTACATATAACAAGATAAGACAGATCACATCCCAACATATTACATTGTGTCCTTACACCTCTTCTAGTATATACTACCGAGGATTCCTGTGGCCTTGAGGACTTGGAGCTCTCTGTGAACTTATGCTCGCTGTTCTTAGAAGTCTCCTGAACTCATGCAGGCTTATTTTCCCATCTCTGTCAATGTCTGCTTCATCCAGCAGTGGATCTATTGATCCTCTTAACCCCGTGTGCTGAGGATTCACAAACAAATTGGGTTTCATCACCCCCACTTACCTAAACATCTACTCTACCTACGATAATATTAATAAGAGTTTAGTTAAGCTTACCATTCGAAGTTCTTCAGGCGTTATGTACCCGTCTTTGTCAATGTCAAATTTCTCAAAAGCTGCTCTTGACCTTAGCTGCCATTTCTCTGAATCATGTTCTTCCAGTTGATGAACATGTAGAGCTGCTGCTACAAACTCTGTGAAGTCCACTAACCCATCAGTGTTGCTATCAATCTGTGACCAGCAAAGATACAACGACTCATTATGAAATTACGTCTTCCTCTGATACCCCCAGAGATGCAATTTCAATGGAAAAGAAGAATGTAATTACCGCTTCAAGGATTTCAGCAACTCGTGAATCCTTCAGTTTCCAAGGAAGATCTTTGGCAAGTGCCTGTAGAAAAAAGGACAAATGGATACATAAAGATTAACTGATCATGCCTAGATTTAATTAGTAATGTTCTTAAAGCAAAATATCATGAGCTTTTACCTGTCTCATCTCTTCAAGACTAATGACACCATTTTTATCCACATCAATCGCATCAAATTGATCTCTGAGGTCAGAGATCTCTGCCTCGTCAAGTGTGCTAGCAAGCGCCTGTCAGAAGGAGACACACAAAGCATGAGAGACATGTTCGGATCACTTTGTTTTTATCCATCCAACAACTTCCTCATTCAACTTACCCTTAAAGCAAATTGCTTTAGACGGCTGTATCTCACAAATTGACGTAAGTTGTTAAGAACTGAAATATCGACAGGGATATCAGTAGCATTCCCGCCTTCTCTAACCCACGCATGAGCTACAAAGGCAAGAGACAAAATAGCATTAGTCAAAGAATCCGCCGCACATGAAAAAATCACTATAGCACTCGAAAGCATACATAGGGCTTGTGCAGCAGTTAGCCGTGCTCGTGGGTCTTTTACAAGTAACTTTTTCACAAAATCTTTGGCGCTGTCGCTTATAGTTAACCATGGTTTACGGCTGAAGTCAGGTTTCTTTCTTAAAACCTATATTCATATAGTACAAATTAATAAGGAAGTCAGAAAGAAATAAGAAAAGCTATAGAGATAGAAATCCAGTGAAAGAAGTTTTCAACTACACCTCCTTAAATATACCATCTTCTGTCCTATCCCAAAAAGGCCGCCTCCCACAAAGTAATATATACGTAATCACACCAATGCTCCACACATCTGATTCAGGCCCTGATCTGCGCTTTAGTACTTCAGGAGCAACATAATAGGCGCTACCAACAATGTCATGGAACCTTTTCCCTGAGAAGAATTGAGTTGTTGTTTATGACAGAAATCAACAGAATAGGCCTACCACTTTGCTTGTGTGGATTTGGATAGCGTCTACTTACCTGGTTTGATAAAATCCGATAAACCAAAATCTGTAGCCTTTAGAGGCGAATCTAGTTGAGCTGATTTGAACAAAAAGTTCTGCAGGAAATTGGAAGAGGACCAAAAGCAGAAGATTATTATAACAAAGAAAAAGCACATTGAGGACTTGCTAAGAGGTATATGCAAATGAAAGTACCTCTGGTTTCATATCTCTATGTACAAGACCATGTAGATGGCATTCTCCTGCGACTTTGAGCATCTGCCTAACGACAACGGCTGCATCTTTCTCGGAGTATCGATTACCTTTCCTGACAAAAGAAGAAAGAAAGCGTCAATAATGAGAAGGTAAGTTCTTTCTTACAATACCGGTAACAGAATAGAGAGTAATGAGAGATGCAAACTAACTTGGATAAAATCCTATCCAGCAATTCGCCTCCTTCGCACAACCTAGAAGAAAAGCAAGAGTAAAATGATGTGAATGCCGCCGATACATGAAGGATAGACTAGACGGTAGTTTGCATAAAAAAAAAAAGAAGAAAAGAAAGGAGCAAAGGAGGAGACTCACTCCATAACAATATAGACGTAATCGTCATCCTCAAAGGCATTGTAAAACTGAACAACATTCTCGTGGCCAGAAAGAGCTATAAGAATCTGAACCTCTCGCTTGACATCCTCAACCGCAATAGGAAGAACCATCTGAGAGCAGAGCAAAAAAATGGTGAAGTGAAACTCAAAGCAGAGCAGAGGATGCAGTAAAAACCACAGAATAATGTTGCAATGAAGATGTGATGAAACAGAGAAAGAGCACTACACTAACTAACAAGTAAAAAGTCGAATCAAACCAGTTGATACATTCCCAAAATAAAACAATCTTGTTAAAAAAAAAAAAAAAGAGAGAGAAAGAAGAATCTACTAGTGTTAAAGTGAATTAAAAAGATGCCAATTTGTTTATCTGTGAATCTACTAGGGTAGTGGAGGAGGCTGAAATCGAATGTATAAACAGAGGGAGATAGATACCAAGAACTAGTAAAAGGGAATCCGAAAGTACCTTAGTCTTATCGAGTCTCTTAACGGCGACGCGATCTCCATTGGGCTTGTGGATGGCGACGTAGGTGTAGCCGAATTGACCATGGCCGAGCAATTTGCCGATGGTGTAGTGGTCGTGGAAGTCTTTGGCGTAACCAAAATCAGTACGCTTGCCGCAGGGGATGGAGCCGGTTCGGCGCTTGGTAGAGGCCTTGTTATCGATGGGAGAAGGAGCAGCCTTGGATTTGGGGTTGTTGGTCTGACTACTTGGTCTACTGCTGCTAGCACCAGTGACTCTAATGGCGGAGAAACAGACACCCATGGCTCTGAATCGAGGGAGAGATGAGAAAGTTAGAGATGGAAAGAAAGAAAGGGATTAATAAAAGCAGAGGAGAAGAAGAAGAAGAGAGGAAGGAGAAGATTAGAAGAGAGTTGAGTTGGTCAAACCCAAAGAGCCGAGTGAACCCCTCCCTCCTCTTGGAGGATCCCCAAGGAAAGATCCTTCTCACTTTCCCCCTTTTTTTTTTTTTGTTGCCTTTTCTTCTTCTTTTTTTATTACTATATCTGTTTTCTTACACAAACAAACAGAACAGCAGTGGAAACACACACACACAAAAAAATCCAGGGATTTGTTACAATTTCAGAGATTTTTAACTGTCATTTCATTTCGTTTCACCAAGACAAAAATAAGAAAATCGTATTTTGGTGTGAAAGCGAAGACCATCCTGTGTTTGGGCCCGACACCATCCCCCGGAAAGACTCTTCGACTCACCTTCAGTTTTGCATTATTGCCACCAAATTTCTCATTTATTACTTTCTAACTAACTCCATATTAGACTTGGATCTTTTGTGTATTCAAGTCTCTGTCTCTAATTCTACTCGTGTTTCTCCCCTTTCTAATCTCCCTAAACACTACTAGTATGCAATAATATAAGCGCCGGAAACTTAAATTACTTAAATCTTAGATTTTTTTAGTCTACCAAATTGACTTGGTCTTTTCAAACAAGTTTTCCATTTAATATGTCTATTTTTGAGTTTTCTTTCGTTCAACATTATATCTTATGGTAATGTTTATATAAATCTAAGGCGTATACGTTTCCTTTCTTTACACTGGCTCGTTCGACTTCTTTCAATTGAATTTTTCCCACTGAGGATGAAAGTAACTAACAACAAATGAAATAATAATCTCTTTTGCTATTCCGGTGACTGACGGTGCATCACTTTCACGTGCCATTCCGTATTCCGATGCTTTTTTTTTTGTTTTTCCTCTACCCGTACTCCGATGTTATTAGTAAGGGATCAAATTATATTTTAATCATATACTATAGTTTAGTATACGAAGAATTCTTTTAATGGGAACACCAAATTTGTGTTAATGATGACGGCAGGCACTTACTTGGCAGTATGAATCTGAAACTGCTTTTTCATTATTTTTATTTACTTGTCCAGATTGAAAAACGTGTGCATGAGCATGTTACTTTACTAGCCTAAACAAATACTAGCTACTACTACACCTAACGTATTTTTATGTTTTGTTATAGAACGTGGGCCCCTCACACCAATTCTGATCACTAGTAGTGAGCCCAACCAACCGGGCTTCTTTTATGTTTTGGGCCCATTCAATTTGTCTCCTCAAATTTTAAAATTTCGATGAAAAAAGTTACGTTTTCTACATCATATGGCTTGCGAGTTGTGTGTAGACGGCATGCAGCATGCATGACAAGCTAAAACGAACGGTGGATATAACTAACATATACAAATTATACTATACATGGTATACAAACAAAAATGATGTAAATATTTAGAATTTTGTCATTTGGAGGGTTGGTAACCTCTCTTTTGTGCCTACGCATACCTAACCTACTTACTCATACTTGTCCATTTATTCTTTCTCAGAACGAACTCACACACACCGTCCTCAACTCAGAAAAGTCACCATGTCTCTCGCCAACAATCGCTTATCATCAAGTAAGCCGCATTATTTTCTCCCCCTCACTCTCATTAAAAATGAAAAACTTGTAAATTCGTATAGTACTCTTCAATCTTCATGGACCTTATAAATAAATGTCAAAAATCAAACTAGACTTGATGAGTTGGTCTTCCTCGTCGCCCATGCCGTTGCCTTCGGTGACGCCACTCCACGTCGACGCATTTACTTTTCCTCCGGCTGTTGAGTCGCCCGCTTCCCACAAAAAGCTATTCCTCGGTGGTGCAGGTTAGCATCAAAACGTGGGCCTATCTGTCTACAATCAATGCACACATACATGTGGCTAATTACCTTATATATATGCACGCAGGGATACGATGGTTTGATATTGAAGGCAAGTTCGTGATTGTGACGGTCATCGGAGTCTACCTTGAAGCTATGTTGTTACCATCACTCTCCGTTAAGTGGAAAGGCAAGAATGCAAAGGAGTTGACGGAATCCGTCCCTTTCTTCCGTCAACTCGTCACAGGTGTACACTTTATTACGTGCTAATTTAATTAAAACACTTTTGTCTCTCGTTCACACTTCACACGATTTGTGTAGTTGTTATATGTTCAAGTTAAACACGTCATATATTACTTGTTGTTTTTTCTCTTCTTTTGTTGTGGGAAAAGGTGAGTTTGAGAAATTCGCAAGGGTGACGATGAAAGTGAGGTTAACGGGAACACAATACTCGGAGAAAGTAGTAGAATACTGTGAGGAGATCATGAAAGCGTCAGGGAAATACACAAGATCCGAAGCCAAAGCCATCGACCAATTCTTGATGGTCTTCAAAGACCAAGATTTCCCTCCCGGCTCTTCAGTCCTCTTCGCTATCTGTCCTAAAGGCTCTCTCACAGTGAGTAAGCCTATTTTCGGTTCTGAATTCGAATAATATCGATGGAATGAATGATCTTTTCACAACTTGCGATGCAGATTGCATTTTCGAAAGGGCAGACAGTCCCGAAAACTGGAAAAGCGGTAATCAAGAATAAGTTGTTGGGTGAAGCAGTTCTTGAGTCGATGATTGGGAAGAATGGTGTATCCCCTGCAACCAGGAAGAGCCTCGCTGAGAGATTATCTAAGCTGTTGAACAAAAAGGGCCAACACGAGGAAGCTAACAAAGTTCCCACAAAAAAATAAAAAATTTCCAACTCGCCCAATCTTGTATTTATAAATTTTAGAAAATGAAGACACAGAGGATGTTATATTATTGTTATGTGTCTTATGATGACAGCTAAAATTAAGATTGTTATGACCATCTTAATTAAGACAGTTTTATTATGTTTATAAAGATTATGAAAGATGATTGTGTTAATGAAAATCAGTTTGATCAAATAAACAAGGTGGGCCCTTTTAAAATATATGTAATACAGTGGGCTTTGTATTATGGGCTTACAGCCTTGTTAGGGACGCAAAGGCCCGTAATTAAGACGGCAACTAAACTTAATTGAAGAAGGAAAGAACACAACGGCTAGTTTTCATAAACGGCTCCATCCATTTCTGTACCCAACGGCTATGGCCCTATTTATTTATATTTGACCTAATTGCCAACGCCTCAATCACTTGTCTCTCTCATAGCATTTTATTTCTCTTCTTCTCTTCTTAGTTTACCAGATATTACTCTTTATCTGCTTCTCGGAATCGTAAATCGTAATGGAAACACCATCATCGACAAGAAGAGTCACGAGATCTCAGACCCGCTCTGCCATCAATAATCTCTTATCATCAAGTAAGTCTCCATATTCTTCTCCTGGTTTTCTTGACTCCATTTTAATTATGGGATTAATTTTAAGGTTTCTTAGGTTGAGAGAATCTTGATTCTTGGATTTTGTTTTATTGTGTAAGACTATTATTTGAATTTTATTGATCTTTATTGTTTCTGGATCTGATCGTTTATAATTCTTTCTCCAGAAAAACTGGATGATTGTCAACCGAAATCTGTACAGAGAAACGGTGCAAAGTTACAGCAAGACAGGTCAGCGTTGTTTGACATAACGAACGACTCTCCGATCGTAGGTCTGGCGATGCAGACACCATCCTCAGGATTGGTTGGGAAGAGGAGGAATATGAGCAGAATCAACAACACTCCTGGATCTGGTGAGGCTCTCTTGAGAGGCCAAGTCAAGACCCTCTTGCACAAGGTTGAAGAAGAAGCAGATCTCACCAAGATTTCAATTGAATCTCGTCCCTTCATCCATCTCGTTACTTCTCCCATGGGACTTCTCGCCCCAACTCCGGCCAACACCCCTCAAGTTCTCGATTTCTCAGGTAATAACGATGAAGTGCAGATTGTGATCACTTCTCCGGTTGTTGCAGGACAATTCAGAGCAGCATCTAAGGTAGGTAAAACTAGATTTTTATATATTGGTTCTCTGTTTTTTTTTGCTAGTTGGAAGAAGATTCTCGTGGGGGATATTAACTTGGTTTCTTCCTTCTTCTTGCAGATGGTGGAAAGCAACACGTTTGGTGAGAAGGAAGAGAGCCTGGAGTTAGAGAAGAGCCCGAGCATAACTCGGTCATTGCTGCTGGACTTTAGTGATAAATCAGAATTATGGGAGAGCTCAGGCTGCTCCTCTGGGGTGACTCAAAACCCAGAGGATGATAACTCGTCAGTGTGGTCGATGCAGGCCAATGCAAGTGCCAAAGACGAAGAGGATGATGAAGAGGAGGAAGCCTATTCTTCTTACGGTGAGGAATACTACGACGAGGAAGAGGAGGAAGAAGAGGGAGGGATTTTGGATGGGTTGTGTGAAGGGATGAGGAAGATGAGCGTAGATACTGAATTTGCAGGGAAACACACTCGATTTGTGTATGACAGTGAAGATGAAGAGATTGTGGAGGCCAAAGAGCAATCTCCAGGAGTGCTGCGTTTGAAAGGTTTTCCTACACCAACTGGAAAACATGTCAGATTTCCCGGCGATGAATGAGCCCAAATTTTATTCTTTCTTTTTTTGGAGTTGTGACAAAAAGCCTCAAATGTCTCGACTTTCATGTTAATCTTTCTTTTCTTCTTTTTCTTGTTGTTGCTCGATGATTTTACAAACCTGATTCTTGGGCCTATACCTTGTTATTCTTCAATAACTAAAGTGTAATCGGAATTTGACGTTTTTTTTTTAATATCTTTCTTCTCTTGCCTGTTGTGCAAAAGGCTTTCAATTGGAATCCATCAAACACCTTAACCGGACTTAACCGATATCAAGATTAGACATTTGCATTAACATCTATAGATTAGTAAAAAAAAATGACTTCTATTGGTTCATCCGATTCTATAGCAAAAATAAAGAAAAATTATGTGTGGAAGTGGAACATCTCTGTTATCTACAAACCACTGTACTTGGTCAACTACAGATACATACAAAAAATTAATCTATTGATAAAGTATATGATATCCATGAGATGAGCTGTACTTTTCGACATAGACCTGAGACAATTAACAAATTCATGTCTCTTTATTAAACCATCCAAATTTGTCTACATCTAGGATGATCATATCAATTATGTATCTCTTTCAGTTTTTGTATTGGCCGGTGAGTCGGCTCAAATGTTTTAACAATGCAATGAAATGTATAAATAAGTTTGATTGTGTACTATATAGAATTCATGCTATAAATTATGAGAGATTATATATTGGTGAAAACTTGCACATGTGACCATGTGAAAATCATCAGACGACGTCAGTAAAGACAATGACCCGCATTCTCTATTTATTAAGTATGCACCAATCCTTAAGACAAGTTCTTTAACTCTGCCCCATCTTGTAAATCCATTCATAGACACAATTCTTCCCTTGCCCATTCTATACAAGTATCAAGTATGCATATATCTACGTGTATATGTTTATGAAAAAAGAGCCACCTAACAAATCAAAATGCTTTAAATGGCTATTTGCATGCGAATGAGATATGGTCTTAAAATGTCCCGACCATGTTATAAACACACACATTAAATGTACTATTCACCAAAACTTAAACTTGACCAGCCTTAAAGGATTTTTTTATCTTTGATATTGGAACTTGAAAGTCTCATCACTTACTAATAAAATAAGCAAAAAGACAAAACCAATTTGATACTAATAAAACTACACCTCCCCTTGGTCCTTGGATCATCATTTAGATTGTCGTGTATAAATAAAAGCCCACATGCGATAGCCGAAGAGGAAACACATAATCATCAAAGCTTGTAGATGAAGAGCAAGAACTCCGGCGCCGGATGTGTACCACGTGTAAAAACCAGCTCCAGAACCGCTGGTGATCGGGAGATTAGTGTAACGTCTCTGACTCTCCTAGACCGTTTTCGCGAAGCTGTTCTCCGCCTCATCATGATATCTGCCGTCTCCAAGTCAACATCTCGCCGTCATAATAACAAACAGACGCCAACCCAAAAGTACTATAACACCACTGATACTTATCACAGCGAAGCCGTGGCTGACTGTATCGAGTTTATCAGAACCAAGAAGGCCATCATCCACCAGGAAAACGACCGCTAAGGCCCTCACTTCTTCTATTCTTCATTGTCGCCTGTTGTATTAGCAAAATTATTATTAGGTGAAATAAAGGTTACCGTGTATATGCCTTGCTTAATATTTTTGGGATTATATATTAGTACGAATCACTCTCTTCAGAATTTTACATTCCACTTATATATTTTTAGTATTGTTGTACCTTAAATACGATTACTAAAAAAAGAAGAAATCGATTTGTTACTGTATAAGACTTAGTTACCAATATAATATGCATCGACACATCCGTGTAACTTCAAATTTGGTATATTGGTTGTGGTAATTTGTAAATTTTGGTAATTATGTTCATGAAGTTTGTAAACCGGTTGAATTTGATGATGGTAAAGTCAACGATCGATCCACGGGTCTGCTGGATGTTGAAATGGAGAGCGCATCATATGGGCCCATATGTAAGAGCCCAGAATCTAAATATTGGCCCAAATAGAAAATCGATGGCATCATCAGTTAAGGCGGTGGAAGACGTTGTTAGGGCTTGTTCGGGCTTCTACCGATCACCGGCGATTTTGTTCTACGCGTCGGAGAAATGGTTGGTGAGTGTAATTGGTGACACGAGATTTCGTTTCTGGGCTTGGTGTAACGTGAAGTTTAATAATTGATTTGCAATGGTGGAATTTACAGAGAGAGAGGACCGAGTTTCTTTGGAACTCAGCGAAGAAATTATACAGAGCATGGAACCTGGCGCCGTTTTCAGAGACTATGTAATATCTCCTTCCCTTGTCGAAGCTTTTGTTCTTTTTCCTTTAATAAGGGTGTTATTATTATGGGTTTCTAAAGGACAGAGCTTTTGTTTTCAGAATTGCAGGATCAGCTCGATTGACTTTCACAAAACTTCGACTTGTATGGTGACAGCTAGCGACGATGACTCTATTCGTCTCTATGATGTTGCCAGCGCCACGTAAGCTCCAAACTCCAAAACTCTGCCTTGCGCATTGCTCTTGAAGACATTCCAACTTTGTTTTCATTGTTTTATTGTGTCAGATGTCTGAAGACAATTAATAGCAAAAAGTATGGTGTTGATCTTGTTTGCTTCACTTCCCATCCTACTACTGTCATCTACTCTTCCAGAAACGGATGGGACGGTGAGCCCCCAATATTCTTGTACATTGCTTCTTTCATTCCTCATTATCTCATTTATTACTTTAACTGACTTCCATATCTGGTTGGTTAGACTCTCTTAGGCTTCTCTCTTTGCACGATAATAAGTACTTGCGCTACTTCAAAGGCCATCATGACAGGTTTCTTTCTTTTCTGATTCTTGTTTGATTAGCTTATGCTTTCCCCTCTTCATAACCATATAGACTTAACCAATTTATGCTGTATGCAGAGTTGTTTCGCTTAGCTTGTGTTCTGGTGGGGAATGCTTCATCTCCGGTTCCCTTGACCGAACTGTTTTGCTTTGGGATCAAAGGGTCGAGAAATGCCAGGTAGATTACCTTTTTCTACTCTAGGTGCTTATGAAGGTCTTACGTTTAATAAAATTGATCATTTGGTTTTTAACCACAGGGTCTCTTACGAGTCCAAGGAAGGCCTGCTGCTGCATATGATGATCAAGGGTTAGTTTTTGCAATTGCCTTTGGTGGCTACATAAGAATGTTTGATGCTCGTATGTACGAAAAGGTTTGTTATTGACAAAAGCTACCGATGATCCTGATAGACCGCCTGTATTCACTTTTCTTATTTACATACATTCAACATTTATCTTTTTCTGATTTGGATGAGTTGCCTTTATAGGGTCCTTTTGAAATATTTTCCGTTGGTGGTGATCTTTCTGAAGCAAACGTCGTGAAATTTAGTAATGATGGAAGGCTCATGCTACTTACAACCATGGATGGTTTTATTCATGTGCTTGACTCGTTTCGTGGAACACTTGTATGCCTTCAGCCTCCGTTGCTCTTCACCACTCATGTTTTTTTTTTCATTTACAAACACATGACCAATAAATATACATAAACTGGTTTATGTGACTCTTTTGTGGTTCATTGCAGCTGTCCACATTTAGTGTGAAACCAGTAGCTGCAGAATCTACATTGGATGCAACCTTCAGTCCTGAAGGGATGTTTGTTGTTTCAGGTAACCTCGAGTTTTACCTGATTCGGATGACGTATGCTCACACACATTCACTCTTCCCACATGTAAAATAACTCTTATCTGTTTTTGTCATCGTTTGGTAGGTTCAGGCGATGGTAGTACCCATGCATGGGGTGTAAGGAGCGGAAAACAGGTTAGACTAGCAATACAGCCATAGTTTGTTGTACCCTGGAAACTGTGCTTTTGTATGGTTTTGAGTGTTGATTGGATTCTTAAATGTGTAGGTACATAGTTGGATGGGTATAGGCAGTGAGCCCCCAGTCATTAAATGGGCTCCAGGAAGTCCCATGTTTGTGACCGGCTCTTCCGAACTTGCGTTTGTTATTCCCGACTTATCTAAATTGCCAGCTTATGCCATACGGAAATAGGACGACTATCACGTCTGTGCCATGTAAATGAGTCCTCACTTGGCCTTTTGGTTCAAGAATTTGTTGTGGGTTATGCCGGTAACTTATTCCTTCACTCTGATTAATTCATCTGTGACTTTGTATTCTAGCAATTACTCGTACCATGAAGATAAAAAACCCAAGTCGTTGTTGTAATTCCGTGTAATTTACAAGATTGATTGACTGTTTCCGACTGATTCTTCCGCAAGATTAATCTCGGGAATCAATCAATTTGACAGAGAGAGGTTTGGTTCGAAAGTTAAAATAGTGGGCCGGCACATATATAAGTAAAAGCCCAATAAGGCCCAAACTCTTGCTAAATTATATAGTTAAGAAATTCGTTGCCGTCAAATGAAGAAAGTCAGTTTAGGGAGAAACTTTGTGCCAAACTAAATTGTTGTGATTCTCTCCTTGGCGTCTTGTTGTTAAATAATCCTCGAGCAAACGACCCGTTTCTCTCACCAAGTCAACCCGACCCGACTGCGTTCTCCTCAGGGTTGATCGGCCGGGACCTGATTGCGATTATTAGCCTCTCCCGAAATCAACGGGCAAACGCAAAGTTGATCCCCTCTGGGTTTGTCATTTGATATCTTCTTTTCCCTTAGCGCTCGTTTATGATTCTGATTACGTTCTTCGTTGTTTGCGATTAAAAGATTTTCTCTTGAAATATCTGAGTCCATGGCTTCTTGAAGCCTCAAGGCTTTTTCTTGTTTGACTTTGGAATATCGAAGCTGCTCATACTCCACCAAATTATCAAACTTGGATGTTCTTACCAGAAAATGTTCCTTGCATTCTCTTTCTTTGTTGCTTGTTAGCTTTTTTTTTAATGAGTTTCGTTTATGCGATATTTTCGTACAGATAAAGAAGCCTATGGCTGCAAAGGAAGTTGTTTCTGCCTCAACTTTAGAATCTAAGATCACTGAGGAGGATCATCACCTCTGGATGCGAGCTATGGATTGGAGCCGCTCCTCCAACATCAGTATTCTGCAAGACAGATTCATAGCTGCTGAGGATTCTGCTCTTGTTTCACAAAAGGATGTTGAGATTCTCTTGAGACGAGTGAAAACTTGTACAGCCTTATTGACTTACCTGAAATCTAAAGCGACTACTGTGGCTGCTGCCGATTTGGCCAATCTATCACTTGGAACTGTCCAGCTCCAAGGCTCGATAGACGAACATGATGGGACTTATGTCACTGAGATGCTTCAGCATGTCGAGACCGTTACAGGCGTCATGGAGTCTCTGGCTAGGCGTGCTATCATCGCCGAATCAGAAGCCGCAATCGAGAAAGGAAAGGTTGTGCTAAGTCAAGAAGAGATTCAAAGAAAAGTTGGCCAAATCGAGAACATGTCCGTCAAGTTAGAGGACATGGAAAAGTTTGCTCTTGGGACCAGTGGTATTCTCTGTGAAATGCGGCAGAGGGTTGATGATTTGGTTGAAGAGACGTCTAGACAGAAGCAAAGAGCTACGGAAAATGAGCAGGAACTCAGTCGTGTCAGGAGAGACTTTGAGTCTCTTAAATCCTATGTTACAAGTCTCATTAGCGTCAGAGAAACACTCGTCTCATCGGAGAAGCAGTTCCAAACAATCGAGAGGCTTTTTGAACGGTGATTTCTATGCACTTTCCATCTTTTCTGAAAAACCATATCTTGTGTACTTCTTCCTTGGTTGTCATCAGTCTACCTACTCATTGTGTAGGCTCTAGAATTAGGAACTTTGATCATCATTCATTTTTTTTGGGTACTCATTGTGTAGGCTCTAGAACTTATCTTGTGTAGCTGATCACCATTACGGGGCAGATTTATCATTGTTTCCAAGTCTGCATTCATGGCTAGCTGCTTTAAGGGTATAAGTGAGATTAGAGATAAGTCAACCTTGGGATTAGAGATAAGTGAGACTCTCATCATGTTTACTTAGGTGTATGATAACGACTTGTCTCAAAAACTTCATACTTGTTTGTGTGTTAAAGAATCATATTTCCTTCCTTTCCTATTGTGATTGTGACTTCATGGGGGTGTCAATGATGATGAAACAGGCTTGTTGCAAAGACAACGCAGTTGGAAAGCGAGAAAGTGCAGAAAGAAGCAGAGGTTCAGAAACTAATGGAAGAGAATGTAAGATTGACGGCTCTTGTGGACAAGAAAGAGGCACAGCTTCTGGCCATGAATGAGCAGTGCAAAATGATGGCCCTAAGCTCTATATGATGCTCAGAGATGAAAATTGCTACTTAATCTTTTCTTCCACGTGTAATATAAAGAAATTCTTATTTGATACAACTTCCACGTTTGTTGATATCCTAAAGGCAACAAAATATTGGTCCTGGAAGACTCTGTATGTGATTGTACATTCTCAGCAGGTGAAATTGCGTTATGGTTTGGTTTAACTTAGCTTGCTCCGGGGTTTAGGGTTTTAGGCTTGATAGGATTGGCTGAGACTCGTCAGCTTCTTTATTTGATACCCATAGGGGACCGGTGGTTTTGGTCGGACCGAAAAATCGGTAAATGATTGGCGGCTGCACGAGACTGTATGGGCTTTCTGTTATATTTCCGTTAATGGGGTTTTGTCTGTAATACATCATTGCTCCGTTTCTTTCATCCACAGAACATGAAGAGCCGTCGTCGCCCATGTTCTCTTCAGCAATTTGAAAATCCCTGACATGAAATTTTCTATATCTATATCATGTGGTATATGTAATTTCTTCACTTATCACTATGAAATTACATGATCTTAACTTATAGAAACATGGGGAACTCACAGTTTAATTTGTCACACAGATGCCAAGATTATGTATAGTGGCATTAGAGATTTTAATATATTTAATAATGATATGAAACATATATCTTTCTTATACATGTCTAAAATGGAGAAGTGTTGCACATGGTGAGTCCCATAACGTTGAAACATCATGTTAACACACAGGTTAATTCTCTATGTGTGCAATTAACATGTGAATATATATTTATATATTACTCATAATCATATATATGTGTGTTTGTGCATATAAATATGAGTCACCACCACCACTATCTCTTTATCTATTAAGTCAAACAGAGAAGCAAAAACACAGAGAGGCAAAAGAAAAAAGGATCTTCGAGATCAATGGGAGTAGAAAGGGGAAGTGGTAAGGCTCTGAAGAAGATGTTAAAGAGATGTTCGAGTTTGGGGAAGAAGAGCAACGTCGACGTTAACTTTAACGGCGTCCCCAAAGGTCACTTCGTCGTCTACGTTGGTCACTCCAGATCCCGACATGTCATCCCCATCTCCTTCCTCACGCACCCCATCTTCCAGGTATATACATCAACATGGATCTCTTCTTCTCATTGGTTGCATCTGTTGTGATACTAATTATAAATCTTATTATATTCATGAAACAGATGTTGCTGCAACAGTCTGAGGAAGAGTTTGGGTTCTTTCAAGACAATGGCCTAACCATCCCTTGTGATGAACTCTTCTTTCGATCTCTCATTTCCTCCATTAATCCTTAACGTGAGACAACTATAAATATGAAGAAGATCATATATGTACCTACTTGCATGTGTATATCCTTTCTTCCTAAATTAGTTCTTATGTATTAGTATATATAGTGCATGATGTCCTTTGAGAGTTGTAGAGTTCACGTTAAGTTACGTACGTATACTTTTGTTTCAACCTCATTTTCTTGGATATTTCTAAAACCAAAAGCGTTATATCGCTTCAAAGAGAGAATCTAAACAAGGACAGATCACACACACAGAACTACATCATCACCTCTCTATCATTTCTGTATATTCTGATTGGACCCCCACGTTTTTTGTCCTTTTGCAATTATCTATCTCTAACGTCAACAATTTTTTTCGCCCTCGACACTCATGGACCCTTCTTCACCAAATAGAGAGGCTCACTGGTCACAGGTAGCTCTCAACACACGACCAAAACTGTCAAAGTTTTGATATTTTATAATTAGTATACGAAAATATGCTATTATTGTTATGATTATTCATTTGAAAATTTGACTTAATCCGTGGTTATGTTAGTATTTAGATCGAGTATCATACCATTTTCCAAAGAAATTAAATAATCTACTTCACTCCCAAGTAAACGCGCATGAATATGTGTATACATGACACCCTTGAAAGTGGACTTTATCCATGATGGTGTCACAAAAACAACAATGTCGTAAGATTTATAGTTCATTATATATTTATATATGTTAAACAAATCTTGGAGGTGGTATGTCACCACTCACCACCAGGCACCACCACAAAAACACGACAAGACTTTTTCCCTATCAGATGATTAAATTTCAGATTAATTTGCAAAACAATAATTTATAGAAGTAAACGTCTTCTACATCTCACAAATTTCGGACACTTGGCTCCCAAAGTATGATTTCATCTTAATATTAATATTGGTATCGTATGAGTGGTGATGTAATTGATGTGGCAACGATCAAATGTTCTTAACAAATGATATTGACTAAAACTATATACTACTATTTAAGCACCATCAATCAAATCATTCAGATCGCGTGAAGAGAAAAAAACTTGACATAACCGTTTCAGTTAATCGTTATGCCTTAACACATTAGACAACGAGTTTTGGATAAACTCAAGTCTTTATTCATTAATATATTTTGTAACACCAATCAGAAATCATATTATTGGTATAACAATTTATTAAAATAAAACAGACAAGCAATTGTGAGTTTTTTAGTTGAGCGCAGGTGTAGGGTTCACATGTCGGGTGTGTTCTTATGTGAGCTTTTCTACTAATTTGCCCATTGTTTTGCTTCTTCATATAATTCATTATCACCAAATATATCTTTTCCATACAAATGATTATACTACCCTAAATCTTTTTTTTACTAGATTAGTTCAACACAACCGCTTCCCCTATAGGTTCGACATTATCAAACATTCAACAAAACAGACTAAATGCTGTTATGTTTCATTGTTAATCTCTAGTTTGACTTATCTTTTTCTTTTAATGAAATCTCCTAGGTGTATTGTTAGTCCACAGCTTTTAGAATTTTTAATACATTTTTAAGATTATAGTAGAAAAATGAATTAAACTCCAGTGATATCATTAACTAATTTAATGGTTAACCTTGTAGGTAGATGGCCAAAAGAAATGTAACGGCAATGGGTGAACCCAAAAAAAACATGGATGACTAACTTTGCGAAACTTGTTAAACAACTTATCAGAATTTGGATGAAGCTATTTACCAATATTTCAGACATGCTTGTGGTTAAATTTTGAGTCTTATAGTTGCTCTGTTACGATCCAAACTTGAGTCTCTTAGCTCTGGGAAAGTGAGGAGGTGCAACATCAGTCCACAACCTTTTAGAGCGGTCGTGAAGATACAAGCAACTCTCGCCGAGCCTACACCCTTTGGCTCTGTTAAAATACATGCACGGTTTCTGAAACTTAACCTTTATGACTTTCTTATCATCAACTCTTCCTTTGTAATTGTTAGTTTCATTTGTTGCCGGTTTGACTGCCCCATGTTCCCTAATGAGGCTCTTGAAGTAGTCTAGATTTTTCACGGGTTTTGCAGAAACCTGACCATCCTGGTTTGTGTTACCATTACGGATTTGAGCATCTGTTTCAGTTCTCGCTGATTCTGGTACCCTATTCATATTCCAAGTGCTGGGCATGTTAAGGGATTGGGTCTTTTGTTCCGAGACTACAACATCATCAACTGGGCTTGGTTTCAAGGGAGCAGCAGCTGTGTAAGAATCCTCAAATATTGGCAATGGTTTGATCCCAGAAGACAATGGATAGCTGTGGACAACCAGGGTGGGTTTCTGGAGGTTAAGGTTCATTGATAGGGCACTTGACATGGGCTGAGTGGGTTTGGGGAGTGGAGGATCTGTAGCACTGGACTGACCCGAAAAAGGTACATTAAGTGGCACACCATTTCCAGGCATGGGAGGTGGGTTTCTGTCCATTGCTGTGGAGGTGACATGTTGAGGAGCAAGTCTAGGTTTGGTGTCTGTGTTTAGACTGTTATTTGCAGTTTCAAGTGGTTTACCTTTCATGTCATTGATCAAGCTCTCTACGATTTTGGGGTCACTGAGTAACTTGACAAGTAAATCAGCATCTACCTGACACCCCTGTTCCTTGGTTAACGCAGACAAAGCTGCAGAAGCAAGAAGACTTAACTCTGGTCCAAGTCCAGAAACAGCTGCAGGAGCTTCGAAACTGTGGGAAGATTCTGCAGCAGCCTCACGTTCATCTTCAACGGGAGTGAGACGGATATTAGGAGTTTTGCCGTCGTCATAGTGTGCTTCTTCTACAGCCGGTGAGACTGAAGGACTAGAAGAAAACAGAGAGAGATAGAGAGGATGTGATAAGTGGCAAAAACATGGCACAAAAGCAAATCCTCAAATGATGAGATGAAAGAAAAATTACCGAGTAGGGATGACAGAGCGATGCGGATAGAAAGCTTCCAAGACTTTAGAAATCCTGAGATTCTCAGTACGAGTCTCGGTGCTCTCTCCACCACTCCCGACAAGCAAAGCATCATTGAGGACAAACTGTTTGGCGAAATAAAGAAAGACGGAGAGAGTTGATAATAAGAAAGTCACATTGTTTGCAATTCAAGAAAAGGATTATACCTTTGGTGGGTGTTTCCATTTGATCCGAGGAATGTGTGAGAGGATTCGCCTCGTTGCATACTCAGTAGCTTCAAATCCAGGTGGAAGATTCGATGCGTTTGGTACACTTGATGCAACTTTTGCGGGACAGTCATCAGTGAGAAACAACTTAACCTGTCCAAAGCCTTTACTTAGTTAGTAACCAAATGTGTGTACTCAACAGCCACAAAAGTCCCTTTTTCTTTCATGAGTTATATAAGTCCTACATGTTTCACTATTTCAGGAGGAACATATTGTCCAAATCTTTCTAAAATTAGTGACCACATTGGTACATCTTGTTTTTTTTGGGGGCTTTCTTGCTGTTTATGCCTCTCTACTATGTAAAGTAGATTCAAGTATCATAACATCAACATTCAGGCAAAAAAAAAAAGAGTATATTTCACAAATCAATTAATTAGATTCCACATTACCAGAAAAAAAAAATAAAAAAAAATCGTCTTCTTCATTTAAAGTTTATTGCTTTGACGATGACTTATGGAAAAGGTTTTATCTTTGTATGAATTTAAAATTAAATAAAGAATAAACAATCAAAAGCAATCAAAAATCAATTCGTTTTGTTGACCATTGTTAACTGTCCGATTCTAACTTGGATGACTGGCTAAGTCAGTCCGATCAAATAACATAAGCGAGAAGTAATAAAGGAAGAAGATGGGTCGACGAAGACGACGGTTGTTTGGCTATACCTGACAAAGCATACTATCTGATGCCCATGATACTCTCGATTTCTTCATCATCCTTTATATATATTTCTCTACAAAATCAATCGGAAACTATGACTGTCTCTTTTTTTCTTTTTCTTTTTTCGTTTCTAAAGTCAAATCAAATAACCACTTTCTCAGATTCGATACGAAACGAGAAATCAGATTATCCTCCTGTTAGACCAAACTCGACAATGAGAGAGTGGAATAAGAAGCGACGTCGGCGATACGCTTTGTGTTGTGTGGGAGAGAGAGAGAAAACCCTAAACACACTTCTTACGACTTTTTGACTTTCCAGTGGAAAATAGAGGCGCTGATTGGCTCTCATTCCTAATCTTTTTTTTTTAACTAATTCCTATTATTACCCTCAACGATTTAATTACCACCACTCATATTCTTTTAATATTCACAATTATTCTTTTTAACGTTACGTTTTTTATTTACGCTTTCTTTTTTTGAATTTTGAATCTAATAAATAAGACTAGCAAAGTTGAGATCGTGGAAGAAAAAAGAAAATAGAATCACTGGTTATTATAAGGCCGAGTATAATAATAACTAAATGGGTTTAACATAAGTCCGTAATGATGTTTAGTCTAAACGCAACCCCTTAGAGCTATATAATATATTTAAGCCCACTACAATCATGGCAGTAATTTAAAGCCCATATTGGCCCAATAGATACTAAACTATTCGTTTATCGGTCAACGCTTGCCGGCGATTTGCCATACAAGTAACAACTTTACGTAGCCATACAGATTCACCTTTATAGTTTACCAAAGTAACCCTCCTCTCTGTCTCACCTTCTTCGTCCTTGGCTTTATTATATAACTCATCGAGAATCAGTTGACGCTTAAACCAAACAGCAAGCGCGACGTGCCCAATCATTTCTTCTGATCCGATCTGACTCTCCACCCACCCCTCAATGGCGTCCCAAGTGTCCAGATCTCTTAACGGCCATTCCGACATTCCGCAGCCGAGGAAGATTGCACTGGTCACCGGTATCACTGGCCAGGATGGATCTTACCTCACCGAGTTCCTGCTCGAGAAAGGCTACGAAGTTCACGGCCTCATCCGACGATCCTCCAATTTCAACACTCAGCGAATCAACCATATCTACGTCGATCCCCACAATGCCAACAAAGCTCTCATGAAGCTCCACTACGCTGATCTCTCTGATGCCTCTTCTCTCCGCCGTTGGCTCGACGTCATCAAGCCTGACGAGGTCTACAACCTTGCTGCTCAGTCCCACGTCGCCGTCTCCTTCGAGATCCCTGACTACACTGCTGACGTCGTCGCTACTGGAGCTCTTCGTCTCCTGGAGGCTGTCAGATCTCACAACATTGACAACGGCCGTGCCATCAAGTACTACCAGGCTGGCTCTTCCGAGATGTTCGGGTCAACTCCTCCTCCCCAGTCAGAGACCACTCCTTTTCATCCCAGATCTCCCTACGCTGCCTCCAAATGCGCTGCTCATTGGTACACTGTCAATTACCGAGAGGCCTACGGTCTGTACGCCTGCAACGGAATCCTCTTCAACCACGAGTCACCTCGCAGAGGTGAGAACTTTGTGACTCGGAAAATCACTCGGGCCTTGGGAAGGATCAAGGTCGGATTGCAGACCAAGCTCTTCCTGGGAAATATACAGGCTTCAAGAGACTGGGGCTTCGCAGGAGACTACGTGGAAGCAATGTGGCTGATGCTGCAGCAGGAGAAACCAGATGACTACGTGGTTGCAACTGAAGAATCACACACCGTCGAGGAGTTTCTGGAGGTGTCCTTCGGGTACGTCGGGCTCAACTGGAAAGACCATGTCGAGATCGACAAGAGGTACTTTCGGCCAACGGAGGTGGACAATCTGAAAGGAGACGCAAGCAAGGCAAAGGAGATGTTGGGGTGGAAGCCGAAAGTAGGGTTCGAAAAGCTGGTGAAGATGATGGTGGACGAAGACCTTGAGCTGGCCAAGAGGGAGAAAGTGCTCGCCGACGCTGGTTACATTGACGCTCAGCAGCAACCATGATATGGGGAGGTGGCAAAGAGGAGTAATCATTATCTGCTTTTTTATTGAGATCTTATTTTGTTTCATTTGTTGTTGTTCTCTTTTGTTGTTTCAAGTTGTTCAACTCCATACACTGCGAATCGTCCATTGTGGATTTTGTATCAAAAGGCAAGCAAAGCATATTTATTACATATGAATTTTCTCTTATCACAACAATGGTTTCTTACTGCTCACAAGCGATTGTACAACTCAGAAAATAAACCAACGTAAAAAATATGAAAGCCAAAAGATGAAATGACAAAATAAAATAATGATTTGTAACAAAGAGACCAATCAATAGCATCATCATGCATCTATGCAAAATCAGAGGAGATCAGAAAGTATACTGTAGAACTAGACGTATTCGATTCACCAATCTAACTATCATTAAGAGTATTTACTCTTATGCCTCTGGTTTAGAAGACAGAGTAGTAGTATTTATACTGACCGAATCGGGAGATGCAAGAGAAAAAGGCGTAACTGTGGACCTCAAAGATTCAGGTCCCTCAGAATTAATTCTCTTACATAATGTATCGCAGTTGCTGATCACCTCAGTTAACCTTCCTTTAAGCTCCCCGAGCTCCACCTGCAAACCATGAACTAAAGATATGTTCCACATATAAGATTAGTGGAAAATTGCAGTCCAGTGTCAAAGCCAACTCTATCTTAATCTAGACTAGACTAGAATAATACCTTGAGATAAATGCTGGGAAGTTGTCCTCATTGCAGAAACAGAGTGGTTAAACCTCTGTAAAAGTTTAGTCGCCAAAGCATCTGCCACTTCTATCTTGTTTTCTATATCTTCCTAAATACATGATGCAACATGTTATATAATACATTTCCCTTTTTAATTCAACACCTACAGACACCATGGTGATGCAAACCAAGATTTCAGAACAATGAACACGCGGATTTTTCAGTTTCAATTCACTCAACTCAACCATAATAGCCAAAGAAAGTAGAACATCAATAATTGATTATTTTTTTTCTTTTTCCAAGAAATTACATTCCTTTGCAAACCAGAAGCTCAAAACTTAGACTATCTTGGTGGTCTGTTTCTTTTTAAGGGAACCCTTAGGAGTAGCCTGAAACCTAGTTTAAGATCTCGGCTAATTGCAAACATTTCATACAGACTGCACTCATAGACAAAGAGTCCATGAATAAGGCATGATTTGCATGAATCCCAAGGACTAAATAAAAGCAAGGATTCCATATACATAAGAAAAGAAAACAAAGGGGGAAAGACAGACCTGTCTCTTGGTAATATCTTGAGCTTTGCTCTCTTGCCATTGTCGGTAAATGGAGAAGAGCTCTAGAAGTATTTGAGGATCAACCGTATCTGGGAAACAAAGTTGACAACAAAAGAAAGAAATTAGAGTTGGAAAAAGAAGACTTGTTTGATGAATGAAAACAGCTTGTTTCATACCAGTAAACGAAAACACAAGCAAAAAAAGTCCAAAGATGAAACATCTTGTATGAATAAATTGTCTTCCACACAAGAAAGGATCCATCATTTTGAATATGTTACACAAAAAAAAAGCATGTACCCTTCCTAAGCAACTTAACTCGTAAACGGGTTTAGCCGACTAAAGTAGATAGGTAAATACTCACTGGAAGAGGAACTGGATAGAGCTTTTCTCACTAAGATATCTGTTAAGCTACTTTCCGTGGGAGGAGACTTCAATATTGGCCTACTCTGCAATTTCAACCAAGAAAAAAAGTAATGTTTAATCGCAACTTGAAAAGGAGAAGACAAGAAAAGAGTAGTAGTGGTAAGTAACACTCACAACTGTGAGGGCTTTAAGATTCTCGAGAATGGGATCGACTATTTCGGATCGATGAGAGATGGTCGTAATCACATCACCACCTCGATTTTCCTGAGAATCCATCAAAATTGAATATAGAGACCATGAATGATGATGCCTCGAGAATCAAATCGCGATATATCAGTTACCTGAGAGCCTAGCAGAGTCGAATCTGATGCTCCCATTTGCTTCACAGACTCCGATAAACTATCACTGGTAGGAAATTTTATTCAAGGAATCAGCAATTCCGTTTGGGACAAATCTGAAAACTTGAAGGAGACTGATAAATGACGTTTCGCGGATTTGCATGCCAACAGCGTGCCGTTTTAAACCCCCAGTGACGACAATGTGTTATCAAAAACGCCAGCTCGTTGGATATTTAATGTGGAGGGAGACAAAGCATGAGTAAACCACAAAGGCACAAACCATGCTTCACCGCGCATGGTAGACAAAAGCCCATCTTTATTGGGCCCACCTTGAGCCCACTTTCTTTTATTAAATATATAAAATACCTTCATTTGAACGTATATTTTTTAGTCACTGATACATTATACGAAAAGAACTAAGTGTAAAAGCACTATATAAATCTTCTTATTCGATTCTCACCTTCTATTTATCCATCGAAAATCAACTCCTTCGTTGAATTTATTACGACCATATATGTAAATCCAAAATACGACGACATTTCATCTGCATGCATGCATAGAAGGCCTTTTAGTCTTCGCCACTCATCAACAACTGGGACGCCACGAACTTATCTAGAGATCTCCAGTCAGTGATCCTCTTCTCTGCGCTCACGTCATCTTTCCGGCTACTGTTCTCCGAAATCTGAGGAGTTATTTCCGACGGAAGAGAGGGGCTCTCCAGCTGAGGAAGCTGGTAGAATTGATCATCATCCATGGATTGAAGGTACATAGATCCGAAATCTCCATCTTCGAAATTAGCCTCGGAGAGTAATTCTTGCTTAAACGTTGTGCCGGCAAAATCAGGATTATGTTTGGCTCGCTTGTCGAGAGGTTCCAAGAGAGTACTGGCGTCGTAGAAGAAGCAGTTCGAATCCCAAAGTTGCCTTCTTTTGGTTGGGACGTTCGTTCGTTTCTTGAATGCTCTACACACTACCCAACCTTCCTCCTGCTTCACCATTATAATATAATCTAGATCAATAACTAATATATATATAGTTTGTTTTCTTAATCCGTTTCCTTTTCAGACCAATGAAAGAGACAACCACAACACTTGATTTTTCTACGTACGTATAGTATATAGTGGGGGCCGTGTTTTAATATGATAAAAAGGTGAAACTTCTAAATTTACAGATTAAATGTGAAAACTCAATTATCAGAATGCGTGGCTCTATATGCATATGTGAGTAAGATTCCTAATTACCAGCGGAGGAGAGTTCTGGTGTGACTCGAGGCTGTAGTATTCGTGAATGATCCAATCGGACTTTTGGCCATTAGGAGCTCGACCTCGGTAAAAGACAAGTGTTTTTCTCATACCGATAAGTTTGGAGTTGAGGTAAACCGCCTTGTCCCTGCCCGTTGCTTTCCAGAAACCGGCCACCGTGGCTCGGTTTGTCCTAGTTCCAGTCGGATACTTCTTGTCTTTATGGCTGAAGAAATACCACTCCTTTTGCTCCTCGTACCCTATCCTACATCTCTCTACACATATAACCAGTATCATAGGTTACATATAACTCTTTCAAGCTACACATTATAGCAAATTATTATATATGTAGATCTACATAAATAGCATATAGTTTGCTTACATATGTGTACTGATCGATTTCAGTTTATTCGTAAGTTATCAAAACCCTAACTTGTCGTTTGAACTCTCTAGATGTAGTCTTATATATAGAGTAGATCGGGATCATAAATTAATTGCATATATAAGGCAACCACAGCGTTCTTTAGTTAGTGTATATATTATTCGAGCGACTGACACATGCATCTATATATATAGTGGTATCGAGAAGTATATAAAAGAGGGCGATACCTTGTAGATCCCATGGTTCGATCTTGTAAAGATCAATTTCTCTGATAACGTCGAGATCAATCCGCTGGGAGGCGACTTTCTTCTTGAGATAATATCCGACAAGTTCTTCATCTGTCGGATGAAACCTAAATCCAGGCGGTATACTACACGACTCTTGATCCACCTTCATCATATTGATAGTTATCTTCTAGGGTTTATTTGGCTGCGGTTTCTTCTTGATCTTAGAAAGATCGATCATAGAGGAAACCGACCGACTCTATCAAGGGAAAATCAATAAATGAGAGTCTTATTGAAGATGTTGATTAGGTATAGAAAAAGAGAGATATGGACCGTCCACTTGAACGATGGCATGTGTGTTTAGACTTCAGACTGTAATCATATGCTCATTTCGCGTTGGCGTAATTCACCATCACTCTTTCTATGCGTGTGTAATTTATACATATATGAACAATTATGTATATACACACAAACAAAAATATAATTAGAAAATGAAACTATAAATTAATATATGAAACGAAGTAATGATGATGTTAGAACTTAGAATGGAGACATAGGAAAAGGAAATAGAAAAAAAGGTGGGTGGCTCCGTTTTGAGAGAAACGGGAGAGAGAAGCTGTGAATATCATCATTTTGTTTTGTGTTACTTGATGCTCCAAATGATGTCTCCTTCTTCTATCCTGTATTCTCAATTTTATACTCATTTATTCAGTTTTCCTCTTTATATATAGAGAACACTCCAAATCATGAAACGAATGACTATTGGAAATACTGAAGATCGATGTTTGTAGTGCTACATTTTCAATTATAATCTGACGTTATGTGTCAAATGTGCTGATCATGTAAACTTTTTTGTCTGTTTGTCGTTAATTCTCGTGTCAGCACTTTGATCTCCGTGTTTGACAAAAAAAAAACTACATGTAACATGTTACTCTCTCACACTTGATCTCACGCCTACAATACTATATATATAGATAAGATAGATATATCCGATCAAGTAAATATATAACATGATGTAAATTGGATAATATTCCTGTCTTTTTTTGTCAGCCAAAAGGTTATATATGTAAAAGATGTTAGAATAAATAGAGATTAGGATTTTGAGATGAAAAAGACATTCATGGATTTTCTATAAGCATTAAGCAAGAGATATGTGTTTGAAAAAGTCGTCGGGTCGCTAACTAAAATAGTAGTAGTAGGGGGTTATTTTTGTCATTTTGAGTTCGGCTGTTGAAAACATTGCCAAGAATATTGGGAAAGAGAAAGGTGAAGTGGAACACACGTGTCAAAATTCTATTGTCTAAACGGTTATGTTCTTGACGTAGAAGGTAAACAAGGCGAATGGTTTGAATCGGAAAAAGACTTAGCAAATTAACATTTAAAAAAAAACAAAAAACGATAATGGAGCCCAAATTTCGCCGTGAAAAAAAAAAATCAGATATGAACCAGCGCATTGACAAGTAAACGTGATTTACTAATCATGCTTTGGTTTTAAAAGGAAGTAATTAAATCAGTTTCCTTATTCTTCAAATTATGCATATAACAAAAATAATTTCAATGCAACCATTATGAATTGGATTACATGATTAAAAATCATTCACTCTATTCACACTCCTAACCCCGATCAATGAAACCTCTAGTCTTAGTGTTTTGACTTTTGCCGCTCATATATATATATCTGAGAATGATGATTTTTTTGTTTGTTTAGTATTTAAGTAGGAATTGGCCCGGCTTAACATTTCTATCTATGATTACGATAACTTTTATTTTGGTGAAAACCAAGCACTATAAATCTATAATAAAGAAAAAGGTTAATTATGGCAAATTTATCTTATAAAATAATGATTATACGAAAAGATACCGCGTGACTTACATATAAGAAGACTCTTCTTTAATTTGATCTTTCTATTTGTTCTCATACAAATGTTCTTTTTTGGCATACGTTAGGTCTGAATTGTTATAGCATCTTAGACACGTATTGTTGTTTTCACTAATCTTGTGAAAGGCGGAAAAAACAAACGGAACGTATAAGATGTGAAGAAGTATACTCATATTCAATAATAATGCTCCAAGCAAATTAATGCAGATATGTGAAGTTCCAACAAAATTTTAGCAGGAGATGAAACTATAGAGGTTGGTTTATCCCAATTCGCAATTGAGAATCAAGTAGGAAAAACAGTAGGCATGATTCATAATCGTCATTAAACGGCACCTTATGACGATCATAGTCAGATAGATGTAGGAGATGCCAACATTGGTAAAGAAACAGAGTAGATGCGCTAATCACAGAAGCCACTACCTTCAAATTCACTAGATGTGAGAGACGATTTATTAAATCAGCAGGATCAAAGAAAAGAAGAAGATTGTGAAGATTTGTTTCGGTCTTTGTAGTTACAAAAAGGAGAGGGACAAAACGCTGCGTTTCCAAAGACTAGATTTCTTGGGACGAGGTGGTCTGAAAGCATAGTTGACGCCAAACATCTCTGTGGAAGTCAACTTCATGTCCACGAACCCATTGAGCTTACCAACGAGGGAAGCGCTCTCTCGGACATGACCCATGTCTTTGTAATCCGACCAGAGTCGGTGTGCCAGCTGGACCCGTCTGTGACTCGTGTTGAGCCCAATGCCCCATCTCAAGAACAAGTTCTCTCTCTCTTCTTTCGACAGTTTCCTCTGCATCAGCTTGCTCAGCTTATACCTCTCCCTCGTCAACGCCCTCGTGCTGCTTGTTTGTACATTACATTACTTCAGTGTCTTACTAAGCCAAAAATTAATGAGATCAAAAATATACAATGTGAATTTACCAGGAGATTAGGGTCATATTGTGGCCATCGTTGCTATTTTGGGCAAAAGATTCTCTGATGTACTTAAGTCTACGGAGCTCTACCTCCAAGTACAGGCAATCTTTCTGATCTCCTCTGAACAGAAGGAAGAAGTAGCTTCTGTGTGCCATAGAGACTTTACACACGTGCCATAGCTCTATTATCTCCCTCTGTAGCCTCTTGAACTCCACCGGCCAATTCAAGGGCGTGTCTAAGTAGTCTTGTATTGGGTCCATTGCTGCATCCTTGAAACTCTTCGTTGAACTCAATGACAAGAACTTCTGTTCCATTTCCTCCATCTGCCCACAAATGACAGATCAGTGACACATACTTAGGTGATTTATCGAAAGCAAGTTAAGCAAAACTAACCGAGCGATGAATGATTTGCTTGTCTTTTTGAGCACCAGTCTCCTCTGTTCTGTCCTGGCTTATTGACGCTCTACCACTTGTCTGGAGCTCAAACACAGAAGCATCAGATGGCCGAGACGGTGACTCATTTGGTGACATTTCATTACTGACACCATGTGAAGCAGCATCCGCCGTTTGAGTGTCACTCAAGTTTCTCTCGAACCAAGTTGTTGGCATACTCCTCCCGCTAAACTCATCCTGCAACAACCTCTGGTTCTTGATGTCGCACATTGTCAGGTTTGTCTCAACTGATTTGACAAACTCTTTGTCGTACCAGCTTGGCGGTGTATCAGCATCTTTATCTAACCAAGAGGAGGAAGAGCTCGATAATAAGCTTGGTCGGCAGCTTCGACTTCTAGTCAGCTTCATGCCTCTGAACGGTTGTGAATCTCTCTCCATAAGCCAAGAGAAAGGCTTTTCAGGAGAGGGAGTGATAAGTGCTGGAGGCGTTGGGATTCTTCTCAGGTTAGACATGCTTGTATCAAACTCAACAGGTGAACATTCGAAATCACAGAATGGAGGAGTTTTTGCGAGGTTGGTTTCTTGTTTTGGTTGAGGAGAAGCACCACTGACTTCCTTTACTCTTTCTTCTTCTTCGTTTTCAGCTTCTGTGGGTGGTCGTAAGTTCTTTGGCTCTGTCACACATACTGGTTCTTCTTCATTCACAGCTTCGTACTTGTCTGGACTGCTCTCCGGCATCTTTTCCTCTGGACCTATACTAATATCTGACTTCTCCGTTTCTATGCAGCGAACTTCCCTGCAGTTATCCTCAGAATTTTCGTCAGTCTGTTCAGCCATTTCATAAAACCGCTCCTCCTGAACATGAGGTTGATCTATAATTTCCTCTAGGTGAACATGAGATTGGTCTACAGTTTCTGTCCCGTGAATATCAAGGAAAGGAGTTACAAACGCAAGCTGTTGCGGACTACTTGATGCAGAATCTATCCTGAACTCTGATAGCTGAAAGACATTCTCTTCATAACTATATTCAGTTGATCGTGGAGATATACTGGAGCGGTGAGCTGATATAGGGCTCAGTGGTGTTGTATTCTCAGAGTCCCATGTACTGCGCACTCGCAGCTTGGGGTATTGATGTTCCAACAGAACCTGGACATAAACGAATTAATAAGAAGCAGTGAAAGGATATCCACGCTCAGTAAAATGAATAAGTCAATATAACATACATTTAACCCTTCTGTTTCTGTTGATAGCGTTTCTTTTTCTGGTTTTTTCTCTTCTTCAACCATTCTTCGAAGATCCATAATCTCGGAACGAGCTTGCTCTAGTTGTTGTGCTAGTTGGAGTACCTCTTTCTTTAGCTGTAGGAAAAAGGATAGATCATAACTCAAACTTCCAAACTATAAGGTCACTTGGATTGTGAGCAAGACAAATCAATAAACGAAAGGAAAAAGTATAAGTGTAGTTGCAGGACCAAGGAAGATGATTGTTATAATAGTGAGTTCATGGTAAAGCTACCTTTTCAACCTCGAGGTCTTTCTCCGTCAGTAATGCAGTTGTGTCAGAAACAATTGAAGCCTGACCAGGGCTTCTCAACTCACTTTCCAGTTTAGCCAACTCCCTCTGCAAGTGCTTTACTAAAGCTTTATCAGACATGACAACATTGACTTGTGCATTTGTTGTCACCTCCTTTGCGCAGCTTGCAAATAACAGTGTGTTTCTTGACTGCTCAACATGGATTCTCGCAGGACTCATAGTGCAAATTATGGCGGTTCTTGCATTTCCTCCCAAAGAAGACTGAAGTATGCGTGTTAGTTTTGAATCTCTGAATGGAATGTGCCCAGTTTTTCCTTTACTGCATGAAGTAAACCACATAAGCTAGTTATTAAGCTAGTGAATCGTAAAATAGAAAGCCTTGTTCATAGGAACTGACAAGAGGTAAAAAGAAGAACAATACAGCAAACTAACATAAACAATGTAAAAAGGTGATAACATGGTGTAAGCCTAGTGTTTGAGCCAGAGAACTTGACTTTCAAGTACAACAAATGAGTTCTCAACAATATTAACAGACCAGAAAATTTACTTCTAAGCTCAAAGAAAAGAAAACTTTGTGGAAGCTAAGTGCTTACAAGCTTACCTTAGCTTACGGATCACAGTTCCCAGTGTTAACAAACTTCGGTTTATATGACAACCTTCTTTTAACCTTGTGCCGGCTGATAATGATTGAGATGCACGTTCACTTCCAGCAAGATCAATGAAGTTCTGCACGACAATTAGTTACTCAATGGATCCGCTTCAACTGATTTTTTAACAGATTATTTGATGGAAGGTTCAAAGATATGTACCACTGTCGCTGTTAGTGTACTAAACTTATCATTGGTGGAAAATTCACGAGCTGTGCTTTCAACTGTCTGTAAGAAGGTAGGAGTACTAAGATATAAGTTTAACAGATCATGAAGAAGGCAGTGTTGAACCATAAATATAAATCAACAAGATGCCTTACCAATCTCAAAATCTGATGAGACCGGGAGCTAACTTCATTTAGAGCTGTCTCTCCAATTTGCCTTTGAGCTGCAAATGGTTAAGACACTTGTCAATATTGTTGTAAAACATCACTAGTGTGCCATTTTGGATTATCTATACCTTCGCAGACAGATAGAAGCTCCTTGAAATGATTCCAGTCTCGTAGAGTTTCCTCTGTGAGTTTCTCAACAACTGTCCCTTTCTGTCAGAAAGAAAATGCCCAGCATGAGAGATTGCAAAAAGATCAGTTGTACAAAAATGAAAGTATCATATTTACCTCAGGGTCATCTAAAAGTCTGAGTGGACTAGTATCTGTACTTAAGAGATCTCTTACAGACTCATTGTAGATCTCCATGGCAGAGAACTTAAGAATGAATTCTCTTTCCTTGTGCTGCAGAAAGTAAATACATAACTCTAAGGTAAATGACTACAAAATGGGCTCGGAAGTACAATAGTAAGATATAAGGATAAATAGTAAGATATAAGGATAATGTATTTTTTCTTTACCTTGTCAATGTAGCCATATATATCAACCAAGGCGCAGTCAGTAATTCCGCTCATGGTATACGTCTTTCCACTGCTTGTTTGCCCATATGCGAATACACTAGCTGAAAACATGCATGTGAGTTATGCAAGACAAGGAGAGTATTAATGCAGGGGGAAGAGGAGGGAAGGATGAGATACCATTAACGCCACTGACAACGGAGAAAGCGACCTCCTTTGCCCCTTGTTCATACACCTGCCTCGTACAACAATCAGGGCTAAACACTCTGTCTAGAGGCAGAGAAAAAGCTCAGTAAGATAGAAAGAATGAAGAGCTGTGATGAAGAAAAGACCAATATGTCTTACCAAATGTGTAAGCAGAAGGATACATGGAACGCTCGGAGATAGAAAGATGGCTCCTGTAAATGATGGTAGTATTGTTGATGCACTCCCAGTCCGGGACATCATTCCTAAGCTTTTCCTTGTCGTTTAAAGGTCGCATACGAACAGAAACATAAATCTTTTCCTCAGTGCCGCTTGGTCCTAGCATCTGATCATCATCTTCTGAAGTCATCTTCTACCCCACCTCTACCACAAAGGAAACAATGACAACAACATTATATATATAGAGAGAGAGAGATGGAGGCAAAGTCAGTAAGATGAGAAACAAACACAAATAATTGTAATCAACAACTCAATGATTGGAGCCAGAAAGTGGAGTCAAAATCCATGTCAAAGAACATGTATATATACACGTTTATAATAAGAAAGTATGTAACAGAGAAGAAGAATGCAAAGTCAGAAAACCAAGATTCCTTAGTCCTCAGTGTCTGAGACAGAGACAAACACAAGCTTCAAATAAAAAATATGTTGAGGAGAGGATTTGGAGTTATATGGAAATGGTCCCCTACAAGAGCAGTCTGTCAAAGGTGTTACATAAATTACAATTGCCTAAGGCCGCTATTATTATTATAAATGCATTTGCTAGAAAACAAAAACAAAAAATACTAATGAATGAATGAAATCAATAATTACCTTAGAAGGAAGGAAGAGGGAGGTGTTAAGAAGATTATCACAGCCGCTTCTGTAGAATGTTCGATCTTCTGGTTCTCAAGGAATCATTTGGGTAATGAAGTCCATGTGCAATACTGCAAGTGAATTATTTCAAAGACACCTGCCTGCCTCCAAACAACAACCATCCAAATTACATTTAGCCGTAAAAAAATCCCCACCTAAAAAAAGAAACATGCATTTGCTAGAGCTTGATGAACCCCCAAAGCTTGGGTTAGGAGAGTCAATAAAAATGGGGACTTTCAAATTCGATGATTACACGAAAACGCACAAACATGTGGAATGGGGTAAATTAGCTAGCATTCGAACAAATTCCATACCTCAGAGGCCGTGCATAGCTCTGGATGCCTATAAACCCCACCGAGAAGAAGATATTAAACCCCCAAATAAAAATCTGAAAGATCCAGAGAAGCCACGAATTTCTCCAGAGTCTCTTTCCTCTTTGTGGATAAATCAGAGTTTCAAAAATTGGAAATGCACAACAGCTCTGTTATCATCGTTGATGGCGTTCGTCGTCGTTGTTGTTGTGAGGATTTTACAATTTGGCAAATCCTCCCTCCCTCTGACCCTCTCTCATTCTATGGAAACGGAAACTGCCGCGCTAAAGAAAGCAAAGCAGATAGATATATTTTGAACCTCCAATTACCCTTTTTACCCCTACTCTCTCTTTACGTACCATTCATTCATTACCTAGCAGCATCCTTCAACCTTTCGCTGTCTCGTCTGTACACTCCCAACTTTTTCCAACTAAATATTTTTGTTTTTCCAATATATTAATATTGCATTCATTCATTCAAGGAAAAAAGATGTTCAGCTACACCAAGTATAACGGAATACATGGCTACACATGCCAAGTTTAGAAATGTACAACCAACTATAGGAACTAGATGTATTGCATGCCTACATATACCAACTATATGACGACATGTGGTCAACATCACGAACATCTTATTCTGGTATAGTAATCATCGAAATCCGGCGTTGACCATCGTTCACCGACATTGACCAACCAAAATATTCAATTTTTTTTTAATATTAAAAACAAAAACAAAAAATTATTCTATTGAATCTTTTATGGTATTGTATAATTAAAGAGGAAAACACATTCTATATTCAACTTAAATAAATTTTGTATATATATTTAATAAATTGATTAATATAATTAGTTAGTTTTTTCAATTTCAAAACTAAAATAAAAGTGAAATAAAAATAATTAAGCGAATTACTTATTTTTACATTGTCAATAAAAACATTAACTTCTTATTTTACCATGCAAACTTTAGATTAAAGAGTCATATACTCAATTTTTCTAAAAAATTAATAAAATTAATTTTATTTCACTTTTAGTTTAGTTTTGAAGTTGAAAAAATTAACTAATTATTAAAATCATACAAAATATTTTTTTGTTAAATATAGAATGTGTTTTTTTATTATACAACACCATAAATGATTTAATAGAATAATTCTCTTAAAAATATTTAAAAAAAAAAAAATGAATATTTTTGTTGGTCAATATCGGTCAACAATGGTCAACGCCGGATTTCGTTGATTGGTGTACCGGAATAAATGTTCGTGATGTTAACCACATGTCGTCATATAATTGGTATATGTGGGCATGCAATACATTTAGTTCGTGTAGTTAGTTGTACATTTTTAAACTTGGCATGTGTAGCCATGTATTCCATTATACTTCGTGTAGTTGAGTAATTTTTTTCCTTCATTCAATACTAAACAGAGATTTATTAGAAGATCTCGTTTTCATGTAACTACTAACTGGTAAATTACATCATTTTTCCGCTTTACCTAAACCCCTATCGATGATCTTAGTGACACATCACAATCGCAAAGAAACTTGTAAATGCTTTTGCAAGCAATATGTTTCATTCTTGTACCAACAGAAAACATTACTTTTCTTTTCATTATCTCTTTTAAGTATCCTTAAAGAGGACTACTTAAGGACAATCGTTCCTTTTTAATTCTCTCTCTTCTCTCTCCTGCGACACAAAACGAGATCTAGGGTTTTCTCTTTTTTTCTTCTTTCTTCGCCGTTAGGTCTTCACAGCAAGTCATGGTGTCGACCAGCAAAGTGGGAGTAGACTTCCTTTCTTCTCCGGCGGTGATGAGGGGTGGTAGATCCGGTTGTTGATGTGGGTTAGCGGCGGATTTCACGGCTGTCTTGAGAAGTTATTTTACCGGTACGTTGGTTGAGGACTCTGGGGGAAGGTGGAATAGCTTCTCGCGGCTCGGCGGCTAGTGTCTGATGCTCGACCTGCGGCGGAAGTTGATTTTCGGGTCGGTGGGTTTCACTGCAAGTGAAGAGATTAACTGTGGTTCGTGGTGGTTCCTAGATGGCTAGTCTAGGGTTTCGGCGGATGGTAGTCGGGTTGAGCCATCGACGGTCTCCGCTGCCTAGATCTGGCATTCTCTTCACCGGATCTGAAGTATGGTAAGTCTAGGGTAAGTTCGATGGTGAGATTCGATTGAGATGAGGGTTCGGTTTGTAGTTTCTCTTCTTGCTAGGTCGGGGAGTTGAGAAAGAGGGTCGCGGATTTCTGGATCTGTCCTATTCCGGGAGAAAAGCTCCGGGTTTTGGCTTTCGGCGTCGGTTTGAGACCGGATCCGCTAACTCCGGTCAAGGCGGCGGTGGAGCTGCGATGGAGTCGTTCTTGTTAGCGCTGGTTCTAGTAGGAGTAGATGTTTGTCTCCGGCGGACCGCCTTCTCAGATCTCGTCTCCGGTTGTTTTTCCGATTTGGGCTCCCTTTTTGTAACCACTAACCTGTTTCGGCCCATTGGCTAAGCCCAATTTGGGATGATAATAAAAAGAATTTTACAAAAAAAAAAAAAAAAAAAAAAAAAAAAAAAAAAAAAAAAAAAAAAAAAAAAAAAGTATCCTTAAAGAGTTATATATATATTGCTCCTTATTAATACTAATAATTTCTAATAAAAATTGCACAAACAAGTTTAAAAAGAAAAGAGAAAAACACAGCAGCAGCACAGCACATGGGTGCTCCGTTTTTGTGCCTTTAAATAATGCTTATCGCTGAGGCAATGCATGTGCACTTCTCTTTTTCTTACTTACACCCTAACTACATCTTTATATGTAAAGAAGAGCTCCGATGCCCATTTTTACATTTGCATATATAATTAATTGATGTATAATTGATATGTTTCATTTTTCCAAACTAGTAGATGATTGACATTTACGTGAGGCAACCAAATTAAAATGCATACTTTAAGAAACTTACTTATTAATACCTTGTTGTTTTTATTATCACTTGTTAAGTTTTTGATAAAAAGAGTAATTAATTTCAAACACGTTACGTTACGATTTATTAGGATACAGATGTTGGTTCATGCATGAATACTGTATCGTGGTCGGTTGTTGAAGTATTGAAGAGACTTGTGTTTTTTGTATCGTTTTATATAGAAAACAACGCAATAATTTGTATATAATAATTGTATGATGGATATTTTTATAAAAAAATATATCGTGTTCTATAACTACAAAATTAATGTCAAAGTGGATCTTTGGGAGAAATAGACATGTAATAAATTAGAGGGCCATGCACATGATGTGGATGTGGACAAAACCAAACAGTCAATTATGAGATGTCACATGATGATGCGGACAAGTCAACGCTTCTACTTCCTTTTTTCTACCTTAGGGCCTCGTCACAAATGGGTCGGCTCTTGTCATAAAAGCCCATTTTTAAGAATTAAGCCCACTTGTTAGGCCTTACTACACCGACAAATGAGACCCAGCACTCACGGTCCCAAAAGAGTTAAAACAAACGGAAATAAATACAGTAGTGCGCGTTCAAACAGGGAAAATAGCACAAAATGGTGAGTCCGTAGAAGAAATTTGTGAATCCAAAGAAAGTAGAAGGAAGCTGCTTATTAAGAGTTAGATAGAAGAGAGCACTACCAGGATAGCAGTGAGACACAAAATTTCAGCAAATGGGTTTTGTAAAGTATAGTTTATATCGAAAATATTCAAATCCGTTGTAGTCTAGCTGGTCAGGATACTCGGCTCTCACCTGAGAGACCCGGGTTCCAGTCCCGGCATCGGAGTTTTAATTTTGACTTTTCTTTTACCCTGCCATTTACAGCAACAATGTTAAGCCGTTTCACAAAACTCAGTTGGCTTATAATTCCGTTGATGGGTAAGTGTGCTAAGGCCCATTATGGGGTGCCAAAGAAAGTAACCGTTAGGAATGAAGAAGCCAAAACACGTTGACGTGGTACGATCTCTTCTAAAGTCAACAAGTTAGGCGAGTTCGGTACACTCCCTTGTCTCTACTCCATTTTTTCTCCTTACTTTAGAAAAGACCTCAAACAGAATAACAAAGATTCCCCCTTTTTTTTAATAAACTTTTACAAATTAACGTGCTAATATTCATTTTTAACAGTGAACAGATTTCTAAAACCATGTCTTTAAGAAAATATTATAATTAAGTCGTTAAATATGTTTTAGATACTAGACTACATGATTCCATTTTGAAAGTTGATACCATGATCTATACTGTTCATTTGAATTTGACAGATAATGTTTCAATTTCGATGACTTTTTTCTTATTATTCCAGTTTACATTATTAATAAATAAGGTGTGTCTCATACACTGATGAAAAAGGTAGGTCACACATTAACCAACAAAAGTAAACCAAACAATTTGATTCTAACTACATATATTAAATACCGTACGTATTTGACCAACCGTAATCTAGATATATACATTGTTAACACGAAATCACATGTTAGGTTCATGTGACTTCTACAGTCATATCAAAATACACATTGGCAATCACATAACCCTCTCTACGTATCATATATATCATAGACACTCATATATACACAGATAAATTTATAGAAAACAATAAAACTGAAATAATAATTTGTGTTTTGTATAACTAAAGTCTACAAGGTTTGATGTTTTACTGAACATAGCTTCTTCTGATAAAAATATATATAGTGAAATGAGTCTCCTCCATCGCTAGTTTCCAAATTTAAGACATGATACTTTTCTCCGAGAGAGTTGGAACGTGAATTAACTCACGAACGATGTGGAAAGCACGTGACTCTCGTATTAATTAATTATAACATTCAAATATCAAAATAAAATAAAACTTAAACGGGGAACGGGAACTGCTTTAACATGAATGCGTTCAAAGAACTTCTCCGAAATACGTTACTTTCCGCGAGAGACTCGTGTTGTCTGTTGATGCCTTGCGTTTTCATTATCCACCGTACCCCAGCTCAACTAAGCCTAACAGTTAGACGACCAATTGACTCCGAGAAAACGGAAGTTTTGCTGTCGTCAATATGATAGTTTAGTATCTACCATTTCTTATATATGTCAATGCCAAAACCGGAAGCAAAACCAATAAGTTTGAGGTTAAGAATGAAGAGATGATGCATAATGGACTCATCCTTTCATCAAATTAAAGACCATTGTTGATTATTGACGTAAACAGACATGGCAATGATATCGTCGAAGCAGACTTATCGTCATATGCCAACATGTAATCGGCAATGATAACTTACCTTATTCACGTGGCAATTTCACTAGACGAATCTTAGAATGAACGAAGATAAATTATGTGACGATAAGAAATATGTTGCTCCATCACATGTCTTGTTGGCTCTCACTGACCTCCCTAATGTGGGCACACACATCAAAACTAAACTTCATGAAACTAAATTTTTTCTTATCCATATTACAAACAAATTTTAAGGAAAAAATAATAATATTTTGGAGTGTCAACTTTGAAACAACGGAAACAAATAGCTTAACATGAATATTTGTATGTGTCAAGGTAGCCTTTTTTTTGTTTGTGATTTTTTAACAATGAGAATTTGGACCATAATGAAATTGTATGAGTCTCAAGTAGTCTTTTGTTATTTTATATAAATGCCAAATGAAATGGTTAAGCAAATTTAAGAGATTTCGGGGTAAGGGAAAGTAGTTGGATGGAGCGGGTAGGCTATGTCAATCACGTGACTCCCAAGCTTTCCATTTCAATATTCACCATCTTTTTAAATCCATTTCACACTTTCACCATTTCATTTTTTCTCTCCGGTAAACAAAAATTAAATACGTATTTCAATGCGTGTTCTAATCTATACGATTAATCATTTGGATTTTCCTCGTTGGAATTTTCAGTTATTACCAATATAGGTTTATTAACTTTTTTGTTACTATTATTTCCTGCTTGGTTTGTAGCTTATGAGTTGTTTGAAGTCAATACCAAAGTAATTTAATCGTAGTATTCGAATAAGCAAGTATCATCCAAATATTTGCATTCTGTCCCAAAAAGGATTGACTACAAATCTGTCTGATTGAAAGAACTTGATTAAGTATTATAATTTGTTAACATTGATCTATTCCAAATTCCTATTTATCATACCCCCTTAAGTCTTAAATTGAATAATAGATTTGCATTCAGTTTTTTTTTTTTTTGGCTTGCCAGTTTTTGGTATATAATTTGTGGACTTCGTGAAAGTTGCACTTAAAAGCCCTAGTTAAACAGGAAAAAAAAAAACGGAAAAAAATCAAAATTTATTAATTAAACAAAAATTAATAAATCAAAAATCAAAATTTTAATAAATTTTGAATATAGATTTTAGAGTCTTAAACATACACGAGCTATGGCAATGACACATCGTGCTAATCCCAACCAACAGTCAACGAGTATATTCTACATATAACACTTGCATAAAAGTATCGAATCCGTTTTTTCCGATTGTTTAATGAGTATAATTCTCAATCTAGGTTGTAACAATTTAGTAGAAACAATAATAATCATCTGACACTGTCGGTGTTTTCTCAATAAATATAAAGATATAGAACAATACCGGTTCTTGAACGTAAAATTTCGGTCCATTCCATGACATACATGTATAAAACAGTTATATGATTCCTTTATTATATCGCCTTTTATGAAACACATACAATTGACGATACCGCGTTGACTACGTGATTTTGTTCTTGGAGTGTTAAACCCACAATTAATTAATCTTATAAATACAGAATTCAAGTGTCAATGAAGAGTTTGATTAATAAAACAAAAAAAAAAAGATTGATTTTTCTTTGACTTCAAAAAACATAAAATACTAAAAATCGTCGAAACTGAAAATTCATTCACGAAATTGATGTTACCGAGTCAATGTTAAAAGTTATAGTCAACCATTTTGGCCGTCAAACAAGGCCTCTTCCTCATTTAATCGCGTATGTTTTAAGCAAAAACGATGATTGCTAATTTACTATAAATATGAAATTAAAAATAAAACTGATAACCATTTCGAGTTTTGATGCTAGCCAATAAGCAAAACTAAATGATTAAAGGATGAATTTATCGATTTATTTTCTCCCATTTGTATAGACCTAAATATACGTTAAACAAATATATACACAGAGATATGAAAGCTAAAGACTAAAAGAAAGTCGCTAACCAACTAAAGAAAATATTTTAATACTAGAAATAAACGACATGGTTTGGTTACAGAAAATTTCAAAAGTTATTTTAGGTTTGAGTTCAAAAATTCTAGACTATAGAAAAAAAAAATTAAGAAAGAGACAAAGCCACGTGTCGCGTGACCATGAAACACTACATAATGGTGTCACTTTTGGTTTGGTCCATTCATTAATGCGATGGTTTGTAGCGTTCCTAAAATTAAAGCTATAAACCAATTCGAACGGTTTCAAATTAACTCCATATTTTCATACCTTTGAAATATTCGGAATGTAACGTATCTATGTAAACAAACTTTATGCTATAACGCAAAACTTCGAAACGAGAAAATTTTAAACTGCAAAAATTAACGCGAAAGAGTACAATACAAACGAGTTTTTTGACCTAATCAGTTACTAAGAACTTACGGACACTCCTAGCATGAAAAATCAAACTACGGTGACGAAAAAAAAGAAGTAAATGCTAAAAATAATGAAAGTAATATACAAGAAACAAGTCAATGAGAAACTAACTTGGGGCTAACAACTGAACCGGCTCGGATCCTAAATCTCTGCTCTAATTAAGGCCCTATTTCTTCAAAAACTTGGTACAGCTTGTGGGGACTGAACCATCTGGTTTAAACCGGTTTCGTTGTCACTGGTTGGCTCCTTCTTCCGCCTCATCTCCATGACTTTCCGGTGGTGGTTCGAGTGGAGCTCACTCGAGAATGTCGGACTACAAGCGGGTCTGTATTCCGGTAGCAACCGACCCGACTTGTACCGGACACCGCACGCATTGCACAAGGTCTTGGCTCCCATTGGCCCGGCTCTCCACTGCGGAGTTTTCTGAACGCCGCAGTGGCTGCACCTTCGCTGAGGTTGCAGCTGCTGCAGCTCACCGCAGAAAACAGACTCGGCCGACCTTTTCTTATGCTTCTTGAGAAACGGTGGCCTCTCTGACGTGACCACTGGCTCGAGCAGCTCAGCGCCGGAGAACCACGGGCTGGAAGGACGCGAAGAGGAGGAGGAGGTCGAACCGGACGAGGAAGGACCTGAAGAGGACGACGAACCAAGCGACCAGACCTTAACTCCATTACGGTTACGTTTGCTACGGGCTTTAGCCGGAACAGGGGATTTGAAACAGGACTCTTCCGTGACCGGAGTCACAGGGTGTTTCCGGTCACCCGTTAACCACGCCGGTTTCTCAGTGGGGGTTCCGGTGAGGTTTGGACCCGAATATTCCGTGAAGGAGTCATCCACGAAATGAGAGAGCCACTCAAGGTTCGCTAAATCATCCGCCTTTACCAAAAAAAAAAGAAAAAAGAAAAATCAGAGACATATTAGAGGGAAAAAGAATCAAACCTTAATCCAATGGTTTATTAATTACCGGAACAGAGAGTTCGCTTGTAGGGAGAGAACCAAAGTCGTCACAGCCGGAGAAATCGCTGCTCCGGCGAAAAGCGTCTCCGTCGTCGTTCGGTTCCTCGGAGGAAACACGGACCATATCTTGTTGAGCCTTGGGGTCAGTATCTTCTTCGGCGAAAACGTCACCGTTAGACAAGTCAAGCAAGTCGTCGACAGAGAAATCGTCGGCGGAAAAGCCATTCTGAGCGGTGGTGACGGCAAGAAACTCTTCGTAAACCGGAGGAGTCGCTTTGAAAGCCATCTCTTTCCTGATGCTGCTCTTCAACGCTGTTTGTTCCATTGTCCTATCGAAAAAAAACTAAACAAAACAACCACACGAAAGAAAAAAAAGAATTCAATCTTTATATCGAATTTGTTCACATTCTTTTTCAAACGAAACGTAAAAAAAACGTTCCTTTTTTTCGCAATTCCAAGAGAGAGAGAGAAAAAAATCACGAACCCCAAAAAAAACAGACGACCGGGAAACTCAATTACGAAAACGACCCACAAACAGAGTCAGTCACGAGACTGAAATGAAAACCCAACGAACGAAGCAAATTCAAAGAACATGGAAATAAAGACATACGAAACCCTTAAAAGAAAACCCTAAAATTGGACAGGAATTAGGAAAAGTACCTGATACACAGAGAGAAGAAAGAACGAGAGAGAAGGAGGAAGGAGCGGTGGCGAGAAGAAGAATAAGAGGAAAGAGATTAAAAAATGGGTCAAGAGATGGTTATGTGAGTTTGGTAAAGCATTCAATTTGGTAATCTCAGCCTCTCCCTTGTCTACTAAAAACTCCTCCTTTTCTTATCTCTCGAAACGCTTTTTTACTCTCTCCTTTTTTTTTTCTTTCTTTTAAATAAACATAAAAGGGGCAAAAAAGTATTTTTCTAAAGTTGGAAATAATCCAACCGGCAATAAATCTATAAATTTTGTGTATCAGTAGATTCTGTTTTATAAATTCTTACGCTAATGAAAAAGATATACTCCAAGATAACAAAAAAACGGCACTGTTCATTATTACAGAGATAAATAAGATCTTCATGAGTCAGTCAGAGTATTTCTCTGCTGGCATTTCTTATTTCTTTCCTAAAGGTTCGAATTAAATGATATTTACTCGTTTTTCTTTTAATTTCTTTAGATTTGTTTTTGTAAAAAGAAGAAGTTACGTGTTTTTCCTAGTTTGCCCTTGACCGCATTGATCGCCGCTCATCTTGGGAGATTATATAGTTCCCGCTCATTGGTTTTTGATTTCACATTTTTAAGTTAAAAACTTTATTTAGAATTAAAAGTTAAATGTCCCCAACACTAGATAGAGTTGTAGTATTATTATAACTTATAAGTAAGCAGTGCGAATTTGATTAAGGTGGTGAGTGAGGAAATAACGAAAATAACCCTAAAGAGTAATAATGGAGAAAAGCATGTCTTCGGAGTAAAGGCAAAGTGAGGAACTGAGATGATGCAGAAACCGAAGGCAAATGGCGGGCCAGCTTTTGTCCTTCTAACACACCACGAGAAAATGATTCTCTCTCTCACTCACTCACATTATCCTTCAAACCCCAAAAATAAATACATTATTCTTCATATAATAAAATTTTAAAAAAAAATCCATTAAGACAAAGAAGATAATAGAAAAATATCTGTGAAGATTCTCTTTTCTTCCCTGTACAAATTTATTTACCTTATTCAAATTGTGTAGATTCTCTTCTAATTTTTTGGTAACTATTAGTTGAGTTGGGATAAAATTTTAATTGTTAGCATTATCCATGTCGGAGTCAGTAATATTATTGCTGAGCCTTTAATTTTAATTGTTTATATATGGTTGAACAATATTTTTTTGGCATTTTGCATGTATTTGTATTAAATACATAATCTGCATGTTGTTTAAGACTGTTGAATTTTAGAGCAATGGAAATCTCCCCATATTTGGAAAATGCGTGATGATTGTATAAATTCCAAACAAAGGCATCATTATAATTATATATCGAAATTGAATTAGCGATACTTTTTTTCCAAAATGTGCATACAACATTTTTAAAGAAATTTTTTTGTTCACAATCTTAAAGGATTAAAATGTAATCCTAGCCTAGAAAAGTTATTAATTTTGGTGAGGTAAAAAAGAAAAATATAGTGGAAAATGTCTTCGGAGCCGAGTCGCCAGCTCGAGAAGTAGTAGCCACGTGTAATGCTGACGTGCCGTGTTTTGTTTGGCTGTGTCTCATGCGTTTGACGTGAGTCGACCAATCAGAATTCCCCGACGGCTAATCTATTGTTGTTTTGTTTTTAAAAAATCACAATTATTTATGGGATAAAAAAAAACAAAAGATCACACTCTTGCCTAAATTCTGCTTAAATACGTATATTCTTACGCGGAGTCATAAATCCCTCAATTTTGTCAACAAAATGGCTATTGAGAAAATATTATGTAAAAATGTCAAAAAATCAAATGACAAAACTAGCCTCGACGTATCCGTCGGCAGAGACCCTCATTTCTTGCTGGGGTCTTTATGTTTTTTGTTCTTTTAAAATTTTGAAATGTCAAATTGAGAAGAAGGAGAAGAAAAGTAAGAGAATCTATGACAGAGAGTGTGAGAGAGAGGAGCTATAAGTCCCACGAGAATTGTTAGCCACTTTTGAATCTTCCATCTCCCATTTTTTTCTATGGACCGTACCACCCCAATTATATGAAGCGCCGATTTGTTAATTTAAAAATAGATTTTGACAGCGGCCCATTTGTTTGGTTTTATGCATTAAGACATATAAGCAAGGGGATAAATATCAAATTTGAAACTTTGGAGCGACCCACATTTTGGGTTTGGAGCGGGAAAATCATTCAATTTTGTCACATACTGGCCGTGGCAGACTTCTCAAACTATCTAACCTTCTTGCTTTACTATTTAATTTTTTAGATTAAAGAAAAGCAAATCTTTATTTGTCTTTTGTATATGAAACGAGTTTGAGGAATCTCGACTGTATAAAAAGACGTACCGAAAGTGAAAACTAAGAATATAGTATGAGACAAGAGAGAGGAGGTTGTCATCTACTCATTCATAGTGTTGACTTTTGATAAACCAAAATGAATGAATGATGGCGCCATTTTCTTTATGTTTTCTTTTTTTTTTGTTGTCGTTAACTTCTGTTTTCGTTTTAAAGACAGGCCTCAGAGAGTCTATCATTCAATTTCAATTCTTCCTACTCTTTAGTTTATTGTATCACATGGGCTCCGTAAATATGGCCCAAACTAGAAAGCCTAAAGAAACTGCATATAGAATTCTCATTGCTCGATATTGGTTATGAGATGGTTTTGTCCACCTGGTATAATCATCAACTGGGCCACCAGCCTGCAAATTGGGCCCAAAGCATGTATGGTCGAGCGTGCTCACCATAACATGTGTATCTTATCCATTACTCATTAGTCATTAATTAATAACTTGATCGTCTAGTTGTTGTTGTCCCTACCAACGGCAATTTTATTAAATTAATCACAATTATACCGATGAAATTATCGGGCTAAGCAATTGCCCGAAAAACCCTACTAAGAAGATCCAACTCGAGCCGACCGGCTAAAACAAGAAAAGAGAAGATCATGGGATGACGCGGCTAAACTTTCTGCATTCCGTAGGAGATCTCTGTTCTTGCCCTTGACAGAAGAATAACGTCGCCGGACACCACGAGAAGCAGTTTCCGGCGAGTTGTACGTTCGCTGATCCAGGCTTCATCGCCATCAAAGGACCCGGTACGACTCCGAATAAGAAATTCCCGCCTAGTAATAGTCTCTGAAACCCGGCGAATTCGGATCCGGGAGATACGAGTTTCCAGACGTACTGGGTCGGAATCATACCAAAGAAGTTGTTGTTCTCTAACGACAGAGCTGAGAGCTTTGGTGATAGACCCATGAACAGAGGTAACGCGCCTTGGATCTGATTGTTGCTGAGATCTACGGATATGAGCTCGCTGGGGAGACCCAAAGGGGAATAGTAGGGTGAATCTAATGAGGAGAATCCATTGAAGGAGAGTGTTAGCTGTTGCAGAGACTGATGAGTGAAAATGAATGATGGGATTGAGCCACTGAGTTTGTTGTGGCTAAGATCGATTACTTGGAGAGAGTTTAAAAGTTTGAAGCTTTCCGGGATCGTTCCTTGGATGAGGTTGTTTCGCATGGAGATTTGGACTATAGATTCTGGTAACGATGATGGGATCCGACCAAAGATGCGGTTATCGCTCGCGTCCAGGTAGTATAGGTTTTTGAGTGAGCTCAGATCGGGGAATTCGCCGGAAATGTTGTTTAACTGGATTTCTAGACGTTTTAGGCTGGAAAGGCCGTTGAAGCTCGCCGGAATGGAGCCGTCGAGGCGGTTGCTATCTAGGACGAGCTCCTCAAGAACCGTCATCGACCCGACTGAATCGGGTATGGATCCTGAGAAGGAGTTTCCGGAGACGGCGAGGCGGGTGAGACGGGTGAGATTGGAGAGCGAGTCGGGAAGTGGACCGGAGAAGTAGTTGCCGGATAGATCGAGGGTCTGGAGATAAGGAAAGTTGAAGGAGACGGAGGAGAGGGAGCCCGAGTAACCGGCTTGGTCCAGACTGAGCTCCGTGACCCGAGCCAATCCGGAAACGACAGAGTCGCAGCGGAACCCACAAGTGAATGTGTCACTGAATATATTGTCGCATGGATCGAATGAGAAATCCCAAGAACTCAGACAAGAGCCTGGACTCATGGATTTGGTATCCACTGAGTTCTTCAAGTCTTTGAGAGCTGCCACATCACCCCAAAAAGTCTTAGACTCTGCTGAAGATAAAGTGAGCAATAGAAGAAGAAGAAGAAGAGAAAGAAGTGAAGCCATAACGAAAGAGAGATGTTTTGGCTTCTGAGAGATATTTGGAAGAAGAAGAAGAAACAGAGGAGGTTTGGAGTGAATAATGACCGTTGGATGAGAAGGTCAAGGCGTGTGATAAATCTACTCAACGTTGCTCTGAAAGTTGAAAGACAAGAATTTATATATAGAGAGATTGAGATATTAAAATAGAATTGTAAATTTATATCATGTGCGTGATGGTCCATCAGACATATGCGTAGTGAAGACAACATCTGTACAGTGTGGTGTGGTTGGCCCTATCACCATCCACCATAACTCAGAGGTAAATGAGTTTTAGATTCTGTTAAGATTCCAAAGGAGAACAACTCGTGAATTAGGATTACTTGACATTTCACCAATTCACATGTCATAAATTGACAAAGAAACTTCATATATTCTTTCATTTTCTCCCAAATGTGACGTACCCATTTGACCAAAAAGTTGTCAAAATCTAAACTTAAAGTCTTGGTTGTTGACATGAATAGAAGAAGTGATTATAGCCTTATAGGAAGCAAGGTTGGTGGGTTAATGTGCAGCTGTTGCAAGCAAAGGTTCCAAATCATTGGCACTAACTAACTTTAAATGTATGGAAGAAGACGAAAATGTTCATATATGATGAGATCACTCATTGCCGTTAGGTGTCTAAAACTCTAAACCTAAGCCAAGTGGGACGTTTAAATTATCCTAACAGGTCACTAAGACTATGCGGAGAGTGGTAAGCAAAAAGTACCAACATAATAATCTATTGGCACCATTTGGTGTCGTCCTCGCTTTTTCTCGTATGTAGTTGTTCTTCAATAATTGTCTCACTGCTTCTTTGTTAATCTTGAACTCAAAGACCATTCCTATAATATGCAAAATTTGGACGTTCTAGTCAGAAAGATGCATAATTACATAGCATAAACTAGTGCTTACAAGTTACATCGATCTTGATACTCTCTTCTCTGACCTTTTTATTTTCCTCTGAGCTGTGATTTATGCTTATCATCAAGAGAATAGATTACTACTGAATCCGTTGACAAAGTGATTTTGTTGCCCAAATCCATCTTTCCAGTCTCCGGAAGAAGAGAAGATGGAGAAAGACAAACAGGGGAGAGGAGAGTGGATCAGAAACAGAGTCGAATGTTCCCAAAGTTAGTTATGTGATGTCGTCGTGATCCCTCATGGATAAGGAAAAACAGGAGCCCATAACTCTAGGGCTTTGTACTTTTGCTTGAACCAGCAAGGCTTAGTTTTGGGCTATTTCATCATTTGGTTAATGGGAACTACAGTATTGTCTTCTCTTTTATGCTGCGACACTAAAAATAAAAATTCGGTTTGGAAAGCTTGATGCTGTGGACCTGAGGCTTCTGTTTTGTCCCCTTGAAATGCAATGATGCATTTGCAAATTGTCTCTCAGACGTGTCACTCACTTATTGGTTAACAGTGAAAATTCCCATGGTCCCACTTGAGTTCTGATATTAAAGTTGCTACTTTTATCACCATCCGTCTTCATGATCCTTTCTACGTGCGACAACATCAAACTCTTGAGTCTTGACCTACAAAAAAAAGTAATTTTAAGTTTTTCAAAAGAGAGATTTCGAAGAAAAGGTGCGAGCTGGTATGGAGGAAAACAAATCTCGGGGACAAATCAGCTGAAATCAGGTGGGTTTAGCCGATTGAGGTTTCATGGGACTAATAAATTTACTTAGTATGATATAAATGTAAATTACATAATGCATGATTTGTGTATCTTTTTGAGAGTCTTGGCGACATTTGTTTCTTCTTAACAAATACTAATTAATCCGAATGAGTTAGTATAATGTTAGCTCGTTTTCCGATTCTTTTTTGCACCTCGTTATCATCATGGCATTCTTGAGGTGACGTAAATTGAAAAATGAAAAAGAGCGTAAGAAATGGAATTGGGATAGAAGAGTTTTTTAGGTCCAGACATAACCATCTGCAGAAATGAAGACGCATACCAGTTTTATACCTTTTCTGTTCCTCCCACTCACTTGTAATAGAATTTACACTCTCTCTCTCTAACCAAAGAATCCTAATACACATACGATGTCAAAACTATTAACTATCTAGAAGAAAAAAATTAAGAAGAAAAAAACATTAACGTAAAGAGTCGGATGTTGCAGTGAGAATGAGAGTGTAAAACCATGTGAATCTTTGGATTATACTAGAGTAAGACGTCTCATATGCATGTGTATCTGTCTCTCTTCAAATGTAAGTGTGACATTATATCGATCATAGATAAAGATGGCTCAAATTGAAAGATAAACTTAACATTAGGGCTAACGGCATATCACAGTGGAATGATATACCTGTAACCTTTGCTAGTGTGTCTGATTTATTGACCAAATGCACAAGAAACCTCAATTCATGTCTTGACCCAAATTCCAATATTAAAAACTTGTACTATTCGACATTAATATTTATACACGCTAATTATCATATCTGCAATTAAATGACCTAAAGTACTCATTTGAAAGGTTAATAAAACGTCAAAAAAAAAAAAAGTAATGTGAAAAGCTTACAATAAAACAAGGCTGAGTTTAACGATCACAGTTGAAAACTGCCAGCTGCGAAAGCTTTTGATGTGAGCTTTCACAGAGACAGGTTCGTTGACTTTTTTAACAGTTGAAAATTGGAGTATATTACAATCAAATTAATTGACATTTATAACCACAAAACTTGAACTTAACAATAAAGATCAGGTAACAATTGAACTTTAATAGAACATTATCTCTAGTTAAATTACTTTTGACAACAAAGATTAGTACGTTATAATCTCTTCCTCCAAAAGATGTTTTCAAACCCTAATTCTACAGTAAGAATCTAAAAAAAGTTATGAATTGTTGTACTCTCAGTGTGGAATTCAAGATCTTGAGTTGGAGAAGAAGTGCGTACCAGTCATGAAAGTGTTGATGGGAGTAGGATAATTAAGTGAGGCAGGATCGATATAATGATCTGAAGTGGAGCCAACGACTCCATTGTTGCAGCTCACGTTTGGGCTTGATGATGAGGCCGACGGGCCTGCGGTTATGAGGTTCAACGGCTGAGACCCACCGCCTGAGGAGCTTCTCTCGGCCGGGCCTTGATCGTAGAGAATACCTTTGAAGACGTGACCACCTATACTCACAGCTGTTTTGTATGCATACTCTTCTTCTTCATCATCTACGGAACTCACACGCACGCACCGGAAAACCGCCGGCGACCGAACTTCCGGCGGATAGTTCCCAACCTCTAACCCTAGGTGGAAAAAAAACATTTAATCATGGTTAATTATAAGGTTGGAGCATTTCTTACGTATGATTTATTTGTTTCTGGTCTAAAGTCAAGTTAATAATTATATTACAGCATTAACAAAAAAAACAAAAAAAAAGTTCATAATTTCAGGATATAAACACAAATATCAAGATCGGCGATAACAGTTTCTTCCTGTCAATCCAAGAGTCAGTTTTACTCATACACAGTATTTCCATGTTATAAAAAATAAAATAAAAAAGAAGAAGAAAATCATTAACTTTTTTTTTCTTTCTCGAAAATGAAAAAAGAGAGAACAAAAAAGCTGATCAACAAGAATAGGGTTTCTGTTTCAGCAATTGAAACTAATCAACTCAAATTGTTCCAAGATAACCAAAAAAGAAGGCTAAAAGATAAATTATGAGATACCTGAAGTGTTGTTAGTAGGTATACGAGTGCAGACCAGGGAAGTCGATCTCGCCTGGATATGCTCTCTCTGCCGTTTAGGGACGCTCTCACCCTGCGGCTGCGACTGCGGTTGTTGACCGGAAGCAAGCTGCTGCTGGCGTTCTCGGCGTTTAGCGGCAGGAACCCACGTGCTCTTCACGTGAGTGGGACACTCAAGGCCTCGGCTCTTGCAGCAAGTCCTGCATCTCATGTGAGCGCAGTCTTTCTTAGATTGATTCCCACAATCCTGGCAGCTTGGTCCGCCGCCGCCACTACTGCTCCTCATCATCATCAACGAACCGCCGGAAGTTTCAATTAAGCTCCGGTTGCTCGGTCCAACACCTAAACCCGCAGCGGAAGTGTAAAGATCCAGCCTTTGTTGTTGCTGCTGCTGGAAAATGAGTTCTTGATTGTTTGGGTGTTGCCATAGCTCAAGGGTTCCTTTGTAAGAAGGAGCAACTTCTCCACCGTCAGCGTTAGAGTTAGGGTTTCTGCACCAAAGCCAAGATTCTGTTCCCGAGGAAGAAGGATTAGTAGTGTTGGTTCTGTGGTGGTTGTGCTCGTCTTGGCTGTTTCCTCCGCCGCCTTGTCCTAGCGAGAAAAATCCTGCCATTTTCCGATACCACCAGCCATATATATATCTTCTAGTCTAGTAGACAAAGATCTTGACTTTCAGAGTGAAGAAGAAAAGATCTCTCTTTGATCTTAATGATCTCTTTCTCTCTCTCTCCGAGAGGATGAAGAAGAAGACGAAAGAGATTAACTTTAATGGGAGAATGTAGAGTAGTCTCTAGGGTTTGTTTTAGAAATCGAATAGAGGTTTCTTTTGGTACTGAAAAAAGTTGGTTTGTCGGTATGAAGAGTATTTAAGAGGGGGAGAGAGAGAGAGAGATCAATCTCAGAGAGGTTTCTTTCTCTGTCTCGCGCTCTGCAACGCCGCCATCACCTTAATACTCTCCTTGCTCTCTTATTAAATTCTCTGTCTCCTCTCTCTTTCTCTCTTTTCTTTTTGTTTGTTTTCTAGATTTTCCTTACACCAATTATCATCACAAAACACTTCTCGGACAAGATATATCTCACCGTTGATCATCACGTGTTGAAGATCCTGCGGTCAATATGTTGCCACGTTGTCAACTTCGGCTTTTACTCTCTCCGTCTTTTCTCTACCGGAAAACACGCTGCCTCTTCCCTTTTTTGTTTGTTTGTGTTTAGCAAAATGCTATTAGTATTAAATACCACTACATTATTGTTTAGATTAATCTGTGTATGATTTGTTCGAACGATATTTTAGTGAAATGAACGGAAGATTTCTTTATTTATGAGAAATGAATAATTCTGTAATACAAAAAGTTGTTTAACTAAACTAAACTTTATAATCATATATACTCCTATTCAACGTTGAGGACTTGGGATGAGGAACACCAATTATCGATATAGTTGTATCTTTAGATTCTTTAGTTAGATTCGATGCTATTTTTAATATAATTAGCGAAATCTTATTTTTTTAAGTGCATAATGGTTGCAGCTGGAAAACAGATGCTTATCCATGTTTCCAAGGAAGCAAATTACTACTCCGTTAATAATACCAAATTTAATAATGAACACCTGTTAAGTTCTCCATTATTCGTGTGTGTGATAGTATTAAAATATTTATGTATACAAACATACACTGATAGATCAATTGTCCCGTATATATACCCCATGAATCTTAATTAATTTACTAGTTAATCAAAAAAAAATCTTGACGAATTTCTGACTGATCTAGTGCATTATGCATGTTTCAATTGCTTCAGTATATCAAAATACAGACTAAGTAAATAACTGAAAATAGTTGACTAATGCGAAGAGGGGTACTATAGTCATTTTGTAATTGAAATACCAAAATACATTAAATGGAAGTGAGGCTGTAAAAAAATGTATTTATGAAATGGATGAACGTTACTGTTGACAACAAAAAAACAAAAAATAGCAAAATCATATATCCAACCTCTTCACCATATTGTAAACAATGTTAATGTATCTATGAAATGGATGTAAAAGACAAATTTAAGTTTGATCTAGCAGCTGTAAATTTGAGAAATCAATTTGGATGTTTTAATGGTTTTCTTGTTATGACAATGTTAATGTATGTAAGGGTTTGTACTTTGTTGAATGCAAGTGTTAAGTATTATGAGTGAATGAAATTGAGGAGAAGAAAAGGGGATAGAGTTCGATGAATATATGCAATCATTTAGGACCGAGAAATTAAGAGGGAGTGGGCAAAAGGGACAGTGACATTCTCTCGGATTTTATTCTTGTACATAGCTAAATTACAAATCCATAAATTCCAAATGTATTGGTAACATCGATTATCTTTGCAAATAGCAACAAACTCGCATAATGAAATTTTATTTTTGAGTGTGAATCTTGAAATTAGTACAAATAGAAGAGTTTTTTTTCCCCAAAAAAAAAAGGTTTAAAGTGTCTTCTCGAGCACTGTGTTCTTCTTTTCTTTAAGTTTCGAATGTCATAATTTATACTACAAATTTAGATAAAGTTCCTAACATTTTTTTAACTATTTAACCTTCCATCCGCTTCATGTCCTAGCAATTTTTCAAAAAACGTTGAAACTGTTTCCTCTACCTTTTTCTGCCATATATGATATATCTGCACTTCAAACGCATCTAGTAATCTACCATTCTACTTGACCCGGTATCATCTTTTGGAGTTTTGGAATGTATATTATGCCCATGAGCAATAATAAAACAAGGAAATAAGTAAAGAACTTTAATTTATAAACTAGAGAATAAAGAAAAGTAAGTTTGGAGCATAGTGTTTGTTGGCTTCTTAATATCACTTGTACACAATTACACATTATTACCAAAGAAGAGAAAATCACTTCTTAATATATCTTTTTCTTACATAGGCAGAAAGAAAAGAGTGTTTACTACAAAAGAAGCACGCACTGGTTTGGTTTTTACTTTCACCCATTCATTGCTCCTCTACACTCTTTTTACTTCTTAAAAGGAAAAGGCGTATCTCTCTTTTTCTCTTCAACTTTGAAGCTGAAAAAGATGGACAGAAAAGATTTGATGGGTTATGTTTCTTTTCTTTCGAAAGCCAATAACTAGAGTTTCTTGCATCCTCTTTTACTCAATAGTAATTTCTGTTCTGTGTATTCTGTGTCTCTTCACAAAATAATAAACAAAGACTGTCTTTCACCACAAATTTTCTTCAGAAGCTGTATCTCTTCACAAAATATAAGTATCTGCTTTAAGAAACAGACTTTATAAATGGTGTGTTCCATATGGATCCCATTTCACCTTCACAGGCCCCCTTTACATTTATGTATATTAATTGATTATATGTTTCTCATTACTCAAGAGAAGATTGCATCATTGAAAAAAGGAAAGAAAGAAAAAACATAACAGAGTGATTTGGTTCATGTGGGTCCCGAAGAAGTGGAGTCATGGTTCCTCCGAATGTCATGCTCATGCTCATGCACATGCAGAGACGCGTAAACTCTTTCTAAGCTGATGTATCAACTGAGTTACTGGATGCGACAAAATCTACTTATATAATCCACTCGACATACTTTTACCCAAAACATCACTAAACCAAACTTTAATTACATAACAAACTCACAAAACTCAACCAAAACAGTTTTTTTTTTTTTGGTATCAAAATGGCAAGATATAGTTGATCGATCGGGTCGTGGGTCGTGGGTCGTGGGTTATAGAAATTCCCCCACACTAGAAAGTTGAAACAAAGGGTAGGATCAAAGTTAATACCATAGTCCATATAGAGGCTGCTGTAAAAAAAGAGGACCACTATTTTTTCACGCCTAATTCTCCTAATTACTCCATTATTGTATACCTTGTTAATTGCGAAGTTGCAAACCCTTTAATTATAGGGATAGCTTTTATATTTATAGCATGTTCTTCTGAAGCTAATTTACTTTAATTTCAACAAATATATCGATCATAAAAGAAAAAAAAATATCAAAAAGAAACTGAATCGGATAGTGACGTTTTTCTTGTGTATGTATATCTGATATACATATTATTATTATTTTTTGTGTTTGGGTTATTTTGCTTAATTTTATTGTCTATTTATAGGAATATAAATAAACAAATTGAACGAATCAAATGTTTTAACCCTTTCATATGAGTACCATAGGAAATTAATTAAGAAAAAGAAGAGTGTGACTGAGGTGATATATTGTAAAGTAGATAGTGTTGACAGATGATTTAGTAAAAAAATCAACTGAAAGATATTTTCACAGTAAATCAAAATTTGGATGGAAGGGACAAACGGAAGCATGTATACCGTCCGATCATGTAGAAAAGAGAGAGCAATTACACCGACCAGAATAGTAACTTGGCAACGTCATGCTTTTTTTTCTTGTTTTCTTTCCTTATAATAATATAAGATTGTATGAATTTTGATACTTTATGTTCCTCCAAATAATTAGACCACTTCATGGCTTTCACGTTCCCCATTTGAGTATGTAGTCCACTAGCGTGGTCCAAAATTCTATAACCATCATTTTTCGTTCTTCTTTTTTGATTTTTTACCATCATTTTTTGTTCTTCTTTGGATTTTTTTACAATCAATCAATCTATGGAATGTACAATTGTACGCAAATTGGATGATTAAGCATAGACGTTTAAGATTGTACGACCGTGAAGAAAATAAAAATAATTGGGCCTCGGCGAAGTTGGGCTAAAGGAAAAGTCAATATAAGAAATGCATATAAAAACTGGGCCACGAGGTTTTTCAAAGGCCACTTTTGGGAATCGCGCCAAGCGTTTCCGATTACGATTCCTGTCACCGGCGATTTCGTGCAACATAAGAAGAGAACGACGCAGCAACGTTATCTTTCGTGACTGAAGCAAAGTGATGATTCTTCGATTGAAGAACCAAACGCTCGGAAAAATCAATTTAACTCGCTCATACTTATCTTCCTTAGTTTTCCGACGAGATTCTCACTCGCACGATCGCCGGAGAAGAGGGTACGAGAGGGATGTGGGAATCGAGGAGAAGAAGGAACACGATGGGTTGTTTCTGTGCAAGAGCAAAGGCCAACACCTTCTTACCAACACCAGAATCCTCGACGCCATTGTCCGAAGCTCCGATGTCAGGCCGACCGATACAGTCTTGGAGATCGGACCTGGTACTGGAAATCTCACGATGAAGCTTCTTGAAGCTGCCCAGAATGTCGTCGCCGTTGAATTAGATAAACGTATGGTGGAGATTCTACGCAAAAGGGTTTCTGACCATGGTTTTGCAGATAAACTTACGGTAAGAATCCTCTGCTAATTCATTGAACTGCCTTTGATTATTTGACTAGGATTGGTTTAAGGGAACGGAATTATTTGTTTTCCGAGATTAGCTTTTAAGCGCACACAAACTGTTCGATGAAATGCCCAAGAGAACACGAGAACACTAGGGAACTACATTCACTAACCCTCTTTTTTCACTTCTTCGTTTTGGTTGGATTCTATATTAGATTATTCAAAAAGATGTTCTGAAGACAGAATTCCCTCCGTTTGATCTCGTAGTTGCAAATATTCCTTACAACATATCTTCCCCTCTTGTGGCGAAGCTTGTATACGGCTCCAATACCTTTCGAAGCGCCACTCTGTTGCTTCAAAAGGAATTCTCCCGCAGGCTCCTGGCAAATCCAGGAGATTCCGATTTCAATAGATTGGCGGTGAACGTTAAGTTAGTAGCTGATGTTAAATTTGTGATGGATGTGAGTAAAAGAGAGTTTGTTCCACCTCCTAAAGTCGATTCATCTGTAGTTATGATTACACCAAAGGAGATAATACCAGATGTTAATGTTCAAGAATGGCTGGCATTCACTCGCACGTGTTTCGGGAAGAAGAACAAGACGCTTGGTTCCATGTTTAGGCAGAAGAAGAAGGTCATGGAGTTGCTAAGTTTGTCTGCAGGGAGGAATGGTTCGAAAGTTGGGGTTATGAATCAGACATGTGGTGATTCTGACAGTGATGTTGAAGAAGATGGAGATGGGAAAGATGATTTGTTGTGTTTGGATACAGATGCAAATATGTTCAAGGAAAGGGTTATTGGAATTCTGAGATCGAATGGGTTCGAAGAGAAGAGACCATCCAAGCTCTCTCATAGTGAGTTGTTACATTTGCTTTCTTTGTTTAACCATGCTGGAATTTTTTTCCATGATATTAGATCATCCCCAATGGATCTACACGAATAATGGCAAGTTTTCTTTAATGATTTATTCATTAAGTAGCTTCGAATAAAAGCTACTTAATGCAAATAAAATCGTACTTTTTTTCTTTGGCAGCTAAACAAAATCATATTTAATTAGGAATGTGAGAAATTCCCGCCATGATAAAATCATTTAAGGGATCAATATTCAGAAATGAAACCATGATCAAATCTGTAGTTAAAACTAAACTTTGATACTGTAAAATGCAAATATTTTAAAATCCAAGTCTGTTCTCATTGATTAGAAGTTCAGAAGAGAACCGGCTTCTTACAAAAAAAAAAGATGACAAAATCTGAGAAAATTTCCTCCATTCTCCTCTGCTAATACAAAAATATAGCAGAGAGAAAATTCAAATCGAACCAAAAGAAAATGTTTTGTCGGATACAAGCAATAAACCCCAAAACACAGGTTATGCTCGATCTCGGCTGAAAATCCTAATAATAACCGTAAATACTATATCCTGGATATGGATATTGATGATGGTAAGGGTGCATCGCTAGTGACTGAGAATAATACGGCGGATGCTGGCGAGAGTAACAATTATCACTCGGCCAATAACTGTTGTAAGATGGTGGCTGGCCGTAATAGGAGTTGGAGTTGTAATGAAGATTAGGATAATGTGGATGATGTCCACCGGTTTTCACAAACGTCATTTCAGCTGCCTTGCCTTTTATCGAACCCATTAGTTTTAATAGTTTGTTTGGATCTCCTTCACCCGAAATGTATGCTATTCCTTCATTCAAGTCTAACAAAAAATCCCCTCCTTAATCACAAGCAAACCCGAATGTAAGAATTAGATTAACAAACCTATGAGTTGATGAAATTGTAGGATAACTAAACCTACCTTTGATCTTCTTTAGAATCTTTGTCATGCTCTTATGCCACTCAGGGGAATTCGTGTTCACCTTAAACCCACAAGTCTGCCAACAAAAAAAAAAACGTTAAAATGTCATATTTAGTCGACGTAATTAACAGATAGAAACAAGAAAATATGGTTGTATTAGTTTTCTATGTTATGACGAGAAACTGAAAACGAACCAGTTGTGTAGAACGATTATTTGATGAAAACATTTCTGATAAATCTTTTGGAACTTGAGGAAGCTAGAAAGTAGAAACACCGGAAAATATGTTACTCTATAAAGAGTTTTGCAAATTGATATCGTCGTCTCGTAGTTTATATGGATATTTTGAAACTTTTGATTCAAGACTCTGATACTTAATAAATGTTTTTTTTCAAAAGAGTTTCGAATTAGGAAATGGTTTCATTAATTTCAAAATCTTTTCGTCCCTGATATGGCATACTTTAATCCAGATCTTTGGTACGGACAAAATGATCACAGCTGAAGTAACTATATGGATAATGAAAGTTTGAAACTATATCTTTAGACAATATTCAAAACGTAATACATGTAATCTTTTCATCAGTGTATACTTATTATCACCTCAAAATTTACGAGATATTCAAATAATAATATTTGCATTAATTATATCATTTAATTCACGATGCTATCGATTTTGGAAACGGATCCTTTACTTTCGTCGCCTGATTTCGCGTATTTTTTTCCGATTATGGGCCATTTGAAACCTATTGGGCCCTAATAGCTGAGGGAGACTACAAGCCCATAACCTTGTGGGCTCTTCTAATTCAACAGATTGCTTCAATGTTGTTAAATCGGTATTGTTTTTAGCTGTGATCGTAAAAAGTTATATCGTAATAATATGTATAATCAAAGAATAATTTATTGTATTAGGCGTAACAAGTCACGCGCGTGTTGAGTCTAAGAAACAACGGTAAAGGAAGAGAACTAGAGAAGGATCTAATCTTTTGTTGGATGCTGTTTTAGCAATTTCAGAACGTTTTCGTAGACGATGAATGTGATGGAAGACGCAGGTACATTTTTCAAAAGATTAGCCGTTAGTCCCCTGTAGAAACCTCTGAGACCTTCATATCTGCAGAGAGACCCAAAGTGTGTTACTCAGTGACGCTAACCAAAATATCATCTTTTCAGACATAATCGAGACCAAGAATATGGCCTAACCTCGCGGTTTCTCTGATGACATGTAAGCTGTCTATATATCTTGGGATTCCGTTTGTACTAGGTCTTTGCTGAACAAGAAAAGAAGAATGTTGTTTATGAAATCCTCAAATATTGCAGAAGATCAAAGGTAAATGTAGCGAAGAAATGTACCTGTAATCGTGCTCGAATAACCTGAAATGGATACGTAAGAAGAACTGCAGCAACTTTGGAGGAGCCGCCAAGTGCAGCATAATCTGCTGAGTTCTATAGAAAAAAAATGCAATTTAGTGTGTTAGAATAGTATATCCGTGGGATTAATTAATGTTCCTATATAAAATTAATGTTCCTATTAAAAAGAAGAACTCTGTACCAATAGATTGTCAGCGGAATCGGACTTTCTTCTCCTTTCTTTCCAATCCACAATGATTTTACGGAGTTCCTCATATGCTGTGAACTGAATAGCACCATGAGAAACCTGCTGAACCCAAAATGTAAACCACCTTTTTAGCAACTAATATCCATCTTTGATAGTTCCAAATCTGTGGATCTTGTGGTATAATTTTACGAACGAACATTACAAGAGAAAGCTCAGGATAGTTACTAACCAGAACAAGACCAGGGACAATACCCTTGTAGAGCGCCCTGGGTCCTTCCTCTTTCACTATGGTTCTAAAGGCATCTGAAGTTCATAAAAGAAACATTTAGAATGAAACACTAGAGATAATGAAAAACTGAACTTGTGCAGCATATTGCAAACCTAATAGCCCTGAGTATGGTTGGGTTTGATGAAGAGGTGTCTGGAGCTGTAACCTTGTTTTCACAAGCCAAATCGGATTTGTGCATAAACAGACCTGAAAGCATCATAAGCTTGAGATCGAGATCTAAAAAAACGTAGGAGAAATGAGATGTTTATGGTATCTGTTATACTCACCAAGGCCCCTGCTTCAGCAGCGGAAGCGAGGTGAAGACCGGGGCTGAGTTTCTCATCGTCCCTTCCTCTAGCGTATCTCTGCTTGGCTCTCCCATAACTAGAGAGAAATAATGTAACAATTAAACAAGATCCACGGCTAAAACAAAATTCAATGACCCTAACAGGAATTTGTTGAGGAGAGATCAAAACAACAAGGCCCTTCAGAAAAAACTGTAAGTGAGACAAAAAGGAAACGCCTTTGTTTACTAATTCATGTTGAATCACAGCTTTGTTTGATTAGAAATCATGATGCAAGATATGTGCTAAACAACTAACACTCACAAAAAGAAGTATAAGCCCCATGAAACAGTAGAACCGATAACTGCAGGGAAGAAGCCTGCATAAAGTCCTCTCAAACCCTACGGAAGATTTATACAAAATGAGTTATATCAGCTAAACCAGAGGAGAGAAAATGTTTCTGAACACAAACCCTCTAATCAAGAAACTAACAACTGGACAGAGATGAGTTCTAACCACATTGCATAGAGAAGAAAATATGGAAGATGCCAAGAAAATGACACAAGAAAATAGAAAAAGGGTAAAGAGAGTTTGTTCTGGGAAACCTCGAGACGGGCAATGGTGAAGACAGCGTGAGCAGTGTTCTTGTACGTCGGGAGACTTGACCCTCTACCGTCGTTGACTGTTTCAATCAAGTGAAGTAAGCAACTATAAACGAATTGATGAGTTAAAAATCGAGTTTTTAGTCAGTTTCAGGAGTGAAAAATCAGACCTTGGAATCTCGTACGAACAACATCAAGAGGGTGCATAGCAGCTACGGTGGCGAATCCAGCGACGGCGCCGGCGGTGGCGTTTTCCCACTGCCACGGCGCCGCCATCAAAGAACCGTTAGATGCAATCCGGCTTAATCTCGATTGCTTACAGAACTAATCGGAAGCATCTGGCAAGTAAAAGAAGCGAAAGGGCAGTTGATGAAAGTTTCGCCGTCCTCCGGTGCGATCTCCGACTCCGAGTTTTTCTTCCCGTTCAAGATATGCTTCCAACACGGCACCGTTTTGAATTGGAAGCTAAAACCCAAATCAGAAGAGGTTTCGATAGTTATCCGAGGCCCAACAATTTTAGTTTAATCTAAGAACCCAAAGCCCAAAACGTTTAGTTAATTCTAAGAACCGGTGACTTTTACTATTTAAAACGTTTAATGAAAAAACTGTCCATCAACCACCAACGGCAGGATATGTTGGTTGCACACTTGCAATGTTGAAAATTAGAGTCTGAAAATAAAGCAAATAGTATATAGATAAAACAAAATCAGATTTTAGTAAACATACAATACACATTCATACAAACAAAGCCAAAAGAAATTGAAAACTCAGATGACGCGTCCATGCAAAACAAATGCATGAAACTAAAACATTGTACTTAATTATAAAAGGCAGATTTTATTAATAAGCATGGTTAACCCTCCTACAGATGCGCCGGATCTCTCCCTTGGCGCCCGTCAACGGAGAGATATTTCCCATCTTCACCATCGATTTAGCAAACTGCTCGAAGAAGGCCTCTTGATTCTCTGCGTATAGCTTCACAAGCTCCTTGGACTCTCTGTTCTTCGTGAACAGAATCTCATCAGAGCTCAATAGACCTTTGTACATGATCAGGTTCTTGAAGTAGTGGTTGTCAAACTTGAACGGCGTCGCGAAGTCGAGGAAGAAGAGGTTCTGGTCACCTCCGGATCTCGGACATCGTTGACGCAACAGGGTTGCATAGTATTGGCTAAGAGTCAGATCAGGCTTTCCGTTTCCGGACTGGTTGTATAACCTCTGCCGGAAACTTGTGCACCTCGAATTTCCAATGGTGTGACTTCCTAAAAATCATATATAAAGGCTTCTTAAAATTACGAGCTTTTATATACTAATTGGTTTGCTAAGATAGATTAGTTGTTGCAAATGTTATGCATACCAGAGAGGGAGACAAGATCGACGAGATCAAGGCCTTGACGCTTGAACTTAGTGAGGATGGTTTGAAAAGTGTTGTTTGGAGCAGGAATGTCATTGTTGGAACCACTCAAGCTTGCTCCTCTCGAGTCTCTTCTTCCTAGAGGTACTTCCCAACTCGGTCCACCCGTCTGTTATTTCATTTGTCAAATTATTGATATATAATAATCAACTAATTTTGTGTAATGAATTGTGATGTATGACTTACAATAACAGTTGAGTCTCTAGCGGCAAGAGCCAAGATATCAGCGCAAGAAACTGTTTCAGGACACTCTTGTTCTAAGGCATGTTTGATTTCCTCGATGAGTTCGAAACCACGGGCTGAGTTTCGGTTAGGGTTTGATCGTTTCTCGCTGATTATGGTTCCACTGCTGTCCAATAGTATCGAAGCATCACATCCCTGCAGATATCACAACGAGAAAAATATATTAGTATTGGAAATTTCCGTACGTTTTTAAACGTTAAGAAAGTTTTGCTAAGCTTGAGACCTTGACGAAACAGTCGTGGAAATGGAGTCTGAGCAAGGAGGCAGGCATGCGAGGATCAAGTTCGAATGCTTTAGCGACAATGGACTGAACAATCTCTTGAGCTTTAGGACACGAGTGGTCGTAGAACTGAGGAAAGAGATAGCCGCCAGTTCCATAGGCTTTGGAACACAAACAAAAAGGAGATAATGCAATGAGAGAGAGAGCTGCAATAAGGATGTTCAATGACTTGGCCATTTTTTTTTTGGGGATTATTTCTCTTGATGACTCGTTGTATATAACTCGGTTACTTGTACTTGGTGATTGTGTGTGATGCCAAGGGTTTCATTTATAGAGTAGACTTTGTGGACATTTGAGAAAGACGTTGGAGTTGGTATCTAATTTTAGCTACATATTGGATTAGATGGATACATTAATATTTGAGGATTGGTATGAATACAAGATTTGTTAGACTTTTTTTTTTGTATATATTCCTCATGTATTTGCAGTTGTTGATTGTTGTGTGGGATTTTGGTTCCATACATTAGCAAACATCTAAAACACAGTTTTGCTTTTGATTAGTCAATTTATACCACACGGAGAAGTTTCTATGGAGATTTTAATTTATTAAATTGAGAGATCAGCCTGAAGATGATTAAGCTACGCAAAATAATTACATCAATAGGGTTTTACTTGGTTGACCCTGACCAAATAGTCAAAATAATGCTAATTATTCTGCAAGCAAACTAATTGTGTGCTTAACAAATAGATACGGTTGCTAGAGTACGCCAAAGACATAATAAACGTTAGATAATGACAAAATCATTGAGAAACAGCTTCAACTGCTCTCCCGGCCCTCACAAAAACCAAACCAACTATTAAGTATTAATTTCCTTTTCTTTTCGTGCAGTAATGACAAAGAAGAACAAGTCGTCATTTTAAAGAATATCACCGGACGATGTATTTTGACCTTTTCAATATGTCTTTTGGTCATTTTCTCACGTCTTTACCTGCGTTCAGTAAATAAAGAATGATCACAAATCTTCAAAATTTCATAAGCCCAAATATCAAATTATAATTCGGCTCAAGGTAAAGCCCAACACAGTGGGTTAACACCGAGTTCGAAAACAGGCCTAATCCAATCTAACCTGTCTACACTCTACAGTCTACACTAATTGTTGTGTGTTCCAATTGCATGCGAACTGAGAAGTGTAATCAGTACACCATTAAGTAGAAGAAAAGTAAATTTATAGATACGAAATTACATAATACAAACATCTCAGAACATAAAAAAGAGCCAGATGCTCATTACACACTCCTCTGTCTCACACACTCATATAAGCCAACAACCCATCGCAGGACGTACATACATAAAAAGCACAACATACAACGACCAAATGCGACTGCGTTACACACCACCCTTATTTTTATTTAATATGTATAGACGTTTGTTTGTTGGAAGCTTAACGGCCACCACCACCGGGAAGCTTATCCTTGATCTTGTCCATCATCCCCTTCTTCTCGTGGCGCTCACCGCCGTAGCCACCAGCATCATATCCGGTTGTTCCGGTTCCCATGCCGCTCATCCCTTGAGCTTGACCAGACTGGTCATGATGACCTGGCAACTTCTCCTTGATCTTTTGTGTTATTCCCTTCTTCCTCCTGCCTCCTTGTCCATCATCCTCCTATTATATATATATATATATATAAAACATTAGAATTACACATCACATACTAATTAATTAATGTATCATAATACTTGTTTATACACTTTGATACGTACCGAGCTAGAGCTGGATCCAGATCCAGAGCGGTGAAGCATTCCTCCCAAGCCACCACCACTTTCCTTGTGGAGTTGCTCTTGGCCGTGGTGCCTAGCTCCTCCGCCAGTTCCAAAGGCTTCAGTCCCGGTCCCGGTGCCGTATCCTTGGCCACCAGTCCCACCCGTAGCTCCTCCACCAGTTCCATAACCTCCTCCACCGGTGGCTCCTACACCACCACCAGTTCCGTATCCTCCGCCTCCCATCGGGTTTCCGTACTCGTCCAACTGCTGGATCGGGTTTCCATACTCGTCAGTGGCCTGACCTCCTGGACGGTTCTGGTAAGACGCCATCTTCTTCTTCTCTTAAGCAAACACTTTGAGCTAATTAAGCTAGAATATTAAACTCTTTCTTTGTGATATTAGACTTTTTGATGAGTTTGATCGATGAAGATTCGTTAGCGCATGGAAGGTAGTTTTATAGTCCGGTTTCGGATATGGATCAACTATATAAAATATTGAATCATAATTTGGAAAGTGACGCGTGGCAGCAGTAGAAAATGTCGGCGTGGTGCTTGGACATACGTGTCTGTAACTTAACCGAGCTGTTTATCTCAAAAGAAAATCGGATTGATTAATTTATGAGCTTTCACGTCGATATCAAGTACGTGTTCATTAGAATCCCATGACAGGGTGATGAATAGAGGTGGAAAGCAAAATATCTGTCCTTTTCTTTGTGTCGGTACTAACATTATCGACTATCGTAGTAACAGGACACGTCATTCTTCTCCTCGAAAACGATGCGTCGTGTTATTGATTTTCATACACGTATATCGTCGATTGGGTGAATTCGAAGAAACTTGGCTGGGTCCTGGAAATATTGGGCTCTTTTTTGGGCCGAAGAATCACTTACAAATAAGGCCATGGACTAAAACCGAGGCCCAACAAAATTTACAGCATTTTGATTAAACGCCGCGTTTTGATCATTGGTGTTGTTCGTCTTTCCTTCTGTTTTCAGTTGTCACTCTTGTCAGAGAGTTTCTTCTCTCTGCACCAGATTTCAAATCCTTTATTTACAAGCTCTTGTCTTATCTTACACGGATTCGAAAAAGGTTTTTCGATTGGAATTTTGAAATCTTTGTGTGGGTTGATTGTTAAAGATGGATCCGGATGCGGTGAAGTCGACCCTTTCGAATCTGGCATTCGGGAATGTATTGGCGGCAGCTGCTCGAGATTATAAAAAGGTGAATTAATCTTCTTCATTGTTTCATTCTTCTTCTGTAGATGATTACTTTGAAGGTGTTCTCCATAGATTCTTCTTGGATCTTGATTACAAGGGTAAATAATGTGCTGGTTTTCCACAGAATCTCATGTTGTTTGGTAACCCAATTTAACAGAGATGGAGATGAATCTAGAACATATGATAGGCTAGATTCTATTTCTGTCTACTCTGGGTGTCAGGAAATAGTTTTAAGTTTTTTTATTGGTTAGTCGATAGAGCAAATGATAAAAACAATGTAACTTTGGAATTTGGAGTTCTTGGATCAAAACATTTCCTACCATTATTGGTGGTGCAGGAAGTTCTTGCAAATGAGAAGGCGCAAGGATCAAGACCTGTCAACGAGGAGGTTGATCTTGACGATTTGATGGATGTAAGTGCCTCTCTTTGAATCTTTCTTTTATATTATCTGTAAAATGATATTTTATACTGACTTGCTCATGTTTTGTAGGATCCAGAGCTAGAGAAGTTGCACGCAGATAGGATTGCAGCACTCAAGGTTCAACTTCACCATCCACATTCTTTCCATATCTATATTTGGTTAACACTTTTGATTTCATTTGTATGGACTATGATCTAACCCCAACATGTGTCTGGACAGAGAGAAGTGGAAAAGAGAGAAGCTTTCAAAAGGCAAGGACATGGTGAATACCGAGAAGTTAGCGAAGGCGACTTCTTGGGAGAAGTCACAAGGAGTGACAAAGTCATATGTCACTTCTACCACAAGGAATTCTATCGCTGCAAGTACGATGATATACCCTTCTCTCACTCGCATCACTTTTTTTTTCTGATATGTGAATATTCAGCATTTGAAGCTATGCCGTTTCAACATTGTAGGATTATGGACAAGCATTTGAAGACCCTTGCTCCTAGACATGTGGACACAAAGTTCATTAAGATGGACGCTGAGGTCAGTAATCCACTTCATTAACCCTTCTTTAGAACCCCAATTTGCCGTCTTCTAATACTTGGGAGACAATTAATGTAGAATGCTCCCTTCTTCGTCACCAAGCTTGCAATCAAGACTTTGCCTTGTGTTATCCTTTTTAGGTCACTCCTACATTTTCCCTCATTCTTTCCTCAGCGCAATTAGTTCTTTTTGTGTTCAAACTAACGAAAACACGAATGTTGAAACCATTATTCTTCAGCAAGGGAATCGCGATGGATAGGCTTGTCGGGTTTCAAGATCTAGGTGCCAAGGACGATTTCTCCACGACAAAGCTGGAGAACCTTCTGGTCAAGAAAGGTAGAACCAGTCTCTCACATTCTGCGCTTTTGCTACTCATAGTTTACAGCTTTGGTCATTGAATCAATATCTTTTGTTTTCGCAGGAATGCTTAGCGAGAAGAAAAAAGAGGAAGATGAGGAAGATTACGAGTATCAAGAAAGCATACGTCGGTCCGTTAGGTCTTCAGCGAATGTCAACTCTGATTCAGATTGATCTCGAAGCTCTTTTCATGGTAGATCTCCGAGCCTTTTTGTATTTTGTTTTCACTGCTGCTCTGTTTTAATTGTTTGGACTATGACTCTTATGCTTCGATAAGTCTTTATAGTGGAAAAGTTCGTTCCTCAATATTTTTTTTATTTGAAAACTGCAAATTTCTTTATATTAGTTGTTAGATGATGTCCCAACCATATAAAAAAAAGTTATTAGGTGAATGACAAGATTGGAAAAAAATGTTAAGAGTTGAGAAAGAAATTAGAAAATTTGCAATCATGCAAAAAAAAAGCAAATTAAGTAAGTGGTAATAAGATAAAAGCCTAAAAGTAGGTGTTACTGATTTTGCAGTCAAAGAATGAAAGAACTATGAACTTTATTATAAAAAAAAACGTGTAATACAGAACTAGAGACATATAAGATTCTGCAGAGGCAATCAAAGATGACCAGAAAAAAACCATAAAAAAAGCCATGCAACAAAAGGAAACATCCACACCCACAGGCCACAACACATGCCATATACAAGAAACACCAAAGATAAAGGTTTATAAGTGAACTTATTACTTTGACTTCACTTGATCGCTATGGACTTGTATTTTTGAACAGTGCTTGTTATAGCTTGTTCTACAGGTAGCCTTTCCATGCTTGATGCTCCATAGAAGCCATGGACACAACCCTGTGTTCTCTTCAACACAAACTCTGCCTCTTCTGGACCCGATATCGGACCTACATACAAAAAGCTTACTATAAAAAAACTTATATCAAACAGTGAATGTTGGATTGTATAATTTATCATACCTCCGTGGCAGAGGACGATGATGTCTGGGTTGAATCTACGAGCAGCATCTGCAATAGCTTGTACACGAACAACGCTTTCTTCCACTGACACTGCAGTTTTCGCCCCAATATTTCCGGATGTCGTTAGACCCATGTGGGCTACTATGATATCAGCTCCCGCTTTTGCCATTTCTTCTCCTTCTTTCGGGTTGAAAGCATATGGAGTGGTCAACAGCCCCATCTTATGCGCTTCTGAGATCATTTTAACTTCAAGACTGCAATATCGAACAAGCTTAAGTGGAAATTTAACAATCCATATACACAAAAATGATTCTTGAAAAGGGCTGCTTTTTGTAGCTTACCCATATCCCATTCCTGTCTCCTCAAGATTTTGTCTAAAATTACCATCAAAGAGACCAACAGTTGGAAAGTTCTGGACACCAACGAACCCAATGGACTCCAACTGCTTCAGGAAATAGTCCATACGTCGAAATGGATCTGTTGCGCACACCCCAGCCAGAACAGGCACCGCCTTCACCACCTGCAAGTTGAAAATTTGACATAGGAAGACAGGTCTTAGAAAGAAAATGCATGAATAACTAACAGAAGCAACTGAAAGAGATGCAAGTTTCTTGGGTATTGTGGGAATGAATTAAGAAACTGACGGGCAAAACTTCATTTGCCATTTCAAGCACGACTGCATTTGCATCAGCAAATGGAAGTAAGCCTGCTAAGGATCCTCTTCCAGCCATCCGAAAACGTCCAGAGTTGTATATCACTATCAAATCAATCCCACCAGCTTCCTCAAACTTTGCAGATATTCCCGTACCAGCACCTCCCCCAATTATTGGTATTCCCTTCTCTATTTGATCTCTCAGCCGTCCCAAGATGGTTTGAGTTCGTTCCAAGGTTTCTGGAGCAAGTGATGATAAGTAAGTTTTCTAATTCCAACATGCAAGCTTCATATCAAAATGACTAGAACTACCAATTGATCTGGTCGTTAATTTACTGATCATTATGATTAGGAGGGACAAAAGAAACCTGGCTTTGCATTGGGGAAATTTTTAGGACTGTATGGAATCCTTTCAGGCCTCGACCTCACCTTAGACACATGTCCCTCATCATGCTCTCCAGTACTAGGTTTAGTCGAAACTGTTTCAGAGGGTTTGCTTTGTGCGTAGGTTTTTGGACAAATTTCAAGAAATGAAGCAACCAATGCCTCTGCAAACTCAGGGTCATTGATGTGGTGTGAATATATATTGACCTGTCAAATATCAAAACATTTCAATACCTAAAAGTAGATGAAGCAAAACAAAACACAAGTATTACACGGAAGTAAGGAAAGACCTGTCTGTCTTCATTTGTTTGAATGAGCCTCTGCAATTCATTTATGAGAGCACCGGTAGCTTCTGGATCACAGAAAGGCTTCCCTGGAGCATCCAGTGCAGATACACCTTTCTCTGGAAGGCAAACCCTAACTTTTGATGTTGATTTGTTCAGTTTATCTGCAATAAACCTTGCAAACTTTTTATTCTCTTCAGCTGTTGTTCGGATGAGAGAAACCTGTCAATAACAGAGCACTCTAACAGATGCCACTAGTGAAGGCAACTTAACATGGTAACGTTTTGTGTAACGATTCCTCACCTGTTCATTGTGAACATGAATCTTTCTCGTTTGGAAATGAGAAGGTATTGTATCTTTACCACCAAAGTTCACCATATCTAAGGCCCCTACACTTAAAACCAACGGTATTCCTTTTTCTATGGTGATATCAAAACGGGAACTATCGCATGCCATCACCCCTCCAACAACATGGTCTGCAACCTCGGTTGTTGTAATATCCATTACTCCCTAAGGAAAGAACAGGTAGAGGAAACATTAAAATGTAACCAACACCACAACCAACAAATTAGGACTAACTGCATAAATCATAAAGCCAAGTTAGTTAATGCTAGAAGTTAACAAATCTCAGCTAAATGGAGAGAAAATGAGAAACCTGTATGAATCCTTCTTTAATCAAAGATTCCATTGCTCTGCCACCGACACCTGTGGCATGAAACACTAGTGTCTCATAACCTTCTCTTGTTAATATCTCCTGGACTGCATTTACACATGGAGTTGTCACTCCAAACATAGTTATGCCCACAGTACATTTCCCGTTATCGCTTGAGGAGCTTCTAAACACCTCAAGCCTCCCGACTACCATACCCGCAAAAGAAGCCCCAGCATTTGAAAAGACCACCCTGCTAACACTGTTGATACCACAAACATCTACTACGGAAGGAATCAAAACCAAATCTGAGGTCCCAACATAAGGTTCGGTTAGACCACTGGCCACAGTGGATACAATGACCTTAGGAATCCCAATGGGGAGAGACCTAAAAGCGGATGCTATAAGCGATGTTCCTCCGCTTCCGCCAAGGCCTATAGCCCCAGCAAGAGAATTATCCTCAAACGCTTGCCTAAGAAAATTCTCAAGACATTTGCTCATGATAGCAACTGCCTCGCCTCTATCATCGGGAAGCTTCACCGGCTTTTTCTCCTGGTTCAGTCCAAAATAGAGTGAGAGAACTTCTTCTCTTGTTACAAACGCAAAGTCAGCAACATTGTCGATCTGATTCAGATCAGCACCCGCCGAAACATCCACAATCACAACCTCGACCTGTTGTTCCAATAAAACGGCTCAGAAACATAAACCATTTCCGATCTCCCAATTCTCCAAAACAAAGACAAACAATAGCTCATTCTCCAAAAAAAAAAACCCAAAATTACTCTAGACAGACATTCCCATTCGAGTGATGCTAATTGACCTTGAACAATCAACTAATTTCATAAAGTTGAGGTCTGCATCGGAACTAATATTACCTTGGAAGATGAGTTTTTGGAGAATGCGCCAATATTTGATCGCACTGATCCAGCAAGGAATCGTAGCTCATCAAGCTTGGTATCGACGGTTCCGACACAGAAGACTCGATAAGTTTCGCCTTGCATCTTCTGTCTCCACAGATCAAAATCCTCCGATCCAACACAACACTGCCGTCTGATTTCTATGCGATGTTGTTTGTTGGATTTTGAATCAAAATCGTAGTAGCAATTAGTAGTAAGTTGACTCACCTGTTCTTATTGTCGGTTGGTTTACGTTCCCAGTAATTTGCCGTCTAAATTTGTTTTATTGCAAATTTGCCTAAACGTTTTTGTTTTATTACAAAAAGTTCCCACTATTTTTGTTAATTGCTGATAAGCTCTAGTATCCTTAACTTCTGTTTCTTACATAAAATACCCTATAATTTTCTTTATTGTGAAAACGGCCCTTGAGGTATATTTATTTAAGGAAATTCCCTAGATTTTATGTATCACAAAATGACCTTTCATTTTTTTTTTACCTTTCATGTTTGCTACATACACAAAACATCTAACATTTTCTTAGTCTCAAAATGAAATGTAATAAAATCTTTATTGACAAATTACTTTCGTATCAAAGAAACGACTAGAGTAACAGTCGTTTTGTTCGTGCAGCTAGCATGTTGTGACACATCGTATGCAAATTTGTTAAACAATGCGTCCATAATGTCAACTCTGAAGTGAGCTACAAGCATTGATTCGCTGACCGCTGGCTTCCTTTTGCCATGCTTTAGATATTTGTGATTGTAACATGTAGTCCTCATCATGGTTGCTTAGGCCAAGCTCAAATCCATGAATCTCCAAGTCATTGATCTCAAAGGAGCCTTCGTCTCGAATCATATCCATCACTTCTCCTTTGCTCGGATCAAAAAACAGTATGTTGAAAGAGTCCACCTTTGATTCACTCACGACTCACCTTTAATGGTTTAGTGGAACCCAATAAGTAATAACCATCTGAATGTAGCAGTATGCTCTTTATTTTAAAAGTTGTTTAACATCATATACTTTATAGTTTATATTACATGTAAAAAAGTTGTCAACGTCAATTATGCGAGACTACGCTTAGTCAAGGTATAAAGATTATTGAAACAAAAAGTCGAGAGTACTCGATCGATCGATGTCATGTCCAATCAATTTATTGTCTTTTTATGTTTTTTACAAAATAAAATAAAAACTTTTAATCCTCTATGTATGAAGCATATAGATGCTCAGCTAAGTAGGCACTCATTTTTTTTATTGATACAATTAATTAATTTTGTTTATATGTTTGTGTTGAATAGGCACGTAAATAATCGAACGCTAGGGAAATACAAAAAGTGTGGGCAGGGTCCAATTTGAGGCACGCTGGCGTTTAAACACGTTGCATTGCATATGTATTAGTGATGATACTGAAAATTAGGGAAGCAAGACTACCCTAAATGGATATTTGGTTTGCATTATATATCATTTCGGTCGACCATTAATTAAAGATTAATAATATTGCAAACGACATAATCCATAGATATGAAAGTTTATGTGTATGATAATTTACGTCAACATCTTTATCTGACCTTTTTCTCTCATGCGTTGTCGTCCATGGTAAAGGCTATAAATTAATACTAATACATGTCATGTCTGTATAGTTTAAGCTAATTATATATAGCTTAAACTTGAGAAAAGCTGGAAAAAAAAACTCAAGTGAAGAAAAATTCAGCATTGGCGAGTCAAATTTATTTCGTTATAATATTAAGCTGAAAATAAAATTTAAGACTATATCTTAAAATAACAGTTTTAACAAAATAATTAAATAATCAAAATTGTAGCCATCATGACAGAAATATTTCCAAGTTCCAACATACGTTACGTACCAATGATAACATTTGTTAGACTTCCATGAATGATTGAAATGCTAATTGAAGTAAAATTCTTTATACGCTGTATTTCTTTTCAATATCTCAAAATGTTACACTGAGTAGTGTTAGAAATAAGAGCTTAATGCCAAATCCAACAACACCAATAGCAATAGCAATAGCCGCTCGACCTCATGGTGGAAAGTGGAGACTATCATGATTGCTCCTAATCAAAGAGTCCGCCATAAGAATTTTAAAATATTACTAGTATTTATTTTGCAAAAGATGGATCGGCTCAATATCAGAGAATCCATAAACGTCAAAAGAAGGGTAAAAAAGAACCGACTTTTATTTTGGTTGAGCAGAGATTACGGGACTTAGTGAAAAACAAAGTCACTTTTCTTCTTAATTTTTATGCGTGGGTGTCTGCATTAAAGTTAATTTTTATGCTTTTTGCCATTCAAAATTATTACACTATGATTGGTGCCAATACCCATCAGAAACACGGCCGCTTCAGCAAATTAATACTATTTCTTTATTGATTTTTTTGAAAAACTTTAATCTTATAATTGAATGCTACAAGATCATTGAGATGACTGACTTACTAGACCATCAATCATTCCCGTGAAGCATTAGAAATGAAGCTTCCTTCAATTTAAAATATTGGTAATAAATTAAGCATTCTCTTTCCAATTGTCTCCAATCCCATTGTAAACATTCACTATTAATTCCTTTATTAAATCAATTTCATTTATAATATTTGTCTCTTTTTTTTCATTTTTATAACCACACCATGTGTATTGGTGTGTGCATATGTGTCTGTCTACCTACAGTCTACTTTGTATTTGAATTTGATACACGCTTATAAATTATCTTCTTAATATTGCATCTAATCTATAGATTTAGGGTACAAATAACTCCTGACCAAAAAACAAAAACAATTAAATTAAATTACAAATATCCACGCTTGAAATCCATGAGTCTGAGTACATTCTTGCATGGTTAATTATTGCAGGCATGAGACTTAGTCGGTGTAAAAGTCCAAAACGCCATTATGAGCGAAACTGAAGAAAGATGACTATATATGTTTTTTTTTTGTATATCAGGATTTTGTCATCTACCATATAGCAAAGATACAGTAGGATAAAAACTATTAAATAGGCATACAAATATAATTGACAAAGTGACTGGCTCGTGTTTAGTTAAGAAGTGTATCTGAAACCGAGTTTCTGGATGATTTGGGGATTCTAGGTTAAATGTCTGGATTGTCTTCTGTAAATTATATATATATATATATATGTAGATAGCTATTTGTTTATAGATGCTATTGATTTTTTACTTTTGTTAAAGATCTTATGGCAAGACAAAAAGACACACCTAAATCGATTGTTTCTTGGATAACACTAAAACTTATAAAGTTTGGTAATGTCATAATTTTCAGTGTGGCGAGACAACATTTGTACTCTAAGTCTGTATCATTAGAATTGAGGAAGTGACATTCGCTTGAGACAAGTAGATTACATATAGTATTTCTTAATACATAAGCAACTAAAATTACTGTACATAGAGATGATATTTATACATGGAATATTTTTTATAAAAAGACAAAGATTCCATATGGTTAAGTAGTTTCACAAAACTTTGTTTGTTTGTTGCTTGATTCGATTATATTAGAATTTGATGCTTTCTTATATATATAGATAGAAGATATTTAGGGTTTGTTATGGACAACGACGGCTAAAGATTCTTGACGACGAAACATCCTCTGTTTGGCTATGAAAGCTTCGATCGTTTTCTGAAACTCTTCGTTGCTCAGATTATCCTCTGGATAGTTCTTCTCAGAGTCATCGTTCTCAGTCTCTCTGCAACACTTCTCTGTCTCCGATCTCTGAAGAGAACGTTTCATCATCATCATCACCTTTGCTTCTGGACTCTGTTTTCCAGAAACGTCTGATTTGCTTCTTCCATAGACGACCTTACTGGGACTCGAATCAGAATCAATCTCGACGTGAGGAATATTCTCATCCACCATTAGATTCGTATTTGAATTCAAATCAGTGACGATCACCTGTTTGTCGTCGTAGACAATCTCCTCCGTCAAATCTTCATCGGACGGCTTGGATCGATTCTCTACAGATCTGACGAACGCCTGGTAGATTTCGGTTTCTGCGCTTGCGGCGGCGGTGGTAGTTGTCTGATCGGAAGACTTGGTGAGAAGAACAACGACGATGGAGTTCCCGAGGAGGAAGACGAACAGAGGAGTCGAGATGACGGCGGCGATACGGCGGAGAAAAACTCCGGAGATTTGAACGACGAAAGGAAGCCGCGTTAATGTCCAAAAGATGAAGAGGAGAGCGACGCAAACCTCCGCCGCACGGAAGAAACGGCCGATCCGCCGGAAGCGGTTGAAACGCCGCAACGCCTTGGCTTTCTCTGCTTTCACGTTATCGATATCAAACGAATCCATTGCGATTTGCGAGTGAAAGAACAGAGAGAGAGAGATAAAGAAAGATTGTGAGACAAAAAGAGATGAAGAAAAAGTGGAGCAAGCTTCGTCTCTCACATCTCTCTTTTATAGACACACTCCACTCCCAGACTAGACTCACTTTTTTTTTTTCTTCAAATAATTGAACTTTTCCCCCTCTTTTTTATTTATTTATTTGTGGTTAATATATCTAAGTTAGATATACATATTCCAATTATTATTCCCTATGTAGACACCACTTGTCTCCCTCTTATACTTTATCTATTTCAATATTCCAAAATAAATTCTTAATTACCAGTAATTTTTGTAAAGTTTAGTGTAACTTTTTATGTAATCTAATCAATAGAAAAAAATTCCAAAAGTCAATTAATTTTTGTAAGGGGTATAGTGGCATATCTATTTTTACTTTATCAAAACCATTTTTAACAAAACAAAGTATCATGAACCATACTTGTATACAAATGGAGTATAGCTGAACAACACTCTTCTATAAATTAAGGAAACAAATGTGTTATAGTCTGTTGGTTTTTCGGGTCAATTTTGTCTGTGAGCTCATTATTTTTTTATATTCACGTTTAATACTAGTTTTTTATCCAGATTTAGATAGACGAGTAATTGCTAATCAAACATTGCATAAGCGAATGAGTATTCCATTTTAAACAGAATCTGTAGACTTTGTTTGCTATAGAAATTTAAAGTTAGACTGATTCACAAGTTTCAACAACTCGTAATTATTATACAGCTGTTTTATCAAATAAATAAAAATGTAAGAAAACCAAAAATATTTGGACCGAGCAAAATTGAAAAAAGTGATGTAACAAAGAATCAATTTATATTTTTATCTTTGTTCTTTCACGTGAGACGTATGGGATCCGTATAACCACCGCTCTTAGAGTGTACCACTTCGTATTTGCTTAACTCTCTCTGTTTCCTTCTCGTGCATTTCACCGTCTCTCATCTTACTGTAACCAATGCAAACTCTCTTTATTCAACTAATAACAATGCAAAACTATATAGCCTATATATGACTTATTGTAATATTATAAGTGTCGAAAAACAAACAATATTAACTACTTAATTATAAGCTGTAGTATTAAATGAGGAGTAATATGGGTCGGTGTCTACGTGGGTCATCGGACGTTTGACTGGATAGAGAAAAACACAAGAAATAGAGTTCAACGCGACGTTACAACTATGAAACTTAATTGAGAAATTGACAAAAACTGGAGTTACTAAAACCTGATTATTATAATAATAACATGAAATAGATTAAGATGTTTTTTTTAATGATTGTTGAAACGTGAATAGATTAACTTATATAAAAAATATGTGATTAAATTACGTTTCTTTTTATGATTGTTGAATTTATTGGCAAGTGAGACTACTTGTTGTTGACTCTCATTCATTCCCTTTTCGACTAAATAACGGTATCTCGGTCGGACTGATTATATATATACTTATTAAAGAAAATAAAAACTATTGAATGGACAACTAGTTTTCTTATAAAGATATCATGACAGAGCTTTTGAATGGTGTTAATTATACATTTATACTAGTAGTTAATTCGACAAAGTTATAAGAAAAAGAGGGTTAATTAGTGGATAATTAATACAGACTGGTTCGACCCATGCATGACATATATTTCCTGCTGCTTCCTTTAAATTCTTCTCTTTTTAATTATGCGCATGTAATACCATTCTTTAAGCATCATTCTTATATCCAAAGACGCATACTTGCACGCATGCGTAGATTTTGTAGTTTTGTACGTATTAGTATTAAAAGTTATGACTGTATATATCTTGGTATTTAATTTACTTATACACTAATAACTTGGTAAAAGTGGTGTACATATCATAGGAGGAGAAGAGTAGGAAGTAGGGCTGAAGATTGTTTCCTTGTTGGGGTCCTGATTCAATACTTTGACCACTGTAAAAGCTATACGTTGTCAGTGATAAGAAAATCATCATGAATTTCAGGACTATCTGGTGCGACACGACACCGTATTAACCCCTTTTTTCACTTTCAAACTTGAATATGTATATATTTTTTTTTCATATTTGGCTCTCAAGTCATGTTCAATTTCTGCCACAACACCGTGTATAACTTGTACTTTGTAGATTGAGTTTGACAGAGTGATAGACGCATCAACACATCTTTTATCTACGAGAATAAATGTATTATATTTATAAACGACACCCAGTTTTCATCTCCAATGACAAGACGCTCTCGAGTGTGGCAACCCACACTCCAACCTAACTTCAGCTTAAAACCTTGTGTAAAGTGTAAACTACTAACTACCAGTCTACCATTATTAGCGGTTTACTTTTTCTGCATGTCTGTGTATGTATGTAATTAAACATGACATGATTAGATTAGTTTGAAATAAGTAAAAAAAAAATAAAAAATAGAACGTCGTCTATAATTTTACAGATACAGAATAAAAATTCTCAAAACAAAGTTTTGATGTTATAAAGAGAAGAAAACATCCTTCTACTGTAAACAATGGCCTTAAACCAAGAAACATATGGATATTTTTGTCCGAGACGATATTCGTTGCTGTTGTGACTATAATATTTTTAATCCACAACCAAAAGCTATAATCGAAAGTAAATATTATTTGTGAATAAAAGGAGTATAAATTAATATAGTTATGTTAGTGCAATAGGAAAACTTTTCTGTGAGAGAATCTATTTACACATCAGCCTGAATGTATAAAAACTATAAAAGATAACCAAGAATATATTTCTTAAGTATACGTATAGTAATTTAATTGGTTAATTTTTTTGTTCGATCTTATTTTTTTCTTTGCAAAGTTTGTAAAGCATATTCGACCTCCAATGTACATGAATTTTCCATATAATATACTACACAAACCTAATATTATTCATCACATGTATGTATGTAATATGTCTATAAAATTCCAAAATAAGCAACAATGTTCTAAAACGATGAGACATTAATAATATTCGTAAGAATAAACAACGTGTACACGGCTTTCACACCGTTAATGCCTTATTGCGATCATATTCGGGTTTCAACAAAATTCCTTTTCATTTTAATCTTTAACTTAACTTAGATTCTTTTCCCCTATTACCCATTGGTTAAGAAAAAAGCACAAATTCCTTCCTCTAATCACAAGAAAGAAGGTAGAAGAAAACTAGAAAAACCGAGAGATAAGTGGATTCATTGATGGGCCTTTTAAAAGCAAATTGGTGCGTTAATCATTTAGGACTATTACTAATGGGCTTTTATGGGCTAATTTAACAAAGATCAACACAAGATTTTAGCAAACGATCGCAATTTGCCACGTGTGTGGTAATGATTGCATCGCAGTATAAGAAAGAGCAAACGTTGATCTTCATCGTGGAAATGTTTCACTTTGCTCAACCTTATTCATTCTTTTAACATTTGACCTTACGAATTCTGCATTTTATGAAATTAAATATAATTGCTAGAAATTAACACAGATATTGTAATACTAACCACAAATTCCCAGTCTTCAACAGATTTTGCTAGTTTGTCACAAAAAATCAAAGTAATCTGCTCCTTGTTCGTCTTTACGATTTGAATTTGATCCCCAAAAGTTTTTCAATTTATAAAAATTGCGAAGCGAATCGTTTGATTTTGACTTTTAGGTTGACTTTTTTTTCTTTGGATATGGCAGCGTCATCATCTCTTCTTCTTCTTCACAAACACACCTGCAATTTCTACTTCGCCGCTTCCTCTGTTCCCGCTCATATCAATTCCGCTCGATTTCGAATTTCGAGCCCTTTGGATCGAAGAAGAATAATCTGGTCTGCCTCTGGCTTTACTAAATCTATGGCCGATTTAGTCAAAACCAATGCTCGCAGAGACGGTGAAGAACAAGTTCAGGCGCTCGAGCAAGAGGCTTTAATCAAAAATTCGTCGTTGGACGAGTTGGTCGCCGACGCCGACGCCGACGCCGGCGGTGGTATTGAAGCAATCGCTAATCGTCTGGTTGGTATTCGAATTCCCTGATGTAATGCACACAACCTGTTTGATGTAATGCCTATCTCTATGAAACACAAAGCAAAGCTTGTTCCTTTTTTGTCAAATGGCAGAGCAAATGGATTGTAGCTGCTCTATTTGGATCCGTTCTGCTTCTACGACATGATGGTGCAGCTTTGTGGGCTGTTATTGGATCCGTTTCAAATTCTGCGCTTTCTGTAGCTTTGAAACGTTTACTTAACCAAGAGAGACCTGTTGCTACGCTGCGTTCTGATCCTGGGATGCCTTCTTCTCATGCCCAATCCATTTCTTTCATCTCTGTCTTTTCTCTCTTCTCCGGTAAACAGCTAAGCGTTTTCGATATTTGTTTCTTCTCTTGCTTTTGATTAACTCTTAAGACGACTTTACTCTTATTTCCACAGTTATGGAGTGGCTTGGAACCAATGTACTCTCTCTGTTCCTTAGCGGCCTCATCCTTGCATTGGGTTCTTATTTTGTAAGTCTTCATATCAATTTATGACATGAATCAAGTTCATTATTATCGTAGAAAACGAAATCATTGACACTGATGTTTATATTTGGTATAGACATGGTTAAGGGTTTCTCAGAAGCTTCACACGACAAGTCAAGTAGTCGTAGGTGCAATCGTGGGTTCTGTTTACTCCACCGTATGGTATGTAACTTGGAACTCACTTGTTCTTGAAGCCTTTACCTCATCATTCTCAGTACAAATAGCTGTCTTTCTGGTCGCTGCTGCGTCTGCTTTAGGTTTTGCAGTGTATGTGCTACTTAACTGGTTTAAAGATGACAGATGACAGAATGATAGTTATCAGTACTTAGGATTTTGAAAGGAATGCCTTTGATTCTCCTTTTAATTCATATTGATTGAGCTATATTAACATTCAGTGTTACGACTTGTGCTATTGTATGAAGGGCCAAGATTGTTTGAACATGTTAGAGTTAAGAATCATGAATATGAATAAAAGCCAAAAGCTCCATTTATTTGACAATCGAATCTATGAGCTTCTGCACCAGATACTACTAATTCCAATATACTGTATATATCTTCACTTTGTGAATGGGACCGACTGCCAGATACAAACGTTGAGTCCCGATCCATGATCTTAATTGATGACCATCCGGGCACTTTGATCACGCCTTTTGATTTCATCTCTTTCCTTACATGCGCTGCTTCTTCCAATTTCCCTGTGCTTGAATATATATTGGCTAGTGTTACAAATGCAGTTTCAGAAGTAGGATCCAGCTCTAGAATCCTCTCAGCCGCCCTTCTTCCACGTTCAGTGTCTCCTTTGGCCTTACAGGCATTGAGAAGTGTGGTCCATACTACATCGTCCTCCTTCCATGGCATCTCATTGATCATCTTCTCTGCATCACTTAGCCGTCCTGCTCTACACAGAAGATCAACCATACATCCATAATGTTCCTTGACTGGTCTCATATTATACTTGTCTTGCATCAAGTTGAAATAGTGAAAACCGAGGTCAAGCTGTCCCGAATGACTACAGGCGGTGAGAACGCTAATGAAAGTTACAGAGTCGGGCCTGAGACCAACCTTTAGACTTTTCTCAAACAGATCAATGGCTTCTTTGGTATTTCCATGTTCTGCATATCCATTGATCATAGCTGTCAAAGAAACAACATCATCTGTATCTGTTTCTTCCAATATCTTTGAAGCTTCTTCGATACTTCCACATTTCGAGTACATATTAATCAGAGCACTACGAATAGTAGAGTTCTGTTCTAAACCAAGATAAAGAGCAAGTGCGTGAACTTGCCTGCCTTGCTCAAGAACTGCCATGGTTCCTGAAACACTCAGCAAACTAGCTAGAGCAGGATCCGTTGGTTTTGCCCCTGCTTGTCTCATCCATGAGAAATACATGAAAACTTCTTCTCCTAATCCTGACTGAGAGTACCCTCCAATAATCGTGCTCCACGAAATAATGTCCCTGTGTCTCATTCCTTGAAACAAAACAGAAGCAGAGTCTAACTTGCCACATGTTGAATACATCTTCATCATGGAGTTACTCACTGACAAAGAATCACCTAGACCTAGAGAGAAAACATTACCGTGGAGCTGCTTGCCCCACACAAGTCTAGAAAGACTCGTACACACAGAAAACATCGTCGCAAAAGTATGTCCATTGGGAGGTACGGCGGAATTTCTCATCTTTAGAAATGTGGCCACAGCTTTTTCTTCTTGACCCATTTGGCTGTAAGCATCAATAAGGGTTGTCCACGAAAACACATCCCTCTCACTCATACTTTCAAACAAACGAACTCCGTCATGCATTTCTCCGCATTCAGTGTACATATTAATGAGCGAGTTAACCACACAGAGAGATGCATCAAAGCCTCTCACTATCACGTGAGTGTGAATCTCCTTACCGTATTTAACTTGGCGCAAACGAGCACAAGCCTTCAAGGCAGTAGCAAATGCAAAATCATCAGATAGTCCATTCGATCTCGACATCTTGGAAAAGTATGCAAGTCCTTCCTTGTGACGACCAGCTTCAACCATCCCAGATACGATTGCTGTCCATGTTACCGTATTTCTAAATTGCATTTCAGTAAAAATTCTGCAACCCTTGTCGATCTTTCCAATTCTCATGTACATATTCAGTAAACTAGTTCCCACGAAGACAGAGGTCAGTAGCGAAGTTTTAAATGCATAAGCATGTAAAGATTCTCCGTACCCAATGTTGGAACTTTGACCACAAGCCTTGAGTGCAACACTTAGAACAGAGGTATCGGGTGAGACGGCAGGATCAACAAGCATTGCGGAGAACAAATTCAGTGCTTCGATAGATTTAGCTGCAGTTACGTATCCGTTAATGATGGCTGTCCATGAAACAATATCTCTGTGAGGCATTTGATCAAACAGGTGGCGAGCAGCTCGCAAATTCCCGGCATTGATGAGATGTCGAAGCTGAGAGTTGGGATCAAATGTGAACACCTGATTCGAGATACGGACAATGTTCTCGACCGGTTTCTCGAGCAATGAAATCGACGCAGCTGTACAAGACCGTTGGATTGTGCCGCCATTTCTTACAGTCAAAATCATGTTTTGCCTTTTTTTTTTTTAATTTTATAACTCAGATGTGGCCTGAGAAACATTGAGAAGAAGAAACAAGTGGCAATCTAATTTTACGAAATCGTCTAGGCCCTAGTATTTCAAACTGGGCCTAGTAAGTAAGCCCATTAATTAAACGTAGTCATTTTGAAAAGAAGGAGTATTAATATGCTTGCTGCGGGATGATTTGGTAGAGAATTGTTATGCTTGCTGCGTGGGGTTTAGAAGTCATAATAATCAATTGCTTTTAGGGTGATTCAATGTGACAATGTCTTGCTATTATTAGATCATTAAATCTTTCTGCTGAATTAAACTTTCTGCTGAATTAACCAACCTTTTGACTGTTACTTGGGAATTTTAAAGGGTAACGTCTAAAAATTACCACACTAATAATTTTCTTTAATGTTCGTCCACATACTAATTAAGTTCATTCCGGCCAAAAACTATATATATTATGAAATCTATCACTATAACTTTCCTGGATGAGCAGAGATCGTTCCATTCGCTATAAAAGAGCAAATATTAAACGTCGAAATTAGTTTCATTTTCAGTTTTTGATGTTGTGACCTCGTTTTCTTACTTGTCCCTGGCCTCTCGCCCTCTTCCATTTCTCCACATTGATCATCCTAGCGAAGATTTTCCGAATCAAAGTTAACTTCCGCGATTGCTGTGAAATGACGTTAACCGTGGACGAGCTTTGGCTAAGTATGATCCCATAGCCATCTTGAAAATTATCAATTCCATTTACCAGAAGTTGCCAGAACAATCCTCCTGCTGCTGCACCACCTCGTTTTGCAGACCCGTAAATCTTGCTGTACACGGTGTTGAAGACAATGTCTCTCTGTGCTGGGGTATAACCTGGTTTCTTCATTGATTTACCAAACTCTGCTAAGATTATGGGTTTGTGAAGAACGTTCTGTGCGTCTTGGATATGAGCGTCCAGCCATTTGTTCAAGAAATCCATTTGGGATTGCTCGCTTGAGTCTGGAAACCTTGCACAAGAAAATAAAACAGCACAAAAGTCAAGCCAAGTGATTCAACTGATTGGTCCAAAACTTTAAGTTTTGTGGCATTACGTACCATTCATCAGGGTAAGAGTGAACCGTAACGAAATCAATGCCGGGGATGCGGTTATTGGCGATAAAATCAGTTCCAAACTGGCCAGGTGGGTTTAGAGTCTTGCTTTGAGGTGAAGACTGACCATAGAAACCTTCGAGGCCAGCTTCAAGCAGATGGTTTCTGTCTAGCGATTTCACATGAGCAGCCATTTCAGTAATCCAAGCCTGTTATCATAATGGCAAAAAAACCAAACCTAACAAGTCAGATCCCAAAGAAAGACTAGACAAGAAATAGAGTCATGGTGTGAAAATGTGAAACCTGAATGGTTCTTCCGGAAGGATCTGAGGGGCAACGGGGCTCGTTCATGAGCTCCCAAGCCATAATGGTTGGGTCATCTTTGTAATGAACTTTGGTGAAGGTATTGAATCTGTTCAGCACAGCCTGCAGGAGCAAACAAAAGCCCATTACTTTTTTGCTTTTATTTTTGGTTAATCTACACAAGAGAGAAGATTAAAGGTTTGATTTTGAAACCTTGATATGGTTCTTGTAGAAATCTTTAACAAGAGAGTCTGTGAAGAAGTCGTCTTCAGAAGAGATGGGACGGCCTCTGCTTCGAGCCCAATCCACATATTGCTTCCTCCCTCCGAAGCTCTCGTAGTTGTTGGCAAAGCTGAGTATTATCTTTATACCATGCCTTCTTGCTTCAGCTATCGCAAAATCCAAACCCTTTTACCAGAATGACAAAAGAAACAGATTATTTACAGAAACATCAACAGAGAGTCTCAAAACTTGGCCACAATAAAAGTTTTGTGTCAGTGAGTGTAAAACAGCCATATCATCAGATAAACAGAGAATCTCAAAATTTCCCAAAAGATAGATTCACAGAAATTAAAACTTTAAACAAAGACATACCCAAATTATTGGTTTGATCCAACTGGTGCATTGACAAAAAGAGTTGTGTGAGTGTGTTCAATTTCTGATCTAAACCCATTTTTCCAGAGTTTTTCCAACTTGAAATTCGGAAACTTCTCATAGAAAGTTCTAAAAACTGAAGCAAAACATAACACACAGACAAGTTGGGTCTAATGGAGGTTACCTGAAACATATCCTCGTTGTAGGAGCCAGGAGAATACTGAAGAGCCCTGTAACCGCCATCGCTGAAAGCCCAGGTTCGAGCAACGGTCAATCCATGGCGAGAGGCATCTTGGAAAGCGGTGGAGATCTTAGACCTTTGGGATGGATCAGAGGCAACGTACATGAGCCAGTAGGCATTGAAGCCATTAGCGTAATAAGGATAGCCATTGAGACTAAACTGAACACCTTTTGTCCTCACGAACCCACCGCTCGATAACGCATCTGCTCCTAGCTCCCAACAGCTTAGTTGGATCACGATCGCTAGAAATATAAACAGACACAGAAGCTTCATCTTCTTCTTCTTCTTCTTCCTCTGTTTTGTGTGCTCTCTTTCTTTATTACACTCTCTTCCTGGCTTTGTCTTTGAGTGGGGGTATTTATGGACTAATAATTAATTAATTTTTAACGGTTTTGGGAAAAACGCATTAATCTCATTTAAGAGAGTGTTAAACACGCATACTCATGTATTAGGAATTTTTCTTGCTGTTTGGTGTATTAGTGGTTGGTTATTATAAATCTGTGATGCTCTCTCTTTCTCAGATCAGTAAGTGTAACAACACTTCAAACCTTTTTAAAAAGTTGTTTAAGTAGGAAAGCAAAGCAGCTAATTCCGCTAATTATCGTAAGCGTGAAACCAGCAAATGGATCCCACTTAACACGTAAGCGTTGTAACCATACACATGCTTCCCCATCGGATCGAGTTACACGTGGCATCATTCTATATGTGGTTCTTACGACAGCATCCCACGCGTCTTCCGCTTCATGAATACAGGGCCCTTGCCCTTGATTTTATTTTATTGGTTTTATTTATGGGTCGGCCTCTCAATTATTTTAAAGGCGAAGTTCCCAATAATAAAGAAACTCATGTGCCGTTGCTCTTAGATTTTTCGGTTGAGTAGACGACAAAACAAATAAAATAAAAATTGATTTGTAATCAGGAAAATGGTTTTCTTGTTAGTGAGAGAGCACTTTAGTTTTTTGCTTCTTTTGACTTACTTTCAAACAATCTTAAGACACTTTTTTTTATCAACCAGAAGAAGCATAGGCGCAATAAGTGGATCTTAACTTCCACCGACTCCACTCGACCCAACCAAACACACAGCAATTCACTCTACTTATCCCCCGCCATAAATTACGCTTCACCTTTTTTTCTTCTAAAGCAAATTTAAAATGCAATTGTTTAATTATAAGTTTACTACCTGTGATCATGAAACGATATATTCAGTGGGGTTAGTTGAACAATCTCTAAAGTACAAAACGAAAGAAGAAAGAGTTCGAATTTTCAAAGGAATCGTCGGATTGAGAATAAACAACAAAAGCTAGAGTGAGTGGCATCGGTTAGATACAAACAAAAAAAGGGGGAAAATGCTAACCTGAGCCGAGTCATTTGCACTTTCTCATCTTCTTCTAGGCCCATTTGAAGCCCACAAACCACCACATTGTCATTACTCACTACTACATAGCTCGGATCTGTCCTCCATAGCCGTAGTACTTGAGAAGCCCCTCGTCTTGTCTCCAGTTCTCTTTCACTTTCACTTCCACCTTCATTCAACATTTTTATATCATTCACTCACATTGGTATCTTACTATTACTTGCCATTACCATTTTATGTAATCAAATCATATCCTATGCAACTTTATAAGCACCTCGAGGAAGACTTTCTTCTGAAGGAAATCTTCAATGTCGAGCCGAGCAGCCGTCGCTAGTGTTTTTAGAGCCTTTCCTTCCTACAGCATTACATACAGCCAAATTAGTCAGCACTTAATTTATCTTAAGTTGAGACCTTATGGCTATATATAAGACAATCTTTGAGCAGAACAGCTTTTAAACCCAAATTGCAGTTCATCAAACATCGACAATGATCTTTTTGAATGCCTACAAAATCTAGCAATGGAACTTCATACCACGAATGCAAATCAACATATACTCGTTTGAATGTTAACGGTTGTATACACTTACCTTTCCTATAAGGATGATCTTCTGAGAATTTTTATCCACTACTACTTCCACTTGAATAAAATCTTTTGCAGCTGGTCTAGTTTTGTAGCTCAGCACGTTTACCTGTGATGTTTAGCAATGATGTAATCACATGATTGATTAGTAAGGCCACGGCTTTTCACAGGACTCGAGAGAAAAGAATCCAAACTTGTTATTTACCTGACATGCATATGGAACTTCATTTCGGTACTGCATAAATATCTTCTCTCTCACAATCTCAGAAACAAAGAATCTCTCTGGGTGCTCGCTCACAATATCCTATGAAATCAAATAGCCGTAAGCCATTAGTAAAGTGAATTGTTGCATTGCATGTGAAGGAACACATAAACCTCAGAACATTAAGCAATTCAATAGTGAAGCAGAGACTTTTTCACATATTGTACCTTTGGATAATATGGAGGCCCGAAGGGAAGTTTAGATAATATCCACTCTTTGACATCCTCTATTCCATGTCCATACTTTGCACTTACAGGTATAACTTCATCAACATCTGTGAATTTTTCATACCACTGCAAGGAGTTGCAGCATGTATTAAGCAAAGAACATACCAATACCATGACTCCAAATCTTGATCTCAAGTTTATAGTGAAGCATCTTCCACCACTGCAAGTTCATTCTAGAATGGTGGGAATTTAATAAGAGACCAAGGTTCAAGGATAGCTACAAGAGCAAACTCACCTCCAGTTTCTTGGCAATCTCACCAGGTTTGATCAGATCTTTCTTATTCATAACAAGCAACATGGGTGGCTTTTTCTCGAGGTCTCCCAAACCTTCTTTCAAAACTTCTTCTATCTACGCACATAAAACCATAATTAGGACAGCAAACGAAACTAACAACAATTCAAGAGAAACAAATCAAACAGAGAAGCATACATTAGTAGGAGTTTTACAAGCATCAACAAGAATAACTACGCAATCCGCATTGATGGCAGCATCTCTGACATTCTTCATCATCATTGTATCTAACCTGTGCATCTTCTTCTCAATTACACCAGGAGTGTCATAAAGTATCATCTGCAACACAAGCTTGTATCAGTCAACATCTTAATTTCTATATCAAACCAAGCAATGAGCAACTTTTAAGAGTCAAAAATCAATGAGGCTTAGATAAACAAACCTGATATTCAGGGCTAGAACATATACCAAGAATCCGATGCCTCGTCGTTTGAGGTTTATCTGTAACAATCGATATTTTCTGACCAATCATTTGGTTCGAAAGCGTGCTTTTCCCGACGTTGGGCATCCCCACCACCGCCACATATCCTATAACAATTTGGGTAATCACCAAATTCAATTTCCCAGTAACAAAGTAAGAATAGGGCTTGGGGAGAAAACAAACAAACCGCTGCGGTGATGAGTATCAGGCGTGTGTCCAAGCTCCTCCATCTCATAATCGTCGAGCAACGCCATGTTTCTGTCCGGTTTCATGCACAGGGAAAGGAGACTGGCCTCGTCAACGATATCTATCTCCTCTTGTTCTTCATCTTCCTCTAATTGTGCTTGCTCAACCTCCATTTCGCTGGAACTTCGTTGCCTAATCCATAGCTTCTTCGAGGAGGAGAGTTCCGTCCGGCCATAGCTAGTGGTACTGTTGTGCGCCTGGAGATGCGATTTGGTAACTCTCCGCCGACTATAGATTCGATACGGAGAGAAATTAGGGTTTTCAACAACAGAAGTAGAGAAGAATTTGTAGCGGGAAAGAGTAGGCGAAATATGCGGAGAGACCGCCATTGCTGGACTTGGTTTTTCAAATTGATAGCTCTCACTGGTTGGTTTTCCCCTCACAGCTTGTTAGTGTGATTAGGCAAGGAACCAAATGTGATCTTCATACGACGCCGGTTTAGGTTTATTTTATTTTATTTTCACACCCCTTATTATTTATAATTCTTAATTTCAACCGCCGTAATTTTGTTTTGCCAAGTTACCCCCTCGTTGAATTTAAGAACCACACATACTGTGCAAACGCAAAGTAAAAGAAGTATCAGGCACCGAACTTCTGTGGCTAACATTGCAAGTCAATAGAAGACACGAACATAACCAAATTGGTATGATTATGACCATGATCGTGTGAAGCTGAGCTATGTCCTCATCATGCTCTATACATTCTCTAGAAAAGGTAAAAAACCAAACCATTTTCCTATTTTTTATTCACAAGGCCTGAAGCTTTGATTCAACCTCATTATGAATCTTTTGGAGACGGCTGAGGTTGAGCCTCATCCGATGATAAAATTCCAGGAGGAAGGTACGACCAAGCCAAGACTCCACTCCCGAGCGTGATGGTTGCAACAATTGATCCCCAAATCCACCTCTGCCTCCTCTTTCTCTTTTGACCGTCTCGCCTTGCCACCTCTGATATCAAAGAGAGTTGAAGCATTGAGATAAAAAGAAAAAGATTAGACATTCTTGTAAATATAACTAGACTTTCTTCTACCTATAGCCTCTTGGTTGCGCTGGGACATTTCCTGGTTCACGGTTTCATAATAATGAAGACGGTCAGACAACCGAGTGATTTCAAAGTTCTTAGCTTCGAGCTCAGCTTCCATCTCCATCTCTACCTCTGCCTTGGCCAAGTCACTGCCTAGTGAGTCAGAGACAAACCTGGTGACCTCAAGTTGACAACGTAGCTCATCTGCTAGGTTCATGCTGTATTGGCTGCTGGTGGGATCAAGAGGAAGGAACATACCCACATCGGCCAACTGGTCACGGAGCCTCCGCCAATGAACTTGCATTTGCTCTAGAGTCTCCTCTGCCTGCCTCCTCCTCTCGATTTCCATTAGTAAACCCAACCTCATCTCCCTCAGCTCAGATTCAATGTTGTTACCTGAACTCTGCATTCCACTGTCGGTGGATAGTTCTGGAAGCCAAGAAACAGTTACTGAACAAATTAAAACCAGTTTCTTAGATATACCAGAGAATTGTGCACGCAGTTTTTCTATGACTTTGGAAATCTGATTCATCACTTTCAAGTTTGACTATAAAGACAGGATTCCCAAGCTTAAAAGGCTACTTCACAACCAAAATCACACTACTGATATATCCTTATAACACTTGAAACTAAAGGAGAAGAGGTTCCAAGAACTGCCAAAAGGTGATGGTTTATTTATGCTAGAAATGTCAGACATCATAAGAATTTCCAGCCATCTCACAGTTAAACAGTTAGCAGGAAGAAAGGAATAAAAGATGTAGAAAAGTACCATCGCAAGCATCATAAAACTCTCCAACATGTGAAGAAAATTTATGTGAGCTTTCAGCTCCTCCAAATTCTTCTACCTCTGTGTTACTTGTGAAGCTTACTGATTCACCTGAGTTATAGAAATTTTCAGACTCAAGCTCCTTGTCTGCTCTTATTCTTACCGGCTCCAACAAATAACTTTTCCATTCTAAAGTACTGGTAGCATTATTACTTCCAATCCCACCGTTGCTGATATCTCTTCCCGACTTCTCATTCCAAAATTTCCCATGAGGAGGGCTGCAATCCCAAACAGGACGTTCAGGGATACCTTGGGCGTGATCCACTGCATTACCACGAATCTTTTCCTCACCAAGGGTTTTCGGGTGAGAAGGCTCATCCACGTCAGAGTCCCTTTTGAAAAGAACTGGTCCGCGTGCTTTGTGATTGATGATATAGGGCGATGGAGGATAGGAAGATGGCGAATTGGGACGAGGAATTTCTTTAGGAGTGGCATATAGAGAAGGTGACATCTGAGGACGAGTAAATGTCTTTTCTTTAGGTTGCTTACTTTCATCATTCAAAATGAGTGGCTTTGAATGCAATGTGCTTGGAAATTTACGAGATACGGAAGCCCCTGAATTTAGTGATCTATCCAAAGCGGCAGCAGAAAATGTAGGCATGACTCTGCATCATTGAAGATCACCAATAGCATTAGGGATGATACAACAGCGAGAAAGTGTTATTCAACAAATGAACATAGAGAGTAGATAACGGATAAACAAAAAATCCCAAATCAATTGTCGAAAGCAATTAAGAAACTATACAAACAACAAACTGAGAGTTCAGATTATCAAAACCTAATCATTCAACATCAAGTAACCTAAACTGAATCTAACAGAGATAATCACGGAACCAAGACCTAAATCATCAAATCGAACATTCAGAAGCTAGCAAAAACAAATAGTTACCTCGCGATCGAGCATCAATTGGAGAAGACGAAAGTGAAAGAACCACTCAGGCGGAGGAAGAAGAGAAAGCAATCGATTGGCGGTAGATTGATATGATGATGACATGGTGCGAAGAAAGAGCAAAATATATATATACAGAGGAGGAGAGAAAAAAGAGAAACCTCTTCTCCAAGGCTTTTAATCGCCAACAAACACTTAAAACCTCTTCACCAAGGCTTTTGGGGAACGCCTGCGTTTTGATGGGATTTTGTATGTTTAGTGACGTGGCATCTCCTCATGTAAAACAAATTTTGTGTAGGCCCAACATAAAATTTGTTTGTAAACCCAGTCTGATTACTTCTTTTTGGTTTTGTTTTTAACAATTCACGATAATATGCAATCTAATAACAAGTAATAAACCGGGAATTTATCTTATCAAACAGTAAAATTAAATACCTGGATTTGTCCACACTCCACACATTAAAAAAAAAAAAGAAGCAAAATCATGGCTTATAGACGAGCTTTCCACTTTTGATGTATGTATGTATTCATCTTTCTTATTCAAATAGAAGTTATAACAAACCGAAATAAATATAAACAACCACTGTGGAAATCTCTTTCTCCGATCTATCTGTAATATATGGCAGGTCCATTTGAAGTGTTATCCCAAACGCCTCCTTCCTTGACATACTCCAAGTACCTAGCAAATTCCGGTTTTGCAGTCGTCGTGCTTTTCTTCGTTGTCTTCTTCTTCCTCTTTAGACTCATATCGAAGAAACTAAGTAGAGGGTGAACCGAACCCCCGGTTTTCTCCACCGGTTTATTCACTTTCGGGGATTGACCATGGAGATTTGTAGGAACGCTCTCCGGTTTCACTTCTAAAAGCCCAGTGCCTGCTTCTTCTTCGTCACCGAGCTTCTTGTAGCTTCCTCGAACCTTCCTCGTGCTCAGGGCTCTAATCATCTTGTCTTGTTGTTTTGATCAAGTCTCTCTGGTGATATGTTTTTAAGAAAGCAGAGATTTTGAAAAGGACACATCTTTTGACTTCTCTTCTCCTTATCCCAACGACTCCTTTATCTTAAACCATATGTGACATTGCCCTTTCACCTAATACTATTCGAGGGTCAATGCTGCTTTATGTTGACTATGTCTTCTTGATGTTTGACTTAAATTAGAACAACGAGACAGTTCCACAACAATGCTTTAGACTTTAGTGGACTTGCTCTGTTTCTTGTCACAAAAAACAGTAGCTTAAGTGTAGTGTAATTCATATTAATAAGCTGTGTCCTGCTGCTTTAACCAAACCTTTATTCTTCAATTTTCGTCTCAATTCTTCAACCACATCCCACTTCCCAATCGCTGCATAGAAATTCGAAACCAACACATAAATGCTCGCGTTCTCTGGACCCGTCTCTTCCATAAGCTTCCTTGCTACATATTCGCCTCGCGTAACATCCATATTAAGACTACAAGCACTAAGTACAGCTACCCATATAGCACAAGGAATGTTTCGATTATTGTTCTCCATCATTCTCTCAACAAATCTCCAAATCTCTTCTGTATCACCAGCCTTACTTAAGATATCAATGAAGCATACGTAATGCTCTGTTCCAGGAACCAACCGATACTTCTCCTTCATCATACCAAAACATTCCTTACCTTCTTCAACTAGTCCTGCATGTGCACAAGCCGATAAAACAACGAGAAATGTCACTGAATTGGGTAAAACTCCGCTTCCTTCTTCACACATTTCCCAGAAGATTTCAAGAGCTTTAACCCCATCCCCATTAACTGCATACACATCTATCATACTCGTCCAAGAAACCACACTTTTAGATGAAATAGCTCTGAAAAGAGTACGCGCTTGCACAATCTGACCGCATTTGCCGTACATATCCATTAAGCCATTGCATAACTTAATATCTGAAATGAAACCATTACGTAAGGCGACACAGTGTATCTGTTTACCAATCCACAGATCAGAGTTATCAGAGCAGCCAGCAAGACAGCTACTGAGAACTCTCACATTGGGTCTCTGCCTACTCATAAGCAGAAACGCTTCCTTGTAATTTCGGTTTCGAATGCAACCTGATATCAAAGAATTTAACATCACCTCGTCCGTATGAACATTCAAACTGATATAAACCTTCATGGCTTCACTAATCAACCCTACACTCGAGTAAAAACTAATCATTGCAGTTCCTAAAACCACGAGATCGCGTCCCGTGACAACCACCATGGCATGAACTTGCTTCCCTTGCTGCAAAATCTTGAGAGAGGCACAAGTTTTAACAACAGAAGACAAAGTGAACTCACTGATTTCTACTCTTTCTCTATACATATCTGCGAAAACGCCAAGAGCATCTTTACCTTTACCGTTTCTAAGGAAACCCGAAAGCAGAGCATTCCATGAGACGACATCTTTTTCCTCAACGCTCTCAAATACCGTAACGGAATCAACCAAGTGTCCGTACTTGGAGTACATGTTAATTAGCGCAGTTTTGGATATGGTTCCTGTCTCAGCGCCTTGTTTGATCATCAAGGCGTGAACTTGGCGTCCTATTTCTGGATACGACAATAGGGCACACGCACCAAGAACCGGAGTGAAGGTGTGCGAGCTGAGGTCAGGGCTGGCCCGATGCATCTCAAGGAAAAGAGCCAATGTGCCATTTGGGTTTCCGCTCCGGAGGTAAGACGAGAGTTGAGAGTTAAGTGAGGAGAGGTCTCGTTGCGGCAATTCGTCGAACAGGTGGTCGGCATGGTTAACAAAATTTCGCATAAACACAAATCTCAGTGCCAAATTTGTGGATTTCCCGATGACGTCACCCAGGCGAATAAAGCGTCCAATAGGCAAACATGCGAACATGTGAACGGAAGACGACGATACTCGTTGGCTTACTTGTTACCGCTACAGACGAAACTTATAGAAGCAGAGCTATTGTTTTATGAGCTCTTAAGAAAGCAGAAGGTCAAATTAATTACGAGAAATGTCTGTCTGATCAACAATTTATTAGACATAAAAGGCTCAAGTTACAAGAGAACAAAACCCCCTCACAATCTTTAACAGAGAAATGAATGCATTTAAGCCGAAAACTTTCCCAGTAAGCACTGGCCAATGGATTTTAAGCCCAAGAAAACATTATTGGAGAAGCAGGAAATGAAGTTCTTGTTTTTGTTCTTTCAAATCCAAACAAATCAAGATTCGCAAGACGGCACATGTTAAACGCCTCAAGCTGCTTTTGGTACATTCTCAGGGAGTGTGAGATCATCGAGTACTGAATCATATTCTGTATCGCGAGCGTTCTTCTTGTTTAGAAGCTTCTTGAACTCAGCCTCGTCCAAGTTCTTTGCATTCTCTGCAGCGTGGACTTGAGCTAAGTTGGAGTACTCCACAGCCGAACTGGAGAAGAAGACTCTTTCTTCTTCTGTTACCTTCCTCAGAAATTTAGCTGGGTTGCCTCCCCAAACCTGTGAGGAAAACCAGAAATGTAATTTTACCAGAGCTTAAGGGAATAACAAACGTTTGAGAAGGTCAACATAAGAGCGTGGCTAAGAACCTCGCCAGAGGGAATTCTAGTGTTCTGCCTAACAAGAGCTCCCGAAGCAACCATGGCATGTTTTTCAACATGAGCTCCATCCAACACAGTTGCACTAGTACCAATATAGGCCTCATCCTCGACAGTGCAGCCATGTAAAACAGCACTATGACCTGCTCCAAATTTAAATTTGCTTTATCCATTACCCTGACTATAAGATTCACACTTAAGTTTTGTGACAGAAAATGTATTGAGAATTTACCAATAGTGACATTGTCTCCAATGACAGTAGGTAAGACCTTCCCGCTTAAGTTGGTCTTAGCAACGTGGACAAGAGAGTTGTCCTGAATATTGGTCCCAGCTCCAACACTAATGCTGTTAGCATCTCCTGCAGAGTAAATTGTTAAATCAATGGGAATGTCTGAAGACAGAGTGCCTATGCCTCTCAATGAAAGCACATTTGAATCAACAATGTCAACTACTCCAGCAGCTTACCTCTCAAGACACATCCATACCAAATGGAAGAACCTCGTCCCACATGGACATCACCAGTGATAGAAGCGTTAGGAGCCACAAAAGCCCCCTTATCCACACTAGGGGCTTTGTCAAAAACATTCATGAGGGTGCGGTGCCTTGATACTGGAACAAAAAAAAAGAGTTTCAGAAGCAGTTGAGAGGATTGAAATAAGCAGAAGCTTTCATTGAATTAAGTATCTGGAGGAAGCTAGACAAGTGAAACACTCACAATAGGAAAGGCTAACACTTAACACATCTGCCTAAGTGAATAAGATTTCAACTAGGATAATAACTAGCCAAATACAGACGAGAATCTCTCTTAGAAATCATTAAACATAGAAATGGAGAACATTTGATCTTAAGCTCTCAGGTTTCTAATCAAAAATGCAATAATCAATCATCAACATTAGAGAAAACACATCATATAACCAAATCTAAAGTATGACCCGATTCCAGAGAAATACACAAACATTTCGAAGACCCAACGAGAAATCAAACAAAAAGATTCATCATTAGGATTCGAATGGAGCTAGGAGAAGACTAGGCGATCCAAAGACATACGCTGTTCTCGGAAGTGATTTTTGCCTTGGAGGCGACAACCGAGCCGATCAAGTGCTTGACCAGTTTCACGGATCCAGAAACCTACGCTATAGAATGCTTTACCCATTGTTCCCATCGTCTTCGTCTTCTTCCCCACCAGAGATCGATTTGCGTTTTATCAATGAAATCGAAAAGGGGTTCTTCGCCGGAGCAAGAGGAAGAGGAGAGTGCAGTCTTTGACGACTCACCCCCCATCGTTGGTTTTGTGCTCAAATTTCTCGGACCGTTATTATCCGGTTCATGTTATTTCATGATGCCAGCATAACCAGGTTGCTGTTGGTAAAATTAGGAGGTAAATTTATGGTAATTATGGTAATTTTCCGCCACGTCACTTTATCCTTTCAAGTCTAACAAAACGGCACGCACTTTGACGTCCACTGAGAATTGAGAAAATAGTTATCATCAACATCAAGCAAAGAAGAACCTTATCTCTCACAAGAGGTCTCTCTGTTTTTTGAATGAACTAAAATGACACTGATCTCATGCTCTTTCTCTTTGGAACATAATCTCTACGAGACAATGTCTTGTCTCCAGAGATGTTCAAAGCAAGAAGACCTGAAGCAAATCCACGCTCGCATGCTGAAAACTGGCTTGATGCACGATTCTTATGCAATCACAAAGTTTCTTTCTTTCTGCATTTCTTCAAAGTCTTCCGACTTTTTGCCTTACGCCCAGATTGTGTTTGACGGGTTTGATCGACCAGATACTTTCTTGTGGAACCTAATGATCAGAGGGTTCTCGTGCTCAGACGAACCCCATAGGTCCCTTCTCCTGTATCAACGTATGCTTTGTTGCTCAGCTCCTCATAACGCGTACACTTTTCCGTCTCTTCTCAAAGCTTGTTCGAATTTATCTGCATTTGAAGAAACAACCCAAATTCACGCACAGATCACGAAATTTGGATATACAAATGATGTATACGCAGTGAATTCTCTGATTAATTCATATGCCGTGACCGGGAATTTCAAGCTAGCTCACCTTCTCTTCGACAGAATCCCCAAACCTGATGCTGTCTCGTGGAACTCTGTGATTAAAGGGTACGCAAAATCTGGAAAAATGGACATTGCATTAACGTTATTCAGGAAAATGGTAGAAAAGAATGCTATATCATGGACTACGATGATCTCTGGGTATGTTCAAGCAGGCATGAACAAGGAAGCTCTGCAATTGTTTCATGAAATGCAGAATTCAGATGTTGAGCCTGATAATGTTTCCCTAGCTAATGCTCTTTCAGCTTGTGCTCAGCTCGGAGCACTCGAGCAAGGGAAATGGATCCATTCCTATCTTACTAAAACAAGAATCAGAATGGACTCTGTTTTGGGTTGTGTTCTTATAGATATGTATGCAAAGTGCGGTGAAATGGGAGAAGCTTTGGAAGTTTTCAAGAATATTCAGAAAAAATCAGTACAAGCATGGACAGCTTTGATTTCCGGATATGCATACCATGGCGATGGAAGAGAAGCAATTAGCAAATTCATGGAGATGCAAAAGATGGGAATAAAGCCAAATGTGATCACTTTCACTGCGGTTCTCACCGCTTGCAGCTATACTGGACTAGTTGGAGAAGGAAAGTTGATATTCTACAGCATGGAAAGAGATTACAACCTGAAACCGACCATCGAACATTATGGCTGTATTGTTGATTTATTAGGTCGAGCTGGATTGCTTGATGAAGCAAAACGTTTCATTCAGGAGATGCCATTGAAGCCAAATGCTGTGATATGGGGTGCGTTGCTCAAAGCCTGTCGGATTCACAAAAACATCGAATTGGGAGAGGAAATTGGTGAGATTTTAATTGCAATAGATCCATATCATGGTGGGAGACATGTTCATAAGGCAAATATTCATGCTATGGGAAAAAAGTGGGACAAAGCAGCTGAAACAAGAAGATTGATGAAAGAACAAGGAGTAGCAAAAGTTCCAGGATGCAGTACAATTAGCTTGGAAGGGACCACACACGAGTTTCTAGCGGGCGACCGATCACACCCAGAGATAGAGAAAATTCAATCTAAATGGAGAATCATGAGAAGGAAACTTGAGGAAAACGGGTACGTACCAGAGTTAGAGGATATGCTGCTTGATCTAGTTGGTGATGATGAAAGAGAGGCTATTGTGCATCAGCATAGCGAGAAATTGGCTATTACATACGGGTTAATCAAGACTAAACCAGGAACCACTATACGTATAATGAAGAATCTCCGAGTATGCAAAGACTGTCACAAAGTAACGAAACTCATCTCTAAGATATACAAGAGAGATATCATAATGAGAGATAGGACAAGGTTCCATCATTTCAGAGATGGGAAATGCAGTTGTGGGGACTACTGGTAAAATTTGGAGAGGAAATAAAACTTTTATTGCTTAAGAAAATGGATACACTCGACATTATAAAAGTGTAAAGTACATTGTTTTCAACTGATGCTGAGAAGCTGTGTTGCAGTCCAAGACTGTCCCGGCTCTAGCTTGACATCCCCAAGCTGAGAGTTAAAAATGATAAGCAAGAGTTAGAACCTTTGAGTCTACAAGTTTTGTAAAGAGTAAGACTTAGGTTTACGTGTAAACTGATATACCTTTGCATTTTCCACGCACACAAAGTCTCTGTAGCAAGCCTCCATCTGAGTATGTGGGTTCCACAAGACCGCATCCGACCAACTGCATTTTCCAAAAACAAGTAGTACTCATGAGGCACAGAACGACTTCTGAAATGGGATTTAAGATAGTCCCTGACTCCCTGTATAAAAACATATAAGTGTCTCAGTGAACGTACTTTGTGTTTTTGATGATTATATTATCACCCAAGCCATTATCAAACTGCAATTCATTTGGAGCATCAAGATAGACGCAATCCACAAATCCAGGAAAAGTGACTGCATCCCTGAAATGTTAGAAAATAAGGGGTTAGAACCATGAAACATGTGAAATTGAAATCAACAAGATCTGTAGTTAATGAAGAAAAAAAAATACCAAAACCAACCTTTCTTCTTTACCCTCTATTGGGTTCTTAGGGTCAGGATCCTTATTGAGAGTTTTACAACCCTTTAGACCTCTCACGGAGGCCCCTGCGGAAGAAGCCTGATGATCCCAAAAAAAAAAATTATAAAGCTGATTGACCCTAAACTAGAGCGTTGAACAAGAAGACGAATTAGTGACCTACACGGAAGTAAGTATGCAACGCAGTGCTGAAAGAAAATGGTTTATCGTCTGTGTTTGTAATCTTTAGCTCAGTGGAAAGGGAGTCCGCGCCAACAATGACCTAAAGCAGCAAAACAAACTATTATGACATATAACATACAAGAGTGACATTAATGAACGGCATGACACCAACCTTGTATAGAGCCTGGAAACCAAAGTCCCACATGGCCCGACTATATGGACCATCCTTAAGCTCAAGAGTAACAGCAGCATTGTCATCTGCATTCTGGGAATCGACAACAGACCAGTCCATGTTCCTTCCAAACCCATGCTAATGATCCAAAATGGTTCCAGGAACAAAATAAGCAGAAATAACTATAAACAGATTTGATCAACCGAATAAACAGTAAATGAGAGTACCTGTTGAATTTGTCCAGGTCCAAACTGTGGAAAACAATGTGGAATCCCTCCGCTACACAAATAACAAGCAAGCATTATGACGAAAAAAAAAAAGACATTACTCACAATTTCTGGTTTTGATAACAAAATGTTGAAGTTCACACACAGACCTAATGGGCTTAATCTTATTGAAGACAGCATCTGGTCTGACGAAAAGAAGATCTTTACCACTCGCAACTTTCCAAGATGTAATGCATCCTCCAAAGAGGTATATCTCAGCCTCACTGCATCGAATTATAAATAAACCCAGATGACATAAAAGCTAAACCCGAATTACTTACTAATGAGGCAGCGAGAGATGGTCAATAGTTTTTGATACCTGTTCTGAGGAGAAGTAAGGACGAGTTTTGGCAAATTGCCTTCTCCTTCAGCGACTCTCACTCCAGTAGTCGAAGTAGCCATGGCAGAGAATCTTCTTCTGCAAAATCCAAGATCGGGTTTTTTTTTTGGATCGACAATGCAAGGTAGAGAATTTAGAAGCGAAACCAAAAAAAAAACAGTTAGAATATTACCGGCTAAGTCGGAGCTGGTTAGGAGAATTGAAGGTGAGAAAAGAGTTAGAGACAGAAACAATCGCCATGTTTGCCTTTATCTCCTTCAGTCACTCTCTATCTATCCTATATTGATTTGGGTCGATGAAATTGAATACTAAACGCAGCAAAACTTATGTAATTTTAAAAAAAAAAATTCCGACATTTTTGTATATCCGGAAGAGACAAACAAACGAGTGACGCCGATGGAGAAACGGCTCTTCAATTGGCGGTCGGGACCCAAAGTTTAACGTTGACCACTTGAGAATATCGTTTATGGATTACGAATATCCCTTAAAGTTCCGACTAGAAGGGTCTGTGCTGTTCAATACATACACCAGGCCCAATAACTAGAAGGGTCTGTGCTGTTCAATACATACACCAGGCCCGATATTACTAATGGGCTAATAAATTTTTTATATAAAATGATGTACAAAACGCTAGAGAGAGGGGTCGAACCTCTGACCTTGTGGTTAACAGCCACACGCTCTAACCAACTGAGCTACTCCAGCTAATTGACTTCTGTTATACGTATCATTTAATTATTTACTTACAGATCTTATGCTGGTCGATGAAATGAGATGGATTATGTCCCCAATCCAAAGAGAGTCGAGAGTAGTAAACTCTTAAGACTTCAGCACTTAAGGATGAATCATGTATTCTATGTTGCTCTATAATTATCTTTCCGATATGCCTAAATAACTAGTAGCTAACAGATCAATCATACCATTAGGATTCATGTTGTTGCTATGAATTCTGCATTTTTTGTTTCTTTCTTTCGTTCGGCATTGAGATTTCTTGGGAATTTCTCTATCCATACAAGGAAAATGGAACTACTCATATCAAAAGTATACAATAAAATTCAAATTTTTCAAAGACAAGTTCACCTATTCGATCAATAGCTAGTGTCTTTCCTTAAACCGGTAACAAAGTTTAAATATTTCTTTAATCCAAAACTGTGGTTTGATCTAATCTTCAAGCGTAGCAATGCTTTTGACTGAGATCTTATCATCTTCAATTTGGCTCTGTAACTCTCTTCTTTCTTCACTGCCTGTAACTTCGAAAGAGTAAGCAATGTTCAATTTTTGAGGCTTTTCAATATTCTCGACGATCGATAGTCAGTCATGTAAGAGCACAGAAAAATACCAGTTCAAGGGTTCTCGGCACTTGTATCCCGCGCCTTTTTGGCCGGTTCATTTGCAGATTCAGCTGTTTCAGAAGTGAAAAGGAAAGAGGTTATGCGTCTAATATGCAACATGATGCAGTCGGATTCTGTGTTTTTACCAACTGAGTATATTCTCTTTGTTATTCACTTCCTTACCCTTAAACTTTCTCTTCTTCTTAGCTCTCCTTCTCTTTCTCTCTTCCTGTGTGAGCTCAGACTCATCCTTAATGTCACCTTTCCCGGAAAATATTTCCTCTGGGGCAAGCATTGCTGCATCTGAGACTGCCACGGGCGCAACCTACACAGTACACATGGAATAAGTTGCTAAGTATAATGGTCTCCAATCCCAATTACCAAACAAAAAAAAGGAAAGGATTTAACAGAATTACCTCTTCCATTGCTATGGCTGGAACGTTTTGTATAGACATCTCTTCAATCACCTGAAAGTTTGGAGAAAAAAAAGAAGTTTTAGTCCAGAACAGTTATGTCTAAACACTTGAGGTGATCCTCATTTAGGATCTAAGCGAGAAACATACTGGTTTAGGTGTGAAGTGGAAGTGGGAGAGAGCATCCAACTTCAGGCATAGTTTCTTGAACAACATGCTTGCCTGATTTAACATTTATAAGTAAGAGAATGCGATATAGAGACTATCATAGATAGATCGGTAAACACAAAAACCCAGGAAAAATAACTAAACAAGGATCAAATCAAGTTGAACCTCTTTCTTTAGTTCATCAGACAAAGTTGTTGGGGCAAAAGCTGGATTAGCCTTCTGAACGTACTCTGCCTACAAATAACCAAATGGACCAAAACACATTTGTAAGTTTGGTTATCTCTCAAAATATGCAATAACATAATCAAATATTGTAAATCATACAAACCTCGTAAACTTCAGCAAGACCTTTCTTGCTTTTGCTATCGTCCTGCATATATCCAAAAGTAACAAATCAATTGTACTGTTATTAATCAACAATTACACCAGAGCGAGAAAAGAGGATAGAATTAATAGTTCTTCAATAACACTCACCAATTCCTTGGCTTCTCTTTTTCCTTTAGTGGGTAGACTAGGTGCTCGCTGAACATCATCGAAACGAGCCTAAAAAGTAAAAAGATCAGTTATGCAAAATCAGGAAGAAACAACGGAGACCTTAGTCACAAACTACAGCCACAAGTAGTTACCTCAATGATTCTGCTCTTGATCAAATCTTCAAGCGAGGCTGTGACCTCTTCTGTGATTACAGGAGCAGGTCTGGCATTGTGCTCAAAATCTAAATCAACTTCTAGAGCACTGTTCATTGGCCTCTTTGCAGCAGTTATCTGTCAACAAGACAAATAATACATAAATTTAGCTACAGAAAGCAAAATTCCTCTTTTACAGTTTAATTGTGAGGGAAAACATGTATGGCTACCTCTCCCTGCATTGTCCAATGTTTTGGGTCTAAGTTTGCTTTCTCCATCTGTTCAATCTTGGACTGAAGCTTTAGTCGTGCTTTCTCATGGGTAGAGAGTTTTTCATTGCCCTAAAGGAAGACAAATTAGTTCATACATTAGAAATGAAGTCATTACATATCACAGTGTCATGAATTAGTTAAGCATTACAGTACTTGGTTTTCTCTTTCAGCTTCCTCATCTTCACTCAAATCTTTCAACTTCATTTTTGTCTCCTTCTTTTTGCCACCAAAGAAATCATCATACCTAATTATCATTGATAAGGAAGAAAACTCTTAGAACAAATCTACAGCTATACAAAGCGGTTGGTGTATTCTCTAGTAAGTTCAATAATGTGTGATAGAGTAGAGAGCATCGAAACCATACCTTGCCCTTCCTAATTTATCTGCCTCTTCGTCGTCACCACCAGCAAAAGCATCAAACTAGAAGACAAGAACAATAAAAGATCATTCGGGAGAAAAACTGAGCTAATTGTAATCACTCACTCCACTTTATATTCTTAAACACTGAGGTATGTGCTTACCTCATCATCTTCGTCTTCATCCTCATCATCTTCTTCGTCTTCATCATCGCTCAAATTTTGATTCTTTCTCTTTGCCACTCCTTTTTTGTTTTTGTAGTCAATCCCATACTCTTGTGCTTCACCTTCCTCTAAAAATTCCTCCAATTCTTTAATCTTGAAGAACTTGTCCTCTATTCCTTCATTGTCTCCATCCTTTTCCTCCTCCTCTTCCTCTTCCTCTTCCTCTCCATCGTCATCTTCTTCTTCTTCTTCCTCATCATCTTCCTCTTCATCTTCTGCTTCGCTGTCATTAGATTCTAGCTCATTATCCTCATCCGAGTCAAAACCATCCATATCCATCTCATCAACATCATCTTCATGAGAAACCTTAAGGGCCAAATTCGCAAGTTTACGAATCTCTTCAGGGTTTTTGACAAATCTGTTAACTTCCTGCCGCAAGCTTGGCAACAAATGTTGAGACTGCATATCAATTTGCTGCCAAATCTGCTCCGTATCAAACCCATCAACCCAGAGCTGATCAAGTTGAGATTTAGGGTCATGCGGCTTCAACTTCGTGAATAGATACTGAGATACAGCGCGAGCAACCTCAGATATTGAACTTGGCGCTAGAAAAACCGGAGGTTCTGTTGACTTAAGCTTCTCAAGGGCTTCAATGCCCGAATACTTTACCGTCGCCATGGATTGAACGAAAACAGTAGAGCTTATCAATGGCGGTGACGAAGGTGGGTTTCAACGGCGGGTAGGTTTTAGAAGAGGAACACGGACAAGACAAACCTCAATGGTATCTCTCCAAAACCCTGAGAGCATGCCTCACTAAAAGTCCCCAATCAAAACCTCTTCATCAGCCAGAGGGTTTCTACCTTAGTCATTGGGCCTTTAACATTCTGGTGATTTGGCCCAATTCGTAATTCAGACATTAGAAACCCACATTGGTCCGAAACTTGTTTTTTTTTTGTTTGGTAGGATGGTCCGAAACTTGTTTAAAATTGTTAAGCTGAATATGCAAAAAAAACTGGCACATTTCAATTGATTCATGAGTTTAAAATCCGAAAACATCATCAATACCTAGAATCATGATACGGTAAATCTGTGTGTTTTACCCGGAGTTACAATATAAATGAGATTGATTAGAGTCTAGAGAGATTCAAAAGTATTAGTCTAAGCCTTCCTACATAATCAAAAGGGGATAGAGCTACAACACATCGCTGATGAATTTTTCTGTGAGTTCTTTAGGAAGTCCCATGACTGTATCAACTCCTCCCACCTACAATATTATAACAAAAAAAAAACTCTTTTAATTTAGGTGTTATCATATAAATATCTCTTTGAACATCTATCTAAGTGATAAGCTGAAACAGAACAAATCAAACAACTGTAGATCAAACACGAGCTCTTTGTATTATGGGAACTAACCACAGAATCGATAAAGGGTGAAATGAGGGGATGCTCCAGGGTTAAACCTCCAGCAACCTTATACGTTATTGCATCATCAATCTGGAGATCGAAACAAAAGAACACACAAACTTTATATGTTAAAACAGACTATGTTCACATTATCGATATTCGATAGTAAGAAGAACGAGTGGTTTAAGAAGTTTTACAAGATCATCGATGACTTGTTCTGGTATCTCATGGAAATAAACCTGCATCACAACAACAAATGTTCAATCCACAAGAAAATTTGGCAAAACAGAGAGAAAAGTTTAATCTGTGTACCTCTGCTTTGTCCCATCCTCCTCTTCTAACTCCAGTTTTCAAGTTCCTTACAAGAACAGATCCCACAACGCCTCCGTGTGACCCGGAATAGCCTGTGTCGATTTCAAACAAAATGCTTAATCACAACCATTATTAGCCTCACAAGTGGCTTATAGTAGCATCGAACACATGAAAGTGATTAAGTTGCACAAAACCTTTGATAAATTCACGAGCTTCTTCTTTAGTGGTTGGTTTTTCTCTAATAACACCTTTGTACACAACAACCTAAGAAACTCCATCACCATAACATCAGCTAAAGATACAAAAAAAAGTTCACATAGCAATCTAATCCAAAAATGTGAAGGCATAAAAGCATACAGTGTCTGCAGTAATCAACAGAGTCGGTTGAGGATCTTGTGCAAACTGGCTCTCACCTCCCAATTTCGATATAATCTCATTTGCCTAGTCAAAACAATTACCATCACCAAAATGGTAAGTAGAATCAACTACATTTTAAAAGACATTGAATCGATAAAAAAAAACCCTAGATTAGTATGATGTACCTTGGCTTCAGCAAGAGCCACAACCAAATCTTCGGGTTTCTCTGTCCTAATAGCTTTCTCATCAATGTCTGCAGTCTTGAACAACATAATCCCCAGCCAAACTCAATTTACTTTGTAATCCATAGCTAAACACAATAATCACACACAAATGAACATACCACGATAGTGTAATCATATCCCATTTCAGCCAGAATCCTCTTTCTCGCCATCGACTGAGAACCCAGAATCAGCTTCACGTTTCAGAATATTATTTTGCTTTTCATCAGCATTTTCCCATTAAAAAATTTCAAATTTATACAAAAAAAAAAAAAAGAGAAGCAGAGAGACAAACCTTAAATCCTCTCTGCATAGCCTTGGTCGTCATCTTGGTGTTGCGCTCTAAGCGAAATAGTGAAGAAGGAAAAATAACAAAAATTAACAAAATTTGAAGAAAGATTTTGTGTGTCTTTAAGCCCATGTCCAATCCACTCTTCCAATTTTCATGGATAACTCTAAAGTCTAAACTCGCTTCAACTTTATCTTTATCTTTTTATGTTTTTTGTCGATAAAGAATATATTGTATACTCCATTTTCATTTATCATAAATCCATCTATTTTATTTGTAACAACAATTTTAAAAAATTAGGAAGGTATATATACACATTAAGCATTTTCTTATATATAAAATTGCGTTACTTTGTTTGGCATATTTCAATGATAGTAACAGATCTATAAAAGTATATACCAAATCATTTGTACGTATTACCGTTACATTATCTAATGTTTTTTTTTTTTTTTGTCAACTCACCAATCACAACCAAACCTTACACATGGAATTAGGCTATCTAGCTATTTTTTCATGTAATTAGGCTATCTAGCTAAAAATGTTCATTCTTGCAATTGATAGTAAAAAATATAAATTTTTTGGAAATATGTGTTTATTGGAAATTTTATTTCTCCCAAAATGGTGTTTGGAAAAAGAAAAAGAGGTAAAGAATACTTGATCATTCAAATCTTTATTACAGACTGTATAATCGTATAAGAAGATGTCATAAAAAAAACTGGGCCTATTTTCTTCACATTAAAACCAAAACAAAACAATTGGGCCTATTTTGTAAACCATCGAATATATTGAGGCTACCGTGGTAATCGTACAGTTATCTGGTTAATATTCTTGATGGCTCATCTAAGGAGATGGAAGAAAGAATCTGTTTTCTTCAAGAAAGCTCGAAGGCTCTTCGATGTTGACGTTATTCACTCTGATGTTCCTCAAGAAGGTTCTAGAATCGGTGTTCTGGTTTACCGTTTTGCCACGAAACAGCCAAATCAAAATGGTCGGATTGCTTCGTGTTAGCAGTTGCATTGTCAGGATTCGTTTTCTTAATAAATTTTCCAAAAATGTTTGTCAATCATCTATTCAAGTGTTATTAAATTATGAACGAATCCATGGAAATTATAAGCATTTAAGACTACTGTGTTCAGAGTCTACGTAAACTCCAAAAGAAATTTAAACAAAGCAGCCTCTAAAGAAGGGAAACTTTCGTACCCATAGATTCTGACATTAATGTTTGCTTCTTTTGGAGTTTGTGGTCAAAACTTTCGTTGACCGTTTATTGTATATCAAAATGGTTTAGTAAATTAGGTGGCTACTAGACTAGTCGTTTGTCAATTTAGGATACTCACTCACACACACAATGACTCTAATTTGAATGATTGATATTCTTTTCTTTTTTTAAATATTGACATAAGCATTAGACAGTTGTGGAACAAATCAACGTATATATTAACTTACGTTTAATGGTGTGAAAACTTGAAATGGACGAGAAGATGTGAGGTGGAATATGAAACCAAACCACCAATGTTTTAGTCTTCGTAACTTTATAAGCCAACATCCATCAAATGATATTTTCTCCTAACACGTGAGATCATAAGAATTAAGATAAAGCAAAGGAGAGAAGAAAGAAAAATGAATGATTTTTAAAGTTCTCTTGACAAAGTCTACGCTTACTTTGATAGTTTTGTTGTTGTTGTTGTTGTTGTCTTGTGCTATTAATAGATGAAGTCCAAGATATTGCATCCACGCTTAAAAAGATCAAGAATACACCACATGTTTTTGGGGGTGGGGGAAGACTACTAAATCCCAAAAGAATGTTTTAGTGATTTGATTTTGTTTCATAAATAAAAGGGAAGCAGAAAATGAAATTATCATACGAAGAAGTTACATCTTCAGTAAACTACCAAAAAAACCCTAAACATAAGTAAAGAAATTTTGTACTAGTATGAGATGGTACATGAACATATATAGGCATTAAAAACATGAAAGAAAATGTTTCTAACAATCAATTCTAAAGAGGGGTTTACAAACATATATAATAAACACGAGTAACCGTAATGTTTGCTTCCACATTCAAAATTTCAAAAGGTCGAGTTATTTGTTTGTTTGGTTTTAGACTGTGGACGAACAAATCAATGCATTGATAGTTGCACTTACTTTTTCTTTTCTCTTACTTCTCGCTTTACATCTGTAAATATTGCAATAAATTCCATATATATAAATTTAGAAGAAAAAAAAAACACCAATTAATGTCTCACTTGCATTCCACATGGGCTTCCTAAACGTCAAATTTCCCAATTTTCAGAATTAGGTGAGACATTATAATAAATATATAAAAAAACAGTCTAAATAATACTATATGTCTGCCACTTAATTTCTTCAAACAAAAGCAGCTTCGTCCTTTGTCTAGTTTTGATGATTTATCAAATAAAAAGCAATCGAAAATACGAATATAATCATCTACTTATATACTTTGTAATATCAATTGAAATAATGCATTTCACATAGCAAAGAAATACTAAAAAGAAACAGTGAAAAGCGCAAAACGAGAGGGGTGTTTATACTTTATACTAAATACTTAATTAAAATGATTAACAAATGAGTGGGATTTTTGCGTCTCCCAAAGCGTAATTTATCTGAAAATGTGTCGCGTTGAGAGTAGTTGAGATTCTTGCTGTTCTCCAACTAAACATTAATACTTTAATAGTATTATTATTAAAATTAAAGAAAATAAAAAGATGGATCACAAAAACAAGATCCCCTTTTTCGAAATCCGAATAATGTTTTTCTTTTAATGTGTCTCTTTCTCATGATCTAGGATTCCAATTCCTTCCCCTTTCCCCTCTTGTTCTCTCCATATTATCATTAGATAGAGATAGGCTATTGTTTGTTTTTCTGTCTTTTTTTCAGAGCCTTTCTTCACAGAGTTGTTGTCTCCATTAATGGCGTCAGAGAAATCTAGCTCCAAGGGCCAAGCATGGTGAAGAGAGAAGCTTACACTGATTTTAACAATATTAAAAAATGTTGCCTAAAGAAATTTTCTCATTTTCCTTTTTGTTTTGGTATCTTGATGCAGGTTTTGTACGACTGGCTTACCTAGCGACATTGAAATCGAAGTTGATGACATGACATTCCATCTCCATAAGGTGTGTTCACAAACGCCTGAGATTTGTCTTCTTCTTTTGCTTGCTCAGTTTTTTTTTTTATTTTTTGTTTACTCACAGTCACAGATTTGTGTTGTTGTTTGTGGCTTTTCCAGTTTCCACTCATGTCAAAGAGCAGGAAACTTCACAGGTTGATTACAGAGCAAGAGACTAGATCTCCTTCCATGGCGCTAACTGTAAAGGACCCAAAAGTAGAAGACAGTGACAAGAAAGGTAAAGGCCATGAAATCGAGGACGAAGAAGAAGAAGAAGAAGAAGTGGAAGAACAAGAGATCGAAGAAAATGGCTATCCTCACATAATACTTGAAGATTTTCCCGGTAGCTCAGAGAGCTTCGAGATGGTGGCCAAGTTCTGCTACGGCGTCAAGATGGACCTCTCTGCTTCAACTGTTGTTCCACTTCGTTGCGCCGCCGAACACCTCGAAATGACGGAAGAGTATTCACCGGATAATCTAATTTCCAAGACCGAGAGGTTTCTCTCTCATTCCGTCTACAAGAGCTTGCGAGAATCCATTAAAGCTCTCAAAGCTTGTGAATCAGTCTCAACTTTAGCCGGATCGCTTGGTATAACGGAGCAGTGCATCGAGTCTATCGTCTCCAGAGCTTCCTCAGCTGATCCTTCTCTCTTCGGTTGGCCTGTAAACGACGGCGCCACCGATCTTCAATTTATCCCTGGCGGCGCAGCGAAATCTCGAAAGAAACCGAGTAGAGATTCGAACATGGAGCTGTGGTTTGAAGATCTGACGCAGCTGAGTCTTCCGATCTTCAAAACTGTGATTCTGTCAATGAAATCAAGAGACCTGAGCTCCGATATCATAGAGAGCTGTTTAATTTGTTACGCTAAGAAGCACATTCCCGGAATTCTACGCTCTAACCGGAAACCGCCATCGTCATCTTCAACTGCAGTTTCAGAGAATGAACAGAGAGAACTACTGGAGACGATAACCACTAATCTTCCATTAGATAAAAGCTCCATCTCCTCAACAACGAGATTCCTCTTTGGCTTGTTAAGAACCGCAATCATCCTCAACGCCTCCGAGACTTGCCGTGATCTGCTGGAGAGAAAGATCGGATCGCAGCTAGAGAGAGCCACGCTCGACGATTTGCTCGTCCCTAGCTACTCATACCTCAACGAGACTTTATACGATGTTGATTTGGTAGAGAGAATCTTAGGTCACTTTCTCGACACCTTGGAACAATCAAACACCGCCATAGTCGAAGCTGACGGAAAATCTCCGTCGCTTATGCTCGTCGGGAAATTAATCGACGGATTTCTCGCTGAGATCGCATCCGACGCTAATCTCAAATCGGATAAATTCTACAATCTAGCCATCTCACTCCCAGATCAAGCTCGTCTCTACGATGACGGACTTTATAGAGCCGTCGACGTATATCTCAAGGTGATGTACATAACATTTATCTAGGAGATCCGAGAATTGGATCTGATTTTGTTTTGAAAATTTCGTGTTCTTCAATAGGCGCATCCATGGGTATCGGAAGCAGAGAGGGAGAAGATCTGCGGCGTGATGGATTGTCAGAAACTGACGTTGGAAGCGTGCACACACGCCGCGCAAAACGAGCGGCTTCCGCTACGAGCCGTCGTACAAGTTCTCTTCTTCGAGCAGTTACAACTCCGGCATGCGATCGCGGGGACGTTATTAGCAGCTCAATCGCCGTCTCCGTCACAGTCAACGGAGCCGAGACCGTCAGCAACAAAAAATCTAACGATAACGGAAACAGTAACGGAAGAGGATGGTGATGAAGCGAAAGGAGAAGGACAGGTGGACGTTGGGAAATGGAAGAAGACGGTGAGAGAGAATCAGGTGCTTCGCTTAGATATGGATACGATGAGGACGCGTGTTCACCGGTTAGAGAGAGAGTGCTCGAACATGAAGAAAGTGATCGCGAAGATTGATAAAGAAGGTTCATCACCGGCGACGACGACTGATCGGCCGAGAAGTTGGTCGATTACCAAAAAATTCGGATGTAAATTCAAGACACAGGTCTGCGATTCGCACGAGGCTACGATGGTTGATCATAGATCACGACGGTCTTGAATTGTTTTCGATTGATTTTAATCTTTTTAGTTCAGAATCAGTGAGCATATTTATTGTGATTCTTGGATATTAATTTTAATCAATCCTTCAAGACAAATGTGCAACGTTTTGAATTTTGTGGTATTTATTAACTGAAATAAAAGTAATCGAATTGGTAAAACCACAATTGACTTAAGGCCCAAAGCCCATCGTTAAACGAGGTGAACTGTCCAAACTAATTGAACGACACGCCATACTAAAGCAAATTGGGCCCATTTCCCGACTACTTCAAACTGGGCCGTAACTGAAACTCTTCTAGAGTTCCTAAAAACCTAAACCCTACTTGTTTTCTGCTATAAAAGAACCGACTCTCGCTAATCATAAAGTTATTAGTATAATCTGAGTTCCGAATGAAACCTCAGTCTCTGTAAATTTCCTCGTTTTCCGTAGATTTAGTTCTTCGTCATACCATCTTCTTAGGATAATTCGTTTGGTTTCGTTTGAGTCCGTCTTACCTGGTTTCTTTGAATCGGATTGTTATTCTTAGATCTTCTCTTGTTTTTTAAAACTAGGCAAGGTTTTTTTTTTGAAAAGAAAAAAATTCTCAGTGATGAAGAAACAATAGATGACGAGTCCGATGAAATCCATTCATAAAATCATGGGGACAATTGAGGCATTTGTCTGAGAGGATTACTTTTCTTTGTACTAGTATTGTTATTTATCTAGGTTTTAGGAACGAGTATATATAAAGGATTTCTCAGTGATGAAGAAGCAATAGATGACGAGTCCGATGAAATCCATTCATTAAATCATGGGGACAAACGAGGCATTTGTCTGAGAGGAATCCTTTTTTGTTCAGTTAGATTTGTTTTAATTAGACTTAGGAAGAAGAAAGGCATGATGAGGATTGTTTTATTGTCATCTGATTCTTATTGATGAATCATACCTCCTACTCATTCTGAGTGCCTACTCTTGCTTTTAATTTTTTAGTCAGAGAGATGATTGCATTAGTATTCACTAAATTCGCATTCAACTATGAAGACTCTAGGGGAAGACTACAGATACTCTTTAAGATGACAATCTGCTATGACCAAATAAGTTTATGAAATCAGACCTGATTCCTTATATTAGAACAACAGCAAAGATTTTTAAGTTCATATAATATCAGGAATTTCTTTCAAGGAGAAACCATAACTTATAATTTCAATCTGTATACTGGGATGCAGACACCTCTAGTATTTGCAATCTTACATATGATGGGCTAAAGGATCCGTTAATATTTTTAATTAATCAGGACCAAATCAGCAAAAAGTTTATCAGTTCTATCTATACACTTGAACAGAATCCATCAGATAGGGTACTTTATAAAGCCTAGTGGACCGGGCCTGGCCATTATGTAAGCTTCTTTGCATCTTTTACTTGGAAGCCTTAAAAATAAAATTACTTGAAAAATAAAACTTTTACAGTCGAAGTTGTTATCAAAGGCCCATTAGCTCAGTTGGTTAGAGCGTCGTGCTAATAACGCGAAGGTCGCAGGTTCGAAACCTGCATGGGCCATCTTTATTTTACCACAACACAAACATTATTTTATGCTAGTATTATTCATACAGGTCAGCATCCCTGACTGAGACAGTATCCATATCTCCACTTCAGATTTCGACACGTGGCATCAAATAAAACCAGACACTCCGATTCCCACGAAACAAACCAATCAAAATCGTTGCCTTATCCCAATCTTATCTCAGCCTTTTGATTATTACTCTTTAGTCTTTACTTTGCTCACAGCTTTGGATCACCAAAAAAAAATCAAAACCATCTGAGAGACTTTGTGGCCATGGCAGCCTCTCTCCAATCCACCGCCACATTCCTCCAGTCGGCGAAGATCGCCACCGCTCCTTCTCGCGGCAGTGCTCACCTCCGATCGACTCAATCCGTCGGCAAATCTTTCGGGCTAGAAACTTCTTCTGCTCGCCTCACTTGCTCCTTCCAATCTGACTTCAAGGACTTCGCCGCTAAATGCTCCGACGCTGTCAAAATCGCTGGATTCGCTCTTGCCACCTCTGCTCTCGTCGTCTCGGTAACTTTCTTAAATCACCTCCCCTCCTCTCTCACCGATTCTTCGATAAAGATCATTACCAACTATAGATTAATCAAGAAACACAGAGGAATTGAGTAACAGAGAAGAAGAGTCTTTGTGTGTGTTTGATAATTTGCATTACATTGGTTTATATTAAACAGACAACAAAACAGAACAACTAAACCAATAACAGATACGGATTAGCACTATAGAATGCGAAACCGCTATTCCAGTTCTTGTAATCGTTGATTCAATCTTATTGGATCAGTTGAATTAAAGTTGTTTGTTTCTCGTGTAATGAAAGGGAGCAAGTGCAGAGGGAGCTCCAAAGAGACTGACCTACGATGAGATCCAGAGCAAGACATACATGGAAGTGAAAGGAACTGGAACGGCTAACCAGTGCCCAACTATTGACGGTGGCTCCGAGACATTCTCGTTCAAGCCCGGAAAGTACGCTGGCAAGAAGTTCTGTTTCGAGCCTACTTCCTTCACCGTCAAGGCTGATAGCGTAAGCAAGAACGCACCTCCTGAGTTCCAGAACACCAAGCTCATGACCCGTCTCACCTACACCCTTGACGAGATTGAAGGACCCTTCGAGGTTTGATTTCGAGTCTTTGATTCCATCGCAAGAAACAGTCTGCTTAGGGTTAGGGTTTTTTGATTGATCGTCTCTTTAATTTGTTTCGAGCAGGTTGCTTCTGACGGAAGCGTCAACTTCAAGGAAGAAGATGGAATCGACTATGCTGCTGTGACAGTCCAGCTTCCAGGAGGCGAGCGTGTGCCTTTCCTCTTTACAGTCAAACAGCTTGATGCCTCAGGCAAACCAGACAGCTTCACCGGAAAATTCTTGGTTCCATCTTACCGTGGCTCTTCATTCTTGGACCCAAAGGGTCGTGGTGGATCCACAGGATATGACAACGCCGTGGCATTGCCAGCTGGAGGCAGAGGAGACGAGGAGGAGCTTGTAAAGGAGAACGTGAAGAACACGGCAGCTTCTGTGGGAGAGATCACTCTAAAAGTGACAAAGAGCAAGCCTGAGACAGGAGAGGTGATCGGAGTGTTCGAGAGTCTTCAGCCGTCAGATACTGACTTGGGTGCTAAGGTACCAAAGGATGTGAAGATCCAAGGGGTGTGGTATGGTCAACTTGAGTGATCATGTTATTATATTTCTGTTGATTGTGTTTGATGATAATGACAACATCTTTTGATGCTTTCTTCGTTTATCTCTCTTATAAAAAGATGCACATGCCTAAGATCTTGAATTTTCTGTATATTATCCGAGTCCATCGTAAAAACAGTACCAATTTTAACTTTATGGTCTATGAAGAGAAAAAGCATAAATTGTTCGTCGCGAAAAAAAATTGGTTTGGTTAAGAGTGTATTGGAAATTTGTGAAGCACATGTTAAGCAGTTGAGGTGAGTCTCTTTGTGCAGCAGATGATGAGTTTAAACTCAATAAAACCGAACCGATTATGTTATAATTTATAGGTTAGTATATTTTATAGCGTTTTTATAGCTTTCTAAAAATTAAATCGAAAACTAAACCAAAATTTCGTGTGAAACATAAAAACGACCCTAAGTATGAAATGCAAATACCTAAGAACCCTTCTTTTTGGCATCTCATCCCTAAGAAGTAAAAGAACCTCTAATTGTTGATTAGTTGATACAGTCTACATTATATAATGTTTGGGCTTTCAAAACATGTTATCAGTACCCAACATTGATGGGCTTTCTTGTTGGTAGTCAAATTCAAAATTTTAGTTTGTATCCAATCGGTTGAAAAAGTTGTTTTCAGTTTCTTCAACTCAGTGTTGTTCATTTATATAGGAGTATTTATTTATATATGAACTTAGTAGTTATATGCATCGAGTGGCCAATAGCAAGTGGAAATAATGTTTTATTTCTTTAGAATAGTTTAGTCTAATCATCTTGCTCATTACGCTGTATTTAATGTGCATGGGGGTGTGAATATTAAACAAAACAGTGTTTAATTTAACTTATAAATTAAATATATATTGGTCTGCGTTTGGTCTTACATCTCGAAACATGAAAGAACACAGACAATTACGTTGGCGTGGGACACAGCTAGCACATAACAACTGCAGATCGCAGACAGATTCTCTCTTAAGTATCAAACCATATTAAACCACTGGCATTAGTATATAATTAGTCAGATTATTTTAGCACATAATTCTATTTTATATTTTAGAGAGATCGGATTCATCGCAATGTATAGTACAAATCTTACATTCACTCGGCAAAAATTTCCAGATCTTGTAGCAGTAGATTGTATGAGCGTGTGTTAGTACTACTACCTAATCACATGTTCGAAATCTAAAATCACCATTGTTTTGTAGCAAATTATTTTCCATTTAACGGATAATCGTTCAATTCATTTAAAAAAAAAAATAAAGACAGTAACGAAGAACTTCAAGTAAATTACGAAAAAAAGAGTATTATCAAATAGCAACAAGAATGTGCCTCGTGCTCAAAATGGTAGTATATCGTAAGCAAAATTGTATTATTGTCTAATTTCATCCTCATGGAATAACTATTGTTGGCCTTACCTGTTTTTGTCATTACCGTGGCAGAATAATATCCACTAGACCTGACGAATAATTATTTAAATATTCAACTAAAATGGTTATAGGAACTTGGGGCAAGTTTTTACGTATGTAAAAACAAAATATATATAAGACAAAATAAAGTTTAATAGTTAAAAAAGGCCATCCGTAAATTAGACATCGGTGGAGACGTGGGTGATTTCAGTCCCACAAAAACACAGGGAAAGGAAAAAAAGAAGATATTTCTGTGTGTGACTGTGTGTGAATGAATAATTGGTTTGAGCTACGTACTCTATATTCAGAAAGTATAAAGTGGTAGGAAAATTAGATATTTACTTGTCGACCACTTAAAAAGATATTTTACTTAATATTGTACAAGCATTATTAATATAGCAAATGATATTTTAAAAGTGATCAGTCCCCTTTAACACAAAAAGAAAGACGAAACTCGTATGAACGAAATCATTAAAGTATGCATATAATATCGTAAACACAATACAAAAATCAAAATCTATACAGCTTTTTGCATACCGTCCAAATCCACCACAAAAATATTAGTAGCATAATTTAGAGACTCAATAATTTTGGAGGTTTAGATAATAAATGCCACATTCATGCAAAAATAAAAAGTAACAATAAAAAATGAAGGTAGGTGACTCTTGTATCTACCAAAAGGGTCCAAAAAGAATCAAAAGGGACCCAATCACACATGCCAGCCTGAGCAGTCCCAATTGTTTTCACGTGAGATCTAACCCACCGGTGACGCTAAACCTCCGGCCAACTCAATCTTGTCTGCTTGCCGGTCATGCCTCTGTCTGCCACGTGGCCCCATCCTCCTTCACAAGTCACCACCTATGCTCCTTCCTCTCTCATTCTTCGCCACGTTCTCTCTCCTTATTTCCCGAATTACCCTTCACGTATGGGCCCGTTTCGGCAAAAAACTATAACCCACCATGCGCTGTCATGTTTAGTTGTTATCACTACACGACACTTCCGACGTGGACTTAGAGTCTCGATGCTGTCTTCTTCTGCTCTCTTCTTCTTCCTTTCGTATATATAAACTCGTCATAAGGTCGTCTCTTTCAATTCACAACACACAACATCAAGATCTCTCTATCCTACAACTCTAAGAATAAACTTAAACTCACGAGTCAAGTCAGAGAGTTAAAACGTTTTCAAAGACACATAAACAAAAAAATGGGAGCGTGCGTTTCACGTGAATCTTTGAGGAGTGATTCAGCGAAGCTTATATTACTCGACGGTACTTTACAAGAGTTCTCATCTCCGGTCAAAGTTTGGCAGATTCTGCAGAAGAACCCTACGAGTTTCGTCTGTAACTCAGACGAAATGGACTTCGACGACGCAGTTTCAGCTGTCGCCGGAAACGAGGAGCTCCGATCAGGGCAGCTCTACTTTGTCTTACCTCTGACGTGGCTCAATCATCCGCTACGGGCGGAGGAAATGGCGGCCTTGGCTGTTAAAGCTAGTTTGGCGTTGACCAAGAGCGGCGGCGTTGGTTGGGTTTCCAGTGACGACGATGTAGCGATATCGGAAAAAACTTACCAAAAGAAAAACATCGTCGGAGTTAAGACGAACGGTGGTGGTGGAAGAGGTTGTGGGAAAGGGAAGAGGCGATTCACGGCTAATTTGAGCACGATCGCCGAGTAGGGTCAATTTAGTCATTTTGAGAAAAAAATTCGACCGACGTATAAATTGTAATTAGAATGTTTGACTTTCTTGTTTTTTTTTTTTAATGGAGAAAAAATTATCCAGTAGATTTTTTTTATTGCTCAGTAATTGAGAAATGGGCACGAGGATGAAGATATTCCATTGATGTGATTCCAATCTTAATAAACAATGCAATTTCGTAGCTATATGAATCCTTTCATGCGTAATGATCCATCTTCTTGTTAAATTTTCTAATCTCTATAATTTCCAACCCTTTGTGCTTTAACCTAATCGACAGATCCAATCCACCAAAGTTAAATCCACATTATAAGGCTATTTTGCAAAATGCCAAATATGGCGGAATAATTTTTATTTAAGAAACAAGATAAGGATTAATCAATGATCAGATATGCTTTGATGAAGTTGTGGTCCATTCTTACTTCTCTTCTGCATATTTATCACATGAGTTTCTGGTCATCTTATGCATTCGGGACTATAGCACAAAAATACAACGTGACAACAAAAACAACCGAGTAAAAACTAGCTATAAAGGCAACAAGATTTCAAATTCTCTGTTGCCACTGATAGTGAAAATCCTTTTTAATTTTTCTTTAGTGGGTTGCATTTGCACCACGTTTAAAAACCCAATAATACAAGAGAAAGCAAAGACATGATTGGATATTCTTCGATTATGATGTCGATTGTCGAACAACAACAAAAGCCTGCGTGCCTTTTTCGGCTTTTGCCTTGTATGTTGGGCCTGCGTGCCTTTGTCGGCCTTTTGGCCTTGTATGTTCTCCTTTGGTTTTTAATGGAAATTTAAAGTAAAAAAAAAAAAAAAACAAAAATTAACACTTGTATAGTTTGGCAAAAGATGAATATATGAGGTAAAGAGGGTTGGACCCATTGGCCCTATAAGCATTAATGGGCCTGAAAGCAACAACAAAATTTGGAATTAAATAGCGTTGGGTATCTGTCTGTCACATGCAACAGTAGACAACTTGAGAGTGGATCAATCAACATTCACGTGCCATGATCCTCTCTTCCTCTTATTTTGTCTCCTTCCACCAATCCATATCTTTCTCCATTATACATCTCTAATTATCTCCCTTTAGTTTTTTTTTTTATATACCTTTAATGACTATATAAACCGAACACTGATCTTTTTAATTTCAGGTTGCGAATAAACCAACCAAGAATGGCTTTAACCCATCACATGATCATCTTCGTGGCACTTCTTGTCGTCTCCGTCACAGCCATCTCTCCGGCGGCGAAACTAAAACCCAAACAAACCGTTCCTACTTCTCCTCCGCCTCCAACAATCTCTGCAGCAGCTAAAGCTTTCACCGATGCGCATAACAAGGCCAGAGCCATGGTTGGTGTCCCACCACTAGTTTGGAGCCAGACGCTAGAAGCTGCTGCGAGTCGGCTGGCTCGTTACCAGAGGAACCAGAAGAAGTGTGAGTTCGCGAGTCTTAACCCTGGGAAATACGGAGCGAACCAGCTTTTGGCTAAGGGCTTAGTAACCGTGACACCGTCTCTCGCGGTGGAGACTTGGGTGAAGGAGAAACCTTTCTACAACTACAAGTCAGACACGTGCGCTGCGAACCACACGTGCGGGGTCTATAAACAAGTCGTGTGGAGAAACTCTAAAGAGCTCGGATGTGCTCAAGCCACGTGTACGAAAGAGTCAACGGTTTTGACCATTTGTTTTTACAATCCTCCGGGAAATATAATTGGCCAAAAGCCTTACTAGCAAATCGGATTCATCATCAAAAGCTTTAAATAAGAAGAGAATTGTATGTTTTTTTTTTGCTAATAGTTTGGTGAGATTCAGTTTGGGAATTATAAATCGAATATTATTATGCTATGATCTGACTGATGTTAAGCTGTGAATTAATGCCAAGTAACTGTGAGGAGACAGGATCCAATGATCTCTCTTCCATATCAGAGAGACAGAAACAACATTATCATAATCAGAAAGTGGGGACATAGACAGCGACATCTTATATATATACACACACACACACTCTCACTGTCTTATATATATGAATCTTTGAATAATTTCATTTGGCAGCTTCTCTAAGAATAAGATATCTAAATGTAAAGCTGTGAGGGATCCAATCAATAGGCTTGCGTGGTTTACTACTAGATTGACATCTCTTTAGACATTTCCTTGAAGATTCCGGTATACTCCGGTTAACCATCTCTGTTAAACCCGCCGGGCATAAACCTGAGTCCTTTGAAAACGTTTCCACAAGCTTTGGCAATAGGATTCTCTGCTTGTGTATGCTTAAGTTCATTCTTATGTACTCTTCTTTCGACGTTTCAAGCTCTTGCTGGATTCTTTTTGGCGTATATACACGAACCTGTTTGAAACAAATAAGCAGAGACTTTAAGTTTACTTTGGCATTTAAGGATTTAAGGGTTTCACAGAGATCATTGGTAAGTACCGCGGGATCGGAGTGGCTGCCTGAAGTAAGTGCAAAGTGTAGGAGAGGCTCAGGATGATCGATTGCGTAAGCTAATCTATCATCTCCTGCTTTGAATTTTCTCGAAGCAAATAGTAGTCTAAGCCACTAAGAAAAATGAAAAGAAAAATTTGTTTACTTTTATGCTTTGAGGAGAAGCCTTTAAGAGTTTCATGATTTCTCTTGTGTACCTGTCCAGGATGAGACATTTTGCATCCAAGAATCGAACTTTGTATCGCTTCCGCGCTAACTGTGTGTCCACCAACATTATATGCAGCCTGGAAAAATGCGAAAGCACGATAATTTCAGAATCTATAAATGATAAGTTCATGTGTATTCTCCTTGCAAGAGATGTTTGTTACCTTGAGTAGCAGTAAGACTCTCTTCACATTGTTCTGTGGAATCCCATAAGCTAAAAACGCCTAAAAGATATTCAAAGAAGTTTTGATAAGAAACCAACATTGTAGGCGTTAAGAAAATGAGATTAGTTCTTAAAAGAAAGAGATTTACATGCATCACAAGTGCATTGTGCACATTTATCCAAAACGCTAGCTTCTCTTCATGTTTCAACTTCCTTGGATCGACTTCCTCCAATCTACTAATTAGTGACCTGCAAGAGTTTAAACATTTCAAGATTGTGCAATCGATCCCAATTCACTTCCAATCAAATTCCACCCTCATGTGTAACAACAACTCAAATGTCCAAAAGGACCAGCTTTAGTTTCAAGGCGACTCACTTGAAGTTTTGCAGAAGATCTTCGACCTCACTGGCCTTTTTGGCGTCTCTGTAAATGCAAAGCACTTCAACAATGCTGCTGTAAGGTCCACTGAAGTCTTTTTCTCCTTCTACATGGAAAGAGTTGTCTAACCGAACATCAAAAGAGGAGTTGTTTCCGAATCCAGGGCTCGATGTATCGTATTGGTCAGAGGGCGAAAATGCACTCGATGATAAAGATGAGTTTGGAGAAGAAAGCCCCCGATGTAGTATAGAAGGTGGCTCTGCAAGCTTGCAGTATATTTCTGACATACACTTGACCATTCCTTCAGATAACTTGTTGGGTGTTTCTGGAACATGATCCGAGATTCGGGTGCCAAGATGTTCAGCTAGACTGATTAGATTTTCTCCATTCTGCACATACAGCGGTTGGGAGTGACAAGAGCGGGTGGCTTTACTCCAAGAATCTTCTGGAGAAGCTTTTCTACTCTCAAATGCCGAACGTTGAGAGTGGCTACGGCGAAAACTGGGGTCCATCTGGTCTTGGTCAACCGCAGGAATCTCTGTTTTCTTTGATTGATTTTGATTATCATCAAGCAGAGGATCTGTGTGTTGATTTGTTTCCGAGGGGGTATCATCATCTTCAGAAAAATCTAGCCGCCTTCTAGGGGTTGTAACAGGAGGAGATTTTGGCTTCTTGCTCTCTGAATTTGGAGATACAGAAGAGATTTGCTGCTCAAAGGCTTTTCTATATAATGAAAGAAGATACTGTTCCAAATGTATAACTTCCATCTCCAACACCGCAACATCTTTGATTAAATCAGTAGCTGTCTGAAGAGGAAATCAACGCCAAGAAGGCAAGAACGTATCCATATAAGGAACAAAGCTCATTTTTAAAAAAACACATTCAATTTTGGGAAATATAAGTAACTGACCTTAGGCATGGCAATGTCGTTTGTTTCAGTCAGTACGTAAGAAGAGGCTGTTCGATAACTTAATGCTTTCTCAAATGCACAACGAACCTTAAACTGATCTTGTAATCTTGTCTCGAGCTGAGTAATCTATGATTATAATCACAAGATAAGATTATTGAGCCTAACCAACCAAACAAGGACATGAACCAAGTAAAAAACTATACACATTACCTCTTGCTTCAATGAAGTTTCGGTGTTTGAATGATATTGATTATGCTTTGATTCATTTGAACGCCCCATGTCCTAAACCAAGTCAGACAAAACCCATAATACGATAATCTTTCTCAGAAGAGGTTTAATAAGAAAATAGAAACAGCTTTGGACTCACTTCATTTCATTTATAAGAGAGATTAGTTTCTAATAATGTGATACCAGAAAGGAAATTCTTTTGAAAAATATAAGACAAATAAGAAGGATACAAAGAAGTATAGCGAAACATATGTGTAAAAGGCTTTGCACAAAAAAGATGCAAAAGAAAAAAGCAGCTTGGGGAAAAAAAGATACTAATTAGTCAAAAAAACAGAAAGATAAATCCAAGAAGGCAAGAGAATCATGTCTCAGCGTCTTAGGCTGTTCTTTAACAAATACCAATACACTTTATCTCAACTTTAACATGTAAAAAAGCAAAAAGAGATGATCGTACTCACCAGCTTCATTCGTTGAGAGGCTTCATGAGAACTGTTTGAGGTTTTATCTCCCTCACCTCTTTTCTTTTCTGGAAAGCTGGCACTGTTCAGAAACAGCATTTACAAAGAAAGAATCACTCTTAAATCCAATTTGTATCAGACAAAAATTTAAAATCGTTAACTCTTCACCCACTACACTAACATATTTAAAAGTTTTTTAACAGACTCATTATCTTGTTCAGGACGACCAAAAAAAAAACTGTAATTTAACAACACAACAGAAGATCTGTATGATTTTGCAACCATAACTCTCAAATTTCCAGTTTCTACCTAAACCAATTGCAAGGGAATCCATTAACAGAAAATAGAGACACATTTAGAGAAGTCTACAAATTTAAAGGTAGTTGTTAATAACGAACAATAAAGTGGACATTTTACCTCTTTGAACGCTTGTGATTTTGGACAATCCTCAAATCCAACATTCTACCACCTCCACCACCTACTCCAAATCCCATTTGTCTCAGAATAACCACAAAGGAGCTGACTTTTTCTCCTTAGCTAAAGAGTTACAGTTAAATGCTTGAAGAGATTGTAGCAACAATTAGTGTCACCAATCCAAAAAGCAGAGCTTCTGCTAGATACCCATAAAAAGCTTGAGCTTTAAGGGGAGATAGACTGAAAAGTTGGGGACTTTAGAAGAAAAGGCAAGTGAATCTTCTTCACCTGTAAGAGGCCAACGGAAACTATAAACTTGCGAATCTTCAATCTTTTTAGCAATAAAGGAGGAAGCTTTTAACATTAAAAAGGGACAAAAGAAGCGTGGTGGGTTTCAATTGAAGAAATAAAGTTTAGCTATGGCTCATGTTTCATGGAAATGGTAGTGAGAAGAAGAGAGGCGACTCGTGTCAAAAGACCAGTCACCAATGTGTGTACACGACCCCACGAGTCGTCGTCAAATTCTCAACCAAATCGGCCAAAAAAAGAGAGAGCTAGAAATCTACATAGATGGTCAAAATAAAGAAAATAGACAAAGTGACAAAAGTGTTTTTGCCTTAAAAATAAAAAGTTACTGTGGTGCTTATGGTGACCAAACTAGTTAGAAATTAATTAAACTAAACTATATACTATGTTCATGTGTATTAAAATAATACTCTGTTTTATAGATTAGCTGATGGTCTATTCAATATATCAATGAGTATTAACAACTAAAGTATGATGATAATATGGAAGAAAAGAATATAAAAATGTCTACAAAAAGTAGAAAAAAAGGAATAATAATTAATTAATTTGATGAGTTTAGAGATAGATTTCTTCAGCTTGTTGGGAAGCAAGTCAGAGTTGTTGACCGTCCCTCTAACTCCTCCACAGTTCTTGAATCAAATGGCCCCATTGGCACGAAACTATGTTCTTATCTTATGATTAACATATTCATACTTTTAGTTCTATTCAATTATACAAAACTTCAACTGAATCCTCAATTCTTTTCCAGTCAAATTTGGTTGAGTAGATAAAATTTTTTTACCTCACATCAGCAGCAGAAGTCATAAGATAGGAGATGGTACTACAGTGAGACATTTCAACGAACATATTGTCTGCAATAAACCCGTGAACCCATATTCTCTGAAAAGCCAAAAGTCACCACCGCTATAAAATTAAATAAATTCTACCCGAAGCCAAGGACATCGTCGAATGCATCCAACACACCATCAAAAGAAAGAAAGTGATAAAATTCCAAATGTAAATCGCTCAACAGAGATAAAGAAGATGGAAGAAGACAGAAAAAAACTGACCTCAAAAGAAATGAAAGTAAAAAAGGATTAAAAAGGAAACATCAAATTTTTGGAAAGATGATATCTTTTGGGTTCTTGTGACTTGTCTTTCTTTCTCTCTCTTGTGTTTTTTGGAGAGAAAAATTAGACAAATGCGATGTCCGGAGAATTTGTTTGTGTGTGAGAAGTGGACTTTTGTTTGTCAAAGAATCCACACGAGAAAATTAAAATGGCATTATAAATTGTAAATGTGAAAGCTTAAAGTTTATTTTTTTTCTCCGAAGATCAATGCATAAAAAAAGGTGTGGGACAATCCAGGTCTTCTCTATATTGTCGTCATGCTTCAACTAGTCGTTATAGAAAAAAAGAACTACAACGTTACGTATCCGATCCGATTTTAGTTTTGAAATCTTTCATTTTTATTGTTATTTTGGGTTGCATGTACAGTATATGAATATTTGGGATTGTTAAGTTTGGTGAGTTAAGAGGAGACAGTAAGAGATTATGGTAAGAAACAAAGAGAGTATTGGTAATGGTAAACTAACATATACGTACCTTGTTTTTGGAGCTTATCACTAATCGCCTCGAATTCTGAATAACGTCGGACATATATTCACAATATCCGATATATGTTTATCTTAGCCACAGATTCAAGAAATGCGATTGTTTTAAAACTTTATCGGATTGATATATACTTTTCATTGTGGATTAGTCCTAAGAAGAAAAAAAAATAAGGGTTTAGGGTTTTTGAAGTCAGAAGAGCCTGTTTGGGCCTTCCGTGCTAGGCCTTTTGGGTCTTGTATAATCCATTGTCAGAATTCAAGCCTCATTACTCAATTCTCTACAGAAAAAAGCCTAAATACCCTCTGCAGTGTTCATTTCATTTTTAACAAGAAAACTATAATCCCAAAAACCTTACACTAATATTTTTCAAATTTCACTATTTTTTTTTTAAATGCAAAACATTCATCTTTTTTAAAAAAATGTTAAAAATTCAGTTATTTAAGTTTTTATTGCTTTCTTGTTTTCCTCTTGGGTTGGAGATGGGTTTTGAAGTTTTTTCTTACGTTCCAACTGAAACTTTGTGATAGTGTTTATGACTCGTTTATCTAAGATTTTTATATTATCATCACAAATTCACATAAATTTTATTATGCTGCGCCATTGTCATAGTTTCATAAGAATACTCAATAACCAAAGAATCACTGTCAGTACGATTTATCTACTCATTGATCGCGATAGACCAACCTACCCAGTACACGTCTCATTCTATCCTTTTCACTTGTATTTTTATAATCTTAGACTCTTAGTAAAAAGTTGATTGTCTCCTTAGAATATTATTCTCATTTTTTAGTAATATTTGATGGTAATGTATGTATTACACCTAGTATGTATGTATATAGAATTAAACATGAGTCAACTCTCTCAAAAATAAAATACATTACAACAATATAAATAGTTCTTTTTTGAAGAAAGTTTCTGAGAATTCGACTGTGCCGGCTTACATAATTAACTAAACTCTATGATAAACAAAATATTCATAACTTCTCATTGGACTCGTAAACAAATTTTAAAAACTTTCACGCCACTGGAAACATGTCAATTCTCGAAAGTCTATGCAATCAACAAAAGAGAAATACACATTTGATCGAATCCAAAATATGAACGTAATATTCGAATTCAGTATTGTAAAACTTATACAAGGAGTTCGAAATTATTCCAAAGGCAAAGTGAAGATAGATTGAAATTACGTTATAAAGGAAAGAAAAAGGAAATTATCGCACATAGATAAAAACTAGACATGGAAGCAAGAGAACAAGAGCCTGAGACAAGACTTGAGCGAGTTTCCAAGTGACTCACTCGTCTTCTTCATCTTCATGTTCATGGCCTTCTTGTTCTTGAACCACTTCCTCTGTTTCTTGGCCGACAAGATTTCTTCATCATCGTAGCTTTTGAACGTGTAGCTTCTGAGATATTTCTGTCTGTTGGATCTATAAACCTCGGGGCTTATAAATCTAACGTAATCTCCTGGTGATTGGAAAGGTGCGTCGTTTGCACTCATCTCTACTCTGTTTGCGTTTTGAACATCTTTGATCATCATTCTTGACTTTTGTGATGTACTATATTTTTTGTCCGACGATCTCTATTAAGTCCTCTTACCTTTATATATCGTGGCTTGTTGACAAAGAAAATGATTATAAACTGTTAACTGTCCTTTTGAAGATTGAATTAGTAGTCACTGTGTTGTTAATACGACTTTGTAAAAGTTGGTACAGCGTAGGATAATTGTTTTAATTCCATTTTATTCGTGTTTATTATTTGACACACGTGGAGGTGTAAATGTGGGTTTAGTCAAGAGAGCCATACGTCACTCAACAACGTTAAGTCGCCGACACACATTTGATATGGGCCAATGGGCCTAGGCCCATTTTGTTCTATCATATTGGGATCGTCACGGAAAGCTGAAGAATTACGAGAACTGCCACTGAGAAATGTGGTTACGCCACGTGGTAAAACCAGCTGGACCACAAGTGATTTTGTCTTTCTTCTCCATGTGCCTGCGCTTACTCCTTTTTCTCAATCTTTCCTCATTTGGGCACTCACATTCTCCAGTTGTGGAAACTCTGGCGAAGTCTCCAACTGAATTAAAGAAAAGGAAAGAGTTTTGTGCAGCGACGAAACCCCAAAATCCATGGCCTTGGAACCTTTTGAGTCATTCATTCACACGACGATTTGGGTCAGTATTTTCTTCTTTAATTCTTACTTTGCACAAAAAAATAATTGTTACTTTCACTTGTTCCTTTCTATTTCTACGCGTCGTTAGTTGTGGAGAGCTTTACATTATTTCCCACAGTAAAGCTACCAATTTTAATTCTCATAGCGAATTTCACCAAAGGTCAGCCTCAAATTTGGGGAATTCTAGAATTTTATTTATTTTATCGTCTATTTTCGTCTGTAACTGATCTTGATGTACTAATTCACCGATATCGTTTTACCAATTTGATTCTTTAAGTATACAAGATGACAATTTTTGCTTCTTCTGTTTGGTGTGTAAAAATTTCTAAGCTTAGATTAACTTTCACGCAGCCTTTGCTTGGTCAAGTCGTATGTTAGTGAACCTTTGGTGTTTTTTTTTTCTTCTTCTTTTATGATAAAGGTTGGGCAGATTGGTGAAGAAGTTAGTTCCAGAGGATGTGGTGTCTGTCCTGCTTTAAACGTCCTTCCACTAAACATGATCCCTCTCAGGTAATTTAGTTTATTTGGCATTCTCTTGGTTTCATGAAGATTGCTTAACTTTTGGAGTCTGAAACTTGCAGGATCGTTTTGAAGCAGAAACTAATATAGTTACAGATATTTCACTGTATGAAGATGTCATCTTACGTCAGAGAAGATCAGAAGCTGATCAGATTGAATGGGCCATTCAAGATAGCTTCAAGCCCCAAGAAACTACTAGTTGTCGTCAGCGTCAGCGAGAGGAGGATGATCAGATAGCGCTTGGTCTGCAATACGTGGAAGAAACTGAGCTTGATAAATCTGTGGTGGACGAAGAAGATCAGCAGCTTTCTAAGATTGTTGAGGAGAGTTTGAAAGAGAAAGGCAAAAGAAAGCAGCAATCTGGAGATGATCAAGCGGAAATTGACGAACAACATGCTCTAATTGTTCAGGAGAGTCTATACATGGTGGAGCCTCCTCCTCGACTTGAAGAAGATAAAAACATGCCCCCAATACCTCCGCTGAATGAAGATGAGCAACTTCAGAAGGTTATTTGGGAAAGTTCGAAAGGTAAGGGCCAAATAGAGCATTCCAAAGATCCAGTGGAAGAAGATGAAAATCTTCCAAGAGCAGATCTCAACGTGAACCATCCTCATAGGTAAGAAGTGTTTGTCTGTTGATTTGGCGGTTTCATTGCATGCTTTATTACAAGATAGAAATGTCCTGACCTGGTTAAGATTATTTCACTTGTAGCATATGTGATGGCTGCAACTCTGCTATTGAATATGGAAGATCTGTTAATGCCTTGGGTGGTAATTGGCATCCTAAATGTTTCTGTTGTCTTTCTTGCGACAAACCAATCGCTATGCACGAGGTTTGAAACCATATATGAAAGCCTCCTTATTTTTATTTAATGAATATCACTTTAATATACTAATTGAGTTGCTGATTATAATTTCTGATGCAACATCTAATTCCTGAGTACTCCTTAGCTTTTAAACACAAAGAGGTGTCATATAACCTGCTACAAGGAGCGTCACCCAAACTGCTATGTCTGCAAAAAGAAGGTAACTTCCCAATGGGGTCTATGAGCTGAAAGTTAAAGAATTGGTATCTTATAACTGTGTACGACTTATGTATTATCTGTTGTAATTTTCCTGGCAATGATGGATCTTAATGTAATTGTATTCAGTTTCCTGGTAGAGAGTATAAAAACCATTCCTTCTGGAAAGAAAAGTACTGCCCTTTTCATGAAGTTGATGGAACTCCCAAGTGTTGCAGTTGTGAAAGATTAGAGGTGGGTTTACTTTCACTTAAAAAAATGAAATTTGGCAAATGAGCATGGATAAAGAATCAACCGCCATTTCAAAAGAAGAAAGAAAACAGTAAAGCTTTCTCATGATTTTTTTTTTTGTTTGCAGCCCTGGGGAACGAAGTATGTAATGCTTACTGACAATCGGTGGCTATGCGTAAAATGTATGGAATGCGCAGTTATGGATACTTATGAATGCCAACCTTTGCACTTTGAAATCCGTGAATTCTTCGAAAGCTTAAACATGAAGGTTGAGAAAGAATTTCCTCTTCTTTTGGTGGAGAAAGAAGCGCTGAATAAAGCTGAGGTGCAAGAAAAGATTGTGAGTACATTTCCTAAACTGAAATTTCCTCATCTCTCCATCTCTCTTTCACTCATACGTTTTGTAAGTTTCAAAACACGCAGGACAATCAGCATGGGACGGTAACCAGAGGTATTTGCTTATCTGAAGAGCAGACTGTCAATAATGTAAGAGCTTATATTCGGTAACACTTACTTCAGACTAAAACTAAATTGGGATTCATGACTGTAACTCTACTCTGGTCCACATATACAGGTCTCAAAAAGGCCAAACAAGGGGCCGAACAACGAGCTAGTAGGCATTGTTACAGAATCTCAAAGGGTTATTGGTGGATGTGAGGTCACTGCAATTCTTATCCTTTATGGACTTCCTAGGTACTATGATCTCTTAAGGTCATCGCAAACTACTAGGTACCCTCGCACGTATAGACTAAAATCAAATTTCTCTTCATACACAGGTTACTAACTGGATATATCTTGGCTCATGAGATGATGCATGCTTGGCTAAGACTCAACGGTACTTAGTGGTTAAGAATCTATTTTGTATTCGCCAAGAGACATTGAGAAACCTCTCAAAGTAATGTCTTTTTTATTTATTTGTTGGTTTAATCACATGTTATAGGAATCTTAAGTTAGAGTTTGAAGAAGGCATATGTCAAGTGCTAGGCCACATGTGGTTGGAGTCACAGACATACTCGACTTCTGCAGCTGCATCATCAGCTTCTTCTTCTTCTTCGTCCCACACTCCAGCTGCTAGTGCATCAAAGAAAGGTGCTCAATCTGATTACGAGAAGAAACTGGTGGAGTTTTGCAAGGATCAGATAGAAACAGACGATTCACCGGTCTACGGTGTTGGATTCAAGAAAGTTTACCAGATGGTCTCAGACTCCAGCCTCCACAAAATCCTGAAAAGTATTCAACACTGGACGAAACCAGATTCAAATCTTTGAAGCAGCTAATATAGGACACATCGAAACATACCCCTCTACATAGACCATAGTACTACATGCATATATATACAAACGCACGATTACAAAGTACACTTATGTCTGGTTTTTCTTTTTGGATCCAAAGTACAAATTATGTCTTTTTAAAGAAAAGACTTTAACAGGAAAATAGACATGACCATGTCCAATTTTATGACTTTCTATTATCAGCACAATATCATTTCATAGTACAATTATGACAAAGTAGACATCTCATTTTGTTATTTAAGTTTTAAAGTTTTAATATCGGAAATCTATGTTTAACACTGTTCATTCACTTTTTCTTTTCTTTTTTTGGTTAATTTTCATTAATACCATTTTCATTTTCACAAAATTTACCCTTTTACTAATCAGGTTTGGAATTTTTTCTTATTAATCATAGTTAGTAAGTGGCTAATTGATTTATCATAATTCTTATTGGATGTTGTTGACAAGAAAATTATTCGATTGGATATCTCGCATAAATGAGTTAAAACGGCAACGTTTCAAGAGGGAGGGAAACCACTGAGATTAAAATCGTCTCGAAAGACTGTACAATTACGAAATTGCCACCGTGAAATGCGCTTGCGGCACGTGTACAAAAACAGCTGGTCGTTGGCTTGACCACAAAAGTAAGTGTGTTGTGTGTTTCTCTTTCTTCTCCACACGCCTACTACTAGTTTCTTTTTCTTTCTTCTCTCAAAGACCAATTCAACACAGCAGCTCAATGGTCTTTCGAAACTTCTGGAAATTCTCGTGGAAGATCTCGCGAACTTTCCACTTGAGGAAAAGAAACGGAAACCGCTTTGGGCTGAAACGAGACCCAAAAGCCATGGCCTCTGATTACTATTCATCTCACGATGAAGGGTTTGGGTAAGTGTTGACTTTTTTTAATAATTATTTCAAACCGATCTCAATTTTGGTTCGAGTCGTTAGTTATTAAATTTGACGGCTTGAAAAAAGAATATCCTTGGTAAAAGCTTCATCCATCATTAATGTGTCGTTCAGAACCGTGTCTGCACTAAAAATTTGGGAATTTTAGAAAAAAAAACCCATGTGAACACTTTTATCATTATAGTCTCTGCATTCTACTTTCTGCTCAAGTCCCGTTCTCTTGGCGATTCTAATTCGTCCAAGGTTAGATCATGTCCCGTTTCAGATATTTTCAATCGCCTCTAGACATAGATTTTTCTTTCCTTTGTTTCATACTAAGCTGTGTTTCAGGTTGTTGTGTCTGTCTTGTTCTGTATCTAATGTTCATGTCTTAACTCACTATGATGATCGTCAACATGTTTCCTAACTATGCTTTGAACTTTCTTAACCTAGATTTCGTTTGTTTGACTAAAGTCCAGGCATTTTGCCTTTGCTTCATGTAAATTGAGATGTTTGGCTTGGAAAAGTGAATCTTTTGATGTTCTCTGGATTTTTAGGGGTTCTCAATGATTGATTCATTTGCAGGGAAAAGGTCGGCCTGATCGGTGAAAAAGTTGGTTTCAGAAGATGTGGTGCGTCCCCTGCTGCTTCAAACCCTCCACTTCTGAGGTAAATATGATATGTTTGGTTGTTTCTTTTGTCTCAGCCAAGTTTGGTTTCACGTTTGTCTTTTTCCCTTTCTAGACTTTTAACTTTTGGCGTCTGGAAACCTGTAGGATCATTTTGAAGCAGAAACTAGTCACGTCATAGAAGCTTCACTGCATGAAGCTGATATTCAAAGAGCTAAACAGATTTCTTTGGCCGATTATGAAGCTCAACAGCTTGATTTGGCCACTCATGAAGCTGAACAGCTTGATTTGGCCATTCAAGAATTCTCTCGTCAAGAGGAGGAAGAGGAAAGAAGGCGCACCAGAGAGTTAGAAAATGATGCGCAGATAGCAAATGCTCTTCAAGACGAGGAAAGAGAAAGGCTGATCAATAAGAAAACTGCATTGGAAGACGAAGAAGACGAGCAGTTTGCTAAGATTCTTGAAGCTGAACAGCTTGATTTCGCCATTCAAGAATCCTCTCGTCTTCTTCAAGAGGAAGAAGAGGAAAGAAGGCGCACCAGAGAGTTAGAAAAGGATGCGCAGATTGCAAATGGTCTTCTATATGAGGAAAGAGAAAGGCAGATGAATAATAGATCTGCATCGGAAGACGAAAAAAATGTGCAGCTTGCAAAGGCTCTTAGGGAGAGTTTAAAGGAGAATGGAAATGGAAAACAACTTGAAGATGAACAAGTGAAGAAGGATAGAGAGCTTGCTGAGAGGCTAAACGTGTTAGAGTCTCCTCCTCAAAGCAAGCAAAATTTTAGGATTTCTCATAGAGCTCCATCGAACGTTGATGAGCAGTTTGCAAACGTTCTTGAGGAGAGTTCAAAGGACAAAGGAAAAGGAAAACAACTTGAAGATGAACAAGTGAAGAATGATAGAGAGCTAGCTGAGAGGCTAACCATGCTAGAGTCTCCTCCTCGACTTGAAGAAAATAACAACATTTCCACTGGAGCTCCGTTTGATGAAGATGAGCAGCGGATTATTTTGGAGAGTTTGAAGGGGAAGGGTCAAATAACACAATCCAAAGAGGAAGTGGAAGAAGATGGAAAGCTCCTAGAGGTGAATCCTCCTCGTAGGTAAGCTTATGCGTCTATTACTAATTTTCTTGCATTTTGTACATCAACTCATAAGTATGTCCTGACCTGGTTAAGAATGTTTCTTTTGTAGCATGTGTGGTGGTTGCAGCTCTGCGGTTGATCATGGAAGATCTGTGAATGTTTCAGGTGTTCTTTGGCATCCTAATTGTTTGATTTGTGATGCTTGCAAGAAACTAATTGCTATCCACGAGGTTGAAAGCCATGTACGGAAAATTTCTTCTTTTGAAATTGTTTGGTCTTTCAATTTACTCCTAAACTTGTTCATTTTTTGTTTTGTTTGATGCAACACCTAAATTCTTGATAACTCTCTTAGGTTTCAAACTCAAGAGGCAAGTATCACAAATCCTGCTATGAACGGTACTGCTGTGTCTGCAAAGAGAAGAAGGTATGCAATTTGTGGATCCTCTGTTGTACTTTTTCATGGTAACTATGAATGTACATGTAACTGTATTCTTTCAGATGAGAAACTTCAATGAACATGAGTTCTGGAAGGAGAGATACTGCCCTGCTCATGAAGCTGATGGAACTCCCAAGTGTTTCAGCTGCGAAAGGTTAGAGGTGAGTTTATCTTTCAAACAACAAAACACGGCAAAGGGGAATGATATGATACTAAGAATCAACCACCATATTATACCCACTGGTTTGAGTTCTTATGATCTTGACTAATTTTCTATGCAGTCTAGGGGAACAAACCATGTAATGCTTGGTGATGGTAGATGGCTATGCCTAGAATGTATGAATTCTGCCCTTATGGATTCTGATGAATGCCAGCCTTTGCACTTTGACATGCGTGAATTCTTCGAAGGCTTACACATGAAGATTGATAAAGAATTTCCTTTTCTTTTGGTGGAGAAACAAGCGCTGAATAAAGCTGAGAAGGAAGAGAAAATTGTGAGTACATTTCCTAACTGAAACTTCCATCTCTCTCTCTCTCATTAACTCAATCACTCATATGTTTTGTAAGTTTTTACATAAGCAGGAGGACTATCAGTATGAGGTAGTAACCAGAGGTATTTGCCTGTCTGAAGAGCAAATTGTCACTAGTGTAAGAACTTATACCGGATAACAGTTCTTGAGAGTCTAAAACAAGATTGGAATTCATGACCTAAACTTTATTTTACATATACAGGTCTCAAAAATGCCAAAGGAGGTGTTGAACAACCGGCTTGTAGGCATGGCTAGGGAATCACAAAGGGTTGTTCGCAAGTGCGAGGTCACTGCAATTCTCATCTTATATGGACTTCCTAGGTACATTTTACATCTCTTCCACCTGAGTACTCTCCTGCGCCAATGGAATAAATAAAATCTCTCTTCAAACACAGGTTACTAACAGGATATATCTTGGCTCACGAGATGATGCATGCTTATCTTCGACTCAGTGGTACGTAACTGGTAAAAGATCCAATATTTGTAACGATGATGATCATGACCAAGAAACGTGAAGCGGTTTTTTGGTTTGATTACACAGGACATAGGAAGCTTAACAAAGTTTTGGAAGAAGGAATATGCCAAGTGTTAGGCCACATGTGGTTGGAGTCTCAGACATACGCTGCTGTTGATGCTAGTGCCGATGCAGCTTCATCATCAGCTTCTTCTTCCTCCCTCACTCCTCAAGCTAATGCTTCAAAGAAAGGTGAGTGGTCTGATTTCGAGAAGAAGCTGGTGGGGTTTTGCAAGAATCAGATAGAGACAGATGAATCACCAGTCTACGGTGTTGGGTTCAAGAAAGTTAACGAGATGATGAAAAATTCCAACATCCAGGATACCCTCAAAGAGATTCTTCGCCGGAGTTAAAAGATGATCCCACATTCAAAGTCACACATTGCCCGCATATATATACACATATATACATCTCTACACAGACACACACGTTTTTCCAAGGTTTTTGTTGCCATTACTCTTCTTTTCGGCTTTTCCTTCTTTTGGTGTGTAAAAACTGTTTCTTTCTTTTTGGATTTATGTCACATCTCGGATATATTCCCCGCTTAAACTAAAGGAACCGTTTTTTCAAATCTTTTGTTGGTAAAGTTTCCGATATAACACGACGGAAAATCGTTTTTTATTTTATTTATAGAGTCAATTATGTGTCTTTGGCATTTCTTGCAGTCTGATTCATTTCTAGTGTCGTTTCAATAAAGCACACCAGGTGTTCGACCATTTGTCCCAACCACCAGTTTCTTCATAGGCGAATTACTCTTTTAAATTCTTCTTCATTTTGATTGTCACTGTGATTTCAGATGTTTTCTCTCATCTTCTCGAACCCTGTCAAGCCTTTTAACTCCGTAATCATCCATCAAATTCGATTCTTTTCCCGTGACCCATTCCCCAACAAAGTCCAACACTACCTTTATCGAGCAAACCTCATCGACTCTATCCGTCTCAGCCTCCGCTCCACAACAACCTCAGACCCGACGCTTCCTTCTCTTCTAGACCACCGTCTTCTCGATTCCTTTGTCGTCAAGAACGCTTTACGCTCATCTCCTTCCGTCGCTTCTGCTTGGTCTATCTTCAAAACTCTTAGAAGAAAAAAACCTCACTTTTCATTTGAAACTGAGACACTTCACGCCTTTGCCACTGTTCTTGCAAAGTTTCATCGATCTTCGGAGCTTAACTCTCTAATTGGAGTTGTCAATGCTGGGAAATTCGGCCAAGTTCATTTCAGCTTCATGAATCTCTTGAACTTGTATGCAACTGCTGGTGATTTCGACTCGGTTCTGAAGACGTGGGACGAGTTCAGATGCTCAGGAGAGGAGAAGAAAGGCTGCACTGAGTCTTATAACATTGTGATGCAAGTTTACATGACTTTGGGTAAAGATTCTGAGGCTGTGCAGACTTTTGATCAGATTATCAACGACGGAGGGATTCCGAATTCAAGAACATTCACAATTATGATTGAGCATCTTTTGAAATTGGGGAATCTTGATGCAGCCATGAAGGTTTTTGAGACCTTGCCTTTGATGAGGATTACGCGGACTCTGAAGCATTTTTCGGTTTTGGTTGAAGCGTTTGTCGATGCGCAACGGTTTGGTAAAGTTAAGACTCTGCTTGCTGAGATGAAAGCTGATGGGAAGTTTCCAAGTAGACGCATGCTTGAGCCTCTGAAACTCATGAGGGAGGCTGGTTTTGAACAAGAAACAGAGGAGTTCTTGAGAGAAATGTTGCCAGATGAGAGAATTAAGGATATTTCTATGTATTCTATGGATCATCCCAGCGATAGCGAAGAAGAAGGAGATGAGCAGAATGATAGCGTTAATGAAGGTCAAGTTAAGTTGAAGCCATGGCTGGATCCAAAAGCTTTAGCAACTTCGTTAAAGAAATGGAGCTCTGATGCAGTCACTGCTTTGGAAGAAGCTAACTTCGTCTGGACAAATCTACTGGTCTGCAAGATGCTAAGAAACTTCAGATCACCTGAAACAGCATGGAGTTTCTTCTGCTGGGTGGCGATTCAACCTGGATTCACCCACGATGCCTATACGATTGAGAGAATGATGGCTATGTTAGCACGCAATGGCCAAGTTGAACTGGTCGATAAGCTCATCTCCAAAGTGAGAATGGAAGGGATCAAATTACCATTCAGCACCATCAGACTAATCATTGATCTCTACGGAATTTCAAAGAAACCGGACGCAGCCATCAAGGTTTTCCGCCAAGACAGAACTCTCTGCGGTTCGATATCGGATTTCAACCTCATGCTGTTGTACTCATCCCTCTTGAGAACATTAACAAAGTGCAAGAGAAACGCAGAAGCTTTGGAAACGCTAGAAGATATGATTTTGACGGGAGTTTCTCCCGATATCCAGACGTTCTCGGGTTTAATGTACCACTTTGCATTGCAGGGAGAGATTCAAACAGTTGAGAGACTTTTCTCAATGGTGAGACAGATCAGTCTTGAACCTGATCCTTACATGTTAAAGCTTCTTGTTCAAGCGTATTGCAGATGCGAAAGATCAGTGCTTGCTTACAGAGTGTTCCAAGACATGAAAGATTCGAATCTGATGCCTGACAAAGAGACGAAAGAGCTGCTTGTCAAGAGTTTGTGGAGAGAAGAGAAGCGAAAAGAGGCTGCTGCGGTTGAAGAGAGCTACGAGGAAGAGAATAATAACAAGAATAGTAGTAACGTTTTGCGTTTGGCGTTGAAGGGTCATGTGTGGACCATTAGTTCTACAGACATTTCTCGTCTCTACAATCTCTACCGCGATTGTGTTCTGAAAACTTCGACTTAACAACATATCAATGTTTGACCCAAAGAAAAAACAACATGAAATGTTTTGTTTTAATTGGGCCCAATGATCGTTAAAGGCCCATAGAGTCTGTTGCTAATAGTATATCTTAAATCTGGTTGGTAAATAAATGGGTCACGCCATTCAAAGTTCAAACTAGTCAAGCAAGAATATACGACCGTGCCTCACACGCTCTCATTTCTTTCTTAGATCGTTGTCCGTTGATAGTTACTTTTTCGTCAGTATTCGGACTCTGACTATGAGAACCACGTGGATGGACCCATTCAGATTGGTGTAACATTTTTGTATCATTTCTTAGGATCATACTAAATTAATAACAAGAATCATAAATTCATTGGCAATATTTACCATAACATATAATTGGCAAATCATTTGTTTTTTAATAGTCAACACCTTCTATACTGTATATTGAAGTTTGCAACTCAATTTACAGTATAAATTGATTTTTCTTTTGTTTGAAACCTAAAAAGATTATCTAAAATCTAGTAAACCTAAACCGATCCAGGGATTAGGTTCGAAATAAGTAAAATAAAGGGCAAACAATCATCAATCTCAAAAGAAAAATACTATACTAAAAGCCTAAAAGTGAAAAAATCGCACCTAGCACTAACATATAAAAAATCAAAAAACATTTTCATATATTACCAAATGTTGAAAGCACATGGCAGCTATAATATTATATTATTATTAATTGACGTTGACCACTTGACCATCTAAATGAAATGGGATGAATTTACGCGGTACCTAATAAAACCCAAAAAAAAAGTGCACAATCCTTTTCTATTTCTCCAACTTTACAAAATTAATTATTATAATACAAACAACATGTCAATTATATTATTTATATACAATAGTTTACGGTCGCCTCTGTAAAATATATTTCATTAGGGTAGCCAAAAGTAAATATTTTTAACTCAGAAAAATTCATTTTTAAGCTCAAAACCTGTGTAAATTTCGCATATCTACTTTTACATAAGAAAGCTTACTATTTTACTGATATGATACTTTAGGATTATACTGATGTGACTGACATTCTATTTGATTTTATATCCTACGGCCTGACAAATCTGAAACTCAGTACCTTCTCTGCAAATGTTGTGCTTTATTTAACAATTTTATAATACAGTTTTTCTTTTTCTTTCCCTTTATAAAAAAACTTATAAGAAAAGCTAGGCCACTAGTGCGTTATTCTCCCTCCTCTCTGCTCCCCTAGTATCTCTCTCTGTCTCTCCCTCTCGCGATTCATTCAAACATGAAAGCAAATTGGCTTTAATAATATTTCAGGAAATTTCTTAAACATTTCATTGAAACTTTGGCCAAGTTTCCATTTAGAGTAAATCAAAGAGCTAGATTTGGTGTTTCTTTGGCATTTTTCCCCTTGAACGGTGAAGAAGTGAGTTTCAAATTATGTGGTGGTGCTTCTCCTGCTTCAAACATGATCCATCTAAGGTTTTCAGATTCGTTTTCTTTGCTTATATTACAAGTTTTCTAATTTGAAAAGCCTGGTCCATTTTGCTTTCTAGGCTTATATATAACTTTTGGCAAGCTGAAACCTACAGGATCCTTTAAATACCGCCTTGGAAATTTCACGGTATGAAGAAGAAGATCGCATGGTACGCCGGAAAATACAAGAAGAGGATGAAAAGATTGAGATTGAAAGGGTAAAGGAAGAAAGTCTGAAGCAAGCTAAGCAGGAGGAGGAAAAGAGAAGATCAGAAGAGTTGAACAAGGAGCAAGGCAAAAGAAAGCAAGAGGACGATGATCAGCTTGTGAACACTTCTAAAGATAAGGGCCAAATCAATCATTCCAAAGATGATGTGGAAAAAGTTGTGAATCCTCCTCCTAGGTAAAGCTATGTGTCCCACTGCAATTTTGTATTTAGAGATTTTTGGCTCAAATCAAATATTGTTTTACTTTACTTGTAGCATATGCAGGATTGATGGAAAATCTGTGATTGAAGATGGAATTTCTGTCAATCCTCGATCTTTATGTTGCTTTCATTGCCACAGACCATTTGCTATGCACGAGGTTTAAAACCATATATAGATATACCAATTTTAAATTGATTGTGGCATACTCCTTTTGTTTTGTTGTTTTCTGATGTATATAACTTCTTAGATTTTAAAGAAGGGAAAGTTTCACATAGATTGCTACAAAGAGTACCGTAATCGCAACTGCTATGTCTGCCAACAGAAGGTAAATAAATTCTCATTAGTTGGTTTTACAGTTTGTAGTAAAGCGAAAAGAATTGGTCTGTTTATGACTGTAAAATATATGTGATCGTTTAATAACTTTTTCAGATTCCTTTAAATGCGGAAGGTATAAGAAAGTTCAATGAGCATCCGTTCTGGAAGGAGAAATACTGTCCTGGTCATGACGATGATGGAACTGCCAAGTGTTGCAGCTGTGAAAGATTAGAGGTACTAATATTTGATCGAGTTTAGTTATAACATATATAGAAGAAAAGACTTGTGGTTTTTTGACTTGTTAATTATTTTGCAGCCTAGGGGAACGAACTATGTAATGCTTGGTGACTTTCGGTGGCTATGTCTAGAATGTATGGGATCAGCGGTTATGGATACTAACGAAGTCCAGCCTTTGCACTTTGAAATCCGTGAATTCTTCGAAGGCTTGTTCTTCAAGGTTGACAAAGAATTTTCTCTTCTTCTTGTTGAGAAACAAGCGCTGAATAAAGCTGAGGAAGAAGAGAAGATTGTGAGTAGAAAACACATCCCTCACTTTGTAACTCCCCATCTTCTTCTTTAATTTTTTTCTCAAATATTTCAATACAAACAGGACTACCATCGTGCAGCAGTAACCAGAGGTCTTTGCATGTCTGAAGAGCAAATTGTCCCAAGTGTAAGGCCATTATAATGAATTGGCAATGAGTGAATATATATATTACTGACTCCTTTTCATTTCCAATGTGAAATGTCTAACTAGATTTTCACTTTGGGTCCACTTATATACAGATAATAAAGGGGCCAAGGATGGGGCCGGACAATCAGCTAATAACAGACATAGTTACAGAGTCTCAAAAAGTGAGTGGCTGCGAGGTTACTGGGATTCTCATCATATATGGACTTCCTAGGTTACTAACAGGATATATCTTGGCTCACGAGATGATGCATGCTTGGCTTAGACTCAATGGTACGTATGGTTTCTCATCACCAAGAGACATGGAGAGAGTACCTCCTTTAATTTTTTTTTTGTGATTTTGATCACAGGTTATAAGAATCTTAAGTTAGAGCTTGAAGAAGGATTGTGCCAAGCGTTAGGCCTCAGGTGGTTGGAGTCTCAGACATTTGCATCTACTGATGCTGCTGCTGCTGTCGCTTCTACTTCTGCTTCTTCCCCTGCTCCTCCAGCGGCTATCACGTCAAAGAAAAGTGACGACTGGTCTATTTTCGAGAAGAAGCTCGTAGATTTTTGCATGAATCAGATAAAAGAAGATGATTCACCGGTCTACGGTCTCGGATTCAAACAAGTTTACGAGATGATGGTCTCAAATAACTACAACATTAAGGATACCCTTAAAGAGATCGTTAGCGCTTCCAAGACTACACCCGATTCAACGTTTTGAATCAGCCATATATTATACCAATTACGTACCAACAATAATTTCTGGAGAAAAAGAAAATCATAACAATAAATTGATTCCCAGATGTTAAAAGAAAAAGAAAGAATTCCCCGGCCGTCAACAAATAAAACTATATATATGCATTTATCTCCAATATATTAAATATTATACATGCACCAAAATTTTAAAACTAATATGTTATTTATGTGAAATGGGGTTTATGATAAATAAATGAGATCCCTATTTTTTTTTTTTTAGTGGATTTTTAATTTTGGTTAAAAAATGATACGGCAGTTTTTTGTAGTTGTCGGCCGACATTTAGACCATATGAAAACCTATCACAAGGACAACAACAAAAATGGAGAAAGCTAAGATTTACAAAAAGTTTTGGCTCGGAAATTGAAATGTCTTAACAAGTTGTGCAGGAAAAGAAAAAAGTTGGACCAGAAAAGAACTTGACAAGGTTGATTTATGAAGAGAGCGACAGTTTGGACGACTATATAGTATGAGAGATTAAGTGGTATGTTTTCAATAATTTATTATATTGTTCATATTAATGTTTAAATTTAATATACATATTAACACTTTAAACAAGTAAAATATAATTATCTTAAAATACTGTATATTATTACACATACAGTATGTACATTTAAAATTGTGAGAAATAAAATAAGACATATCAGCTATTAAAAATTTAAAACTAATGAACATATATACACTGGAATATTTATTTTAAAGTAGAAAGGAAAACGTACTACCTAAATTTATTATTCAAGGTTTAAGTCGTTTGACAGGTAAAACAAGAAAGATTGTAAAAAGAGAATGAAATTAGCTGATTGTTTTGTTCAAAAGGCGAAACTGAGAAGAAGCTCATACAAAAAAAAAAAAAAAAAAAAACTGAGAAGAAGAAAAATGTACAACATCTGTTTCATTTTATAAGATGTTTAAACATATTTTGTTTCATTAATTTAATTTTTCCAAGTTTTTATGCATTATTTAATATATTTTAATGTGTTGGGCCTATTGGTATATTGCAGTCTTTTTCTTATTGGTTGATCTATTTTAAATTTGATATTGAATAATGTTGAATGTAAAAATAAATAAAAATTACTTCATTAATGTAATTCTTAAACTTTATGCTTTAAAAAACCAATCGCATCACACAGACGTCAACAGTCAACCTCTTTGTTGGTAGATGTATAGGATTTTCTTTATTATTGAATGGTTACCAAGAACTTTTGAAAAATCAAACACTTATTGAATCATTATCCATTCGACTTATTGAAAGGTTTTGATTTCCTGAATATTTGAAAATTTTCTTAATTAACCCTGATATTTATCAATTTGAAATGAAAAAAAATAATAAAATTATAGTTTTCATGTTAGTGGATATATGTTTGAGGCATGATAAATGTTATATTCTTTTCTGTGTATTTGCTCGTTTTAGATAGACAATTCCAATCTTAATTGTATTCAAACCATTTGATTGGTGGACCAAAAACAAAAAACATTTGATTGGAGGTTTTGTCTATACAAGTACACGGCAACGTTTTAAAAGAGCGGGAAAAGTCGAGGTCACAATCGGCTCTCGCCACATGGCCGAAGCAGCTGAAGTGCTGAACCAACCACTAGTGTTTTCCTCTATCTCTCTCTCTCTGACTCTCAATATCTGAAAAACCTCACTTAAAACTGTTTCCAAAGAAAGAGCTTTTGGTATTCTTTTTTTGTGTATCATAGATGATAAAACTTCATCACTGACCTCCAGATTGGTGAAGAAAGAAAGTGAGTTTCCATAGTATGTGGTTCTTCTCCTGGTTCAAACATGATCCATCTAAGGTTAACTATTAGATTCGATTTTTTTTGCTTATGATTATAAAAGTTTTAAGTTAAAGAGCCTAGCTAGTCCATTTTGCTTGCTAGACTTTTTTAACATTGGCGATCTTAAACCTGTCAGGATGATATCAAAACCGCCAAGGAAATTTCACGGCATGAAGACGAAAATCGCAGGGCACGTGAAAAAATTGAGATTGCTAAGGCAAAGAAAGAAAGTTTGAAGCTAGCTGAGCAAGAGAAGGAAATTAGAAGATTAGAAAAGTCAAAGAAAAAAGGCAAAACTAAGCAAGTGGATGATGGTGATCATGTGGAGGAGGATAAGGGACAAGTTAAGCCTTCCCAAGATCATGTGGAGGGAAAAGATGTGAATCCTCCTCCTAGGTAAAAAGCTTAATTATGTGCATATGCAATTGTGTATTTTTAATTTATTTACATGAACTTGTAGCATATGCCGTGGTTGCAACTATGCGATTGAAGATGGAATATATGCCAATGCTTTTGGTGTTCTTTGGCATCCTTTGTGTTTATCCCTTCATGGTCAACAACCAATTGCTAAGAGCGAGGTTTAAAACCATATACCAGTTTGAAGTTGATTGCTACTAATTTGATTAAATTCCTCCTTTGACTTAATGTTTATTTTGTCTTCTCATGTTAAACTCTTTAGATTCCAAACTGCTATGTCTGTGAAAAGAAGGTAAGCAATTGAGTCCTATGAAATGAAAGCAAAGTTAAAGACTTAGTATCTCTATTGTGGATGTAAATGTAACTGTATAATTTTTCTTTCAGATTTCTTTAACTTCGGAAGGTAGAAAGTTCAAGGCGCATCCGTTCTGGAAGGAGAAATACTGTTTTAGTCATGATGATGATGGAACTCCCAAGTGTTGCAGCTGTGAAAGATTAGAGGTACTTACTAATTGTGTTTACTTTCAACAAAATAGAAGAGTATGTAATGTTTTTTTGCAGTCTTGTGGAACAAAGTATGTAAACCTTGAAGATGGTCGATGGCTATGTCGAGAATGTATAGAATGCGCGGTTATGGATACTGTTGAATGCCATAATTTACATTTGGAAATCCGTGAATTCTTCGAAGGCCTAAACATGAAGATCGAGAAACAATTTCCTCTCCTTTTGGTAGAGAAAGAAGCGCTCAACAAAGCTGAAAAGGAAGAGAAGATTGTGAGTTATACATTTCCTAATCTGAAACTTCCTGATCTCTCTTTATTGCACTCATATGTGTTGTAAGTTTCAATTAACATAAGCAGGACAATTATTATGGGACTACCAGAGGTATTTGCCTGTCTGAAGAGCAGATGGTCACAAGTGTAAGACATTAAATAAGGTCAAGATGATACTTTTAGGGAGTGAAACTAGATTAGACTTTGAACTCTGTTTCACATAAACAGGTTTCAAAAATTAAAAGGCAAAGGATGGGGGACAACAAGCAGCTGATACTAGAGATAGTTCCAAAGTCTCAAATGGTTCTTCGCAAGTGCGAGGTCACTGCAATTCTAATCTTATATGGACTTCCTAGGTACTCTTAGTACCTCATTATCTAGTACTTTTTTGAGTCTTGGACCAAATAGGCTCAATCAAATCTATCTTCACAAACAGGTTCCTAACAGGATATATCTTGGCTCATGAGATGATGCATGCGTGGCTTAGACTCAACGGTAAGTAATGGTCAAATATGAATTTACCCAATTTGTAGTAGCGATGAGGAGAGGTCTCAAAGTCATTTTGGTTTGGTCACAGGTTATAGAAATCTAGACATGGTTCTCGAAGAAGGATTATGCCAAGTGTTAGGCCACATGTGGTTGGAGCCTCAGACATACGCGACTCCTGATGTAGCACCAGCAGCTTCTTCTTCTCGCACTCTTCCAGCTACAACTACATCAAAGAAAGGTGAGCCATCTGAATATGAGAAACGGCTCGTGAAGTTTTGCAAGGATCAGATAGAAACAGATGAATCACCAGTCTACGGTGACGGGTTCAGGAAAGTTAACAAGATGATGGCCTCAAATCATTACAGCCTTAAAGATACACTGAAAGAGATCGTTAGCATTTCCAAGACTACAGCATAATTACCAATTATACACACATACCCGTATACCAATTATATATACATACTTTTATTTGGTGTAAACACTGCTTCTTCTTCTGTTCTAATGCTCTTTGTTCCTCTGTTCAACACTTAAACGATCTTGCGTGTTATACAAGTGTAATTTTGGTTGGATTTATAATTTCTTGCCGTTGACGCAATCCTAGCGTTCTTTCGTTAATTTGGTGATTGTTCTTCCTACAATAAAACCTATATTTCGTATTTTTTGTGAATACTGTAGTTGGAAATAAGTGTGTTCCAACTGTATTGTCCATGCTTTTTAGTTTTGTAACAGAAACTTGTTTTTTTCTCTTAGTTGGGCTACAAGCCTACAACGTGTGAACAAAAATTTATTACGTATCTCTATCCATTTTTAAGTAAGTTTGCGATCCACACGGCTGGTGTACATTCATACATTTATTCGTTGTAGAAGTCAACTGATCCAACAAAAAAATTACTTTGGAAATATTATTCACTTTAATTGTTAGTTCAGTAATAATAATTAGTTGATCGAGTTTTTTTTTTTTTTTTTGTTATTTAGTGTTACCCTCCTTCCATAAAGTAGATAAACATTTAGGTTTATAGCATGACAAGACTTTTTTTTATCCCTCTAAAACTAATTTATTCTCTACGAAAATTTTAGTCGTTTATACATTTAATTAGTATCCGATTTAGGAAAAAGAAGAAGAAAAGAATTACGATCAACAACGACCAGATTTAGTAAAGTCTGGACGATGCATCTTCTGTAGCTTGGTATATCGATCTATGTCGAAATCAAGCATTTTAATCAAACGTTTCTGCTTCGTCTCGAACCGGCTTTTGTAAAACCCTTCAAAGGAAGGTTCCTTTGAAGTTCGGAGGAAGAAGGCGTAACCAGCCATGAAATATGTCGAAGTTACGTAGAAGCATATGGGTTCCATCACGTCCCACGACAGTTCCCAAAACGTCAGCCTAAAAAATCCAATTGTTTGGGCCATAATTAGGCCTAATCCGGCCCATAATTCTTTTCGAACCAGATCATCGGCTCTTTTGTCGATATCTGATTTTATAATCTCAAGTTGTTCGAACTCTTGTCTTGTCGCGGCGTCGATAGTGGGTTCGAGTGTCGGAATCAGACCAGCCATGGCGCTTGTTAGCTGTAATCATATAAAGGGAAGAATAAAAAATTAGATCAAGAATGCTAAATTTGATCAACAGTGGTTATGAAATTTGTAATGCATGTAGAGTTTAATTACCTCTTCAGGTTTAAGGCAGACGAATTTCCCCAAAACGATGACGTTTCCAGCTTCATCAAGCATATTCGCGACCCGGTTACCTTGTTCAGGATCCGAACTGTTTTCTCCGCAGACCCGAACAAACTCCGAATAAGGAACCCAGTTCTTCCCAATCTCTCTCAGCTTCGATTTCACCATCTCCATTTCCGCTGCTCTCATCAGCTTCTTCACGTCTTCCACCGTGACCGCCGGAAAAAACTCCGGTGATGATTTCGCCGGCGAAGGTGGCGGTAACATCTCGTCAAGCCTAATACGATTATTATTGGACAAACTCAATTCCCTGAGTTTCTCCATCAAATTACCTCCTTTAGGAACTAACTCCGGCGAGAAAAATGCCCTCTTGTGGAGAAATCTGCGGCGGATTCCAGAATCTCCGGCGTCGGGAGGAATGCCGGATTTGGTCGGACGCATTCGGGTAAGACCCGAAATCCTGGAGTAGGTTTTGGAAATGTTGAAGAGACTTTGAACTAGAGATTTCTTCGACGACATCGTCGATCTCTCAAGCTACGTTAGAAATAGAAAGAACAAAAATGAAGAGAAACAAAAAAATCAAAGAAGAACAAAATTGGTTTGATTTAAGAGACAGAGAACACGCTTTGTATAATGGTCCGAGATTAAACAGAGAAACTTGAGCTTCCTTTTATATTAGCGTTGTTGGCTCAGAGCAACGACGCAACAAACGAGAAGGCTCCTCAGAAACAGCATCCTTATCACGATATTTTGACACGATATTTACACATATGCGTTGCTTATCCTATTTCTCATTTTATTAAATATGTTAAAACGATTGTTATGATACAGCTAAACAAAGTTAAATATATAATTAACGAGTTTCATAAACGTATGAATACAAGTATAGAACCGTTATTAGTGTAACAATAAACTTTCTTTAATCATAAGTGTGAAATAGATGGGTGTATAAAAAAAGCTATCAATCATTGAAGAAAATTTTCGTTTGCATTTTTAAAACATGTAAGAAAGATAATAATAAATATGGTTATATTGCACATCAAATTTGAAATTATTTGTTGAAAATATAAAATCCACGTTTTATGTGAGTTTTGGGTAAGCAATAGAGTAATTTCTCTCTTTGAGACACTGAAGCACGATAAATTGGGATTAGATCATCAAGTCACGGGAAATACATTATATCGGTCACCTAAATGGTGATGACCGTACACGTGGCAAGCTAAGCTTCCGACGTCATAAGCGACTTGCCACGCATTGCCGTCCGATCTTTTTTGAGAAAAATCTTATTAACACGCCAAGTCTTCCCTAGCCAATCACATCTTCTTCCCATTGCCTTCCATTTTTGTTTATCATTATTAATTTAGTAATAAATACCTCTTGATAATGGTTCTCTTTCTCTAGTACTAATTCGTCTAAAACCTTTTTAATTATATCAGTTCGTAAACGCTTTTAATAGTATAAATTTAAGTGTGTTATTTATTAAAATGTGGTGTTCCATAACACGTAGATTTAGATAAGTGCAAGCATCATCTCTGTATTTTTTTTGTTATTTAAAAAAAAAATTCGGTGGATTAATGAGATAAGAGTTCTTTTTCAAATATTAAGCCAATGCGGAATATTTCAGTACTGGATTACGAAGACACGAGAGACCGATTCCTAATGCAACAACAAGTATTGTTCGAGAATCTGCAGTTGTCACAACTTACACAAAATTCTTAGTGGAAGACATTAACGATATGTATTTTTAAGAGTTACAGTGTGAATGTTATAATTATCTATATATTGCAGTTTAAATTTGAAAGAGTGTATAAAAAAACTAGATTATGAATTGTTGGGTGTTTCTTATAATTAAAACCATTTACGATAACCAAGTACTCCCAAATATAATTTTTCTTTTTGCCACTTTAACGTAAAACGGACTTACATACAGTATGTACATTAGTATTAAGTTTCAGAACAATTTATTAATATTAAAGACTCACAATTAACGAAAAGAAACGATAAACGGAAAAGGTGGAAGTTAGTAGGTTGAATGAAAACTGAAAAGCATGAAAATGTGTGAGGAGTGGACACACGTAAACGAGTCGCCACGTAAATGCAAAAGAGAGTTTGGAATCTGTGAGTGCGTGTGTGTTAGGGAGAGAGTGTTGGGGAGTTGATATCTAAGGAGGGTTTCTTCAGACTTTTAATTACCAAACTCCTCACGAGGCTCCATCTCCTTAATTTCTCGTGGGGTCGTTATTTTGCTTGTTTTTTGTAATAGACAAATAAATCAATAAAAGATGGTTTGATAAAAATAAATTAAAAGATGGATTCTTTTTACGAAGCTACCTCCCCCAGTTGAATTATATAACCTTACCGTTTTTATTCATCCTCCAATGCACTCTCCTTTTCTTGACCGTCAATTTTAATTTCTTGACAATTTACGAAGTAACCGATTTTTTCCATCTTACTTTTTCTGTCCAAATATAATTTTTCCTTTTTCGACAAACTTCTATATTTCCCTCATCGCTATTTTTTAAAAAGTTAAATTTGAAACTACAAGTAGCGCTATTCATAAATCATAGACTCTCCCTTTTTTGTGTGTGTGTGTGTGGCGTGAATTATTCAAAATTAAAACCGTATATTCAGAAACTTATTTTATAAAAGAAAGAAGGAACAAAGGTATGGCAAGAAGTATCGAGGTTGTTTCTGCACATGGAAGGAACACTTGATGTATATACATTTGACATTATTTAATCAGATTCAAAACCAGTACTTGTAATCTACGAATGTTACAAAAATATCACCAGATTGACATTTTACGTTGATGTTTAAATTTTGACAATCAACTAAAAATTAGATAAGACGGTATGTTTGAGTTAAACTTTAAAATTTACTTAAATTCTTTGTTCATAATTTTAGAATGTAAGAAACGAAACAAAAAAAAAAAAACAATAGAAACAAAACACAAAAATATTTCTTTAATCAATCCTTTTAAATTGGCAACGTTACTTGATAAAGCTATAGTGGGCCTAAAATCCTAACTTCTAAACCCATAACCATTGATAAAAACTCTTTGACTTCTGAGTCTTGCTTAGTGAAAACACTGCTCAACCCTAATATCTTTGAAACGCCACCATTGATGATATTTATAAACTATAACTTCCCTTTTTACGAAACTCAATTAGCGGGTAACCTAAGGATGTGTTCCAGAACTAGAAGTCTTCCCAAAGCAATGAATTTGCTACACTTAGCCGCATTTTCACCAACTTCTTCCATTTTCTCAGTAAACCCATCTATTTGTTTCTTGATTCCTTGCATCGCAAGTCTCGTAGCTTCCTCTTCTTCTTCTCTCTCGACAGCAAACTCCACAGTCTCCAGAATCAAAGAAACCCTAATTCTCAGTTCATCAACTTTCAATCTTACATTCTCCATCGCTTCATTGTTAACTTGCGCCCTACGCTCCATCGACAAAACCAAACCTCTCTGTATCTTCACAGCTTTCTCGTACTTTTTCCACATCTGGCTAAACCATTTCCCTGTTATCTCAATCAGTGGGGTCGATCCAGAGGCAACCGCACTCACCACTGGCGGTGCGCTCATTGTGGTTGCAACCACAGATAAGACAAGAACAGAGACAAACGCAGTAGCTAAAAACACGTTGGACACCTTCCTCAATGTTTTTACATTCCTCTGTTTCTTATCAAGCTTTTGTCTCTGCTTACGCAACTCCTCAAGAAAAAAAACCTGCTGATCATAGACGGAATCGAACTGAGTCACGAACTCGCCATCGAAAGGGTCTCCCATGGCTTTAAACTTATTCAGCTCCTCCAAGGTTTTCGTATACTTCTTCTTCTTATCTCCTCCAAGATCCGTGTCAACTGACTCTGCCTCGAATTGTTTCACCGCGAACCGAATGATAAGTTGACTAATTTCTGTTTTCTTGACGCAATTCTCGATGGTATTACAGAAATCTAAGGTCTTGGAAGTACTTTTGAAGTAGACATCAACCAAAGACTTAAGATATTTGTTCTTCCACACATCTTCTTTGCTTTCAATAATGACTCTTACTGCATTTTGGTTTAGTTCAAGCAGAAATCCGGAAACCTCCATGAGTGAGTCTAGGTTTAAAGATTGAGTCTCGGCTCGAGCAGCGAGGGAGGCGATGATTATGTTGGTTCGTTGGTGAAGTGAAGAATCAAAGGATTTGAGGTTGGAGTCTTTGATACAAGCGGATGTGTAAGAACTTAGGTCAGATGAGTATTTAGACCGCATATCTGTCCGGACCGCTTTACCCGGTAAAGTGTTTGGTCCGTTCCTCTTTGAACTGGATTCTCCAGTCATGAGCTCTGGCAAGCATCCACAGAATTCCATTGACATAATCTGAAGCTAATCTGACTTCAGAAATGCCAAAACTAAAAGGTAAATACAAAGAAAAAACAGAGATTCAAGACATCAGACAAGTTATAAACAAAAAGCAAGGATGTAAAACGGATCAAGATGAGCTGGAGTTGAAGAGTAGGAGAAATTACCAAAGCTTGGGTTAGAATCTCGATCAGGACAAGACAGGACATGACAAGAGAAGCTTATTTTAACTCAACTATATATCAACAATTACTCGAAAGATGGACACGTCATATGTTTACACGCGTTTTTCTTGTGGAAAAACTAGTCATAATGAATGTACATATACTTCGACTTTGTTGAGTTAGTTCTTTTTGGATAAAAGGTAGCTTAGTTGAGTAATTAGTTGAAATGTCAAATCAAATTATATGCAGACTGAAGAAACATTACTCTATATGGAGTTTGAAACTCATTTACAATTGGAAAATGATAAGTTGCAAACACATACGGATTTTCATTTTTCGACTAAGAGAATGAAAAAAAAAAACAAACAAACAGAGAAACAAAACATTGTTACAAAAGTCAGAAAAATACAGCGTCAACAATAGACGCTACGCGTGCAAAAGATTAAGAGTAAAATATAAAATGTGTGGAGCCCACCGTCACTATGCACGCATAGTAACTTACTTTTTCCTGCCTATATAAACGAACGAATTCGTTCGTTGTAAATCACAATTCATACTTCAACAATAAGAAGTTATAAGAAATCTCTCTCCTCCTCTCATCTCTTTATTTTCAGTATCCCGATCCTTCTGCGGGTATAAATTCTTTCTCCATTATTTATATTTATATACACCATAATATAAAGTAATTATTTATAACACGTTATCAGCACGATCACTCTATGATCGCTGAAAAAAAAAAATACGGTATTATACCGGGCGGTATGTCGCCTCGTTAAAAGAAAAAAAAAATAATGAGAAAAAGAAAAAAAAAAGAAAAGAGAAAAAGAGAAAAGAAAATTATATAAATAAATAAAAGAAACTATATATGTATATATATATTACTTCATGCACCATAATTAATTATTTTCTGTTAATGGTTGGCTGAGCCACCTGAAATTTTATTCACTGCTTTAAATATTTATTTCTGCTACCGGTCGGCTGAGCCGCCTTAATTTTATGCGCTGCTTTAAATATTTATTTCTGCTACCGGTCGGCTGAGCCGCCACATATTTATTTACTGTTTCTATGTGGATGACTCCGTGACCATAAT